CACCCGCTTTTATTTTTTAATCAGCTTTCCTTGCTACCTACTCTTTTTTTTTTTTCCGCAAGCATCGTTTATTTGGATTTATTTTTTATATAATCAATATTTTCATTCTTGCTGCTACTACTACTACTACTAGTACTACTAGTACTACTAGTCCTACTACTACTAGTACTACTGCTGCTGCTGCTGCTACTACTACTACTAGTACTATACTACTACCACTACCTACTACTACTACTACCTACTACTACTACTAGTACTAGTACTAGTACTACTACTACTTCTACTTCTACTACTACTAGTACTACTAGTACTACTAGTACTACTAGTACTACTAGTACTACTAGTACTACTAGTACTACTACTACTACTACTTCTACTACAACTACATTTTTTGTTTTCTTTTTGATCCTTATTTGTTTTTTTTTTGATCCCTTATTTTTTGTTTTTTTTTGATCCTTATTTGTTTTTTTTGATCCTCTAGCCGCAATGGCACGTTCAAGTTCCCTCCCCTGACAAGGGCATAAATGCATACAAAATTGATGTCCATATATTGTGAAGTGCGTTGGCTTCCTTATTTGCCATGTTGAAAAAAATCCAGAATGTTTTTCTCGCACAGGTGGCAAAAATGTTCTGAATATTGAAAATCTTTTGCTAATTGCTAGGAACAATTTGCACAATAGTGGAAATTATTTTCCGGATAAATAAAATATGTGAAACCAATTGTTCAGCAAAGTAGGCAATGTAGAAACAATTTGTTACATCATAGCGATTTATGGGGGACCGTCCCTTTCAAATGGTAATAGTTGCAAGCAAAGGTGGTTGTTGACGATGTTATCAGGGTCAACTTGTTAAATTTTGGAATAATGATTTGCTAATAATAGTTGGTGGTGAAAAAACGGATGTCCTTACCCCACATGCCGGTTCAATTGTACGAGCGCCTCCTTCACCCGTGGTTCACCACTGAAACTGTTGACGATTGAAACTCGCAACCATCCAGAATCCAATTGGGAGTGCCATCACGCCGCTTGTTCAATCCAGGACAAGGTGTGTCAGACAGGAACAAAAGCGTGGCATGCCCTGTGCCCAATGCAGCTTGTGCTACATGCGCCAAACAACAGTGCGGGATCCAAGTCGACAAGGGCATCTTCATCAAACAGGCCCCATGTGGTTGACAGCCCTTGCGGGTGAATTGACGGATGTTGTTTGTTAGCCAGGTTTTGTTACGGAGGTTTTTTTTTAACATTTTTTTTTTTGTCCTGGCTCCCTCTTGGTGGCTCCTGGTGGCCCCTAGTGGCTCTTGGTGGCTTCTGTGGCTTCTGCGGCTTCTGCGGCTTTTATGGCTTCTATGGCTCCTGGCTCCTATGATTCATCTATCATCCATCGATCAATCTATCAGTGAAACATGTTCACCAGGTGCATGTTGTGCATTACATTAGATACACATCCATGTATTCTATCTCTATCCCACTCTCTATCTCTATCTCTATCCCTATCTATATTTATATTTATCTAATTCTATTAATACTTATCTGTATCTATCGATGTCTATCTATGTCTAAAAGTCTGTCTATATCTATTCGATGTCTTGTCTATGTCTATATTTATGTCTATATCTATGTTTATATCTATCTATATGTATTTAAATGTATCTATATCTACATCTACATCTGCATCTACGTCTACGTCTACGTCTACGTCCATGTCTCTACCTATCCATCTATCTATCTATTTATCTATCCATCTATCTATCTATCTATTTATCTATCTATGTATCTATCTATCTAGCTATTTATCTATCTATCCATCTATCTATCTATCTATCTATTTATCTATCTATCTATCTAGCTATTTATCTATCTATTTATCTATCGATCTATCTATCTATCTATCTAGCTATCTGTCTAAAAGGTTTGCATTATCATCGAGGTGATGTTCCATGCCCAAGGCAACCCTGAACCAAAGCAGAATTTGCAGTACACCAACCTTATTCAAAGAGATCTTAAACCAACACGATGATAACATCCAATGAAACTATTGTGCATCGTTGTGCCTTGTCCTGTATGCCACATGTTTCCAGGGTGCATGTCGTGTAGTTCATACACCTTGAGTATCACATTCAACCCAGCACCTTGCATGTGAAAATAGGTGTTTCCCATTTGCTTTGAGGGGGAGGCGCTGCGCCCTTGTTCCCCCCCAATCCACCCCTGTTTTTTTATATTTAAATTCAAACTTGCACACTTTTCAATACACTAGTTTGTTTCGACTACATTGATATTTATATTTCTCTATATATATATATATTCAAAAACACATATATTTGCACTTATATTTACATTTATATATATATATTTACATTTATATATATATGCATATATATACATATTATATATACATATTATATATATATACATATTATATATATATACTTGTAAATACATACATATAATACACACATATATATACTTGTAAATACATACATACATATAATATATATATATATACACACACTTGTAAATACATACATATATATATAATATATATATAAATACATATAAATATAAATATATGTATATATATATATTAGTATGTATCTGTAAGTATATATTTTTTGTTCCCAACACACCTTTTTGCCGCGCCAGTCATCCAGTGGTCCCCCAAGTGAGTTTTAAGGGTTTATGGACTGTTTTTATACTGGCCAGTCTCCAGATGTGCATAGTCCAAAAGGGCGAAATCCACGGCCGATGAGCCCCCCTCACCGCCCTGGAAGTCGACTGGGGGAAGTGGGGGTGGATGGTGCTTGGGTGAGAAGTTGCCCGAGGGGTGGGAGGACACCATCGCCACTGAGAGCGCTGTCGGCTGACTGGTTGAGCAGGGATGCTGCGACTTCTTTTTTCCATTTTTTAATATTTTTTCTTTTTCTTCTTTTTTTTAAAGACCTCTTCATCAGAGGGATGACGATCGACAAGATCCAAGTGATGGTCGACATCATGAACTTCGACATGCTCAGGCTGCTGATGTGGGATATGTCCGACATCGATAACTTGAAAAAACTGTTGGGGAGAGACATGATTACCCACGACTTCGGTATCATTGAGGACGAGTATGTCTTGTACCAGATGATGTTCGGGCCCGAGTTCCTACTATTTTGGGAAGACGGTTCCGAGTTGTTCATGAGGTACAGAGATGCGTTGCTAGAGTTCCCGATTACAGATAACAACAAGAAAGCGGTGATATTGGACGACGTCACGGACGAGAAGGAAAACTTCGCTTCCACAAGTTTGCCAAACCTGTTCAGGACGGAGCACATGTCGTCCGAAGTCAAGGCCTTGAAGACAGAGATCTCGAAGTCCTTTAAGTTGCCCAAAGACCTGCAACTGTTGTCCAGTAGCTCTGACATCGTGGAGACGGAGAGGATTAGAAACCACATGGAACAGCTGCTGGACATATCAAAGGTCTATGAGACCAGCGAGATGATGTACCTGGACAGTTTGGTGAAATCCATCTGGACCAAGGACAACGGGTTTAAGGTGAAATGGGGCGGCTTGACGAAGCAGGTCAGCAAGGGCGACAGATATCTTCAAGACCGTCATTGAGATGGCGGAGGGGATCGAGCTTAAGATGTTCATGGGGCCTGTACACGAAATGCTGATTGATACCGTCCTGACGGTGACAAAGGCGGAGGCCATGTTCCAGGAGAAGTACAATACTCAAACGAGATCATCCGAGTTCATGAGGTACAGGAACATCATCGTGAAGTCCGGGGAGAGGTTCGCCACGGAGAAAATGATAATCAAGGCACTGGTTAAGCCAGCCTTAAGAACCTCTTTGTTACAAAACGCTATGAGGGAGGACTTCAGGAAGATGTTCAAAGTGAGCAACAAGAAAAACCTCTTGCACCATGTTATCAAGGAGTTCAAGCTGAAAAAGAAATCCGTGTTCAGGATGATCAAGTCCTTCTACAATGCCAAATGCGTGAGGATCAACTTGAAAGTCGCCATTGGGGAGAAGGCTGGGAATCAAATTGTGAACAACCTGGTGGCAGTGAAATCGTGGAAAGATGAATCCGAGCATGTCTACAAAAAGACAAAGGTGTACCTGGATGCCAGGTTTGAGGACGTTCTGTATTTGCACATACATATTTTTTCATAAATATACGGACATATAGATAGATAGATAGATAGATAGATATATATATATATGACATATTTGTTGTTGTTTATATATTATACACAGCTTTGATCCCAAAATAAACTAGAAATAATCATGCGCATGGATATGCATCCACGTAATTATAGCTATTTGTATGTACATGTTGTATCCTTAAATAACCCCTTATCCAACCCTAAACAAACCCTGAGCAGACCCTAAGCCAACCCCAAAGAAACCTTAAACCAACCCTAAATAGACCCCAAACAAATCGAGAAGAAACCATTAAACTAACCCTGAAGAAACTTTAAACCAAACCCTGCATAAATTACACGTGTAAATACACTGATCTACATATACATAAAATCATGATTAGTCATGCATATATAGTTTGCACATCGTGCATTTCCAATAATAAGTGAAAACTTCGGAAAAAACTATGAATGAAAACAAGTGAAAACTGAATGAAAACCATGCACAAATTGAAGAAAAACATGGAAAAATGCATAAAACAATTCAAAAATGGAAGAAAAACATGGAACAATCAAAGAAAACCATAGAACAATTGGAGAAAATTATGGAATATTGAAGAAAACAATAGAACAATTGAAGAGAACTATGGAACAATTGAAGAAAACAATGGAAAAATTGTAGAAAACAATGGAACAATTGCAGAAAACCATGGAAAATTGCAGAGAACCATGGAAAATTGGAAGAAAACAATGGAAACATTGAAAAACATGGAAAATTGAAGAAAACAATGGAAAAATTCAAGAAAGCCATGGAGCAATTGAAGAAAACAATCGAAAAATTGAAGACAACCATGGAAAAAATGCAGAAAACAATGGAAAAATTGCAGAAAACAATGGAACATTGGAAGAAAACAATGGAAACATTGATGAAAAGCATGGAAAATTGAAGAAAACAATTGCAAAAATCAAGAAAACCATGGAGCAATTGACGAAAACCATCGAAAAATTGAAGAAAACCATGGAAAATTTGCAGAAAACAATGGAAAATTGAAGCAAATTATGGAAAAATTGAAGCAGATCATGAGAAACAAATGAAAACGATGGAAAACTCGATAAAAACAATTGAAAAAAACTGAAACTAATCGAAAAATTGATGAACAGTGCGAATGAGAGATTTTAGCGACAAAATGCAGCAAATGAGAGATAAATGAGAGATTTTAGTTGCAAAAACCAAGGAAGGGAGCCTGGACGACCAAAAAAAAAAAAACAAATCGTACCCTTTTGTTACATCGCATTTTTGATTGTAGGTTACCCAAGTCAGGGAGGGATTTCCGCCAAAAGCCGGAACTGGTGTGTGCTTGAATTTTGTCTCTATTTGTCCGGGTCTGTCGGGGGAGCCTGGGGAGCCCGGTTTCTTCGGGAGCCTACAGCTTGACCCTTCCAAAATGCAAATATGAAAAAAAAAGGCCTAATCCTTGGATTTTTTCTGCAAAAATAGAAGTAACAATTTTCTTAAAATCTAGGAAATGATGTCCCAAGAACGATTTTTAAATCTGGGCCGCAAACCAGCAAACCATTTTCAAAATCAGTTTGCTTTTACGAATCCCAACCATTGGACAAGGATAGCAGTCGATCATTTGAAGACAGAGATTGCACCACACAAGTGAGCCAAGGTCTCACCAAGAAAGACCGGCTGCCAGACTGTTGGTGCAGGCGTTCGTCATTCTTTTTCGTTCTATGTTCAGTGACTTTTCATCTCAAAATCAAGCATTTTTATTTTCTTACTATTCAAGTTGGAAACAGTCTTCAAATGATGTCATAGTTTATGAATATATTTGTGAGCTGGAATTTTACTCATCATTGCTCGTATGTTTTTTCATCTTGTTGGATGATGATTGAAAGCGGGATAAGGGTATCACACAAACCGTTTCAAACCGTTTCTGGCTACTTGCTACTTTGCCCTCGAAGAAACCTAAATAGTTTCAAATAGTTTCAGTCAGCGTCAGGTAATTTCAAATAGTATTACATAGTTTTTCAGCATGGCTAATTAGCAAAGAGTTGGAAACCGTTTCAAACCCTTTCATGCTACCTACTAGGTAGTAGTCCGAAACCGTTCCAAACCAATCCCTAGAAACCTAACTTGCATTACATGTTTTTTAAAAATAAGTAAATTTTGTTAAGCAAAAAATTATCAAACTTGGATCTATTTAGGAAATAATTTTTGTAAATTCGGTTTATTCACGTCGCTTCGCGACGGCAACCGCCCGCACCGCATCGTTGGGCAGCCGCTCGTAACTGCCAATGATGTCGGCCATTGAGACCAAAAACATCCGAAAGTACTGATTGTCGGGAAAAAAACGCGAAGAATTTGATAGCCATGTATAGCGGACCAACGCAATTCAAAAAATAACGAAAAAATGAAAAAACGGCGAAATTGCTGTTATTTACAGTGTTTTTGCGCGGTGAGAAGCAGAAACCACTGCAAATACCATGGTTTTTGAGGGTCAGGTGGCCAAAAACACTGTAATTTACAGTGTTTTTTTAACCAACGTCAAAAAACACTGGTATTTACGATGTTTTCATTCACACCGTAACATAAAACAGCATAATTTACGAGGTTTTTGGAAGTTTTGAAGCTAGCCGTCAAGCATGCAGAAAACAGAAAAACACTGTAAAAACCAGTGTTTCTGCTATCACAAAACGACAAAAATCAGTCCGAAAACGGGTCCAAAAACTCAAAAATCCGCCTCCGGGCCCGGCCACCTGCGGAACCGCAAAAAAAGATGTTGCAAACCAAAAAATTGAGGTCAAAAAGTTGAAAAACACGAGGTTTTTTCACTTTTCGCTTGCCGATTTTGGACGGGCGCGTTCACGAACAGGTGTCTTCCGCACTGTTTTTTACAGTGTTTTGTGAAGGCGAGCGTCGCGACCTATCAAAAACAGGAGGTTTTGGCCGAAAAATGCCCCCCCCCCCAGGTAAACCTGTAACCTTTTACGAGTGCCATCCGGAAGATCACGCCCCAGCACCTTCGGTGCGGGCGGATTTAAGAAATACATTCTCGTTTCCACAGACAAAAGCGCCAAGGTTCCGCCCAATCCATAGGTGTGTTTGCTTCACCCAATTCACAAATCACGCACGTTTTTTTTTTTTGCTATGTTGTTTTCCATTTGGGCAATTAGGCATGAATAATGTCACATATTCCAGTAGTACCGCACAAGGCGGTGGCGGAAGTTTCAAAAACAGGAAACCTATAGGAGAGTTTGGTTGTTGTGAATCAGGGATGGCAGAGCGAAGCCACTGATGGACCGAAAGGGGGTTGAGGTCTCCTCTCTTTCTCTCTCTTTCTCTCTTTTTCACTCTGTTTCTCTATCTTTCTCTGATTATCTACCTACCTACCTACTGATCTATCTGTCTAACTATCTATCTGTCTGTCTGTCTATCTATCTATCTCCCTATCTATCTATCTATCTATCTAGCTGTCTAGTTTTCTAGCTGTCTAGTTTTCTAACTATTTGTCTATCTATCTATCTATCTAGCTGTCTACCTGTTTATCTGTCTATCTGTCTATCTATCTATCTATCTATCTGTCTACCTGTCTATCTGTGGTGCAGTGTCATTCAGTGTAATGTAGTGTAGTGTAGTGGCAGGTACTGTCGTGTAGTGTAATGTAGTGTAGTGTAGTGTTGTGGAGTGTAGTGTAGTGTGGTGTAGTGTAATGTAGTGTAGTGTAATGTAGTGTAGTGGAAGGTAGTGTAGTTGTAGTGTAATGTAGTGTAGTGTAGTGGAAGGTAGTGTAGTGTAGTGTAGTGTATTGGAGTGTAGTGTAGTGTAGTGTATTGGAGTGTAGTGTAGTGTAATGTAGTGTAGTGTAGTGTAATGTAGTGTAGTGTAGTGTAATGTAGTGTAGTGTAGTGTAATGTAGTGTAGTGTAGTGTAATGTAGTGTAGTGGAAGGTAGTGTAGTTGTAGTGTAATGTAGTGTAGTGTAGTGTAATGTAGTGTAATGTAATTGAGTGTAATTGAGTGTAGCGTATTGGAGTGTAGTGTGGTGTAGTGGTGGTTGTAGTTGAAAATGCCACAAAACACTCACGTTTTGCTCACTTTTGACAAGGTGCACAATCCCCTGCTCCTGCCACGCGAAGCGACATCTGAACCTCCAAAAGTGGTCCGAGAAGGGTGTGTTTTGTACATTTTGACTTGGAAATGTGCTTCGCGCCACAACGGCGTGCACTTTTTCGACATCTCAACTGCCAAAAGTGGTCCGGACCTGGGGTGTTTTGTACATTTTGACTTGGAAATGTGCTTCGCGCCACAACGGCGTGCACTTTTTCGAATCGCAAATGCCAAAGTGGTCCGGACCTGGTGTGTTTTGTACATTTTGACTTCGAAATGTGCTTCGCGCCACAACGGCGTGCACTTTTTCGACATCTCAACTTCCAAAAGTGCTCCGAGCACAGGTGTTTTGTACATTTTGACTTGGAAATGTGCTTCGCGCCACAACGGCGTGCAATTTTTCATCTCTCCTCTCGCCAGCTGGCTCCGCACCCGCCGCTTTAGCGAGCCTACTTTTCGACCCTCCAGAGCCACAAATCATCGGAAAAACACAGTGTTTCGCGACTTTCCTACCTTTTCGCGCATCTCCATCTTCTTTCCTCTTACTCTTTCTCTTCTCCCTTCTCTCTTCTGATCTTTCTCTTCTCTCTGCCTCTTCCCTACTCTGCTTTTCATCTGTCCATATTGTCGGAAGTTTGACTTCCTTCGTCCACATGCACCAAGGAGTTCGAAAACATCGGTTTGCATTGCAAGCACGTGAGAGGAGTGATTTTTCCCATGTTCTTCCATAATCACTATGAGTATGGGATGGAAGATTAAGCCAATTACACGATTTTCTTCGGGCCGTGGAGATCTACGTTCACATTTTTGTTGATTTTTCAATTTTTTTGTTTTAGTCGTTTTTCCCGAGAGCGCCTGCGAAGGGTTCTTCGTAAAAAAGCAGCCGTCATACTACATCTTCACACCTTGACACCTGCTGATCTACACATCTGCTGATCTAAATCTTCACACCCTCACATCTGCTGATCTACATCTTCACACCCTCACATCTGCAGATCTACATCTTCACACCCTCACACCTGCAGATCTAGATCTTCACACCTTCACATCTGCAGATCTACATCTTCACACTTTCACATCTTTCACATCTGCTGATCTACATCTTCACACCCTCACACCTGCTGATCTACATCTTCACACCCTCACATCTGCAGATCTACATCTTCACACCCTCACACCTGCAGATCTAGATCTTCACACCTTCACATCTGCAGATCTACATCTTCATACCCCTCACACTTGCAGATCTACATCTTCACACCCTCACACCCTCACACTTGCAGATCTACATCTTAACACCCTCACACCTGCAGATCTAGATCTTCACACCTTCACATCTGCAGATCTACATCTTCACACCTTCACATCTGCAGATCTCCTCTCGCTCTTCTTTCTATTCTCTCTTAAGGCGGGGGCGGTGCCGCCGGAGCGCCACGAAACGCAACCCTTTCGCACGAAATGGACGTTGGACGTCAAAAACTGAGGAAAAATTGCGATTTAACTTGTCCCGCGGCAACCCTTTCGCACGAAATGGACGTTGGACTTCAAAAACTGAGGAAAAATTGCGAGTTTAACCCGTCCATGGCGACCCTTTCGCACGAAATGGACGTTGGACGTCCAAAACTGAGGAAAAATTGCGAGTTTAACTTGTCCCGCGGCAACCCTTTCGGACGTTGAATGTCAAAAACTGAGGAAAAATTGCGAGTTTAACCCGTCCATCGCGACGCTTTCGCACGAAATGGACGTTGGACGTCAAAAACTGAGGAAAAATTGCGAGTTTAACTTGTCCCGCGGCAACCCTTTCGCACGAAATGGACGTTGAAAGTCAAAAACTGAGGAAAAATTGCGATTTAACTTGTCTCGCGGCAACCCTTTCGCACGAAATGGACGTTGGACGTCAAAAACTGAGGAAAAATTGTGATTTTGAAGTATCCATCGCAACCCTTTCGCACAAAATGGACGTTGGACGTCAAAAACTGAGGAAAAATTGCGATTTCACGGGTCCGGTTTTTATATGTGAAAGTATTTGTGTGTAAAGGAGTTTCTGTGTGTGAAAGTTTCTGTGTGTAAACGTCTTTGTGAGGAGTCTGTGTGTAAAAGTGTCTGTGTGTAAAAGCGTCTGTGTGTAAAAGGGTCTAAAAGTCTCTGTGTAAGCGTCTGTGTGTAAAAGCGTCCGTGTGTAAAAGGCGTTTCTGTGTGTAAAAGCCTCTGGGTGTGAAAGCGTCTGTGTGTAAAAATCTCTGTCTGTAAAAAGCGTCTGTGTGTAAAAGGGTCTGTGTGTAAAAGCTCTTGTGGGTAAAAGCTTCTGTGTGTAAAAAGGTCTGTGCGTAAAAGCGTCTGTGTGTGAAAGCGTCTGTGTGTAAAGTGTCTGTGTAAAAGCGTCTGTATGTACAGGAGTTTCTGTGTGTAAAAGCCTCTGTGTGTGAAAGCGTCTGTGTGTAAAAATCTCTGTGTGTGAAAGCGTCTGTGTGTAAAAGCGTCTGTGTGTAAAAACTCTTGTGTGTAAAAGCTTCTGTGTGTAAAAGGGTCCGTGCGTAAAAGTGTCTGTGTGCAAAAGCGTCTGTGTGTAAAAGCTCATATAAAATTCGCCAACTATTCACCGACTATCTTTTACGACTACCATCCTCAGAGCTGCTTGAAAAACACTTTTTTTGCTCTCGGGCCAACCGTCGTCTAGTTGTGATTAACGTCAAACACTTCGGTTCACATTGGAGAATCCTGGGGTGCAACCGGGGTATTATTTTACCCATGTTGGGACCGGTTTTGGCAAAACTTACGGCGAAAGTGCGTCCACAAAAAACACAACGCACTTCATTCCAAGGCAAAGGCATGCAGCACTGTACGGGGCATTGGTCCGCAGCCGCAATACAATGTGAACATGTTCCGGCCAATTCGGTGCGGGCGCATTTCAAACCAAATCAAAATCACATTATTTGAAACATAGAAGTGTAACAAGAATACTTTCAAAGTTTTCAATTTGAAAATGGAGGGTCCACGATGTTTTTGAAATTTATTTCGTAGGTGGCAGCAGCGTGATGGGACAACATGATTTCACGGGCATAACATTGCTAAGGCGCGCCAACAATGAAAATGCATGGGAGGCATGTCATGCAGGATGTTCTCATGGTGGACCACCAAAAAAACAGATAAATCAACATTAAGATCTGCCATGGTGGGTTGTATGACTTCGTGAGCGTGAATTTGTCATGGGCCGACATGGCATGTTCCAAAATGATAAGGCCTGTGTTTTAACAGTTGTGCAGTTGGTTGACGTCGTTTTTTCGGTATGGAAACTTCAATATAAGTAGCAAACCATGTTGGTACATACCATTGACTGGTATTCCATTCTTCTGATGTAAACCAAAAAAATATGAGTAGGCGGTGTTAGGGAATTATTTTGCAGCTATATGTCTGTGTCGTGGTTCCAGAATGAACAAAATCTTCATGCCATGTAGTTTATGGGCGTTGACGCTGGCACTGTGCCAGTTTGAAGATGCTTGCAACCATCATTTCCGCAAGATGTTTTGCACTTTTTTGGGGGTCAATGTGTGCACTCCAAACTGTCACCCTAGAGGACATTTTCATTTAAACCTCGTCTGTACGCGGTGGCTGAAGCAGCGGTGGGCGGGGTTGGCCGACGAAATGTTGGGATCACCGTAGCCGTGGTCGCCCAGGCCGGTGTTCGTCGTGCAACATCAGCGGTGAATTCCTCTGAATGAATCAGCGGTTGGTTTGGATTTGGATTGGTCTGAAAATGGATGAATTTCCGGATATTGTTGTTGCAGGGAAAGGATGATCAATGATGGCATTTGTGGTTACCTTATATTGAGACAAACCCGTGTGACGATTTTCTGGATAGGAACTGTGGCGAAACCATGGGGTCAGGTCCTTGGCGCAAAGAAGAATGGCACCAAACGTCAGGAGTTGCATTTTGGAATGGAGGAAAATCACATGTTTGCCACAAACACTACGGAAATCAACAAGTCCAAGCGAGGCCTTGCCATATCAAAGCTGCTGATTCGATTTGTCATCATGCTTAAGGTCACATATTCTTGGTTTCAAATTCAAATGGTTTCATCCTTTTAAGGAGAGAGACACATTGCACAGATTATGCAGATTTAGGTTATGACTTTGCAAGAGCATCGGAAATGGGCATCGTCATTGTTGGACCCTCAGATGTTCGTCTTCCCAGCTTCTCATGTGATGCCGTTGGCCTTTCACGCCACCGGAAATGTGCAGGTGGTCAAGGATGGATAGAAACAAAGACAAAGCACGGCCCTTAGAGTTTGACGTGGTGAAAGTGTTAGATTGTGTGAAACTGTGTGAAACCACCGTGCCATTTTGAAGGGAAAACTTTGGTTCAGTCGCGCGCATCGCGCGGTCCCCGTGGTGATCCCGACCGTGATGTCCGAAGCGCTCAGTGCTGGTGAGTTTCTACGATGCAACGCTGCCGGGCTGCCCGGGCTGCCGGGGCTGCCCAGTCGAAGTGGCATGGGACACATGGGACTTGCGTGAGGCATTCTGCGGGGCAGTCCGTGAGGCACTCGTCCAAACTTTCACAGAATTTCTACAGTTTGGGGCCAGGGCTCGAATTTCATCAGCAAGTCGTGGACGCCTTTTGTGCAGAAACGCCTCATCCATGTCCATCCGGACAACGCCGCGTCTCCCAATACCGCAGGACCGTATCTGTGGCTGGCTGCCAGGGCCAAGTCTTTCGTGAAATTGTAGCAGAGCTGTTGCAGCGACGGGACGCTTTGAAAACATCTCCAGATGACATCATTTTCTTCGACGATTCCACTCTGGCTACGACCTGTGCTCTTGAACTGCTGGGTGGTGATGGAGGAGCTGTGCTTGTGCCATTCCCAGGATTTCCATCAACATACCTAGCAAGCGCAAGTGCGGGGAAGCAACCAATCCCTTATTTCCTGGACGCAACACTGTCCTGGGATGTCACATTAGAAACTCTTGAGACTTTGCGCAAAATGATTGCAAAACAAGGTGCCCATGTGATTCGGGTCCTTGCATTGCAAAACCCTGGGCCTGCAGGCCAGCTGCTCTCTGCAGAGTGCTTGCAACGATGCCTCGAATTTGCTGCTGAGCAGGGCTTAGGGGTGATGATTCAGGAGGATGACTCCTTGGTTCATGGCCGCGACTTTGTGCATTGCCGCCATGTGGCCCAAGAAATGAAGAGCGATGTCCGAATAGTCACCTGTGTTGCCATGCAGGATTTGTCTGAGCAGGTGGGTGAACAGATCGGTGCATTTCTTCAGCTGCAGAATGTGGGACTTTCACCGAACCTTCGTTCGAAGGTGCCAACCTTGAGGTCACAGGCGTGGATCTCAAGCCTTCTGAGCGGCATTCCTTCGGACAGTTCGGTCTACGCGACTGCGCGAGAACATGAAGATAAAATCAGCAAGGTGCTTTCACTCAATGCCGCGAAAGCACGGTCAGTATTCAATGACGTAAGTGGCATGTTTTGTGCTGAAACTGTGGCTGGAGCGCATGTTTTTCCGCAGATCACCGTGAAAGGATTTCTGATGAAGAAGGCCATTTCACTTGGACGTCCAGCTGATGCTGTCTATTCTTCAGAGCTGTTGGAGAGGGCCGGCATCACCACAGAGCCTGGATGTTGTTTTGGGCAGCGTCCCGGAACTTTTCATTTTCGATTGTCCATGTTGCAAAGCAGCAACTCATTTGAAGAAGATCTGGAAAGAGTCCAGAAGTTTCACGTTGAACATCCTGACGGCTGGTTCCAATGAGAGCCTTCCAAATGGGAAATGCTATTTGGTTGACAAAACAAGAATTTGCATGTGGTTAGCTTAGCGCATGCATTGTGATATTTTCCAGAAACACTTCAGGTGAAAATCACCGCATTCCGTTTTGTGCTAAATTGTTCAAACTTTGCCATTGGAAGAAATTGGAACCTTTGGAACTGGAAATTTGCCCAACTTTCAACAGAAACTGCGAGATCTGCATAGATCTGCGAGGTCATGACCCTTGAAGAGCTGAATTGCAGTGAATTTATGGAGGACGCTGGGAGCGTCATCTGACATCTCCAGCCATCTCCAGACACATCAGTTTTCCAGCGCTGGTTCCACGGGTCCCAGGCCATTCGGGCGATTTTGACGCCATCATTAGCCAAGAAGACGGTTGGGAGTTATGGCAGAGCGGAGCTCAACTTGAGTCAGGCGCCGCTCCAGCAATCTATGGATTCTATGGCCATGAAATGAGATGAAACACCATGGAAGAAGAACATGAGGCTTTTAAAAATTAGGCTTTGAAATGCTTTTAAAGTGTTGGGTTCCGCCCCCATTCTCGGAGAAACTTTTGGTCTTGAAAAAATGAAAATTTCCGCAAAATGCCGGCAGCTCTTTTTTCAGGCCTTGAAGTATTGCTTGAAGTTGGCCGACACTGACAAGAACGGCACGCTGGACTTTCAGGCGATAGGCTTCGGCTGGCTGTAAATATACGTGAAACGGGGACAATGTATATATATATATATAATATGATCATATATGATATCATATATGTGTAATATTTATGTATCCATTGAGATATGCAACGTATACTTATTAGGGGTTATGAAAAGTAAGAAGGATTAAAGATATTTAACAAGTATATAAAGTACATATCTAATTTCATCCAGTTTCATCTAACTTCAGCTAATGAGAAGTCGAAAACCATCAAAAAACCAGGAGTTCGAACATTTCCTGCGCAAGCTACGGCATCCGAAACCTCCCATGGCCGGTGCCCTAGAGCCATGGTTGAAAGCCATGGGAAAGCCATGGGCGATCCCTAGTCGTCACCATAGGTTTCAATACTAAACTGGTCTAGTTTTGGATGATTTGGGGGTACCCCTCTTTTAGGAAACACCCATTTGCATCTATTTGGGTGTTTTGTTTTTGTTTAGAAAGATCAGCTGATATTGCCAATCAAGTCTATTAGCCATCATGAAGCATCCAATTCGATGAATATCACGTTGAAATTTTGAAGCGCCCAACTTTGACCCATGTCCAGCCTGATGGAATGTCGACATCTGCATTTTTGCAGGAGCTGGCAACGCTCTACATGTCCATGTTCGATGCTGATCCGGACATGGGAAAACAACGTGAAAAGTCATGTGCAAAATCATCGCACCATGGGAAATCCGTCGAGCAATGAAAAAAACTGGAAGTTTTGCGTAACATGATGGATGGATGAGGGAAAAACACACATGACCTCCATGAAGAACCTCCATGTTTCAGGACGCTTTCCTCGAGGAATTCGAGTTTCGCGACATGTGGAGTCCGAAACTTTGACCTTGCGAAAGGACAGAGTCGAAGAGCATGGCAGGATGGCAGGATGGCAGGATGGCAGGATGGCAGGATGGCAGGATGGTGGAACACCTTGGAACACCATGTTTTTTTCCTTGACATCATGATTTCACTTATATAATCAACTAGTTACTTAACTGACTTCACTATTAAAAAAAAAAATCACCTTTTCCAAAATCTTTCCATTTTTCAACATCGACCTTTGGTCGTTGTCAGCGCCCAAGGATACTTCACGGGCCGTGCGCCCACAGCCGACGAGTTTCAGATGCATTGGTCCCAGATGGATCTCCTCCGAGTAGGACGAGTTTCCAAGAAGGACTTGGCCAAGTGGCTGAAGAACGGTGCACCCCAGGTGGGAGTTTTGCATCCTAAGATGGTGATCTTTTTGGTGGATTGGCCATGGATTTTGGTGATCTTGTTGAATCGTGTTGGGCAGGCTGACTCTTTGATGTTTGAGGATGTGATGTTGATACATCGTTTCTGTATTTGATGTTGCTGATGTTGCTGTGTGGTGGGTCAACCTGCGTTGGATAGACAGCTGATTTTTTTCAATAGCTATGATTTTAATTTTGGGATGTCGTTGATGCCACCCAAAACTCGCGCATTTCACCCAGTTCTGTTTGTCCAGCCCACTTGTTGCCATTGCACTGCAAGAGCAGCCTGGTCGCTCGTTCCAGGCCTTTAGGAGCTTGGCGCCCCCGGTGGAAGGTGACAGGCCTGGCTTTGGCAAACTTAGAGCTGTAAACGAACAGTTTGCGAACTGGATGATTTACCATTTACCCTTGAGTAAAAGAATAATTATCCCCCATATACCATTTTAGATGGTCTATTTTAGCTGGTCTATTTTCCATATGTCAGATGACCGGAGGGTTTTTTGTGACGTACAATGATCGTTCATTCTAGAAGGGTGAAATCCATTTGGATATGGGGAATATGTTTTCAGAGCCCCTGACCAGACATCCAAGATGATGTCAAGATGATGTGGGCATAGGGCAACCACCAGAAGCTTGAGTGGTCATCTTGATCCATAAGAATTCCATAGCATTCAATTTGTTTCCAACACTTCCAAAGGTTGGATGAAATGGATTGCTATGGATAGCTATTTCCAACATTTCCAGCATATTGTTTCCTTTCCGAAATGGACTGGTGATATCGGTTATCGGACCATCTGCAGCTTTTGGATCCCATAGCCGCAGCTGTCAGGCCTGAGGCACCTCCTCCCAGTTGGGACCTGAACTTTTCAGCTCAGGCCAGTGGCCAGTGCAGCGGCAAAACTGCGCTGCTGCGCTGAGGTGTCACGAAGAAGTGGGGAACTCAAAAGTGGGGAACATCACAGCTGTTTTATGATTCTTCTGGGGCATTTAACAGTCATTCCTCTGGTATGTTTCCATCATTGATGTCAAACTGTTAAACTCCTACCTGAAAATATCTGAATCAGGTTGGTGTGATCTCATGACCCTAGTATGATGATATGTTCATGTGCAATACATGATATAAAATTTGCTTAGCATATATTTGCATATATTTCACCTCTGAGGCCCGGAGAGATCTTCCGCCCAGCTCCAGGGTTATGGCACAAATCCCCCATGAAGGGGTTCCTGATCCTCAGTTTTTGCAGCGAAATTTCCACCAAAAACTGAGTTTTTTTTCAGAACATCTAACATTTCCCCATGAAAAGGTGAAGAATGGTGAAGAAATGGTAGAATTTTGAAGCTTCTATCATTTTCGATGGGGAAAATCATCCGCAAATGTCGGATTTTCATGGATTTTCCATTGCCACCAAGGGAGAGTGCTCATGATTGGAACAGCGTGCCAAAGGCCCGATCTCCAAAATCGGGAAGTCACTATGCCCAAAGCCGGATCTTTGGGAAACCTTCCCAGGTTCACCCCAAAACGATGCTGAAACCAGCTGAAGCCGATAAACCAACAAAAATTGCCAATATCTGTTGTAAACATGACTATACCATCTGGTTATTTAATATAGCGAACTGGAAAATCACCATGCTATTAATTTCGGTAAACCATCTATTTCGATTAGGGCCATCTATACCATGGCGAACTGTTAAATAACCAGAGGGTAAAACATTATACACCAAGTAAAGCCACGAGATTTTCTGTGCCACATCCCACAACTTGGCATATCTTGGCGACCGCCATGACCCTGAAGGACTTCTCCCATCTCAATCTGGCCTGGCGGGGCAGTCAGAGTTCCGGCCACAGAGTGCGAACTGAACTGTTTGGATACTGGTTGGTGGTTTGGGACATTTTTATTTTTCCATATATATATATATTGGGAATAATAATCCCAACTGACTAATATATTTCAGAGGGGTTCAAAACAACCAACCAGCTTGGGTTTGTCTGAAAATGGTGAAATCTTAGGCCATGTGTGGCAAACTCTTGTGGAAAATGCGGTGATATTTTCAGACAAACATTTTTGTTTGCAATAGTCTGGCGAAGTAAAGCCATGGAAATTGGTTTTATGAAGCTTAGCTTGGTGTGTTTAAGATGTTGCACAATATTGGCTTCAAGGGGCATCATAGGAACATGTTGTGCTCAGCAAGCAATCTGGGCTCAAGCACGGTGTCATTTGTTTGTCGACTTCCCATCAACTTCACCATGGCACGGATCTTGGGTTTTCACATGTTTTCACGGTTTTGTCGACTTCACGCTTTTACGTTGAGACTTGGTTTTTTCGGACCTCGCAGCTGTGAACCACTGAGGGGCCTGTGAAGTTTGACGACATCGACAAGATCCCCAGCTGCACTCGAGTCACCATTTACTGTGGGCAGCAGCCAAGAGTTCCCAATCTGGTCAGAAGTGACAGCGAATCAGGAAAATTGATGAAGACTGATGAAAACTGGTAATTAATGGTAATTAATGGTAATTAATGGTAATTAGCTACGCAAACTTCATCCCATCTCCAGGTTTTAGGGATTTCCATGATTTCCCCAGCATTTTCCCAGCATTTTCCCAAGTTTGAGGACTTCCAAGGAGGTGCTGAGTGACGACTACCAGACCAGTGGCTACCAGATCAAGGTACCACTTCAACCATCGATGCATCCGTGCGCAAGAAATCAGGTATTCAACTTCTTCATCAACCATGAAATATATATATATATATAATATTCATTCCCTAAGCAGGTGGAAAAGTGATATATATATAATATTATATAGTATTTAGAGGCAATTTATAGGCATATAAACTCGCGCACACAAAGAACTAGAAATATAACTATAAATATAACTATAAATATAACTATAAATATAACTATAAATATAACTATAAGTATAACTTAATAACTATAAATATAACTATAAATATAACTACAAATATAACTAAATATAACTATAGATATAACATATAACATATAAATAGACTAAGAAGTAAATAAATACATAGATAAACACACACACACAGATATATGTATATATATATACATAATATCTATCCATCAATGCATATTGCTTGGCATATGGACACAATGTGTCTTGAAGCTGCGCCAGGCAAAGCAGAAGACCAGCTGGCAGGGCTCCGTGGTGACCACCGCTGTGGACCTGGTGCCCGGGAGCAAGGACCGCCTAGCGCTGCCCGCTGTTCTCCCACTGTTCTCCCAGATTTCGGGCAGAAAAAAATGGCAGATTTCGAAAAAACATGGTGAAAATGAGAGAAATTGAGGAGATGATTTTGGCGCTTTTTTGGAGGATTTGTCGGAGCATATTTTTGGGCACCAGTTGTAAGTGGGTTGTTTCATCACATTTGATTGATAACCCTTGTGGCATTTGATTCAAAATTAGATAGGATGTTTAGATAGTGTGCACTCAAGCTTGCTCACGTGTCCATCAACTTGATCAAAAAAAACATGGACAGATGTGGATTCAGTTCGTTCTGCACAAAAGGCCAAACTTATGCGACCTTTTCACTTACAATCGGTAGATAAGACATGTCTGAACGGAATAGCCTCGAAATCAGCAGATGGGCTTCGTTTTTTCTTACAGCAGTCTGGCAGCTGCAATCTCTAAAGGATGATCGATTTGATAACATGCATAGTCGGCATAGTTGATAGGTGTAAAAATCGTCAGTGTTCCGTTGGCCATTGAGTTGAACGTTGAACTGAGACATACAGTTGGACCTTTTGGCTCAACTGAGCCGACCAGGAGTGTGTGACACCAGCCAAGTTGACCATGAAACTGCCAACCCCTTTTGGCTGCCCATTCTTCGTGCTGGTCTGGGTCTCAACGCCTCTGTTGGTTGGGACTTGCCATGTCCTGTTTGAGTCCAAAGGCGTCTGGTGCTACTGACCTTTTTGGTTTGCTTTGTCCTGAAATGAGGCATGCTCCCCAAAATAGCAAACGGATTTCTCCGTGCTGAGCCATGCAGATTGCAACTTGCAAGGAGAAGTTGGAAATGGACAAGAAGGGAGGTCTTAAGTTGGAGGCTTCGACTGAAAAGGCGGACCCTGCGAATGACAGAAACAGACGCCAGAAAATTCATAGAAGTTGGCATGTTGGAGGGTGAACGTGATCAATTTTCATCAATTATCCTCCAATATCATGACATGATCATGAACAATCATGAATGTCCATGAAATGTCATCAAATGTTATCTCAGATATGAGTTCCCCAAGTTCCCAGCAGATTGTCAACATTTTTCAACATTTTTGGAGTTGTAACTTCGGTACAACCTGCCAGAACCAGGTGGCAAAGGGGCTGAAGATCGAGGTGAAACCAGAGTTGAACGACCCTGCGAAGACGAAGACAGGTCATAGTGACAGCACCGAGTTGGGATACGAAAAACTGGGGGTTTCTATTCATCCATTTTTTGTCATATATACCTTATATACCCATATAAATTCATATAAGTTGATATAAATTCATGTGTAAATTCATATCGATGCACATCTATATCCATAATGATCATTTAGTTATACCTCACACATCCTCGCACACTATTTAAGTTTTTTTTCTCATTTTCTTCCCAGTTTTTTTTGGGAATCATACAGGACGGGGCTTTCAAGATAGCGTTCAGTTGGTTCATAAGTGGCTGAATTCTATGGTTTATGGTAGATACTATAGTTAATGAAGTCTACAAACCAACAAACATCACTGGGGGGCACCATCCTGTATAAATGGAGGTTTCAGAGTTGGACAAATGATACATGATGAATGATGACAATGTGTATTAATGCACACGCACATGACACACACACACATATCACATATCACACACATATATATATACATTTAGATATTTACATATTTATTATAGGTATAATATTGGGAATAAATATGTAAATATACAAATATCCCCATATAATATCTATTTCCCATATTATATATCGATCTTTTCATCTCCCCATTTTTTTGGGAACCTCCGCTGCAGGTCTCACCTACTCGGCCCTGAAGGACGTGCGCTTGGCCGCCGACTTCACCGGCGTGGCCGTGCAGGACACGGTGGCGGAGATCACGGTGCAGCTGCTTCGGCAGGAAACCAGCGGCCACGGGGAAAAAACATGGGGAAACCACTTCAGGGATGCAAAGAATGAGGAAATTCTATGGGATTTCAAGGGATTTCTGTTGGGTTTTTAATGGATTTCCAATGGATTTCAATTCTTCTAATTCTACGATTGTTTTGATTGTTTTGCTTGCGAAGAAAAATCGTTCCGTTGACTTTTTTCCCAAGGAAATGGTCTTGCTTTGCAGAACACTGGAATGTCGATAGATTCTGAGCCTTGAAAGTACTGATGGAGTACTGACCGAGTTTCATTTCATCTCTCAGTTTTTCCCCAAAGTTTCATTCAAAATCCCCAAGAAAATCCCCAAGGATATTCAACATGATTCAACTGGCTGAGGCCCTGTCAGTACGTGGTGCTGGGTGCCAAGATGAAGGCTCCCTGGTGCCCTGAAGTGGGCATTCGTGCCGTCCACGGGCCATACTTTGCAGCTCGGATAGCTCAGCGACGGGAGAGTATGCCCAGATGTCACTGGCAGCCACTGGCACTTCTCAATTGGGAGTTAAGTATCACTTCAGTATTATAATTATAAGATTTATAAGCTGAAGAAAGTCATTATAAGTCATATCGATTCACTGAACCTTCACTGGAAGTTGGGATTCTCAATTTTTATTGCAGAATTACCCTAGAGGCTAATCTTTCACATTTTGCGGGAAAATCACCATGCTATCAATGGGTAAATCCACGAACTTTCGACTGGGTCATTTTCAACAGCTAAGGCCTCCCTCTTGGCGAAGGAGAAGTTTTCCACCTTTACGGCCTCGTGCCACTACAAGGTGAACCTCTGGGTTTCACCTGGTGGGTACACCGGGTACACATGGTTGTAATGGAACTGAATGTTGAAGTAAATGTTATATAATAATATATGATATGATTTGATATGATTAAAAAAACAATAAAATAGATAGTCATCAACCGACACACACACACATTGCTGTATATATAGAACTTTTTAAATTCGGAATAATTCTGAATACATGATAACAATGAGATAATATAATAAATAGACACTAGGATTCTAGGATTGGCAACAGCACTTTTGTTGCACATCGCAGTGGCTTCACCAAAAATTCGTTTCTTTGTTTAGGCACTGGACAACGTCCGTGTGGCGGGCTCTTACGTCTACGGCGGCAAGAAGCCTCTTGGATGCATGTTATGCCCATGTAGGAATGTAGGGCCGGTAGATGCGGGTAGGTTGAAAGAAGAATGGGGAGTATCATAATGACATAATGACATATCAGACATATCATTGCACCGCCACAAAAAAATAGATTTGTCCAAATCCAGTATGACTCATGATTTTCCTGCATCATGGATGAATTTGTGGAATCTCTCTGGGTTATTTGGACATGGGAAACATGGCAGGAACGGCACCTTCGCCCTTGGCTTGACATATTCGTGCAACAAGAACACCCTGATGAAGGCCCGCGTAAGCTATGAGCTTCCACTGGAAGCTATGCAAGTTGTTCATAGTTGTTCCACATGTGAGAGCTACATGGGATTACTTAACTTGTCATTACTTGTCATTCTCTTTAGAGAATGCTTTCGTTGTAGACTTTTTAGTCAACAGTGATGTGTTTTTCTCTCTTGGTCTCTCCATGATGCTATCACATCTCTGGTCAACATGATCACAAAAGACAAAACAGCACAACAGCATCACCAATGGCTCCTCAAGCTCTCTATTTTGGATGATAAGAACGGAACTCCATCGCACGTTTCTGCAAGGCCAAGGGGGTAAAAGAATAGGGGCCTTATTGTCCCTTGTTGTCCCAATTTTGGGGGACAATTGGAAAACATAAACACCTTGTCGTAGATCATGGAGATTCTCCATGATTATCCTGGCAGCGAAGGGCAAGGTTTCAATGATTCAATGGTCGTTTCTTGTTTTTGTGTGGTTGCAACCATGCAATGTTGGTTCGTATCACCTTTTCTCAGTTTGTCTCTGCAAAGTGATCAAAGTGATATCCCCTGATCTCTCGTTTTTTGGCTGTCCATTTGATCCATTTCAATTACATTCCAAGCTGATATCACCTGTGATTCTTCGCTTAGCTTCATCGGTATAGCTTCGGATTTTCAGGAGTTTCATCCTCTGCATCCGTTTTTCTGAATTTTCCCCATCGTTTTTCCAGTGATAAACAGCAGCTGATCCCGTGGGGTCCTTTTTGGTCCCCATGGTTTTTTCCAGGTGAAGTTGGAGAAGGATATGGTGGTGAGCTGCGGTTTGAAGCAGACACTCTCCAAGGGCTTCACTTTGCTGGGTGGGATGAAATATGATGCCAACAAAGGTGCCAGAGCTGGGTTGATGGATGGAGATGGATGGAGAGGATGGGGATGGGGATGAGGGTTTTCGAATGGGGATGGGTCTTTTTCGGTTTTGAAAGACTTGGAAAGCCGTGGGTTTTCTCAGGTCTTCTTGGCCCAACACGTTTGTCCAGCGCAGGGGCCCAGCCGTCCCCAGCCCCAGGTGAGCGCTCCTATGGTTTGCAGCTGAGCATCGAGTGAATCTGAGCTCAGTTTGTCCCGTGACGCACGGCCGTATCCACACCATTTGTTGTGGAAAGAGTTCCGCTTCTCGTGAAGAGAGCAACTTTTGAGAAACAGCTCAAAAACAAGGATCAAAGGATATCTAACGGTCAAGAGTCAGGGCAGTTTTGTGTGTTTCTTTTTCCAGGTGCTCTTGTTTGGAAGATCATGATATATTCATGATATATCATGATCATGAAAATCAATGAAAATCAGATTGCTTGGACTTGTTGGCAGATCTGGAGCCTGGAGTCTTGTTGGTCTTGCAACGCGATTCGTTGCGTGTTGTCGGCTGGGCTTCTTGGTGACTCTCCGCAGTTTTCCACGTTTAGAGGCAGCAATTCAATCGAGGCTACCAACGAACCAAAAAAGCAAGAGCAAACTGAGCAAAATGCTAAGCTGCTAAGTCCTACCTGCTTCCAAACATATCTCACTTGTTTAAGCTCTTGCCAGTTTTCACATGTTTTCACTTTCTTTTTGAAACGAAGGAAGCACATGCTGCGCCAATGCTCGCGTGTGTGGCCATGGAGTCGTGCCAGAGGTGGTCTTTTTGGTAGATCTCGTGGCTTCGCTTTGGTGAACCAAAGTCGAATTCATCGTCTCAGACCACTGGCGATTGGTGCTGTGGGCGCTGCCACTGCCACTGCCTACACTGCCTACACTCTATGGAGACGGGAAGATGAAATTGAACTGCCTGCGGTGCCTGAACCGACCCCCACCTTCAAGCATCCCTATGAGACATGGCCATGGTATCAGAAAGCCTGGTTTGCGTTCAAAAGATCTGTTGCTTGCCTGTGAAACTCTGTGAAACACTGTGAAACTCTGTGAAATGTGCAGCTTTGCCATATAGCAGCTACTAGTATGTAAATTTGGCGCTTGGTCGTCCCACATCTTTTCTGCAGGTTTTTTTAGCTTGGGTCTTTGCGCCTTTCATGTGTCTGACACTCAGCAGTGACTTCCAGACTTTGAGGGCTGATCATGTCTTTTTTGAGAGTCAAGTTTCGCATGCTTCGCGTGCTTCGCATGCGAACCAGGCGCATCGACGTTATTGATGCTCTTTGGAAAGGAAAGTGAAAATTGGCGGGAAATTTGGTTGCAGCAGATGCTGGCATGCGGCTTGGCGAGGTCCAGTGCGAAAAAAAGCCCATCTTTATCCATGGCTACTGAAAGGTCCTTAAAATGGCCTAAGATGAGGTATTTGGAGGTATTTTTTGGCAATCGAAGTGATGGAAAACCGGAAAACCATGGTTTGAAATCACAATAAATCACAACAAATCACAACAGGACAGCCATGTCCAGTTATTTCTGAGCTACGCGTTTTTTTCGCTGCCAGCTTTAAAGGTACACAGCGAGCCGGTGCCGCTTTCCAGAAGTTGCTTGAGCTGCAACCCCAAACTCTCGTTGAAACAGAAGTTGGGTCACAGTTTTGCGGCTTTTCATGGCTTTTGCATTTCCCACGTTTCTGGTTTTTCAGTGAAAACCAGCCACAAAATCGTCATTGATGTTCACGATTTTCCTATGGTTTTTGGTGGTTCCGGAAGACACCACTGGGCTAACCAGTGGGCTAACCAGTGGGCTAAGCTGGGCTTCAGGGAGCAGCCAAGGTTTGGTCAATGGCTCTCCATGCGCCCAGACATGTTCCCTCCAGATGTCATTGTGGTTTTGTCCAAGCTTCGTGCGGATGCTCCCGCGCATCCTGGGGTACCTTGCTGCGAAGGAGTGACAAGAATTCGGCTTAACGGTTACAGCAAGTTACATAATATCATTAGAGATGGAATTGACATGAACTGACATATACATACATAGACTCCGTATATATATATATTATATGTGTTTGTGTATGATTTATATATATATATATTTATATATATATATATAACATGAATCCGTAAAACCTCAGTGATGTATGGGTTTGTCTCAAATAGCGTTTTTTAAACGATTGGATGTTGGCGGCCATGGTTGACTCAGGTGGTGTCAAGGCGCAAACTGAAAGAACATCTTGGCAAGGCTCCGGATGCACTTTGGTGTTCCGTTACCCTCTGGTTATGTCAAAATAGCTATTGAAAATGGCCCAGTCGAAATAGTGGATTTACCCATTGAAAATGGTGATTTTCCATAGTTTTTTTTTTAATGTTTACCAGAGGGTATGTCCCAGGAATCACTTGATTGTGGCCAACAGTTTGTTAAATGTCGACATAGTGAAAGCAGCAAGATGCAAGATGTCGATCTTGTACCAGGATGTGGAGGAATTGTTTGATGAGTTTCAGGACTGGGATTAGCCAAATGTGTCGGGTCCGATTTTTGGGACATTTTGATGTCCTTTATTTTCCACGATCCTGTCTGAGATGAGTTTGCGTACATATCAATCCTTTTCAGGACATTCCCAAATTTTAGGTATTCATATCAAATCTATGTATATATACATATATATCACACACATTTATACTTACATATAACTATATATCAGTTATATGATTTTTTGTCCCAGGAAAAAATGATGTCAAAGCACGGTTCGTTTCAGGAGGAGCCCATTGCCAGTGGCTCAGTGGGCCAAGTGCACAGAGCACGTCTTCGTGCAGAACACGCCTTGGACGGCCCAGGCTCGGGTTGGAAAATGTTGGAAATTTCATAGGATTTCATGGGATTTCATGGATTTAGTGAGGGATTGATCATGGTGATGTAACCGGTGATTTAAAATGGGTTATTTTTGGGTTCCTTGGCTTCCTTGATGTTTTCCATGTTTTTCCATGTTTTTCCGATACTTCTTTGGTGAAGCTGATCATCCTGAATATCCTTTCCTAGCGGTCCTAGCGCAGGTGGCAACCTGAGGGATGTGGCAGTCAAGATCCAGCATCCAGGGGTCATTGACAGTGCCTTCATGGACCTCAATATCGTGCCTCAGCGCCGAAATCTGGGTGAAATCTGGTGCAGTTGTGAGGAGATCTCTGGCGATGGGGAGGATGGAACTCCTTTTCCCATTGATCTTGGCCTAAAGTTTTTCACCGTCGAAATCGGTGAAATGGACGTTTAATGGCATCAGAGTGCTGAATTAAAATTGACTCCGCACCAACTTGCAGCACAAGGTTTGGAAAGTTGTGGAGTTTTCCGAGAACTTCTTGCACATGACAGTGCCGTTCGACAGGAGTGGTTGTGCATTGCCGTGTCATATCATGAACCAGGCATGGTGGGTCAATTTCCACAATTTCACGAGCTCTATCCTCACTCTATTCCATTCCAATTCTTTGATTGCCTAACTTCCCCATGCTATCCATATATATCCATATATTCTATTTATTCTATATTCATATTTTTTGTATTTCTTTGTAGTGCTCCAAGCGTCTCCACGTTCGAATTTGGGCATGTTTTCTCCATGTCTCCCCAGATCCAGGAGCGACTTCGATGCGGTGATCCAGGCACAGATGGATTTCACGCGCGAAGCCTTCAACCTGCAGCGTTCCTTGGCGCGGCGATGGCCCGAGGGCCCGAGGGCCCGATGGCCGTGTAGCGACGTGAGAAGTGACAGCTTGAAGTGCTAAAATGGAGCATGGCACTTCATACTTCATCCAATTTTGCCAACAAATCATCAAAGGTAAGTTTTCTTATGCAAACGCTTCAATATATTGATTCGCACACCCTTTTTTCAACACAACATTTCTTTAAGTATGATTCCAGGGTTCTTCTGACTTTGCGCTACTCAGCTACTGCAATATCAGATGCGTTCTGTCAGCACTTGGAGCCAAGGATTTGCCAAGAACTTCAAGGGTGAACGTCGTATCCGGTGACTTGTTGGAGATAAATTGGAGATACTGTGCTCAATCAATCAATAATCAATACCATCTGGTTATTTAACATAGCCATGGTATAGATGGCCCATAGAAATAGATGGTTTACCTATTAATAGCATGGTGATTTTCCATGGCTATGTTAGTCATAACCAGATGGTAATCATAAATGAGCAGAATGAGCATGTTGGTTTGGACAGCCACCCAACTTTGCAGTTTCCGGGATGCCGGATGCCTTCCAGGTTTCCGAAAGTCTCTTCGAGATTTGTGACTCCAGAGGTCTTGGTGGAGACATGGGAAAGTGGCGAAATCATCTCCAACATCATGGAGGAGTTGTGTTTTGATTGTTTTGTTCATGGATTTTTTCTCTTCTCATTCTTCGGACATCTTCGGACCATAGGGGTTCATTCCATTTCATCACTATTCGGATCTATTCGGGTTGTGCTCTGGATGCTCTTCCTATGTTTTCCATCTCTACTGCGGCCAGAAACTCAGTTCCAGAGGACTTCGACAATGCGAAGGCCAAGTGTCAAGAAGCCGTAACGGCTCTGGAGGAAAAGAAGCGAACAGTACAAGGTGCACAGTGTTGGGCGGGATTCCAACTGATTCAAGGATAGGCATCTGATGTTGCCACTGGGGGCTAGATGAATCTTGTCATTCAAGTGATTCTAATATATTCTAATATAGTCAGAATCCCTTCGACCTGGGTCATTGTAGGTGACCAGTAGCTCAGGGTAGGTGTTGGATTCGGCTTGGTCTGACCATGTCTGACTCCTGAGATCCGGATGAGCTTGATCTTTTTGAGGCAAGCTCTCCAAGATTCTCTACGACATGAGCATGAAGATGATGGTGCGAGACAACTTCGTGCATGGCGACCTGCACGGGGGCAACATTTTGTATTCCATGTCCGACGACCATGTTACGGTGCTGGATTGTGGCATTGCCACATCTTTGGACAAGAGGACTTTCGCTCCCTTCGGTACCGAGCTCAGGGCATTGACTTTGGTCACCTTGGTCTAACTTGGCTGAGGTCGTCGATTCGTTGATGATTGAATGATGGAGATGGATGGAGATGGATGGAGATGGATGGAGATGGATGGATATGGATGGATATGGATGGATATGGATGGATATGGATGGATATGGCAAAATCACCGGGACCAAATACAAACAAATGGAACCCACGATATCTTCCAGACCTGTTGTAAATTTGCAAATTTCACATCCGTCCGCACCTGAGGTGTTTTCCTGCACGCGCTCTGTTCGGGTCAAACTGATACAGTGGTGGAGTACCTCCAACGCTTCAACGAAGCGAACTTGGACGCCTGATTTTTATAAGAACGGGTACCGTAGTTGCAGATTTTAAGGTATACCGGATACCGTGGTTTATCAGTTTATCAATGTCTTTGACAAAACCATATTAATCCCACCACCCCCCTGATATTAAACAGCTCCTCAGAAACCTAAGTATGGAACATATTTAAGACACCATGGAATGGGGGTGTGATGAACGGGGCATGGGATTCGTTGCCAAAACTCTCTTTCCATACCCCGGTGGTTTTGGCATTGTTCAATTCCTATGCCAAGGTGGTCAATACCAAACAGTTGAAGTCCGACATTCAAGCGACCATGGACAAGCCACTTGACAGCCGACGTAGCCATCGGAAGCAGCAGATTTGAACACGCAAAAGCAGCAGTGAAGAAAATCAATCTCGGAATAGCTGGGTGTTCCACTTCGCATCCAATCACAGGGTATTTACCCTCTGGTTATTTAACATAGCCATGGTATAGATGGCCCATAGAAATAGATGGTTTACCTATTAATAGCATGGTGATTTTCCATGGCTATGTTAGTCATAACCAGATGGTAATTGAATGATTTTTCGGCCGGAAGCTGAACCCCCGGATGATGTTCAGTCCCGCTTGGTTCATGTGAAAACTGGAAGGAAACGCCCAGTGATCAAATGGTAATCAGTGAGTCAACTTTCACTTCATAAAATTTCATAAACATCATTTTCGCCATTCATTTCCGGTCGCTTTTCTCATCATTTCCGAGCTCTACTGCAAGGTACATGGGCCCCTTCCGCATGAATCCTCAGGGCCCGCTGAACGCAGCGGATATGTTTGGGGAGGTGATGTTCACCCTGCAGTAGCTGGGCTGATGGAAGTGGAAAATCCAACCAGAGGCTATGGATGTAGTTTTTTTTTTTAAACGATAAAAACACGACTTTAGTAATGAAATGATATTGACTGTGGGGTGATATTGGAGTTTTTTGCTTGGGCTAAAGTTTGATATCACTCCACATCGTTTGGTTGGGGTGATATTTGATATTAAATTATATGACATGTGGTGTGATATTTGGGGCTAAAGTTTTAAGTGCTTCAGTTGCTCCACTTTGGATCTGTCTGCTTTTGAAAATCAAGTTTCCAAGTGCTGGGTCAGACATTATTCAAACTGGCACAGCCCTGGAAAGAATCAATAATCGATCGTCACTAGTAGCCATATTTTTTTTCAATCAATCATTGGCCATAGTTTTTCGCATCAAAAAACATCACTAATATCATCATTGCAACGAAAAACAGACTCTTTTCGGATTCGATTGCCGAGGCGCCACGGGATGTTGCTGAAAGGTGACGTGGCCTCCACCCTCTTCACCATTTCCATCAGCGAGGGCTTGGTGCGGCAGCTGGATCCATCCTTCGATGTGGCGGAGCAAGCCTTGCCGTACATCACCAAGTACATGGGCAGTGGCAAAAAGGTCTCGTCCTGACCCCGGTCACCCCGCTTGGATGGAGATTAGATGAGATCAACGATGATCACATTTGATCAGATTTGATGAAATTAAGATGAACTCAAAGATGATCAAAAGATAAACCCTCCGAAAAGCCAGGAAAACAGCCAGGGGCCGGTTGAGCCACCTGGTTGACGCTTGTTGGCCAACATTTGGTTGGTCAGTTTCATCGCCTTGCCCCCCAGCCTGCGGTATTTCTGGGCAGCCCAGAGTTACAGAGCAGGTTGGTTAGGACATGTGGCGCAACGTCGAAAAACAGGAGCTTGGTGCACTTCGAAAGGTGGCAGATTGGTGAGATCTTAAAGTTGTTTGACATTTGGGCGGATTTCAATCCGGGCCCATCTTGAAATGTTTGACCCCCTTGAACTTGGATCTTGAAACATTGCTTGTTGGTTTCAGCCACCAGTTGAGCATTGGTGGTTACTTTCATCATTTTGGTTCACTGATTGATATCCCTATTCAACCTCATTTTGGTTGGCCATTCTCTATATCACTGCGTTGGTTTCCAAGTTTTGGGGAAAGTTTATTGGAAGCATTAGCCAAAAAAACATCAACCTAAGGGGTTTTTAAGGCTGAAGTCGCCCTTTTCCCATGAGTTCCGGAAAAATCGATTGACTAACCGGGTGAAGCATTCACCTTCCAAAAACCCTTCCCATTGATCAGTGGATGGATGGTATACCGAGGTATGAAGACCTACTTTTCCCGACCAGAGTCGCTGCCAGAACTGCGCAGGTTGGAAATCTCGTGGCCTTAAAACTCCAGAAATTTTGAGATTTCTAGAGGGATTTTCCAGAAAAGAGAGGGAAACCTCCGATTTTTTGGGGATGTGGTCCATGATTGGATTTCCATGTTTTCCCATTCTTGACTTGGTGTGAGATGATTGGTACCTTTCCAGCACTGAGTCACCGCAGTTTTGGTTCTCAAGAGTTGAGTGTGTCGCGCGGGCCCCATGGCTGCAACCTGGCTTTTTTCAGGAAAATTTGCAGAGAAGCCCATGAGATGCTGCTGGTGTCAGATTCTTATCCAAAATTGTTGATCCAGATTCCTTTCCACAAATGGAATGATGATTTGATGATCAGAAACGGACTCATCAATTTATATCTCTTTCTCGAGTTTTCTGGGTGAACTGCAACGCCAAAAGCTGTGGCTTCTCCCATCCATTTCTCCCTGCAATTCACTGCGCAATGTCACTGAGGCAGCTGTGCGCTGGAGCCTTCTCGTATTCTTGAGTGCCCTCGCTTTGCGGTTTCATCTCGTTTTCAGGTTTTTCTCTGTAGGTATGACGGTGTGAATAAATGAAAGGAACAACTAGATAGAACAAATGAATACGAATGAAGATATGCATGTCCACTGGGTTTTTTGTGATTCGCAACCTTTGGAATCTCACATGCTGAAACGCAATTTTCGTTGATTTTTCCGGGGTGCAGATGGCAAAACCGATGCCCCCCCACCGAGGTTTGCTTTTGAGCAGCCTCCTGGATCTGGGCTACTCCAGCGACGAGGTGTTATGCGTTGACATGCGTTGACTCAATGGCGATATCCCAGCGAAGCATCATGAAGCATTGGTATTCAGGGGTTATAGCAATGGAATATTATGGAATATGGAATGGAATATGATGGAATCCCAGCCAGCCCTATTGGGGTGCCATGTTTATTTTTGCAACTATCGATCTATCGGTAGCATTCTCCTGTGGTTTACGTCACGTGACATCTTATCAGTGCGTTCACGCCATGCAGGGTAGGGCCGGTAGGGATGCCTTGATTTTTCTTGTCCCTTGTGACAGGCTGACCCAGATGAGGACAAGAAAAATGCTGTCCTGTGGTGAAACCATGGAACAGCTGTGACTTTGCAGGATGACGAGGATGAGGACTTCCCAGAATCAGTGTACACACTGAAAGATGGCATCCCGGCAAAGTCTACTCTGATTGCTTTGCGCTTGGAGTCCGGAATGCATTTTTTGTCATCGCGCCATTCGCTTGTCACATCCATTTCGGAATTGAAAAAGATCGAGGCACATTTGATGACTTCCTGAAGGGCCACGAGAGAGCCCTGGTGGAATTCTATGCGCCCCTTCCTGAGGTTTTCCAACGGAGGGCCATTTATTTAGGTTTTTTTTTTTAGTTTAGGGATTTTTTTTTGGATTTCTTCCTGCTTACTCTATTGCCTCCTGCAGTGCTTCTCTGCTTCTTTGCTTCTATTCCTTTTTTTGCTTTTCTTGCTTTTCTTTGCTTTTTTGCTTTTCTTGCTTTTCTTTGCTTTTTTGCTTTTTTGCTTTCCTTGCTTTTCTTTGCTTTTTTGCTTTTCTCGCTTTTCTGCTTTTCTTTGCTTTTTTGCTTTTCTTGCTTTTCTTTGCTTTTTTGCTTTTTTGCTTTTCTTTGCTTTTTTGCTTTTCCATGAGGTGTGGAGCAACATCAACAACAACACCAACACCACCACCAACAACAACAACAACAACAAGAACACCAACAACACCAACACAAACACCAACACCAACACCAACACCAACACCAACAACAACAACAACAACAACAACGACAACGACAACGACAACGACAACAACAACAACAGCAATAACAACACTATCAACACAAACACAACCGCCAGCAACAACACCACCACCACCACCACCAACAACAACAACACCAGCAACAACAACAACACCACCACCACCAACAACAACAGCAACAACAACAACACTAACACAACACTAACAACACTAACAACACTAACAACACTAACAACACTAACACTAGCAACACTAACAACACTAACGGTAACAACAACAACACTAACAACAGCAACAACAACAACACCACTAAACAACAACAACAACAAACCAACAACAACAACAACAACAACACAACACAACACAACACAACAACAACAACAACAACAACAACAACAACAACAATACCACCAAACAACAACAACAACGACAACAACAACAACACCAACACCACCACCACCACCACCAACAACAACAACAACACACCACCACCAACAACAACAACAACAACACTACACACAAACACAACACTAACACAACACTAACACAACACTAACAACACTAACAACACTAACAACACTAACAACACTAACAACACTAACATTAACACTAACAACAGCAACAACAACAGCAACCACCACCACCACCACCACAACAACAACACCACCAACAACAACAACACCAACACCAACACCAACAACAGTAACAGTAACAACAAACAACTGTTGGAATGTCAGCCTTCAGCTCCAAAATCCTGCAAGTACTGTGAGGAATGTAGCTGTAAAATGTTGCACATACGGTGGAAATGCAGATTCCAGCTCAAAAATGCTGCAAAGAGCATGGAAAATGGACAGAACATGCTGCAAACTGTTGCAAATACCGTGGAAAATACAATGGAAAATGAGAGGTTCGAACTCAAAACCGTTGCACATACCGTGGAAATGGCAGTTTCCAGCTCCAAAATGCTGCAAATAGCATGGAAAATGGTGAGAACTGGAAATCCAAAAAAAATTCCCCAAACAAAAAAAAAAAATCCCCAAACAATTTCCTACCCATATTCCAACTGGAAATTTCTGCCGAGCTGCTGATCACATCGCAGATCAACGGCCAAGGCCATGGTGTGGACATTGCCAGAAACTGGAGCCAGAATACAACCAGGCAGCAGATGCTCTTCGAGCCTCTGCTTGCAGAACGAGATCAACATTTTTTCTCAAGAGCATCACTTTAAGTGAACAGTTCATTTATATTCATTTATCTTCATCCATTATATTCCATCATCATTTCGTGGATTTTTTCTGGTCGATTTCTGGGAGTTTCCTTCGGCCCAGGAATGGAGGGAGCCAAGACGGTTCTTGCCAAGGCAGTTCAGTCGTTGGGGAGAACATGGAGAGCATCCATGCTAGCATGGGGGAAAATACACATTTCCAGCTAAGATGAGATGTAAAATATGTAAACGTCATCAACCTTCGGAGATTTGTTGAAAATTATTGTGTTTTGGAGGCCATCAGGCATGAAGTTAGCTGTTGTTTTTTTCCTATTTATTTGTTCGTCATATAACTTGTCCACCGCATTCAAAGACTTTCGACAAATGCCTCAAGAACTGTTGGGCGTCGATAGACCCTACAGATTTTTGCCACGTAAATTACTGCAACATCAAAGGCATTGCCGGATGCATTCTGCTTTCCTTTTTATGACCAATCTTTCTTTTTACCAGCATTTGTTTGCAAGACGCTTTAGGCTTTGCCTGCAATGATCTATGTCTATCACCCATTTTCCTGCCATTTGAGGCCCTAATATTTGCTTTCTTGTCTTCCCGTGTTTGCGAGGAATTTCTTTCTTTTCATGGTCCACACTGACATGATGCAGTAATCCAACTCCGGAATGCCATGTAACATAGTTTCATCAAAATAAACTTGCAAATATTTTTTAGCCCATCCCCACCCGTACCGTCGCAGAGCTCTGGCGTCCATCTCTAGCCTAGCATCAAGTGCGTATGGGACCCACCCCTGCTGAGACCCAAGCCCAGAGGGCGTCACCGCAAGAAAACGTGAAAACATGGAATTTGACCAGATACCTGGTGGGGATGTCGATATATATATATATATATATTAATTATAAGATTTCAATGTTTTGCTCATTACCAATTTCAATATCCATCCAAGATTTTCTGTAGCCATGCTGGGTGAATGTAGTGTATGACGCACTGTTGTAAAGGCCCAAAAACTGTAGGATTTTGCAAATTTGGAGGTGGATGCCACTGTGGAGAAAGCTTTAGCCGAGAGGTTCGAGGCCAGGTGGCAAGGGGCATGATGCCAAGTGCCCCCCGCTTCGGGGTCTTCCATTTATGATCTTTTTGCTATCAATCAAGATCAATTCTTTTAAGCACACATTCACCTATATATAGATATATAATTAAATAAATAAATAAATAAATAATTAAATAAATAAATGATTAAATAAATAAATAAATAAATAAAATAAATAAATAAATAAATAAATCAATAAATAAATAAATATAATATATATATATAAATATAATTATATATACCTAATTATACAAGTATATATATGTATATGTATATATATTTTTAAAAACATATGCGCGCATTATTCCTCGAAAAAATCAATGTAGGTTATCATCCCTGTGGTTTCAAGTGGCACCATCCATTCGACCCATCAAGGTGAAGTCCTTCCCTACGCTGAAGTACTTCGCGAGTGGAGGCCATGGATCAACGTGGGTCCTCTTTGATGAGCTCAACATCCCATTTTGGTGTTGGGAAACCGTTGTGGTGAGTTTTTTCCGGTTATATCTATAGCTATAGATGTGTATATATATATACACAATTATATATATATATATGTACAATAATATATATATAACAATTATAACAAACACACACACATATATGTAGATATGTGTAAGATCTCTTGGAAGCCTTCGACAGACTCACCTGCGGCGAAGGTGACCCCATCGAGTATGATGGTCCTCGACAGGCGGATGGCATTGCAGAATGGCTCAGCGACGCCCTTGGAGGGCCCTTGGAGGGCCAGTGGTTGGAACCCAATATGTTTTCCAAAGGCCAAGTGGTCTCCAAATTCCCGGAAAGATGATGAATTTGAAGGTGACCTGGATTTTGAACAGCTCGGATGGAGAAGGCTTGCGAAACAAGCAAGTAGAAGAGACTTTGGAAGCCAATGGGCCGAAGGAGTCACCAAACTCTTCGTTATGTTTGCCAGCTAAGTTCTGAGGAAAGCGTGAGAAGCCGGTGGTGGAAGAGATTGCAAATTCAGAGGTGGATGCATTCATTGAGAAGGGCCTGGGATCTGGTGCTTATGTTCCTTGGCATTTCATCTTGCAAAAGCCTTTTGCCTGCGGCCGCCGCCACGTTGCCGAGGTGGTTGTGGCCCACGTGAAGAAGAAGTCGGCGCGTGCCAAGGTGGGCTGAACGGGGCGTTTGGGGTGTGATTCATTTGGAAGTGGAGCATAGATCTGTGAATTTAAGTCATGAACTCATGACATTTGGAGGGCTGTGAGGGCTAATCCGGTCACGAATCTTCAGGTAGATATTCTTGAAGTTGCAGGCCGATGTGCCTTGCAACCCTTGAATTTCGTTGGTGCTGCATTTCCACATTTGTGAGCCATTCTAGCCATGCCAGCCATCTTTTTGTTGGCCATCTAAGACATTTCTCATGTCGCTTGGTTTTCCCACCTTTTTGGGCTCGAAATCTTCTATCCTTCCAAGACTGGTTGGAAATGGAGCTTTGCCAGGAACAAAACTCGATATTTGATGGGTAAAACCAGGAAAAAACCATGGTTTGGTGATGTTTGGTGGATGTTTCTCACAGAAAAATAAAAAATCCACCCATGGAATCCGAGACAGATGGGAATGAGGCCTTCTTCAAAGCGGCTCAAACCTTCGTGGATTACAAGGCGGACAAGATCAGGCGCCAACGTTGAATTTTTTGGGCCAACCAGACTGGTGAAGGGAAAGTCTCAATATGATCACATCCCAATATGAAACACCAGTAATGCCCCCAAACTTGTTGTGGAAGGGAATTCCAACTTTTTTTTTGCCAATCTTTTGCAACCTGTAGGGGTGTGTGCTATGTTTTTCTTTCGCAATTAAACTATACTCTCTGCGTTCGTGTGCGTACTTAACCAGCCCCAGGTCGCTCAAAACCGATTGGGCTAACACCTTTATCTTGAGGGGTTATACAAACCTGGGCACTGAAATGCAATAGCCTAAGTTGGGGGAAATGGGGGTACCCCAAATCGTCCAATTTCATAGGATGTTCCATTATGAGTCATCTATTTTGTGGTCCTTCATTTGTGGAAACCCTCATATGGTTTGTCATGTGGTATTCTACCCAATTCGCGAGCATTTTTTGCTACCATGAGGCTTTCAACAAGTGACTGGAATGTGGTACCACGGTTGTTAACAAAGCCATGTTATTCCACTTATTCCACATTTCATGATGAACGATCAGTGGTTCCCCCAAACTTTGATGTAAAGCAGCCGGCTCTTGAAGGTTTGCTGCGGTGTGGCTTGAAAAATCTGCAGATCCCAAGAAGGATGCGCTGATGGCCATGTCATGTTGAAAGCTAAGCCAGAACTTGCATGACCTTGGCATATCTTGGCATATCTTGGCATATATTGGCATATCTTGGCATATGAAAATCTAAGGTTTCGGACGGTTTCTGAACACATGGGACGGTCACTGGCTGTTTCGAGGTCCAGATGTGAGCGATTTGGATCCCAAGAAGTTCGTGACTTGCTGGACTTTATTTGCAGGGAGAGAAGCGTCAAGCTTTAGCGATTACCATCCAACAAGTGGCCAGCCGGCAACTGCGCGAAGTCCCAATGGCCCTAAGGACTTCAGTGGTTCATGGACTGATGGTGCCATTCAGAAGTGGGTGGTGCAACTTGTCTGAATGGACGGCCAAAAATGGTGTTGGACATGTTGGATTCGTGGACCCCGTGGACCCCGTGGACCGTGTCCAGGTCGGGCACCTATCCGACCATCGGCCAGGGCTTCAAGGTGGAGAAGTACGGCGCTGAGGCCGTGCGGGACGTTGGCGCCAAAGGCGCGGGGCGGATCCCAGGTGGAGGGATTCACCAAGCATCCCATCATATCCCAAGATTCAACACCCATTCAGAAAGGTCCCAGATATATATGGTTTCATATGATTTTCATATGATTTTCATATGATTTTCATATGGTTTCACCTGAAAAAGCCATGGTTTCTGAGGGTTTTTCCATACTGGGATGGGAGGATTCAACCAGGCGCTGTGGTGGGCATCTATGAGAATGATGAAGCTGCTAAGACCGTCACTGAGCTCTTCACAAAGGCCGTCGAGCTTGGGGGGAGACACACCTACAGATGGGTCAGATTTAGTATGGTGCAATCATTGAATCATGCATGATTGATTTTTTTTGGGGGGTACATCAGTCATGTCATATTATAAAATGCCAGTGTTTTGGTTCTCGTTTTTCTTCTCACCAGAGTGGTTATGTAAGTGACAGGTAGCTCCAAAAGAGAAGCCACTTGGTAGCAGAGAAGCATGCAGATGGCAGCACTTCAGGGTAGACTTTCCAACTCTAACTGGCTTCCAATCTTGGGAAAAATGGAAAAACTGAACCGTGGTTTCCCTTTCTGCATGGAACAAATCTGGCGATTCAGACTGAAATCCGTGCTCGGCATCCCATTTTCCGCTTTTACCTCCATATGTGATGACATCCCATTCAATTCCAACCTTTCCAAGACCAACATCACAGCAAAAAGGGTCTGAAGTGGCCATGATTTTTCTGTGGAAATCCTGGATTTTCATCATTTTTCATTCATGTTCATTGTTCATCATGAAAAAATTGTGAATGCCTAAGATCAACAGAATCCTCTGGGTCAGTGGCCTCTATGCTGACTGCACCCAGGGACTGGCGCTTCACCGCCGTCCTTCGGTCCTCCTTGGAGACACCCGACGTCCTGGGCGTGCGCGGAGAAGTCTCGGCGCAGATTACGGTGCTGCACGGCGAGAAGAAGTACGTCCTGAAGGAGGGAGGGAGCTGGTTCTGGAGCTGGTTGCTGGAAGATCTATGAAAATTGATGGGGCAATTTTTGACGCTTTGGCTTATTTTTGACTAATTACCATGGTTTACACTTTTGACTAGGGGATGAAAACATATATTTGGGACCATATCGGTGGTGTTCAATGTTAGGATGGAATTAGTAGAGCTGGATCTTTAACCCCCAAAAACCATATCAACATCTTAAACAGATCTAAACAGTTACTGTATTTTGGAGTGACTTTTCCTGGAGGTTTGGAGGTTTGAAGCGAATGGTACTTTTCCTGAGCGGACTTGCCGCATCCGGAAGCAATGGTGGTTGTAGGCCATGCTTACAGTAGTGGATGACACCAGCCGAAGTTAAGAGACTTGGTACTGCCCCATTTCTTCACCCAAAATCAACAGGTCCATGTCTTCAACCAAGGCTTTGGAGGGATTCATAGGACATCTAACCCCGGCAAAAATATAGATAACAAACATATAGATCACATACGACAATATCAAGGATGAACAATATTGGGGGTATTCAACTGGGATGTTTCCGCACCCCTGAAGCTGTCAGGAGGGCTTGAGCGAAGAGGCTGATTGACGCAGCCTTGCATGTGGTGTCATGCCATTGAGGGATCTATCCAAACGAGGGGCCGGAATATTAAGAGTCTACTGTATCTATTAACGAATCTACTACCTCTCTGTTTCTATACATATCATACTTCTGTACAGGTATATAGAGTATACAAATACGCTTAAGGGGATTTTCCCTAAAACAGAAGAAGATGCACTGGCAGACTTGTCCGAGAATACGCCCCTGTAGGTGGCCCCTCTATTGGAGGATGTCCCTCACGGCACAGGCCCTGAAAAAACTCCTTGCAGACATCCTGGCCAAGAAAGCCAAGCCGCCCCTTGGACTTGGACTTGCCCCGGGATCTTTGCAGATGGTGAGCTATTGGGTTATACACCCCTCAATCACCCTCAATCACCCTCAATCACCCTCAATCACCTGTTTTTTTTAAGGGGAAGCCCTGAGAACTTGAAAACTACCATAGATTTGCACCGCAGGTGGCATTGGATCATGTTGTTTTGGCTTTACAAAAGAAGAACTTAAGAAGAACCCGGTGAATTCCTACTATTCGAAGCTTTGGAAGGGCAACGGCATGCAACGGCTGAGGCACTACAAGAGTGCTGCTGCCCCACAAGCTACAGAGGATGGCGTCACGATCTTGACAGGTGCTCAACTGCAACTGGGCTGAGCCATGAACTCCGCATCTGAGCGGATCGCCGGATCGCCAGGTGATACCTTTGAGCAGATTGCCATGGATTCCAAGAAAGATGTTTTCGCCACCTAGCTGCAGTGGGGTGGAGCTGTGAGGATTATGCAGATGCCTTCAGTGACATGGAAGATTTGACATTCAGATTTCAAGCTGAATAAGCTGAACATTTGGAACTTCATGGGACAATCTTAGCAGACCAAATGCGAAACCACTCCAATCATTTTCTTTGCACAAGATATATATATATATATTATATATATTTTTTCTTTTTTTAAAACACATTTTCCCCTAACCTTGAAACGCTTTGACGCAATGGTGTTTCCCCATGGTGGTTGGACGTCAGGTGGAGTTTTACGCCCCTTGGTGCGGGCACTGCCAGAAGCTGGCGCCCGTCTGGAGCGAGTTGGCGAAGAAGGTGCCGTGGCAACTGGCGCCGGTTTTGATTAAGATATGCAGACTGCTTGTTTGGATTTAAATCTATTTGGATATATTATATATGATGATATATATATATATACACGTATAACATGTATTTTTATGGATTTATGACAGCTGGAAGGTGAAACATGCATGAAATGATGAGAGAACCATCAGCTGCATCAGCACAGAGTTGACATGAGTTTACCGCATGTCTCATTTGTTTGGGTGTTGCCTTTTGGAGATAGATCTGACAGGTGGAGAAGCAAGGCTTTGCAGCTCGACTTAGAACTGGAATCCTTTCAGTTCTACTTTTTGATGTGGGAGTTTAATGGTTGATTATGGTTGATCATGGTTTGGGATGGTTTATGGTTCTGGTTTGGGACATTTGGGACGGGCTATGATGGGCTCTGGAATCCTAAGGATCCCCGAAAAAAGGTTAGTGGGAGCCTCATGTGGCCCACCTTTTCCTTGGGCCCCTTGGGTCAACCAATCGGATCTTCGGCTTGAGGCCAAGAAGGGCGTTGTGGTGGCCAAGATGGATGTCACGGTCACCTGATTGATGAAAAGATATGGAAAGATCACAGATGAACATGGGAAAAAGGGGAGAAGCCAAAGATGTTCAAAGATTTTCGAATGATGGTTGAAGTTTGAAACTGGCAGGAAAATGAATGTGAGGAGCAGATCACCGGCTTCTTGGCTCGAAATGGATGTTTCTGAAACATTCTGAAACGGTGTTCCCGAACGGTGGTGGCTCGGCTCAGGTTATCCCAGCCTAATTCTGCACCCCGCAGTGAAGAAGGAGAAGAAGTCCTTGCCTCGGGGATGGAGGGACGGCCGACAGCCGATGATTTTTGATGATTTTTGGTACCAAGGATGAGACAGAAGCTGATCTATGGAGGTCAGCGGGAGTTCGATCCTCTGATGGATTTTGTGGTCAGGACCTCAGTGTGGTCCCAAAGTTTTGGAGATTTTCCATGATTTTCCAACCATGAATGGCCATGGCCCAGATATTTCACTCTGTGTCACTATGTTTCACTGGGATTTCTCATGAAATTCTGCGAGGTGGAAAATTCTGTGAACCTCGAAGATGTGGAGATGGCGGATTCTGTGGGAAAGCAGGCCTCTTTGGCTGGGAGCCTCGGGCCTCAAACCGCTCTGAAATTCTGCTGTTACGTAGAACCTCCATGGGAACTTTGTTGCACCTGAGGTGGACAGAGAACGAAAGAAGAAAAAGAAGGACTGAAAGAAAATCACAAGGGAAGATCAAGTTGTTTGAAAAGTTGAAGAGACCATTTGACAATCTCATTGCTGCAAATTTTAGGTGTTCAAAATGTTCAAACTGGCCATTTTTGAGCTTACCAATCCAATCTCAGCTATTTGAGGAGCTGTGATCAAAGAATTCAGCAGTGCCCCAGCCTCTGGTGGGGTTTTCATGTCTCGTTTGGGCTTCGATGATATTGTATTCCAAACAGATATTGCTGAGTTCCAGATCTTTTCCATTCTTCACATTGGATTCCTTTTTTTGGTCTTAGAAAAACATGCCATTCCAATTTTTAATGATTAAACATCCGCCTTCTGATTGTTATTCCATTGTCCCATCAAGCCTCCAACCCCCCCCCGAGGGACTTTCAGCGCGATGTGGGTCTGCGAATTACGGCTGGGTCGCGAAGGAGCTCCCTACAGAGAGGAGCTCACTGCACTTGGCATTGGCCAGAAAAACTGCGACCCGGGGTGAAAAATGTGCTGCGATGACATCCCTTGTTGATGGAACCTAGCTGAAAAAATATTCATGTGATATCTTGAATAGGTAAAATTCCATTTCCGGAGTTTTCTGAAGCGTTGATCATTCGGAACCTGCATGGTTTGGAAAAAGTCGTGGTGCTTGTTCTATTTTTCTTGGTGTCTGAGTCACGTGGTGCAGGTTCTACGCTTTGGCCTCAGTGACCGGTGAGTTTCCATCTTCATATCTTCATATATCTTCAATCCTTGGATGTCTTCAGTCGTTGGCTTGTTGCAAGGGAACATCAACAGGAAAACCAATCTACCCACCCAACATAGGAGTTTCCTCCGTCAATTTCCCCAATCCAAACCAGATCTGGGATTTTTCCCAAACCTTGAGCCGAACCTTGCGAAGCCTAGGCCATTCACCGTGGATTCCGGGCCCAAAAGCGAAAGATGAAAGCGCCGCGACCCCAGCCCGAGCCGTCTCTGCCGTCTCTGCCGGCCCCGCCAGCTGCCCCGGTGCCGAGGCCGCAGCCCAAGTTTCCCAGCCCGGTGCTGTCAGAGGAAAGCCGGCAGTGGGGAGCTCGAAACTTCGGCGATACGGCATGGGTGAGCTCTTGAAACCCACTGCAGGATGATGTGGGAATGTGTGGGAATGGGGGTGTCATCGATAGCATAGTCCTTGGAAAATGGAATTGGCCATGCAAAACATGAACTTTTCACCATTTTACATTGAAGATGGACACTTCTCTTCCTGCCATCTTCGCATGGTTCTGTTCCAAGGTTTAAGTCGCAGCCGGGTTGGGAAAGACATCAGCGACTCGCGCCCAATGTGCAGGGAGAGGCCTGTTGGTCAACTGTTGGTCAACATTGGTCAACTCGTTACTACCAAGCCTGTGAATGGCCACAGTTATAACAGATTTCATCAGATTTCACCAGTTGGAGAAATCCTCAAATAGATAGAAACATTGAACACCTGGAAATTACCGTGGGAATATCATGTCTCTAACATCCTGGAAACACTTTTCAATGTTTTTGGGGATTGCTATTTTTTGAGCTTAGGGAATCAAAAACATTCAAAAACTATTAGGACTTAGGGCTATATATTTTTCCATCTTTTTCCCTAAGATTTCCTGAGGATAATTTGAAGTTAGCAACTGCTCCCATGTAGGGATGGTCGGATGGTCCAAGGGGATCATCCATGGTCATCTTCGTCACTGGTCATCACACTTATCATAGTCGAACCAAGGAATTTGATGATATTTGATGGTAATCTAAAACCCATGGTTTGATGATATTTGATGGTAAAAAACATCTAAAACCCAATCAAAACCCATGGTTTCCGGTGGATTCTCCCAATCAAAACCCATGGTTTCCGGCAGATTTTCCCCTGCCAATCCAGCTGCCCCTACTGCCCCTGCCGGTAGATGGCGGAGTGAAAACAGCTGACACCCCGAAGGAAGCAGGTGCAGGGACCGGTGCAGGCTCTTCTAATTCTACCACTTCAATGGGTTATATAAATATATAATAGAAGTTCTATAGAAGTTCTATAGATGTACATAGCCCACTTATAACATTTTATAACTATACATAAACTCTACACTAACAATCATTGACATTCATTGACTACATTTAACTACCATCACTATGATTGGAGGAGTTCGCCCAGTCCCAGGCTCGAGACGTTGGTACTCTACTCCTTCGGGCTTGCCCGCCTTGTTTGAGTTTACCATGGCTATGAGTCCTTACTTAATGGTGGATGATTGGACCCTCGAACCATTAAAATCCGTGTTTTTTTTTAAAGGAAAATCATGGAAGGTTTGGGGTTCTATCAGTGGACATCGGCTTTCGCTTCTTTCAAGTTCTTTGCGCGTCTCTTGTTGATGAAACTGATGAATCAATGGTATGAATGAAGCGAGCCACGAACCAACCGCAGCAGCCCCAAAAACGTTTCCTCATCATTTTCTACCGAAAAAACCAGGGGTTTGTGATGAAACTTGAAACCAACAATTTTTTTTGCCGGTTTCTCGGGCTGGTGGCCAGGTGCCGCTACCACCAGCGCCACACTTGGTCCACGGCCGGGGCGCAGATGAGCTGAAATCACAAGCGTCTCACCAGGTTCAGAGCTGCTAAGCAGCCTAGATGTCCCAAAAAATGAGGGAATCAATGGGGAGATTGGTTGACTAGTTTATGTTTCTTATGATTATCTGGTTGGTGGTTTGGAACCATGGAATATTATGACTTTCCATATATATATATTTATGGGAATGTCATCATCCCAACTGACTTTCATATTTCAGAGGGGTTGAAACCACCAACCAGTTATTGTATGTTTACTATTGTGATTATGACGATGATTGTGATCATTATGATTATTCTGACAGTAGGATTATCATGACTAGTACTGCGATTATGACGAGAATTACTGCAATCATTATGATCATTATCATCATTATTATTTGAGATGATGGACATTTTGTTCCAACAAATTCCCCACTACCCGAAACATAGACCATCACATGATATAAACAGACTGAGTTGTGAGCTTTTGGTTGTTGGGGGCTATCCCACTTTTTGGGACAGCCGTGTGGGAGTCGTTTTCGCCCAGAAAAATGGCACTGCAGAGAGACTTGGCTAATGGTGTGTGAAGTCATTTCTTGGGATGGCTAAAAAACCTTACCTGTTTCTGGTAAGATGGTAAGATTTTTGGATGCCTTCTTATTAGGATTACATGAGAATCCATTAAGATTATTGGAAATTCCATATGATGGATGTAAGGATTCCATGTAATACTGGATATGGATTTTTGGATGCTTTCATATTATCCAGTTATTTTCCAGTCTTTCTCATTGGATTACATGGGAATCGGTGATTTCCGTATTTTGGCTGAGGCATCAGCAGATTTCTGCATCCTCTGCAGCTATTTCCCCTTAAAAAGCTGTAGCTCCAGACGAGTTGTCTCTGGGGTTAAAGTTGAAGTAGTTGGCGCTATGACCTCCCCATCCAACAAGAGTGAAATGCCTGGCACAGTGCGAGTGGACTGGAATGACACTTGGATCTGGTTACATGTGCCATATGTTATGTATCCATATGTCCGTTTGATGGGTATATTATACCGTGTTTCTCAAAGTTGATGCCTCTGGATGTCCCATCCAAGAACATCATTTTTCTTGTTGGGCAAGAATGGAACATCACTCTCCAACTAATTCAACTAATTTCCAACTTTTCCGTTTTCTTTTTTGGACATAAGGCTTTCATGATGTCATTGGCAGGTATGGCAGCAAAAATTTTCCAGGCTTCCCCAGCCCTTAGGACGTGGACTTGGTGGCCAAGATGAAGAAGAAAGGGGGCATCGAGGCCGCGGGGTTGTCAGCCTATCTTTCCATATCCATGATGCATATCCATAATTATCACAAGTTGTGCCTTTTTTTAGAACAATAAAAATATATATATATATAAGTATTTAAATCTAAACACACACACACATATATATAAATAGATAAATCAATATAAATACATGAATAAGTAGATATGTATATATATATGCACATATATATTTACACATTGCTATAATACATATATACACATATATCTCCTGCCGGGCAATCTATCCATCCATATCTATCTATTTCTACATCTACATGGCCATGGCTGGTCACCAGGAGAAGCAGATTCTGACGAAGGTCAGCGGTTTCGCCGTGCCTGGCGAGCTGCTGGCCATCATGGGTCCATCGGGCGACTCTTGGCACAGACCCTCTGAAATTTCAAGGGATTAGAACGGATATATCATGAGAATATCTATTGAGATAATATCTATTGATTATATCTACATATTTATAATATCTATTGATGATATCGATAGATTATATCTATAGACAATATCCATAGATGTTGTTCGATCATATCATGACAACATCTATAGGCTATAGGTATGTTTTTTCTCCAATTTTCGGGTTCACGGATATTTTTTTTGGGGTTTCTTCAAAGTGCTGGATCCCCAAAATGGGTTTCGATACTAAAATGGTCTAATTTGGATGATCTGGGGGTACCACCATATTCGGAAACCTCCATATCATGATATATCTGTATACATAACTAACAGTAAAAAAAAGGCCAACAAACAAGACTGGTGATCACCAAGATCTCAACATATGTTGGATGTAATGAATGTCATGGTTTAGAAAACAACCATAAAAAGTGATCATTTAGATATTTTTGTGGTTTTTGTAGTTTATTGATTTTGTTTGCCCGGTTACAACTGCATCTTGGGGTGAAAAGGGCTGGTGTGAACAGGTACAGGCTCAATGTCAAGAAATATCTGCAAACACTGGCACCAAATATCGCAGAGGTTGGAAATCAGTGCTCTGTGGGTCTGAGGCAGGGAAAACATCCCTGTTGAATGTCTTAGCAGTTCGCACTGCTCCGACTTCGGGCGAACTCAGCTTCAATGCGACACTTGGCTGCGGTGGCTGGACCTGCTGGCGAGCTTAGGGATGTGTGGTGACCGTGGTGCTGAGGTCGCAATATTCGAAATCTTTGCAGGGAAGAGTAGCTTATGTGCACCAACAGGCCACTTGGCTGCTTGCAATTCTTCAAAGTGTTGGACCAATTTGCCAAGTGGACAATGAGGTTTTAGATTTCCCCAGCTCAACATCTGGATTTGATCACAGGTCGCAATATGTCGCAATACCCTCTGGTAAACTAACAGTTTGCTATTGAAAATGGCCATTTATAGGTAAACCAACATAGCTATTGAAAATGGCCCAGTCGAAATAGTGGATTTTCCCATTAAACATGGTGATTTTCCATAGTTTTGTGAAAGTTTACCAATGGATAACTGTGGTAAAATTGTCATCCGAGGAAATGCTTCTGGAGGCTTACACGCCGCGGGAACATTTGCTGTTCCAAAGCACGCTGCGTATGCCCCGGGACGTCACCAAAGCGCAGCGGGAACAACGTGTGGACGCCTGTATCAAGATGTTTCTTGGCCCAGTGGAAGCCATGGGTTGGAAGGTGGAGATCCCAACATGTCTCAACTCCCGACATTGGACCAGGGCAAAACTGGTGGAATGATTTGGGTATGGATCAATACCTATAGATACATTTTTAGTGGGATGAACATCCATTTACCAGCTATTTTTGGGGTTCACTAGGTACCAGGGTTTTGACCCATCCCCAACTGGTGGAATGATTTCTGATTCTGAAATCTGCAGCTTTGCAGATTTGGCGACAAAACCGAGGCTCGGCTTGGAGTTGCTCAGCTGCAAGGCTCTTCGGGAGCCCTTGACTTCGAGGGGAGTTCATGCCGTTTATGACATGGGAAACAGCAAAGCCAGGATGACTCCATTTTTCACAGATCTTTCCACCACATGGTCAGATGGAACATTTTCCACCACATTTTCGTCAGATGGATGGCTTAAGAATTGGATCTGCATTTGCCAAGTTTGCAAGGAAGTGTCAGCACAGCCTCATAGGCTGGAGTTGCAGCGAATGATTGCAGTTCTGGTGCGGCCCCACAAAAACCGTGATCAATCTCGAATTCCATCATCATAACTTGTGGATCTTCCAAAAAACACGAAAAACTATGAAAGGAAAGTGGCCAGACTTAGAGTGGGATGCCATTATTCCAGATACAATCTTCGTTGGCAGATTGAGCAGGCGATGTCTACCATGGCATCTCCAAAAACGAGAAGCGCAGAGTCACCTTTGCCACGGCAGCTGGATGAACATGGCCGTTGTTACAGGGGGATTCCATTGAAATGTGGCCCAACATGGCCCAACGGAGAAGAAACACTGGGGAAGTTCCCAACCCCACTTGACAAATTTCACACCTCGGAGACACCAGCGATTGTTGATGAATTCGGAGGGTGATACCCCAGCCTTTGGTAGCCACTGAGGAGATTCTCACTCAGCCAGCGGTGTTGTATTGTGATGAGCCCACTACTGGTTTGGTATCTCGTCAGCGTTGCGGATTTTGGAGGGGTCCACTGTGACCCAATCCTGCACCAATTGGGAACTAGTTGGATTCCTATGAAATACTGTAAATAGTTGGATCAAAATGGGATAAACCATCTCCCAGCTGGTGCAGGATTTCTTCCATCAGTATGCGTTTCCATTGAGACCATTGAGTGGTTTGGGTTGATGATGTGGAATCCCTGAGATTTTTTCATTATGAAGCGACACCAAATACAACATCAGCCATTGATGACAAACACAAGAAACTGTATGATATAAAACCCAGAAAGGTCAATCGAAATTATCATGAAATTTGTGACATGGATGGATTGTGGATGGATTTTGTTTGCATCTCCATTGTTGTTGATGCCATGGCTTTCATATTTGATCTCCTTCAGATATTTTTCCATATTCGTTTGGATAAAAAAATGGCTCAGGCTCCATCAAAAGTCACCGCCGTGCCAAGGACAGTGTCATGGCCGAGGTGATTGTGAAGTACATGAAGGCTCGGCAGGGGCACAACTTGATGCGTTTCGTGGGAACCCCAACGTGGCGAATTTTGGGAAAATCTCAATTTGAAAGATACCATGGTTATCCGCGGTTATCCGTGGTTATTCGTTGTCGATGATGATTTTGGCGTATTCATCATGGATTTTGATCATATATTTTACTGATTTTTACTGTACATGTTCACATCCTTTCGGTGGCGCTTCATCTCGCGCATGGTCTGCCACTGCTGGCCGTGCTGAAGGCCATTGCAGAAGAAGGGCAGAAGGGGCAGAAGGTGACAGTCATTGCATCCATCCATCAACCTTCCTCCCAGGTGGACGATGGCCGCTGGGTACAGTGGTAAAATCATCCGAAGATTTTCTAACCTGCAGCTGGAATGGATTTCGGATGCTTAAGACCGGTCGGGTTTCAGAATTTGGTCCAATCATGATTTCTAGCATCAGATTTTTCTGTGGGTTTCCGATCCAATCATGACTTTCGGGATGTTGAATTTGGACCTGTACCCTCTAGCCTCAGTTAAGCAGCAACTGATATCTTCTGATTGGATTTCGCTTGAGTTGCCAGTGGCCCAGTCGCAGTGATTTTGCTTCTGCCAGGTGTTTCGGCTCTTTGACCGGCTGCACTTCTTGGTGGATGGCCGAACAGCCTACTTTGGAGCGGTGTCCAAGTTGGAGAGCTACTTCGAGAGCATTGGCTACACCATGCCCGACCACACCATGCCAGCGGACTTTGTCATGAGACTGTGCCTCGGGAGAGGAGACATTTCTGTTGTGTGGATCTTTTCAGATGGTGAACAGCAAGACCCCAACTCAACCAACTCAACCAACTCAAACAACTCAGTCAACTCAAACAACTCAATCAACCCTCTCTCTCTCTCTCTTCTCTCTTCTCTCTTCTCTCTTCTCTTCTCTCTCTCTCTCTCTCTCTCTTGAACTGTCAATGAAACCGAGAACTAGCGCCTAGGGGTAGGGTTTACCCACGTTTACCCCATCAACTCATTCAGTTTGCCACGGCTGACCGGCAGGTGCATCGACCCACGAGACCCTGAAGGGGCGGCCAGCCGACGTGTGGCCATCAGTTCCTGGGACAAAATCCGTGTCCTCCAAAGTTGGGAAGAAATGTCAACGTCAGAAATCTTCAGCTAACTGGAACTGGACTTGGTTGACCTGATATCTTGAGGATATTTAGATGATATGGGCCATATCTTCTTGTGTCCTATTTCTGTGAACTTGGGACCTGGGTTCGGGTTCAACTCTAAGGTGATGCCTGGGACAAGCAGTGGCCCAATGAGGATGCGCGTGCCAATGGAGCGCCCATTGGGATGCTCCCCAAGGTTCGGCAAACTCAGTGGGGATGGGCGATACCATCCCATGTCAGCCCTGTGTTAGTCGCTGAAGCACCTTTTGTTCGAGGACAAGTCGGAAGTTTTCGACAGCGACCGCCAGACCAACTGGTGCATGCAGCTGGTTCACCTAACAAAACGTGAGGCCCGAGGGGATGGATTTTGGAGGGGAATGAATGAAGCAAAAAACAATTCTCTTGAAAGCATGGCATGGATCAAACTCGTGCTGCAAAATTGCACGTCCAATCCCATCGGCAAAAATCGGCAAACATATGCCAAAACCCAGATCCCGCACTTTTTTCCTGCCCGGTTGTGATTTTTCTGCCAGCCACCCCATTGGTGACACTGCTGGACAGGTCATCATGAAGGTCCGTTCGAAGGCGGATCTGCGCTCAGCCTTGCTGCGGACCCTGGTGCTGGGAGTTCTCTTTGGACTGACCTTCCTGCAGCTGGAGAAGAGACAAAGTGAAGCTCGGCAGTCTGAAGGGTTTCAGTATATAACAGTTGTATATCCATGTATAATCCATGTATATCCTATATTTAGTGTTTCACTTAAAGATTCTTAAACATACATGGAAACATGGGTTTCCATCATAGAAAACTGTTTGTTTCGGTGGATCGGCTCCTTGAACAAAACCTACACGAAGAATCGCAGCCTTTTTGTATAAACTGCCTGCAGATGCTTTTGTGAATCATGTTTTCTTTCCTTGGCATGGCAATGGGTTTCGTACAGAGCTACTGGCCTACAACCGGCTTTTTTCTTTTTTGTTTTTGCCTGTTTCCTTTTATATATTTTTATATGATTATTGTGACCAAGGTTGTGGTTAAGACTTTTCCCTTTTTTTATATGATTGGTGTGACCGTTTGACAGGGCATTGATTGGGGCTTGATCAGGCGCTGTTCACTATCAACGGATGCCTCTTCTTCACGATGATGATGGGAGTAATGAACATCGCAACTCGCACCAAAGGGTGAACTTGTGAGTTGCATTCTGTCACCACCTGCATACAATTTGTGTTGATCCCTTGGCAAATGGCATGTTCCCAAGAACTAACTCATTCCGTCCCAGAGCTAGAAGCACCTTAATACATTGGATGAATCAAAGATAATGAAAGAATATACCCTCTGGTTATTTAACATAGCCATGGAAAATTGCCCATAGAAATAGATGATTTGCCTATTACTATTAATAGCATGGTGATTTTCCATGGCTATGTTAAAAAACCAGAGGGTAAATCGTCACATTTTTCAGCTGTCCGTTCAGAATGGCCCGCTGCCCAGTGTATGTCTGCAGCGATGGGTATCCCCACGCGTTTGCCCACTCTCATCCGTGAACATCGCAATGGAGCGTATGGAGTGCCGAACTCAGTGGCTGTGACATGGGGGTCATGCCATTTTTATGATATTTCTATCGATTTCCATATGCTTCATATATTTATATATATTTTTGGTGGCTTGAGATGCTGTTTTTCTTGGTGGTGGACGGTTTTTAACATCAATTTTTGTTGGTGACATACGCAGGAAATCAGGCAAAAGAACTGTTCAAGGAGTCCCTAAAATCGGTGAAATGGTGTCTTTTTCAGCTTCCGTTGCCATGAACGGAATCTTGGAAGATCTACTGGAAACCCTTGGTATTTTGTAGAAACAACAATGGGAAGTCCAACATTTTTCTGAAAATGCCATGTTTTTTGGCCATGAAAACTCCAGGTGCCGGCCATGTATCTCAGTAAAGCCTTGGCAGATGCCCCCTTTGACTTCTTAGCAGCTGGGCAGAGATCGGAGTCTTTCTGGGTGAAGCTTTGGGAAGAATTGGGTGCTGACTTATTTGCCAAGAGACTCAACTTTTTATTTTAGACTAGATGATGAGTGGTTGGTGGTGACTGGAACCATGGAATTTTATATGACTTTCCATTCAGTTGGGAATGGAATAATCATCCCAACTGACTTTCACACGTATTTTTCAGAGGGGTAGGTCAACCACCAACCAGGTAAGTCATGATGATTTTTCCAATAAGTTTGATTCCCCCAAAATATCTCAACTGGATAATGAGATGGTTTAAAGATCTTTTTCCAATGGAAAATAATGGAGATGAGATAATATTATTAACCAATATTAATCATATAGGTAATTTATGGGTATTAATAATCATTGACCATATTACTAATATTAACCCACCATAATAATCATTAACCATATATTCATAGTAACCATTAATAATAACCATATATAATAACCATTAATAGTATAGTATATTACCATATTAACCATATATTCATAGGTCAGTGAAATATTACAATTTACCCAGATATATTATTAATAGTAACCATTAATAATAACCATAATACCATTAATAGTATTATTAACCATCTATTAACCATATATTCATAGGTCAGTGAAATATTATAATAGTATAGTATATTACCATATTAACTAATTATATATTAAAACCATATATTAACCATATATTAACCATATATTAACCATATATTACCAACCAATGGTAGGTCCGCTTTTTTTTGGTGCGCTGAGATCGCCCTACTTTGGAGCAGCCTGATGTATTGGATGGTCGGCTTCCGTGACGACTTCGGGCCGCCCCGGCCGCGTTGGACACGTGCAAAACGCGTATGTTTTTCGAGAGTCAACGGGGGCATAACTGGCATAACTACCATGGAAAATCCCTTATAAATGGCGGTTTATAGCTGGGAAAATCATTTATAAATGGACCATTTTCCATAGCTGTGATAAATTGTCAGAGGGTATATATAACTGAATCATAGCTGTTGCAACTTAAGGCATTTCCACTGAAGTATGGTATCACATCAGAATTTTCACCTTATGCTTTTGGAATCTCCACTTTCGATCTGATAGATTTTACTACTTTTTATTGTTTCTTGACTATGACTTGGTGGTCTGCAATTTGCGTTTACAGGCACTACCTGTACTTCTTCGTGGTCGTCTATGCCCTGACGATCGTGGCGACTGGTGTGGGCTACTTGGGTGGCTATACCGCACCCGTTGCCGCCATTGGGATGTTGCTGGGCTCTGGTTGGAATAAGAAGTGCAGGCCACGCATTTGGGCAGTGAAATAGCACATTCACACACACAGACGGACAGAAAGACAGACAGACAGACAGACAGACCGACAGACCGACCGACCGACAGACCGACAGACCGACAGACCGACAGACCGACAGACCGACCGAAGACCGACCGACCGACCGACGGACGGACAGACAGACAGACAGACAGACAGGCCGTGCGGACAGACAGACATACATGTTATATATACATATGCATACATGTTTTATATATACATATACATGAATACATTGTTACATGCAAATACACACATATGCATACATATACATGCATTTACAGACATATGAATATGCATACGTATGCATACGCACCCATACGTACGCATAGTATACATACGTATATAGGTACACATACGTACGTACATACAAACATACACAACTACATATATACATACAAATACACATACACATACACATACACACATACACACACACATACATACATACATACATGCATGCATGCATGCATACATACATACATACATACACACACATACACACACAGATACACACATACACACATAGATGCATGCATGCATGCATACATACATCCATCCATCCATCCATCCATCCATACATACATACATACATATCAATACATACGTATCAATACATGCATATCGATACACACCATACCAATACATACATATCAATACATACGTATCAATACATGCATATCGATACACACCATACCAATACATACATATCAATACATACATATCAATACATACATACCTATACATAAATATCAATACATACAAATCAATACATACATATCAATACGTACATATCAATACATACATATCAATACATACATATCAATACATACATATCAATACATAAATATCAACACATACATATCAATACATACATATCAATACATGCATATATACACATCAATACAAACATATCAATACATACATATCAATACGTACATATCAATACATACATATTAATACATGCATATCCATACATATATACATATATACGTACGTACATACGTACGTACATACATGCATGCATACATACATACATTAATACATTACATATATTACATACATTACATACATAACATACATTTGATACATTACATACATATCATTACATGCGTTACATACATATCATTACATACATTACATACATTACATGCATTACATACATTACATACATTACATACATTACACACATACATACATACATACATACATACATTCCATACATTACATTACATCACTTTGCATTGCATTGCATAGCATTACATTACATACATACATATACATACATAAACATACATCGACATACATCTACATACATCTACGTACATCTACATACATCTACATACTACATACATACTACATACATACACGCACATATACATACATATACATACATATACATACATACATATAAATACATATACATACACGCATATACATATACATACATATACATAGATATACATACATATGCATACATATAGATATATATACATACGTACTAATACATTGACATACCAATACATACTAATACATACTAATACATACTAATACATACTAATACATACTAATACATACTAATACATACTAATGCATACTAATGCATACTGAGATATAAAAACAAATACATAGTAATACATAGCAATACATAGTAATACATAGTAATACGTACTAATACGTACTAATACGTACTAATACGTGCTAATACGTACTATTACGTACTAATACGTGCTAGTACATACATATGTACGGACGTACGTACATACGTGAATACGTGCATACGTGCATACGTGCATACCTGCATACGTGCATACGTGTGTACGTGCAGCATACGTGCAGCATACGTGCAGCATACGTGCGTACGTAGACTTACGTACCTACATACATACATTGATACATTGATACATTCATCCATCCATGCATGCATGCATAGCAAAGTTATAAGCCATGAGTGTGAGTTAATCGGGAATCAATTTCGCAAGCCATCTTCGCGGGAGTATGATTTCTAGATGTCCAAAACAGTGAAATTATGAGGTTGGTGGTGCTTCTGAACATCATGCCGCAGATGCTCTTTGGTGGTCTTTTCATGAACCTGAATTCGGTGCCTCCTGGATTTATTTGGTTGAAGACTATCTCCATCTTCCGCTTGGGATTTGAGGACCGGGGTTTCAGCGTCGCTTAAAAGATCCAGATGGAAAGAACGCCTGTGTTGCGCCGCCCACCGTTCTTCTTGGATCTTTTGTAGGGTGTTTCACATGCAACATGCAATTGAAAAATGGCGATTTCCAACTGCAACATCATTTTTCCGAAGCCTTTTCCGGATTTTTTCGGTGTCATCCGGTCCCGCCCGCAGTCCCCCATTTTTTTTTCCACATTAGATCTTCTCCAGGCACTCATGATCAACCAGTGGCAAGACTACGGCGTCCTGGATTGCTCCAATGAGCCCGTGTGCGTTGCAGCTGATGGGGAGGCCGTTCTCAGCCGCAATGGCATTGACCCAGCAGCCAGTGCCGCGGCGAAATTCACCCGGCGCCGATCTTGAAAAACGTGGTTTCACTGATGCTCACTGCGTTAGTTACCCTCTGGTAAACTAACATAGCTATTGAAAATTGCCATTTATAGTGGATTTACCCATGAAAAATTGTGATTTTCCATAGTTATGTCTTACCGGAGGGTATTCCCCAAGAAACGCATGGCAAAACTGCGCCTGAACGTCCAGGTTATGCGGGCGCCATTCTGTGGCTGTTGATTCCCTTGTGCATCTCGGCCTTATCTCCGAATGTTGGGCCAAAATCTGAGGTTCGCCGCGGACTTTCAACTTTGTTGGGCCAAGACATTTTCACACTCAAGTGTAGGAATCGGATAGTACAATTTTCATTTCTATATATATATATATTTGATATAATACATGTATGTGTGCAAAAATGCACACAGAAATACATACATATTGTGATTCCATTCAAATCAGCAGAAACCAATGTTTCCCAAGTTCTTCGGCAATGTTCAAGTGGCATAGGTACATGGTACATCTATGTACATCTAACAGTTCTAACAGAATTCAAAAAAATCATGATGATCACCACGACTTGGATTGAAAACCATGGTTTTTTCCATGATTTTCTCAGCAAGACTTGGACGTTTCCGGTGGCAATTCTGAGGTGTTTACCACAGCTTGGCCTTTTTGATTCTCTGGCGCCGTGCCCAGCCGCGGCAATTCGAGGGTGCCGCTCCGGAGGATGACACGAAGGGAGAGCTGCGGCGTCGCTTGGTGGGATGGGATGGGATGGGATCTATGAGTGAAAATTAGGTGGTTGTACTTTATACCCTCTGGTTATGACTAACATAGCGAACTGGAAAATCACCATGCTATTAAGAGGTAAATCATCATAAATCATCTATTTCTATGGGCCATTGCTGCCATCGCAAACTGTTAAATAACCAGAGGATAGATATTTTGGATATATATCCTTTTGGTTTCGGTAAATCAAGATGAAATGTGGATGGTTTCTATTTGGTGTTTCATGGATGATCTTTTTATTCGGAAAATTTGTGCAAGTGGCGCGCCACGGATTTTGGTGGTAGTTTTTGGGGCGTAGATTGCCATACCCATTTTTGAGCAAAGGTATATGTCAATGGATTGGTTTAAGGGAAAATTTACAGGAAATCATAGACTTTCCCAATGGAAGTCCATTGACAACCGGGGCTTGTGCAAATTGAAACCGGGTCTGAACATCAGGGCTCAAGCCCCCCCAGCATCGTTCCAATTTCCCTTTAGCCATGCCTGTTTGGAGAGATGTCTCGAGTGATGAGGAGAACCAGGAGCTATCGTTCGTTCTTGTTCTGAATCATTTTAATATCATATCATACTTAATCAGTTTTTGTGTTGTAGTCACCTTTCCTTTGTCTTGTATAGGAGTTGCGTTTCCTGCACTTGAATGCAGCCCAAAAAACCTATGTCGACTGCTGTGATGAGATTGGAAACAAATTGGGTTTCTTGGCTTCATCATTCCTTTGGCAACCCCTGTGCTCACAATGCTTCTAACCAAACCCAGGTTGGGCTTCCTTTGTCCACCATTGGACTGGCAAATTTGGATATTGCTCAGATTGCTGCTTGGTTGAATCACGTCAAAGCCGCAAAGCAGTGCGATATTTTTCACGTGACCGAATCGTGTCAGTGAGACTGAGGCAGTGGGATGGAAACACCTCTCCTGGCGTTGCTTCACTTGTTCAATTCGAAGCCTGAAGCTGTCTCATATTTGCCCCTTGGCGTTGGAAGTTAAGTTTCAGTTGGCTTGCATGCATGGCAGGCTGTCATACCCACAAATTCAATGTGGTTAGTTTGAACAAGAATCAGGTCCCGAAGTGAGCGCAATGAAGTGGCCCGATGTTTCCTGGACAAAAATTTCCCATCGCCTTTGCAGAAACTCGTCTCTATTCAATACTTTTGAAACTAAAGGGAGCAATGCGATATGTTTGATACCACGATATTCGTCTTTGCAAGATATATGTTGATTACCAACATCCCATGAAAACTCAGGAGCAAATGCGATATGTTTGACAGAGACACCATTTCTCTGAAGCGCAAGGCAAGAGTTTCCAATCACTCATCTCCTTTTCAATCTACGTCACGGGTTTTGCCAAGAAGCTGTTGCAGGTGGCACTGTATGTGGCAGGATTCCCGTGCACACCTTTTTCGGTGCTGCACGGGAATTCCCTGTTGTTAGAAGACCAGGAAGCCCGTCAACTATATGAAACTGTTGAACGTCTGAAGCTTTGCCAGCCATGCGCAACTTGCTAGCACATCAACTCAATAAGTCATTTCAAAATAGATTCTATTCTGACTTGCTGCAATCTCAGGCCGGAATTCTGGAGAATGTCTTGGGTATAAGAAGAGTAATGGATGAGGTCATGACCCTTCTCCTTCGAGCTTTGCCCGAGAAACTCAGCTATGATTAAATTGCAATTTGCATGGGATAACCCACCCCAAACCTGTATGCTGTTAGTTTCACTAAGGTATGAGATTACCACACTCCAGATAGATCCGCTTCTTGGCATGCACCCTGTGTACCATTGAAAGCCACGCAGCAAGCACCTAACCGATGCTTCAGGCCGCAGCTGGGAGCTCCAGTGACCCGAGACAGAGTGTATTTTCTGATGGTTCGCCGAGAACTTCTTCAGAAGACTATCAACTTCAAGGACTTTGTCAGCTGTTCGTATGACAAACTGAAGACTTCAAGCACAGTTTCATGGTAACCTTGTTGCATTCGCTATGTATCATGGTGTGCATGTAAGTGTGTGTGTGTGTGCCATGTGATGTGGATTCTCAGTACGTAGCTGATGCGCCCAAGGCAAGATCTGCTCTTAGACAGGGATCACTGGGTTGTTCAACAAACCCTTCGCTCTGGCGCACCAATTCCTAATGCTAAAAAGCAACTTGGCCAAATTGCATGCATGTTTGTTTTGTGTAGTTTGTGTGTATAGTTTCCAGCATGTGAGCAAAGGCCGAATGGATCTTTCAAGTGGCCGCGCTACCATCGTGAGTGGGCGAAAAAACAAGGGGTGGTATGCTGAGTCTGAGTTTGTTATTTCATTGACACAACAAACCTTAATGTTTCAGACTCTAATCTTTCCAGCTGCAGCCCCAAACCAGGTGAAACTCAAAGCCGCCGCTGGCTGCTTCCAGAAAAAATTTCCTTTGGCGGCACGGCAAGTGGCATGCGCACGCGAACTAGAGGTGCCTTGCTGGGTCTTCCCAACATTTTGTCTATTACTTGTTTTTCTTTGTGAGGCCTTGGACCTCTTGACCTATCATAACGGAGGCAACTTTGCCACTGCGAATACCAGTCAATCAATTGACAGAATGCATTGCACCTCCTGCTCAGCACCTTTGCCTTGCATCACGTCCTAGCCTCAAATCAGCTACCAAAAAACAGTAAGTTATTTTTTCATGCAACTCAGCAACCTAAGGCCGAATGGGAAATATTTGCTAATGGACCAACAAAGGTTCCTGACAGGACCGCTTACACAATGACACATAGTAGACAGTGTGTGTGATTCTTTAGCAACTTCATGAAGTACCGCAAATTCCCTTTGCAGGCTTGGAGGCTATGATGTTTATGGGGATCGATGTTATGCAATTGGACTGGCAAGATTTCTCCAACTCAGCAACCCGTATGCAACTATTCATTATCCATATTCTGAATTCAACCTGCCGTTCAACGCTCTAGCTGCATGCAGCTACTCAGGACTTGCAGCGGCTGGCAGGAAATGGCATGCACATGCGTGCAATCCTGGCAGCCATTGTGATCACACTGATGAGCATGAACCCAAAGAGAATGGTCGAGTACTTGAAGAACTGATCTCACCCCAGAAGATTTAATTTGGTGCCGCTACAGACAGCTGTTAATTTGTCAAATCGATTCTTGCATGGCTTCGCTGCCAAAAAAACAAGAGGTTTGCAGCTGATCCAGTGCCACATGTTTTCATTGCAATCTTTTGGACAACTGAACTTTCACAGTGCTTCCTGCCAAGCTGTGGCTGAATAAAAATGGTAGGCGCTTGGTGTTTTAGTTCAGCAACTTTCATCCAAACTGTTCAAAAACGGTTATATCTCAATTACAAAAAATCAGATTCAGAACCCATGACGCTCTAAGATCAATATTGCATCAGTCTACTCAGTATGATTGCAAAAATCTCAGCCAAACACATCCGGCCTAAAACCTGGGCAATGGGTGTGCTGGGACGTTATGATGCCAATAGCGATCAGCTTCAGCCTGCCAACAGTGCACGTGGCAGAATCTGGCGTTGTGAACCATCAGACACTGAGTCTTCAGGGGAATCGGTTTCTACTTCATCCTCGTGCCTTGGCCCTTTTGGACAAATAAGTTAAAGTTAACCATTTGTAGAAGTGTGTCTTCCTTCTCTCCGCACCTTTGCAAACAAGGAGTTCCAGCTCAGCTCCAGTAGCAGGAAGACTGCGCAGCATGGCAGCGGGGAGGTGGCTTTGAAACTCAGCATGCTGGAGTCACTACATTCCCACAATGAAACTGCTGATACATCCAGTTATGCTATGAATGGCTGTGACTCATCGAGATTAAAGACCCTTCTCGAGAATGGTGCTTGCGATTGCAAGTGCAGCCTGCCCTACGAGGTTATTTCCAGAGTTTGTTCTTCCTTCTGGAAACTTCCCAAGGAAAACCAGGACGCTCTGTTGTGGTCTATGCAGTGCGAAGCAGGGCGGGGTATGAAGAACAAGTTCAGTATTGAAGGACGGTTGCATGTGTTCACTTTCATTTTTTGGGCTGCCACTACAAACAAAACAAAACCTATAAAAATCTAAATTCGGTCGGTTTTATTTGAACACCAAAGCGCAGGCCACCCACTATGTCGAACAGCGTGGCTGAAATTCTTGGGTGTTGGCAAATCAAGGATGCACAGAACAAAGAAGAGATTCCGTGGTATTGATGAACGTGCACTGGTGAAACGCAACATGGATAATTTATGATAATTTTAACTTACGTGATTTTCTACGCGACGGGGTAGTTTAAACTTTAAACCGTAACTGTTGTTTGTTCAGCTTTTACTTCTTGCAAACTAAGGTGAGCACACGAGGCTCTCGCAGCAAAATACATCATTGCAAAGATTCTTCAGCCACATATGGTGGACAGCTGCTGAAGCCATGCCAGTGCAGTTGCCTGGCTTTGCATTTCTTACTTGTTTTCTATCTTGCCCAATGGGCCTTCTCACTGCAAAGGTTTGAATCTTCTACTACGGCTGTGCTTTCGCAAAGCGATGAAGCCCTCAGAGAGCAGCTGCTCAGCAAGTTGATTGAGGACAAGCTCTTGGGGCCAGCACGCCAGGTTGTGGAACTGAAGCCTGCAGAGCTCCCAATCCGGGAGCTGCCACCTGGCACAACGGCATCGCTGTTTCTTATGTATCTCGCATACATGCGCCCGTCTGGAATCACACCTGCCTCTCGCAGCAGCTTTTATGGAGTGGCCAAGCAATGGAAATGCTGTCTGCGCTTCAGGCGGCACACAGAGCACTCAATGTGCCTGGTCTGCCAGACTTTGAAAGCAGCCATCCACGGTGCTTCGGACTGGGGCTGAGTTGGGATCGTGTGAACTTGTGACATATTTTGACGCAGGACAAGTTTCAGGCATTCATGTTTTCTCATCTTAGTTTTGGGTCCAGTCATCGTGCCAAGGATTTCGCTGTGCACGCACAAAAGTGTAGCGAGTTGCTGGCTCACTATACTGCCCAGTGGCGTGACCGGGAAGTGTACTGGGCCGCGCGTGATCGCAGTGCACTACATGGAGACCTCCTCACGGTCATAGTGGATTCATTTGACCGATCCAAACTGTACTTGCCACGTTTTCCATTCAACCGTACCCCCAAGAGGCCTGTGTACCAGACTTGCCAAAGAAGCTTGCTTTGGCCAAAAGATCGCAACACATCATGTGAGCTGATTTCAACATTTTCTTTTTCTATCTTTTTCTGTGTAGTCCAACCAGCCCAAGGAGTGTCGTTGACCCTGACTGCAGTGTTGTGCCACGGCCATGGGTGCTGGATGTTTCTTTCTGGGGCAGAAGGAATTGGCTGCGGCTCCAGCTGGAATTGGGAATGTGTACCCAGGAGAGATTTGAGATTTCAGTTTCTGTGTGCCCAGCAGAATGTTTTGCTTCGGATTGGCCGTAGTTTTTCTTTCCCAAAAATTAGATTATGCATGTCTATCATAAGCCAATGCGTTCTTCAGGTGATGCGAGCACTCGAGAAAGTTTGGGTCAGAACCCGTTCGAAGAATGCCCCGTTTCCTTCAGAGTTTCTAGGCGCTTAATATATTTTGGTTCAAGGCTCAGGGTGTATTTTCTTCTGCCCGTGCTTCACATGCACAGCGAGGCTGTGGTGTCAGTGCGATAACACTGTGAAAGAGATCCGCAATCAGTATGGGAGTCGGATGTTGGCATCACTATGCCAAAGTGGCATTTTTGCCACCACCTGTGAGGCCCACCTTCGGGTGGGCCACACTCATGAAGACATAGATGCATTGTTTTCACTTTGCACTGCAGCAATCCGTTCCTCCTCATCAATGTCTCTTCAAACACCGTCAGATCTCCAGAAAGTTATTGACAAAAAGCTTGCCCCGATATTTTTCAAGAAAGGTCAAGCTTGGGGCATCGAGCTTGTAGACGCAGAATCTTGACAATGCAAATCATAACATTCTGGTTTGAGTTTCTACTGACATTTCCTGTATTTTAAGCGCTTTGCTAGCTCAGATGCATCATGCAACTTTCCTGTTTGAGTTTCCAGCTTTAGGGGCATCGATTGCAACTGAGGTAAGAGATTGGGTGGCTATCATGCCAGATGCTGTGACTTTCAAGAATGCATTCAGGGCACGCAAGATGAAATTTGGTCCTGACGATGGAGATGATCCCCACAAACCACTTCCGCAGATGTTTACCTTTCTGCCCCGCTCTGGACTTCCAGATCAAGGACGTGGGCTCGATCTACGCGAACGCGTTCCTCGGACAATGAGGGCGGCTGATCAAGTGAGCAGCCAAGATGATATTTTTTGCCTGGTCAAAGAGTCAATGGCTGCAAGGACCCTGTCACAGGATCCATTGCTAGTCTTTCCTGCTTGCCTCCTTCCAGCCAGCCAGAAATTTTTCTTGGATGCCAACAGTGAGAGATGCCCATTGCGGTCATGGAAGCTGGAAGCTGATCGATGGGATGAACTGCGGTCGATCAGGGCTGCTATCCAGTCCGATTTCCCCCACATGACGAAAGCAGTGAGATGGTATGAGGAGCTTCTCCGGAATCCACAGGCTCATGCACACTTCTCGCAGGTTCCGCGGTTGACGTTTCTGCGGCATGCGTGTGCCCGTCAGCAGGATTGGCATTCGTTCCAGTTGGGTAGTAGGGCACCTGCTCCAAAGCCACATGAGCTGCAGGTGGTTTTTCACAGGGCACGCTAAAGGGGTGCAGCGGCCAAAAGAAATCAATGTTTTGCAAGGGTTGTGCAACCCTCATGATTTCTTAAACTCCTTACTCACTGCAGCCAGTCTTGGCTGACAGGAAGGTCGAGGTTGTGACTGAATTCCAGTCAGTGGCGCTTGATGGCAGCGTCGCAGCCGGAGCAAGCAGCTCTCTCTGAGTCTGCCCAGCCTGAAGACGGCCCAATTGGGCAGATTTTAGCTTACTTTGAGACAGCTACTTGGAATCAAATTGTCAGATGTGCTGCGCAAGTTAATCCCATGTCGATCATTGGAAAGCTTTCAGGTTGTTGCCAGCAAGAACTTGGGTGAGCATGTGCAATCTGTTTTCCGTGAGCCTCAGCAAATGTCTCAGGCATGGCTTTTGCTATTTTCTTTGCTGTTTTCTTTGCTAGGTCAGGCATGGGTTGATTACGGTTGATTGTTTGGAGGCCATTGCGGGCTATGTGACCAATCGGTCCATTGTCCCATCCAACGGGCCCATGCTCAGATCATCCCAAGTCGCAGCGATCCCATGTTCTGGCTGCCACTGGACAAGTTTGACTATTCGCCTGCTGCAAAGAATGGATGTCGGGGGTTGGGAAAAAGGTTTCAGTGCTTGTTTAAATTTAAGTTTGAGTGTGTGTCCTTTGTGCTGCTGTATTTTTCTCCCCTGAAGTCTACCCGTCCAACCAGCAGTTCATCAAGCACTTCCCCGAGTTTGTGCGCTATGGCTACCGGCCACATCTGGGAGCAATTGAAGTGAAGTTCCCGTGGAAGGACGGAAGCCGAAGCATCGGCCAACATACTGTTGGCATAGTAGATGGCTTCTGCAAAATCCTTTGCATGATGGCGACAATTTCATTCTGCAAAGAGCTTGAACTGACAGAGACGGATCTGAACCACCCAACCTTGTCAGCTACTTTGGCTTCTTTTGCTTCAGTGTCTTGCTCGTACAATCACTTCGAACACCCCGGGCATCACTACCTGTATTCCCTGAGACCCTTGGATTGGGTTTTAAATATTTCAGCATGGTACTTGATTTCAGTTTTCTTTGCGTTGAGTCACAGCCTGCGCAGCTGAGAAATGGGATTTGTGACTTCGGAAAAATTGACACCGAGCCCCTTGACAATCGTCTCAGACTTTGCAAAAGCAATCGATCTTGAGCGGAAGATGACCACGAGCAGGCAGACAATTCCTTTAAAGGATGCCTTGAACCGCTGCATCGCTGATTTTCACAAGATGGTCACCGTGAAGAAACACAGGGTGGACTCCGGACGCCGTGCGCTTTGCTACAACTTGATCTTTGGTTTGGATTTGGTGTAGGATGCACACTTTTTTGTTTGGGCAATTTGATTTTTTTGAGGTGCTAGCATTCCTCATCTGAGGCTTCGTTGTCCGCGGGATGCATTGGACCTTTTGCATTCCCACTACGATTCTTTCAAGCATGAGCATTCAGGCAGGGGTTCAAACCATGACAAGTTGTCACCTAAGTTTCTTACATGAACATGGCCATGCAACATGGTTGAACCCTGCTGCAGCTCTGCCGCACGAGATCTTGGAGAAGGATTTCTATGTCCCTGGTTCTTGCCATCGATCGGACCACTACCGTCAGAGTCCACAGATTGCCCAACAAATGACTTTGACGAATGAAACTGTCATGCTGTACTTTGCCAGAGCGACCCAGGACTGAAGATGAACCATGGTGCTTCAATTTTCTTGCAAAACTTTGGTGGGGCCTGGGCATTTTTTTTGCAGCTGCTGTCATATTTGCAAGGACTTTACTCGCAGGGTGTCCAAGGAGTCCAGCTTCAAAGCAAAGGACCTCTGCTGTTGATGTTGCCGCGCATCAAAATGATGTATGGTCGACGTTTCTCTGTTGTTGATTTTTGCAGCCAACCCTGCTCAGAAACAAGCGCAGCTTGACCTGGAGTCACACATCCTTCTTCATGATTGCTGCGTGCTGTGGCTATTTGTGCAATCCAAAATGGTGGAGATCTTTCCAGGAGAGGTCGTTCAACACCACTACCAGTTGTTTCAGCAAGGGACCTTTGGCAAGCAATGGTGGGTGTGGTGGGTGGGTAGGCAACCCTCCTAAAGTTTTGCTTTGGGATGATTGGTTGAGGATGATAGGTCGTCAAATATTTTTGGCTCGGCGTGATTGGTCGCCAAATATTTTTGGCTCGGCGTGATTGGTCGCCACATATGTTTGGCTCGGCGTGATTGGTCGCCAAATATTTTTGGCTCGGCGTGATTGGTCGCCAAATTTTCTTGGCTCGGCGTGATTGGCAGCCAAATTTTCTTGGCTGAGTGTGGTTGGGTTTCCGAAAACCCCGTCACATCTAGCCAAAAAAATTTGGCCATAGAAATCAATCACGACGACGCTGTCCGTTCAACATCACATTCATGATTGGGTTTCTAGAAACCCCGTCGCAATTTCCATACCTACGAAGGGGGCAATCATTTCTACTGAGCGTTAGCCAAAAAACTAATTTGATTGAATGTTCCAGAGCGGGCATATTGTGATTGGGTTTCTAGAAACCCCGCCACTTTGACCCCAAGATTTCCAAGTTAATTTTGTGATTGGGTCCCACTGTTTTTTTTAGGTATCCCCAATTTTCTATTCATTAGCCACTTCCACTTTGTGCATTCAGGTTGTTGGACCCAGACCTTCAAGCGGTTTTGAAAGCTGGCGGCGATACTTTGGACATCAACCGCATTCCATTCATTTTGGAGGCTGGCCAAAACAACGCCAGTTTTCCAGTCATTGTGCTCAATGAATCAATGAAGCATGTTGCAAATATATAATATAAATAGAATCTAAGCTGGAACAATGATATTCTGAATTTGAAGATATTATGCCCCTTGGCTTATTATACAGGATTTTCTGGCGATAACCCAAGTACATCTTTTCCCTGATCAGGCACATGGAAAGACTCTGGATGAATACATGGCACAGCACCAGGACAAATCAAAAAATGCATTGACAAAATCCCATGAAGCAGCCTATGGGGCTTGGGTTGAAGAGCTTCGTGCTGATCAATCTCAATTTCTCTCAGAAAAGATTTTGTGCCCAGGCATTATTCATGTTTGGTCCGTTTTGGATCCTACCTCTACATACTGTGAACAATCAATCATCTAGCTTTGGGGCGTCAAACAACCCCAAGGGCCGAGAAGGAAGGTGCGAAAACAAGGGCCAAGCTCATTCGGCAACTGGAGGACTGAAATTGGTCACTGGCCCATCTGATTTGTCCAACCCATCTTAATGATGTTATGTGGACATCTCTCTACCCAAATATGTTTTACAAACTGTCATTATTTGACTTCGATATTGAACTGTTATATTCCAGGAATGCCATGGAAGGGCCTGGGATGCCGTTCGCGCCTTCATGTCCAATCATTTGGTGACATTCTCGGGAAGAGCAGCCGATGCGGAAAGCACTGTGATGCCAGCGGCCCGCTCCTGGTTGCGCGAGTCAGCGAACGAAGTTGGAAATGCAGCAGATGATCACTCCATTGTCCTTTTCTGCGTGTGCCCTGCAATGGGGATTCTGTCGGCAACCAGGATGGGGTTTCTGCTGAACTTCATAAGCAATGTCCTCGCTGACTTTCCTACCAACAGCATTTGCATCTTGGTGAAGCCCAACCGAGCGGGACAACAGGATGGAAGGACAGGGTTGCTACCAATTATTATCACACATTAGGTAAACATGTCATGCCAGTTGATCCAAGCTACTGCGAGGAAAATGGAAAAGGATCTGAGCACAAAGGATGAGACAGATGAGTCCAAGATCAAGAAGGATGAAGCCTCTGATACAGAGGATGAAGACGCAATCAAAAGGAAGGAAGAGGCTGAATCTGTTGAAGTCAGGGATGTGTCGTACAACCTGGAGCTCCTTGCCTATGCCTCCAAAACGTTTCAAACACTTGGCATGTGATAGGCTGTCTCCTTTGCAGCTGCTTGTCAAGTAAATTAATGGTACCAAGCAAGCCTGGCGCCAACTAAGGAAGCAATTTGCGATGAAGGACAGAAACCTGCGACTGAGAAATATCACATGGGTTTTCACTCCGGACCCTTGGCTTTCCACATCATCCTAAATAAATTCAATAGAGGTTCGAGACTTTTGGGAAGATGCCCTGTTAAATTCTTGTTAAAAATGGCACAGCCTGTATTTGGAAAGAATGTCTTTTCAGTGTGTTCCCCAAAATTTGATGCATTGTATCAAACCAAGAGCTGGCAACTGCTTGCAACATTTTGCAATGATTTTCATCCCAAAGGAAAGCGTGTATGGAAAACGTGATGGAGTATTACATGGACTTGGCATCGTTCACAAGGATGATCGGAACCTCATGAGACAAACAGTCGGATTCAAAACTGGCACCATTCTCAATGTCAAAATGTGCCCCAGAAGCGAGATGTTCAAGCCCAGTGTGGATTCTTGGGCTGAAATTCCTTTATGAGTGTTCCGTTTCGTTTTGTTTCCTAGAGCTGGTATCAAGTCAGCTGGAAATGTCATTGGATTCTTATCCCTTGAATCCCTTGGTTCCAGCCGTCCAGCCCTTCCATCTCTCCTCACAGCTGCAGGCGGCGTCTCCCAGAGCAGGGCTGCCACACCTGGGACGTGCCATGACTGATGTGCAGGAGATGAAGCAGGTTGCTTGACCTTATTTATCTTTGCCTGGCACTTAAATAGTGTTTTTTTCAGTTCAATCTGGAACGCAGGTTGCTGCCGGGACCAGCTTCGTGAAAGAAACATTGAAGGCTTTTTCTTTGCCGACATCAAAATCCACCTTGCTTGTCGACATGGCTGGATACGATACATTCGTGAATATGGCTGCACTGGAGGCGGGGTTTGAATTACCAATTAAGGAACGGGGGGCTTCTTTTGGAATCACTACGAACAGGCAAGTAAGGTATATTTCCCAAACCCAAACTAGTTATAGATTTCATCGTTGAAGTTATAAAGTATAAGTATCATTCATTATCATTCACTGTTCATTCCCTTGTTGTGGCAGGAGATCCGAGATCAGAAGTCTTGCATGTGTGCTACCGTGGCTCTCGACCACAGTGGACAGGAGTTGACGAACCAAATTGCCAATTCCGTTTACGAGGAAAGCCGAAATGGTCAGTTCGTGGTGCCCTCTTTTCCAAACTTCCAACCGTTGGTACAGGCATTGAAAAATGGTCAAAGTACAGATCGAACAAAGAGCTTCCGAGTCAGTGCCCAAAGGTTTGATCAGCTGCTGGTGCTGGAGACATTCGCCAAAAAATGGTTGGACAGTGAGGTGACTTCTGATCGGGCAAAGGCAGTGATCGAAGCACACAACCTTGAATTCAACAACAGTGGTGAGTACTGGATTGAAGAGAGGACCTGTGTATCACATGATTTGAACAATCCCCAGTTGTTCATTTTTGGTAAAAACAAAAAATCATGTTCGTCATTTTATGGTGTTGCAGTTGGAGAAAAAAACGTCCTTTGGTCCATGTCTCTCTGACTTAGGAATCCCTGCACAGGGTTCCCGACTCAGAATTGCCAGGACCGAAGCAGCTGCGGAAAGCTCCGTTGCCGAAGAGCGACCTGCCAAGCGCATCAAAATTGAAACATGCAGCTCTGAAGAGGTGTCCAAGTTGGCCAACCCGTGCCTTATCTAGAAAGCATTTTTTTGAGATTGTTTGCCTCTTGCAGGGTTCTGCTGTTATGCCAACCTACTTTCCACTGTTGCCATTGTCATCTGAACGTCACAAATTGTGATGGTATACCTGGCATGTTGGTTTCATAGGGGATGCCCCTCATGTTGGGTTTATAGCCACCAAGGAAGACCATGTCCCTCAACAACATCTGCGACATCATCACTGATGAAGAAGGCCAATCTCTATACATGGTTTCTCGTGGCCGGAACCAATTCATCGAAAAGCGAGAATTGCCATTTGGCTGCACACGCACTCAAGAAGAATGTTTGGAAATGAAAAGCACAAGTCTCATCTATGGTTACTTTTCATGTCACAGACTGTCGCATGAACTAAGATTTTCCTTCGGAAGTGGAGAGTGGAGGGATGGAGCTGCACCTTGTCCATGAAGATTCTTGTTGAGCCAGTTGGACCTGAAAGAGTTGGCATGCGCGATGACCATCACTGTATTCTCCACTGTTTGCCCAGGAAGGATCGGAATGTTTGCAGAACAGCGATGGTCGGTGGTTCAGCTTCTGTGTCAAGGGAACTGACTTGATCATTCTGGAGCGCAAATCCATCCCACAGCACCTTGCTGCGCTGGAAAACTTGGAAATGCCGGTCACGATTGCCAGCATGCTGAAAGACCTTCAGGACTTGGGGGAGGCCAGGTAGACAAATACCGGTTTCACTTATTAAATGGTGGGTCCCCAAAACCATAGTTTTCACTACATTGTGTTAAAACGGTTTCATTTGAAGGTACACCGATTTTGGACCTCCAAATGTCCAGTACAATTTGGAGGTGGGTTCCTTATACATGCAAAACTTCTCATAACTTTTTAAAAACCGATTCAATTTGGATAATAATATGATGCTCATTGTAAGAAGGCTTTTTATAAGGTCAGTCATCATTTGGTGTTGGGGTTCTTCAAGTATCTTCACTCCAAAGTGAAGCTTCAAATGATTCAAACTTCTTTCTCACAGGTGAAGATTGAAATTTCTCACCACCAACTCAGCGACAATGGGGAGTTGACGAGTGTGAAGCCGTTGGTCTTCTTGGTTGATGAGCCACCCACAGGCAACCAAGGCGCAGGTGATGTGAAAAAAGAAAAGAAGCGTGGGAAGAAGAAGAAGCCCGCCGGTCCTCCCGTCCCTACTTCCAAGAATTTCGGAGGGCACCTCCAGATTTCCAAAGTGAAAAATGCGCAGATCCTCGTCCTTGCATGGCGATGCAGGTGTCTAGCTGCAAGTGAGGTTGGTGGGATTTTTTCAAACAAACGAGCATATTCACAGGTCACAGGCTACTTATTCCCACTGCACTGAGGCTTGACTCGTCAAATGATCAGGGCATCAAAGTGATCACACCAATTCGACCAGTTATGTGTCTCAACCAAACAATGGACCTTGGTGAAACCTCGGTTCGCATGATGTAATGCGTCGCGTACATTCCCCTCATTTCCCCTATATACAATCTGTGCCCATTAGACTTTGAAGCCAGGTGTCTAATTGTTGCTTATTGACACTGATGGCTTTATGTATTTGGAAGGGGCATCCAAATGCTTTGCAGGATCCAGCATCGGTTTTTGAGAGGGCTCCTGGTGACTTTCCAGATCTTTCAATTTTTCAAAACAAAACTCATCAAAACACCATCCAAATTTTATTTGTTGACCACCGCGGTGACAGTCCTCCTTTGCTTTTGTGCGCTGTTTCCTGACAAGCCTCAGAGCAATGTTGTCACATTGAACATGTCCGACTGTGGGGGTAGAAGGGCGTCCTGGGAACTTCCTCTTGTATCAATACATGGCAGTTTCAGCTTGCATGGCGCTAATTGGAAAAGATAAAGAACAAGACAGGACGCCACACAGGAACATCCTGTGAAATTTTGATGACTCTAAGTGAGGTCGGGAAAAACAGCTCATGGCAACTCTTGGACCGACATCAGAATCCAGACATTCGGCGGTATGTTATTAAATTGAATTTTGATGGCAGCCTGCACAAACACTTGATGATACAGTCGATGCTGTCTGAAATCAACACTTGCCGCAGCTTTTGCAAAAAAAAAAGTATTTGGGGAGCTGTGGATCGCACGCACCCCACATGATACGTTAGCAATGGCTAGCTCTGGGAGTGATGTTGAAGAAGTCCCACTTACAGCTAGAGTTCGCCCACCAGTCCCTAGGAATCAAATTGGAAGCCATCCCAAATTGCCATGATATGAGGTTACTTCATGTTACTGTACATGAAAACTGCACTGAATGGTATGCACTGAGGCCTTTGACTTACAACGTTTGCTTTCGGGTTCAGTCGGGGCGTCAACACCGACACCACACCGGCGTACAACCTCTTCGCCCCCATCCTCAGCAGCTCCAGCAAAGGCACCTCCGCAAAGTGCTTCGGCTTCCTCTTCGAACCCTCTCGGTCCTCTCGCAGGAGATTGCTTTTGAAATTTGTTGACTTGGCTGTTTTTCATTTTGGTATGGGGCATGTATTATATCTGATTAACAAGGGCTAGAATCGAGTATATAAACATTTCTGGGGCAGGAGTTTTGAATCATGCCCTACCTCCTCGGGTGAATGCTTCGGATGACTCATCCAATGAAAAGCCAGCCGTGGATCCCAAGAAGCGCCCTAAAGCTGCAAAATCAAAGGCTGAGAAGAAGAAAAGGAAGACCAATGAAGAGCCAGGCGATGATGATGATTGCCAAGATCCAGATCACGATCCCATCGTCGATGGAGATGGAACTGATGATGATGATGGTGAAGGAAATGGATTGGAAGGAGATGATGGCATACCAGATCATTTGCGACCCACCAGCAAGGCCAAGAAGCGTCCTGCCGCTTCAAAGCCACAGAAGAAACCAGCTGGCAGCCGCAAGCGCGATGACCACCTGTCAGAGAATGCCAAGGTGCGATATAAACAAATATATTACATGTTAATATGGTCTTATATAAGATATATAAATTTTAAATAGTATATATCACAATATAATTTATAATTATAATATAATTACATATTGAATATTATTTATAATTTATATCAAATAATAGATAAATATTATATTTTATAAAATGTAATATGGAATAAATGTATATTAATTTATAAATTATTAATTAATAATTAATATTATATATTGTAATAAAATATAATATTCACAAATTCTCACTGTATGATGTACATGGCTATATAATATATAATCTACAATATATAGAATTTTTACTGTGCAACACCCATGATTTTTATATGTCCCTGGGCTTTTTGCTGATTTCAATACCCATTGCAGGAAGAGCCAATCCCGTTTCAGTTCGACCTGGCGAAGAATGCTTCTTTGCGAGAGGACACCCTGAATCTTGTATGACAAACAAGTGGTGATGCTTGTGGCTTTTGTGTAACTCGATGCACAACCCCGGTAAATAAATAACCTTCATCCCGACCCTTATTATTTTAGATTACAAGTCTGATATTGTACCTTTTACTCACAAGGACGTGCGCCCATGTTGCAAACATCATTTCATTTTCAGCTAGTCCTACTGGTCTCTTCTTCCTTCCGACAAGCCAAGGAAAGGTGATAAATCGATGGATTGCCCTGGCTCCCAACTGAGCCCAGAAGGACTGCCTAGTATGGTTTGCTTTAAGGTATTGTAATCAGTCTGGAACCGGTCCCTTTTTTTTGGACGTGTGGTGGCAGGAAACAAGAAGTTTGAGCATCAGTATCCCTACCCGGACAACCAGTTGGGCTTGACTCTGACTCCATCTCCCTACAGCGGAGGTCCACCCAGGCGTCCTATTCCAGCTTCTTGTCTTACATCTAACTTCAGATTGTGTTTAGGATTCTTTAGTTCTGCTACCTCCAATCGACCCACCTGGCCTAAGGCAGACAGCCCTGAGGATCTCGAGCGTGTGGCTGCCAATCTTTTTCCTGGGAAAGAGCCGCACGATGCTTGGCTGAACACATAGAGATTCAGATTCATGTCGTTCACATCAAAGTCAAACATGTTTACCCAGGACCCTGAAGTCAATGCAGAGACCGCGAACGATGATGTTGAAACTTTTCAGTCTCGAATGGATTCTTTTTATCAAAGAATGGATGCCCGGCCTGTGGTTTAAGTTTTTTTTTCAAATACAGTCTGTCCGCCATTAGCTACTGGCACTGTGACACTCATGTGCTCGCTTTCTTGTAACAAATAGGTTCAATCCTAAGTACAGAGAACTAAGGAGAGGGGCGACCAACTGTTGGAGGAGGCCCTCAACGGTGGAGACACGGAGCATGACACAACATCGGATTCAGCTTCTCACAAGGAGCACTTGGTACCGAGAGTGGTTGTTGAGGCAACTATTCTGGCCATTGACAATTGTCTTGACAAATTAAACGCCATCATGAACACCGGCAACCCAACCCCCCAGGAGCCAGAGTCAGAGTACCACAATGAAGACAAAAAAGAGGAGTTGGGGGTGGTGTATGACGAGCAGCACCTGAAAGAAACTGAGAGGCAGGACAAGTATCTCCTCACCCACGGCAACCCTGAGACAAATCCAGAAGATATTTGGGAAGCTGGGCTGAGACAGATGGAGAGGCGTGCCCTTGCAGGCGACACAGAGCAGGATTTGGATCTTCTCCTAGAAGTTGAAAATATGGATTCTGGAGTTGGAGACGGAGAAGAAGGGGAACATAGCTCACCAGGAGATTCCAAAGACCAAGATCTTGCTTCCGAGACCGACGACAAACCAAAAGTGGCAGCAAAGGCAAAGGCCAAATTTGCCGGCAGAAAGGCAAAAGCTGCATCAGCCAAAACGGGTCAGTCAGTTTCTGCACAGGGGAAAGCCAAGGCCAAGGCCAAGGCCAAGGCCAAGGCCAAATCCTTGGCATGTGGCAAACGTGCAAAGGCAAAAGCAAAGGCAAGAGCAAAGGCAAAAGCGAAGGCAAAGGCCGCTGCAGCAAGGCCGAAAGCGAAAGCACAAGCTCGTGCACCAGATCCCGCACCAGTTCCCACACCAGCTCCCGCACCAGTTCCCACACCAGCTCCCGCACCAGCTCCCGCACCAGCTCGTGCAGCAGCTCCAGAAGTTGACCCAAACATGTCGGATGCAGCCCTGAAGGAAAAGATGCATTCCGTAACTTGGCAAGACATGCACTTTCTAATACTTGCCACAGTCAGAATTCCGATTCTCTACCTTTTTTTTACGCCTGCTAGGTCTACTCTGGAGGTTGGTGCCTGGCTAGGGAAGCTGGGTTGGAGGGCGAGGAGAGGGCGCGTGAGGGCCGTGCTGCCGGAAAGAAGTGTTTCGACTGCAATCAGAAGTCAAACATAGTCAAACCGTCAAGTGCTTCAAACAAATCTGTGGGCTATTTTTATCATCAGCTGATCCCATATTGAGGTGGATCTATGAACATGGCTTCGAAACCCGGAGTGTGGCCAGGAATTTCGTTTGAGCGCCACATGCAGCCAAGTTTCAACTTGCGATGACACAACTCGCCAGGGATCAGAGCGAGAAAAGGGCTGTCGGCGGCCGGCAGCTATATCAAGTTAACCTTTATTAACATTCATATTCACCTCAAGTGCGAAGGACCCAGTTACACTTTGGAAGGGACCCACTTCACCATGGAAGCTCATCCCATTAGATATGGGGTTTTCCTGTAAATTTTCCCTTCAACCAATCTGTTGCATATGGGCTTGGTCCAAGATGTGCAATTGGAACTATCGGAACCATAGAGAAATGATGATAGACTGGGATGGGGCTTCTCACTTGTCCCGAATGATTGGTCATTTGTGGCCCCAGCATGTTGCTTTTGGGCCTAATTTTGGATCCACGCCCATGGGGAGTTTTTTTTCCGAACAGACCTGGAACAGATCTAAAGCATCGAAATTCCTTGTGGGTACCATATGGCTCCAACAAACAACAGGGCAGTTGTATATTCATTCATTTTAGGGCAGCATATTGGAGGTTGATGGCTGACCCAGGAGAGTCAGAGGAGCAGCAGAAACTCTCCAGCATCGAGCGGCCGGAGATCCTGCTACAGTGGTTCAACCTGTCTGTGGAAGCCTCGCGGGCCGATGTGAACGGAACCAGCAAGAAACTCGGCAAAGGCGGTTGAGGGACAATTTTGACCGGAAAAATCACTAGAGAGATGTAAAACAAAGGAACATCAGCCATGTAACCACCAACAAACCATCCCAACATTCTGATATTACTAGACTTAATCGTCATTCTTAGCCATGACTTTCCAGCATTTTTGATCATTTTTGCAGCAACAAAATGGGTGATTTGTCCCCCCCATGATCATCCGAGGCAGGTGAAGATTTTGGAGGGCAATGCTGGCAATGTGGCGCCTGGGGAGCTGTTAGCCATCATGGGTCCCTCAGGCAGTGGAAAGTCCACCCTCTTGAAATCGCTGGCGGGCATCGCGGAGCTGCCACTGTGCCAAGGTGTGATGCTTGGGGTTGGGGTTGGGGTTGGAGTCGAAAGTTTTTAGAACATGAACTAAGACCTAAGAGGTAAGTCCCCAAAAGATGGGAAAAGTAGAATCCGATTCCAAGTGATGATTTACTTTTTACATCTTTTTGCTGTTTTTGGGTGGTGCTGTTGAATATAGGGCTAATATAAGAGTTCAGAATCCAATTGGATAAGGTAAATTTCATTTTTTCCCTGAGAATGGTAAAGATGGGTCAGGGAAGGTCTCCTTTCGCCATTGTTGACAATGCTTGACACTTTGGTGAAGGCCCGGACCTTACATAGCCAGGTTCGGATGTTATGATCAATGGCAAAACCTTCTCAGAGGCCGGGGGGTTTGTGAGGTTGGCTGTCCGTTCTCAACGGCTGGTTAGATCATGGATTTTTCCTGAGTTGTTTAGTTGGTTTTAGTAATATTTCAGTTGGATCATTGGTCAGTTGATGGGTTGATGAGCTAAATTCCTGCTTATGTGTAAACCTAGTTGCTTCAGTTGCTTCCGTTCTGTTGGATTCTTCTTTGCCCCATTTCCAAGATTTCTTCCCCATCTCTCCATCCACCTGAGGAGGTGCGTGAACACAGTGCCTTCCTCTTCCAGGACGAACAGCTCTTTGGGAATCTCACGGTGCGGGAGCACCTGCTGTTCCAGTGCCGCTTCCGCATGGGCCGCTTGCCCAAGAGCGAATGCGTGCAGCGCAGCGACGCGCTCATCACGGAGTTGGGCTTGGCGAAGTGTAAAAATACCCTCATTGGAGCCATTGGAGCGGGCATCTCAGGCAGGTGATGGTTGATCTCTGATGAAATCTGTCAGATCTGTCAGATGTCAATTTTATTCTATTGAAACCTTAAACATTAACACATCTGGTGACCTTCTGCCTGATTCCTTGATTCATTTGGTACACATTTTTTGAAAGATTTCAACTCAGCATATGAATCATATTGATGTCTACCATTTTTTAGTTGGGGGGGTAACTGACAACTCATTCGGGAGACCATCAAACAGGGCAATCGAAAATCCTACATACATTTTAAATGGGTTTTTGATGGAAAATCGTCTACAAATGATGGATTTTCATGGATTTTCCGGCAAGCCATGTTTTATTGTCTGAGGGGTACAACTTGAAAACCGTTGAAAATCCGTCAGCCAATGCCCCCCCAAAAAATTGGCTGGATATTTGTTAATCCAGTTGTGTTTCATAATCAGTAATCAGCATCATCAGACACAAATACCATTAATCATACATGAATCATACATTGATCTACATTCACCTACATTTTAATCAGACATCTGATTAATCATCATTAATCAGACATTATGATTATCATTCATTAGCCGTAAACAATCATTAATCATACATTAATCATACATTAACCTACATTCATATACATTTTAATCAAATAATCATCCATTAATCAGACATTCATCACCATTCATCATCCATTAATCAGACATTAATCAGACATTAATCAGACATTAATCAGACATTCATCACCATTAATCATCCATTAATCAGACATTAATCAGACATTAATCGGACATTAATCAGACATTCATCACCATTAATCATCCATTAATCAGACATTAATCAGACATTAATCAGACATTAATCATCCATTAACCAGACATTAATCAGACATTAATCAGACATTCATCAGACATTAATCATCCATTAATCATACATTAATCAGACATTAATCAGACATTGATCAGACATTGATCAGACATTAATCACCATTAATCATCCATTAATCATCCATTAATCAGACATTAATCAGACATTAATCAGACATTAATCAGACATTAATCAGACATTAATCAGACATTCATCCGACATTCATCAGACATTCATCAGACATTAATCAGACATTAATCAGACATTAATCAGACATTAATCAGACTTTAATCAGACATTAATCAGACATTCATCAGACATTCATCAGACATTAATCAGACATTCATCAGACATTAATCATCCATTAATCATCCATTAATCAGACATTCATCATCCATTAATCAGACATTAATCAGACATTCATCATCCATTAATCAGACATTCATCATCCATTAATCAGACATTCATCACCATTAGTCAGACATTAATCAGACATTAATCAGACATTAATCAGACATTAATCAGACATTAATCACCATTAATCATCCATTAATCATCCATTAATCAGACATTAATCAGACATTAATCAGACATTAATCAGACATTAATCAGACATTAATCAGACATTAATCACCATTAATCATCCATTAATCATCCATTAATCAGACATTCATCACCATTAATCATCCATTAATCATCCATTAATCAGACATTCATCACCATTAATCATCCATTAATCATCCATTAATCAGACATTCATCAGACATTAATCAGACATTAATCGGACATTAATCAGACATTCATCACCATTAATCATACATTAATCAGACATTAACCAGACATTAATCACCATTAATCATCCATTAATCATCCATTAATCAGACATTAATCAGACATTAACCAGACATTCATCACCATTAAGCATCCATTACAGTAATGATCCATTAATCAGACATTCATCACCATTAATCATCCATTAATCATCCATTAATCAGACATTCATCACCATTAATCATCCATTAATCATCCATTAATCAGACATTAATCAGACATTAATCAGACATTAATCACCATTAATCATCCATTAATCATCCATTAATCATCCATTAATCAGACATTCATCATCCATTAATCAGACATTAATCAGACATTCATCACCATTAATCACCATTAATCAGACATTCATCACCATTAATCACCATTAATCAGACATTCATCACCATTAATCACCATTAATCAGACATTAATCACCATTAATCATCCATTAATCATCCATTAATCATCCATTAATCATCCATTAATCATCCATTAATCAGACATTCATCATCCATTAATCACCATTAATCAGACATTCATCACCATTAATCACCATTAATCAGACATTCATCACCATTAATCACCATTAATCAGACATTAATCACCATTAATCATCCATTAATCATCCATTAATCATCCATTAATCAGACATTCATCATCCATTAATCACCATTAATCAGACATTCATCACCATTAATCACCATTAATCAGACATTCATCACCATTAATCACCATTAATCAGACATTCATCACCATTAATCATCCATTAATCATCCATTAATCATCCATTAATCATCCATTAATCAGACATTCATCATCCATTAATCATCCATTAATCACCATTAATCACCATTAATCACAGATGATTCTCCCAACCCCACCCCCCAACCCGACCAGGCGGTGAGCGGCGTCGCCTGGCCTTCGCCACCGAGCTGCTCACGGAGCCCACCTTGCTCTTTGCCGATGAAGCCACCAGTGGCCTCGACAGCGCCATGGCGTGCCTCGGTTTCAATAGGAAAACGGTGTTCCAAATGGAGTCAAAACATGACTTACCCAACCTGGTTATTTAACATAGCCATGGAAAATCACAATTTTAATAGGTAAATCATCTATAAATGACGTACCCTCTGGTTATTTAACAGTTCGCCATGGAAAATCACAATTTTTAATGGGTAAATCATCTATAAATGACTTACCCAACCTGGTTATGACTAACAGTTCGCCATGGTTAAGCCATGGCCCATAGAAATAGATGGTTTACCGAACTTAATAGCATGGTGATTTTCCTAAATAACCAGAGGGTAGATGATTTATGATGATTTATGAGATGATTTGGGGGTATCACCATTTTTTAGAAGGCTCCCATATGTATGAATATCGTACCGAGATATGGTGATCCCATTGTATCATTTTGTTTTTGTGTCATGATGTGTCATGTAAATGGGAGTTTCACCAAGAAAAATGGTGAGATACTGAGGATACCATGAAAGAAGTTGTGGGGTATTATATACTTGATGGATGTTGATGGAATGTTGATAGTTCATGCCCTTCCGCAATGAAACATGGCGGAATTTCCGAACTAATTTGTATGTAGAAATGAAGTTTGGAATGGGAAAAACATCATAGTATATCGGGATTTTCCAGCTTTTTCTTGATTGCATGTAGCCCGATGTAGAGATTGAATCGGCTTCGATTCATGCTAGTTCAAATGGGGATCATGACGATAAACAAATGAATTTAGGAAGTATTATTTGTACCCAATTTTCCGACAAACCCACTTGGAGTTCAGCAAAAGAAATGGGATCTCCCCAGTAAACAGCACTGAGTTTCCCTTTCGTCTTGTAAAACAGTAGCTGGTATAAAGATACCTCAAACATTTGGTATGTTTGGTTATCACCACCTATAAAACATATCTCAAACATAGGGGGCTTACGAAGACAAGCAAAAAGAAGGGGTTGGTGGTGGTCAACAACAGGTCACAGGGCCTTGAACAGCACATGCAGCTGAACCCCAAAAGGGTCAGGTTGATGAATGAACTATCATGTGGTACCCAATAAACACTCCCAGTAATCATCCAGTAAAGGGGTCATGGAAAACATCATCAAACATCATCATCATCATCATCATCACCATCATTATCATCATCATCATCATCATCATCCTCATCATCAATTTTCGAGGTCTACCATGGCATACCCAACTTCATAAACCTCAAACTTGAGGGCTCGGTTAACCTGGCATTGGCCCAGGCTCAACGTGATGAAGCTGCTGCATGGCTTCGCTCGTGGGGAGGGGACGGCCACGCAGAAAACGGTGCTGGCCACCATTCACCAGCCCAGTGAAGAGGTCTTCAACCTATTCGACAAGGTGCCAGGAATGCCAGGAATTGAGGGGAAACTGAGAGATTTTTTATGATAAATCTCAAGCTGGGAATGAGTTTGGGGACTTAATTCAGATATTAATCCAGCTTGGAAGTTGGATTTCCCAAAAAAACAGGAAGTTCAGCAAAATCAGTAAAAATCTTTGATACATAAGCTACGTATCATAAACTTATATAACCCTCTAATATCTACAGTAGTAGCCCTCTAACATAAGGCTTTCCGTCTTTCTGTGCCTTGAAAACAGGTGCTCATTCTGGTGGAGGGCCGTACAGTCTACTTCGGCTCGCCAGGTGGTGCACTGCAACACTACAGCTCGTTGAGTTTCATGGCTTCCACGGCGGCGGTCTTTGCCAACCATCCTGATGTCGGAAGAGCAAAGTTTGTGTCAAGTTATTCAAGTTTTCCAAATACAGAGGTTTCTGCATCTTTGATCGGAATAATGAACAATTACCCCAAATCATCCGTTTTCACAAGATTTTCCATCATCCAGCTCTCGGGGGACTCCCATTTATGGACCCCTCCAAATTTTGCTTCACCAGGTTTGCAGTGCCCTCGCGATGAAAGTCCCCCCGACTTCTTCATGCGTTGCGTGGCCACAGATGCTGGGGAGGACGCGGATCGGCAGCAGGCCAAGCAGAACGTTGAGACCCTGCTGAAGGCGCTGCCTCCATTGGCCACACCGGACATGCCGAAGAAGTTTGATCCCAAGGCGGAAGATGGGCCATGGCATGGCAGCCATGGCATGGCTTAGTGGAAATCAAGATGATCCAAAGATGCTTTGTTTGGTGTCCAGTTTCGATTCATGACTCATATCATCTCATATCATCTCATGTCCCAATGGTTCTAAGGGATATCCCAATGGTTCCAAGGGTCTTCCAGCAAAACCTGGGTCAACTGACCTTGATCTGACCGCAGGTCGAATCTTTGAAGGGTTCGGGGGTGGTAGCCTTACTGACCCTGGTACGACGTGAGTTCTTGATCCGCCGGAGGACGGGGTCAGTTCTTTCCCCATCGTTTTCGGTGCATTTTCCATGCCCCAAGTGACGTAGTTCAATTTTCTTTGAGGCTTAAGAGCCAAGCTTCCAAACTCACACACGCATTAATAGAGTCACAAATAAATCAACAAAAACTCATAAATAATAAATGACTTATACACGTAGGTTTTTTCGGTCCAGAGTATCGGAAGGAGCAAGATTTTGTTCAAGGCAGCCATTGCGCGCACGCTCTTCATGGCCATTTTGTTGGGACTTCTCTATTGGCAGCTGCCAAACGACCAAGACTCCTGGCAGAGCGTGCTTGGCGTCCTGATTTTTGGCCGCACTATGCCGTGGGAAAGCCTGGCTGCCATAAACGATATAAATATAAACATATATAAAAGGATATAAAAGGACTTATCATGACGGTCATAGAAACCCAGAATGGTGACTTGGGGATCATTTGGCATATTTGGCAGGTGAAAACCACATTTTAATATAGTTGATGTTGGAGATGACGAGATCTGACAATTTAATCCTAGGATGGGTGGAAAAATAACTGGATCGTACTAGTTGTGACCATCTCATGGTTGAAACTTTTTCTTTCTCACCACAGGCTTTTCAAGGTTATAGGGCCCTTTGGGGGTCATTTTTTCGTAGCAGTTGTTGGGATCAATGTTGAAAAAAGATATGCGTGTTCTCCATTGTTTTCCCATGTCCCGCGCAAAAAGAAAGCACCAACTGCGGTGAACTTTGCCGCAGGGGTTTTCCATGGTTTTTCCACATGCCTTCCAAGATTCAACTATATGCTGTATCACCAGCCCAATGTTCTCGGTTGCTGATGCGCAACCAACCCCAACCTGTGGCTGGCTCAAACCCCCCAAAATTCTGTCCCCAAATCCATTGAAACTTTGGAGAGAGAGAAATCCACTGAACGGAATCTGAACTCATCTGAGTCAACATTTGAACATATTTGAACTAATTATATAATCTGAACATGGGCTTATATTTGAGCCCATCTCATCTAAACCCTCATTGAGGGACATATCACATATCATATCAATATCTGAAGATATCATATCAATAACTGAACAATATCTGAACAATATCTGAAGATATCGCATCTCTGAACTATATCTGAACCAAGGAACATGATCATGATCAACACCTTCATGACCAGCGGTTTCGGACTCACCCAAGAGTTGCCCCACTCCTTCCGCCCGGCCTTCAGAGAGGCCAGGGCTGGCACCTCGGCCCAAGGCGTCCCAAGGGAAACTCACCAGTTGCGCAGCGTTCTTTTTGGGAAAACTATGGGAAAACCATGGGAAACTCACTATTTTCGGGGAAAACTATGGGAAAACTATGGGAAAACTATGGGAAAACATCGGACAATAGCATGATCATAGCATGTTTCTTGTTTTTTTTCGATTCCAATTGGAGCCAGAGTTGGGTCCCCTTTCAAAGAATCATTGGATCCACTTTCCAAAACTCTCCGCATCGTTGCATCGCGGTCCTTCAACGAGGTATGTACTCGATCTCAGCTTGGTTTTGGTCAAAGACCCTGGGAGATCTTCCTGTTGATGTCATTGGACCCTTAATTGGCAGCTCCCTGATTTTTGCGATGACTGGTGTGGGCAAGACGGCGGAATCGCAGCCCTGCAGCAGGTGATGGAGAGGCAGGGGGAGGTTGAAGGACATAAAACAGTGAATTTGGCCCAGCATTCTGACATGGGCCATGGTTGATGACGGAGATGAACGAGATGATAATGTTTGTGGGTCCTGGTGACTATCTGACTAACACCATCATCGGATCATGATCCTGACAATGAATCCTGCGGCATCCGCCTAAGGTACTTTCTCTTTGTGATGTGGGCCTGTAACTTAGACTGCTGCAGTCAAGTCACTGGATCCAAACCATCCAAGTTGCGATACCTGCGAATCGCAAAGAAATGAACACCTGGAACTGGTATCGTAAAGGTTACAGCCACTTTTTGTCAGTCGGCCATTTTTGCGTGCAGCATGTGGTCGCAGCAATGTCCCAGCCTCACCTTGTCAGATACTCCTAGTTGCAGCACTAGATACTCCTAGGCTTGTGTAACGTCGGTGATTGGCAACACCTGGGGATACCTGGCGAGTGCTGCCGGGGGGCGGGCGGAGTACGCCTTCGCCATCTTCCTGCTCTCTGTCTTCCCCTTCATGATTTTCAACGGTGTCTTGGTGGTGAATAAGGAAATACATGGGAAATATATGGGAAATTTCAAGGAAATGGAGGTTTTGATTTTCCGCCAAGCCATTTTTGATGACCGGAACTTCTTCGAGTTTGGAAGGAATCAAACCACATTTACAAGAGAATTTCTCAGAAACAAGCCTAGTGACCAGTTGATTCGACTTCCTTCAGATTCTTCGAGTTTGTAGAGTTTCTCCAGTTTCTCCAGTTTCTCCTGTCTGCAGTTGCAAACTGCAGGATACATGATGACCACGGAGGAGATCCCCATCTATTTCAGGTGGATCGAGTATGTGGGTCCCTTCAAACCCATCTTTGCAGAGCCGCTTGGTGAATTTCATTTTCAAAACCTGCATTTTTGGCATAGCTCAAGATTTGGAAGCTGAACATAGCTGATTGGCGAACTTCCTATTCGAACTTGGAGGATTTTAGGATTTTAGGATGTGGTTTTGAGGAACCAGGTGTCTTTGGAGAATTCTGAGATCCGAAAATGTCCGAGTTGTGCCAAGGTTGAATGTTGCCATTTGGACGACGCGTACATTGGATTGTAACTTGGCAGCATTTTATTTGTGGATCTTGTGATTTTTCAGGGTCAACCGGGCATTCGCGGGCGAATTTGATTCCGTTTCTGTGGTGGGAAACGGGGGGGAATCTACGAAGCATCAGTCAGATTGATGGCATCCAACCTGTTTTTGCTGTTTCAAATATCTTTAGACAGCAAGCGCGTTAATGATGAACGCAACAGAACAACACACATCGCGTTCACCATTTGGGGCCATTTGACATCATTTTCTCTGGTAAATCCCAAATCCAAAAAAATCACCATCCCCAAGTCATCATTCGTATGGGTGTTGTCTAAAGAGTGTAAACCATCCCCAGTCCCTGTCATGGTAGCTGCCCAGGATCTGGAACACCGGAAAACCGAGGTCCAGCTCAGGGACCCTGTCCCTTCCGCAGCGGGGAGGATGTTTTGCGACTTCGTGGTGTGCTGGCAGCAGAAAAAGTCGGTTGGGCGTTTGGCCTGAAGAAACCAGGATTGTTTTAAAGTTTTTTTTGGTGCAGGGAACACATGGGTGAAACGAAGTTCATGGTGAAGATTGGGAGCTAGTTGAAACTTGACGCATTCTTATCCTTGAACTGATTTGAAACATATTTGTTCATGAAAGGTCTTGAAAGTGTTGTTTTGGTCAGTGGAGAGGATCTTTGATTCAGATTTTCATGGTTTTTGAGGCATGGACGAGGTGGATCACGTGTACAACTACTCGCAACTGGCTGCGATGTGGGTTGTTGGTGATTTTCTGGTCCATAAATTTTTGCACCCCCCAAAAAGATAGAACCTTTTTCAACCCTGGGGGGAAAGCATCATGTATACCATCTTGTGAATACTTAAATACTTTTCCATCTTTTTCGGGGTTGCTATACTGTAGAGCGGCCGAAAACGGGTTCCAGTTTTTTTTTGGGGCAAAACTCCAAGACCTGTGCTTCAAAATTGGTCAAAGTCCCAAACCCTCAGCAATTCACAGTAGATTAACCGTCTAATCAATCGATGCTTTTGAAATTCGTGAGTCATTTTCTCCTGGTTTGGAATGAGACCCCTCGTTTCATTCCATCTTCCCCCGTTATTTGATCACAGAATTGGACATGGAGAAAATGTCGTGGACACCTTCATCGCCGATCCCTTATGCCAACCCAAATTTTCACACCTGTCCCTATCCTCATCATCCTCATCATCCCCATCATCAAAGCACAACATCGCTTTGATGCTAGAATTATGGTTGGAAAAATTGCAGCAAACATTTGCATCAGACAATCAAGAATTCCAGTGTTTTGCAGGATTTTCGAACCAACCCACCAATCCCAAAAATGCGCCAAAGAAAAATCCAGAGATGTCCTCAGCTCCCCAAGGATCATCATCGGTCTCTACTTGTTGGGCTGCCGCCTGTTGGGCTGGGGCATCATCGTGCTTCGCTGGCGACTAGGTGCCTCCAATGTGGCTGTGGCCGCTGGAAAGAAGAGCGCGAGGGCCAAGGTGCACTCGGATGACTCGGATGAGGTGGCACACAGCAACGTGGTGCCGTGGCACGTGTTGTCTTCGTTGCGTTTTTTTGGGAAGGGTGGGGGGATGGTGGGATATGGTTCATTAATATGATTAATGATAGAAATATAATCTGTTCAATGGTAAATAAATGAATATTTACAGCAATGTTGGTTGGATAAATGATGCTACATGATGGAACATGATGACGAGAAGACATGTGAAACCGTATAAACACTGTATAAACCATCAATTTTGAGGCGAGCCTACTCAGTACCATGCGCCTGAAATTTGCAGGGTGCCCCTGGCTAGCCCACCTCATTTTCCATGGGGTCTATGGGCTCATGCCAAGAAAGAGCCGAGATGTAGCACGTCCAAGACCTACACAGCTTCCCCTTCCGGTGATTCTTCAAACGCAGCAAATTGCTGAGGAGAGCCCATGAGAGCCCAAGAGCAAGGGACTTGGGCGACTTGGGATTCGCGACAAAAAAATCGCCAATCTTGGCTTCGTGGTGGGTCTCACCCCATGGACCTGAGATTGGATTTTCCAAAGGCTGAACTTCGGTGCTCAAGCCGGATTGGAGTGAGCGACTTTGAACCGAAGCGAGTCGGGAAGAAAACTTTCGGACTCGATGGCCCGGCACAGGAAGAATTGTTCCGACGTTGATCTTGATGTTGAATTTTGATTTCTATTTCATATACTGTATTTTATTCAAGTTCTGATTTCTGAATTTCCAACTGTGCATGGTGATTTTTGGAGGCGTGCTTAAAGCATGTAGCTCGTTTTGGCCCCACTGGACTTGCCCGCTCAACGTTGCAAGTGGCATTTCCAGACACCTCTCAATGACCTCTAGATCTGCCAGAGTTGCCAATAGTTTCTTACCTCCAATGAAACCATACCCATCACTATTCCAATTGACCTGGTAAACCCATCCCAACCATCCCCAAATATCATTTTGCGCCAACATGAGTTGAAATCAGGTGGCAACAGAACCAGCCCAACAACCTTAAACATGAATAAATATGGGATGAGGATTGCTTAATATTGGCTTCATAACATTTTAATATAACCATCAGTATATCAACAAGTTTGATGAACATTGATATCCAAAAAACTTTGGGCACATGGATCAGGAGATCGTTGTCACCTTATTTTTTTTTGCGCCAAAGATGTCGAGATGCTCGTCTGCGCGAGCGCTCGGCTCTGCGCATCCCATGTAGGTCGGATGTCAGCTTGAAATATGGACATGCTATGGAAATGCCATGGAAATGGTCGATCGATGTCGATGGGAAGAACATGATCTGGGTATATCTGGGTGATCTTTGGTTGATCGGCTGGTGGATTTTTTGGTGCGGATTGCCTCAAGAATTGTGTGAATGACCACCGTTGTCTTTGGTTCGAGGTGTTGGTGACTGTTTCTGTGCAATTTTTGGGGCAAATTCACAAATTCATCGCCCAAGATTTTTCGTCACCATTTGGTAGACTTAGTAGAGAGTTCTTTTTAGTCATTTCATGCCTACTAGCTGTAGATCATCAAGCAGAAAACATCAGCAATATTCCGAATAGCCAAATCCCAAAGGTCCATGATAACCCGCTAGCGACAGCTGGCCATAGCCGGCCTTGAAAAGGCCTGGGGGGTTTTCGGAACTATCCACAACCCCAGGGTTTTTTGTGGCTTGTGATGCTGTGAAATGCACAGGTTTTTGTCCTGCAAAACTGAGATTGAGATGCAAAAAGACTGGTGTTTAGATGCATTCAGTAAGAGATTCAGTTGTGTTTTCCAAATTGAAACTTCTTCACTGACTTGGCTGGGCGCTGTCTGCAGGGTGGACCGCTTGATGGCACTGTTGGGGATGCTCAGGTTTTGCTCAGTCGCGGCGGCCCATCGCTAACTGGGAGAAAAATGGTGATAACTTGGATATCAAGAAGGTCTGAAGGTGGTTTTTCTTGAGTCATCACCATTTCTGTTAGGTGGGATGGGGGGCTATATATTTGACTATCGCCTCCAATTCATGTAGCTGATTGCATCTCCGAAGCCACTGGGTGTCATGATTTGATTTCCTAAGGCCTCCGAGATTTCAATGGATCGCTGAGAACGTGGCCGGAGCATTCGTTTCTTGACGGCAGGGCTTGGAAAAACCTTGAAAAATCCATCACTGGAGATGCCCCAAAGTTGGTTGATGGTTGATGTGTATTGCTGGGTCCGCAAAGCACACCTGTTTTGCAACATTTGTCTTCGTATGACTTCATACTTACGTTTCATCCTGTAACGTGCGGCTTTTTTGAGCTAAGGACATCAAGAATGTGGAAGGCTTGGGCGCGCTGGCGATCATAGGGAAGTTTCATTTCGATCGGAGCCAGTCATGACCCGGTGCAACATGTCCAAGATGTTGCAACATTGCAGGGACAATCACAGAGACCTTGAACTACAAGAAAATCACCGAGCTCCTTGCTAGCATCTAGCTCCACAAAATGCTATCTGGATGTCCCATATCCAGCCCCAGGGCATGATCCTCTTTCGTGCTATGTGATATGTCATGAGTCTTTTCTTGAGACTGAAACATGTTGATCATTGAGTGCAAGCCACCCCTGCAGCTCGGTCATCAGCCGTTTCTTTGTCCGGATTTCATTGATTGAACCATGCCCGCTCCATTGTGTGATGGATTCTCTGTGCTAATCAGGTTCTTGGAAGGCAAAACCAAACAGCCGGGTGCCTAACAAACCATTCGCAAGTTTCTGTTCGATGTCAAGCGAGCGAGCGAGAGAGAGAGAGAGAGAGAGAGACACACACTACTGACACACATGCGCAAACAAACACAAAGAGCCGTATTTTGAGTTGATTGGCGTACCAATCTTGGAGCCATTCGGGCCATTTGCATCCATTTGCATGGAAAAAACCCTGGATGATGGTGCCTAAAAGGCCACCAAAACGCTCAGGTGTTCATGTTCGAATATGTTCGATACCCCACTTGATTGCCGAGGCAGCACATTTTTTTCTTCTACCAGCGCCCGGACATCCTGAATGAACACAACGAGCCGGTGGATGCACATAAGGCCCGACTGCACTCTTGTTTTCGAGGCATTGATGGGCAGAATTTGGATCTCATCATATCAAGGGTTGATGCATCAACCAGTCATAAACATTCCATAAATATCATATTATATCACACACACACATATATATTTCTAATATATCATAGGTTCCGTGCATTGGTCGTTCCTCCGACTGATCTTTTTCCATGGTTCCCCTGATGAGTTGATCATCTTTTGATCTGCTTCCACCTCCCGGCCATGCTCTGAAGACAGTCATCTTATTTCAATCGCTGTTGGGCCAATAATTCGACGAATATTGTAATATCTACCTGTTGCTGATGTCGTTGGTGGAATATGATGTAGGATATATGAAGATATGAATACATATGATATATGATTATATTTATAATCACATATATATATATATATAATCACACACACACATATATATTTCTACATATCACACACTCAGAAATATATATATATATATATAGATATACATGTGCACGATATATCACCTTGTTTCACCCCAGCAAGTTTTTGTAGCATCCAGTCATCCAAGCCGCGTGGTTTCGTGGTTTTTTTTGGGAGGACTGCAAGTTGACCATCACCACCGGGGAGAACGAGCGGATCAAGAGCTTCGCCGTCTACTTCCTGCGGAACGTGCCGCAAGACCGGGCCATCAAGACGGACGTCTTCTCGGACCAGGACACTATAGGGATGAGCAGCGATGATTTGGGTGGCTGTTGGGGGGTGCAGGTCCACTGAACGTGGAGATAGAACGATGTAACTAATATATTTATATATATTTATATACATAGATATTAGTTACACACACATACGTATATATATATATTTATTAATCATAGACTATGGTAACTATGGTTTTGTTTTGTTTCTATGCCAACTTCTGGAAATTCTTACCATGGATATAGTTATAGCCATTATAGTGCACACCAAGTGTACTCCCAACTTTGGGCTGTTGGAGGGGTGGAACATGGTGAAACACAGTGTAAAGGCCCTGGTTCATACCCTGTGGTAATTTCACAGTTTGCTATTGAACATGTCCATTTATAGTGGATTTTCCCATTAAACACGATGATTTTCGATAGTTTTTTGTATGTTTACCAGGGGGCAATGAAATGACGAGAACATCAGAAGGGATTCCCCCACAAGGCGTCAGGGAAAACTGTCAAGTGGGTCAGACTTAAAGACCGGCTGTGAACTCGCAGCCGGATTTCTGTCTTCATTAATTTTAATGTCTTTAAATTTGAATATGTTGGGTGGATAATGCCTGATATCAACTGATATGAAGTGTGTTTTCCGTGCAACTAATTACACGTGTCATGTTTCGATCATGCCCTGCCAAGAGCCCTTGAAATCTCGTCCAGTTTCGGCCATGTCCAGTTTCCTCAGGAGCTCCTTTTTGGTGAGGTCACAGCAAATCCACTGGAGAGCCTCAGTACTTTGGCATTTCTTGGGGAAAACTGGGTCGACTTGGATCGGATTTCTTGGGGTGATTCTTAGGCGAAAAATTGGGGAAAACTGGGTCCGACTTTGGGATTCAGAAAACCAGGGTTTCTGGTCCCGATTAGATGCTTAGATGCTTCCCTTTGAAGCAATGAGCAGATGCTTTTGGCCAAGAATTCGGATGGGACATGGCCTCAGAAACTGACATCCAAACATGTGTATTTGCAAACAGCTAAAGGTCCCCAATGCAGCTATCCCGAAAAAAGTCGACCCCATTCTGATACTACTAAGTACTACTAAGTACTACTAACTGACCTCAGAATTGCTGATAAAAAACGCATGAAAAAAAGGTATTTGAGACTCTCAAGGGTGATACTTTCGCCAGGAAAACCTTTCAGCAACGGCTCTGAGGTACAACTTTGGCCTCGGTCTTCCAGCCGATTTCTTCGCGGCAGGACGGCAGGGGGATAGTCTCAGCATTTTTTTTTGTGGTAGATCTGATATCAATGGCCATTTCAGGATCCTAAATTGGAGGTACCTACCATATATAAGGCCTTATATGGTACAGTACCTCCATTTTAGGATCCTGAAATGGCCATTGATGATAGATCCGTTCTTCCTTGGGTATCTTGGGTCCCAGAAATCACCGTCTATTTGGATCTGCCGGTGATGTCATGTTCCCGAACTCACGGCCATCACCGGGACATCTGGGAAGCCATGGAGGGGTTGAGATGCAGGAGATCACCTGGGGCGAGTGTGATGGAGAACAGAAGGACAGGGGATTTCTGGGTAAAACGCCGAAACGCTGCTGGAAATGGGGTGATTTTATCCCCTGAGGATCCCCTAGTGGTTTATCTTTCTTTGTGCTTGGAAGACCTGACAGATGGGTAGCCCATGGTATCGCAGCCTCGTTTGCCCGTCAGATTCAGTTACGAAACAAATCAAGGCGTGAAATTCTATGGCGAACTTGGGGGGTGGGCAATTCTGTGCACTGAAACCCATGTTTTGTCATCATTCCCAGGTGGACTTTCTCACAAGCTTTGAGAAGTTCTCGTGTCTCGGCATGACCTTGGCAGATAGAAATGACATCTTGATGGCACACAAAGGGATGATGTTCTCTTGTTCAATTCTTTTTTGGCATTCAAGTCTGTCCTCACTTTTCTGGTACACCTCTGTTGTGCAATTCTTTAATTGCAATTGCTTGAGACTCTTGTTTCTCTCAGCGCATGTTCGCCTGGCTATGGCATGTCGTCGCGAAAACCGCCGGATTTCCCGGGTGGAAATTTACATCTTCCAAGACGCCGACCAGGTCGGAACTTTCTGAATCCATCTCAGCTCTTAGTGGTGGCATTGTGAGCCCCTGAAATGGGTGGAGGATGGAGATAACTGGGATAACTGACATTACTATACATTACTGGCCAACTGATTTAGGTAGTAATGCTATGGAGTTATATGGTGTTATATGGTGTTATTATTCGCATTTATCAACTCCATAAAGTGGATGGTGTTTAAAATTGAACATGACCAATGGGATGATTCAGGGATGAACCAGCAAAACAATCATCCCAAAATTGGAAAAGAAAACATCTGCAGGACCTGATGATTGGTAAAAAGATGTACCCTCTGGTGATTTAACATAGCCATGGTATAGATGGCCCATGGAAATAGATGGTTTACCTATTAATAGCATGGTGATTTTCCATGGCTATGTTAAATAACCAGATGGTAAAACACCATGGTATTTGGTTCAATTTGTCCCCTTCACCCAGTGTTTCAGGACCATTTTTGTGGGGTTTCGGTGATGCTCAGCTCCAGGTACTGCAAAAGGACTTGCCTTCTGCCGCAGCCTTGGTATATACCCTCTGGTTATTTAACATAGCCATGGAAAATCACCATTTTTAACAGGTAAACCATCTATAAATGGGTCATTTCCCATGGCTATCTTAAATAACCAGAGGTAAAGAAAACAACAACCAGAGCTTGGTGTAGCTTCAAAAGCTGCAAGATTATGCAAGGAAAGCGTTTTGAGATGTTTTGATTCCACACAGAAATTGGTGATATAACCGGTTTTAGAGCAGAACTTTGAACCAATCCAAGAATTAAGGTGTTGCCTAATTGGGGGAACCAGGATCAGTCAGGTCATTTTCCGAATGTTTTCAATCCTTTGTCCTTGGAGTCATCATATCCGCATACCATTTGTTCCAAGCCACTGGCATTGGTTTTGAGGGTTTTGTTGGCTGACCAAACCTGCAAATGATCAACACCTGTGGAACCCTTAGGAAGCGTTGCCCTTTTAATTTATCCGGGGAAAAAAAAGAAGGATAAATGCAATAAACGACCACCAATTTATGATTCACGATTGGATCTGGTTGGTGGCTTCAAACATGGCTTTTATTTTCCATTTCATATATATATATATATTCATATATGGGATTATCCTTGGGATGTCATCCTTCCCATTGACTTTCACTCACTCCATGATTTTTCAGAGGGGTTAGCAGCAACCACCAACCAGGGATATAGTCCCCACTGTCGGGATGATCTATCGTGATTCACCAGATTCTCGCTGTGGATCCCACCCCAGTCATCCCAACGTATCTCAAGAGTTGATTGCACGCGGGATCCACCTTAAAAACACCTGGATCAGAATGGGATATTAGAGCAACTTGTGCTGGAAAGATATGTTCTTGGGATATGATGAGTTCGAAAGGATTGCCAACTTGAGGCTACCACATGGCTAGTTGGAACAGCCACAAGTTGTTTCGATGATTTTCACGATGGCCATCTAGTTGAGGGATTTCCCATGCAGATTTCCAGGTACAAAACGAAATGGTGGCTCTGACCATAGAACGGGACAATTACCTTAGAATTTAAAGTTTCCCCATGGCATGTGAGTTAAACATAGTTAAACATAGTTAAACTATATGGAGGTTTCCTAAAATGGGCCCCAAACTGGATGGCTTATCATGGAACATGCTATTAAAATGGATGGATTGGAAACCTCCATATAGTTCCTTAGCTAAGTGGATTTACCCGACCAGATTTTCCATCGCTCAGGGCGTCTTCTTAGACCCCAGCAGCCCCAAGTACCAGGACGCAGCTAGTTTGGTGGCTGACTTTATCAGGTGGTGCAAACCGTGATGTTTGTTGGTGAACAAAAAACATATGAATTATGAATAGTATAGATACACAATGATATATCATGAGAGAGATATATATATATCTATCTATGTCCCCTATAAACAAGAGTTCTTGGAGTTATGTTCGCCAACTTAGCTAGGGGGCTCCTTGTGTATTATATGTAGATCAATGATAGTATAGATGGCTACTACCTGGGATGCAGTTGCGAGAGTAAAACCGGCAGATCTCATTTGAAGTCGGAGAATGGTGGCTCTGTGCTGTTTGGCTCAAGCAATTTATTTATCAACAAAGGTCCAAGTTGCGAAGAATATGGGGTTGTGTGGTTTCCTTGAAACATGAGTTTCTTTATTGTCCAAGACCAGCCAAGCCACCATGCGAAATGGCAAGTTCATGGTGAGAGGAAGACCGAAGATGATTCTGCAGCCATTCTTGCCATTTAAGGAGGGTTCCCATATCAACTTTCAGAGGGTTACGGGGGTTACTGGGCCATGAAGTTGTGGCAATTGCAGATGCCTCAGGGCCCAAGCTTTGCGCGGGGCAGGGGGCAGGGCAGAATTTGCCAAACATCTCTATGTCCCTGGGTTTGGCAGATGCATCCACAATTGGTGGGCGAGCTTGTCAATCATCTCATTCTGGTTCTTGTTTTTTTTTCGAACTTTTCCTTCGAACCCTGAAGGCTTCAAACTTGAACAGATTTTTCACGGTTTGCCATGCCACCTTGGCCGCCCAGGTTCATCTTTGGATCCCTTGGATCCTGCCTGGGGCAAGGGCGTGAGGAATCCATAGAGGCATCCCCTGGGTGGGAGATTCAGCACCTGCTGTAGCTTGTTGGGGCCAGGTGTCTCCTGACCCGGACGTTGAAGTTGAGGCCAAGTTGGGGATTGCTCGGACGGGTCGGATGGGTCGGAGTTCGAGGTCTCCTGAAGAGCTGGAAAACCATCGTAGATGTGTAGTTTTTTGGAGGAACAAAGGGTCCAACCTTTAGGAGACATTTGAGGGCGACCTCAATCTACCCTTGGTTTCAGGTTGAGTTCGGACCCGGCAGGTGCGTCCAAATCTTCCAAGAGATGGGGGTGGTGTGATCAGATGTGACTTCTGTCTAGCTGTAGGTGCCAACTGAAGAACCTGCCCGGGGACTCAGGTTGTTTGCCCAGTTGGCCGCCATCTGCTGCAATCCCCCAGGATGAGTTGCAGGAAGACTGCGCTCAATGCCCAGTGCGGCTACTGGAAGTGGTGAGCAAGGCGTGGATCAACTGGGCCAGTGGATCATGATGATCATGGCTCAGCCTGGCTGTGGCATCATGACTTCCAGTTACTCCAATCGCCGATATCTCCAATATCTCCAATCAACATAATCTGGTTGGTGGTTTGGAACATTTTTTATTTTTCCATATATTCGGAATGTCATCATCCCAACTGACGAACTCACATTTTTCAGATGGGTTGAAACCACCAACCAGTAATCAACTTCAGGGGTTTTCCATGCCAGCCATGGGCAAATGCTGTGGCCTGGCTAGGAGGACGATCCAGATGCTGTGACCCGAGGGGCAGGATGTGTAAATTCCCTACTGAACCATGTTTCTGATGGGTGTTTCATATTGGGGGAAACGGGTTCAGATGGTTCAGGCATGTACCCCCTGGTTGGAATCAAAGGTCACAATAGCAAACCTCCAATTTTTTGACACGTAAACTGTAAACGTCTGTAAGCCTGGAAACATCTGTAAACCATGTAGAAGTGGTGGATTTAAAAGTGCCAAAATACAGATTTCTGGATCGCATCGTTTTTTTCCAATCCAGGCACACTATGGTGCGACTGTTGCGATGCCAAGGCTGCAGCCACCCTACAACTGAACGATGCGGGACTGAAATTCCTGGAATCCCAACGTGGCTCGGACAGCCTGTGGGGGATATAGATGCATAAACTTTATAAACGCACAGGCCGATGCACTTTTTTCAAGGCAAAATAAATAAATGCAACAAAAAAGGTGTTTTTGAAAGTGCGTCTACGTCTGGGAAACACATGGTCGCGTTGGCATTTGCATCTGGCATGTGCGTACATACAACATACATTGTAATACCTTCGGGATACTTTTGGAATAGGCATAAACCATTTGGGCGCTGGAAAGGCCATCTGCATCCATTCACGTGGCGGCACTGAGGCTCACCCTTGTTTCTGGCGGCCTTCTTAGTGATCTTTCGACAGTTTTTGCCACGTTTTCAGTGGTGGCCCATGGTGGCCCTCTACGTAAACGAAAGATCCCTCGACGAGCAGTACCCTCTGGTAATTTAACATAGCTATGGAAAATCACCATTTATAGTGAGTTTTCCCATTAAAAATGGTGATTTCCAATAGCTATGTTAGTTTACCAGAGGGTATTTTCCAGGATCTGAGTTGTTGATGTCGCATTGTTTCAATCTGGACTCTGGACCATTGCTCTTTTTTTGGGCGTAGAATTCGGCAAGTGCGATGAACAGAATCACGGGTGAAATGTTCGGAGATTCCTCAGGTTTTTTCTCTTCACATTTGTCAAAATTATCATGGGATTAATATGGTATATCCATTGGAAAATACATACTATATTGGATATATAATGGTATTCTAATGGGATGCTCATGATTGTCATGATATGTCAATGATGCTCATGGCTCAGAGCAAGTACCGGCGCCTGTGCCCCGTGGACCCTGTGTCACATCCCACTTTCCCAAGATGTCGCGTCAAGTTACCTTGGAGATGATTTCCCTTGGCCAGAGGACTTTGTGCCGTATCCATTTCAGCGTGCCAGCCGTGCAGGATGCACCTAAGAAAAAAACGAAAAAACCCATGATGCTCAGCCAAAAAGATGAGGTCAGATGTTTTAAAATGCTGTTTATGGAGATTTTTTATCATCAATTTCTCTGACTCAGATTCAATGATTCAAGTTGATTGACTTTTCACATCGTGACTTTGGTTTTCCTTTCCACTGTGACCGCAAGTGATACCTATACCTTGGAGGGCTAGTTGGACCGGGCGGGTCTTCAACAGGGCCCCGTAAAGCCCCTTTTTTCGCCCCCTTTTCCTCAGGAAACTGTACAAAAAGTGATGGGCTTCGTGGGCGAGGTCTCCAACAACACGGTAGAGCACCAGTTTCCTTATGGCGCTAGCAGCGCCCGTGCTAAAACCGATGGAACCTTCCAAGACGAAGGCGGGATGGCCATGGATGGCCAAGCCGGTCAAACATAGGGTTTTTGCCGCCAAAATACGGGGTGTACCAGACAAGAACAACAGCATCTTGGGATTTGATGTGATATGATTTGATATGGCTTGCGGCATCGGAGTGTCTGTTGGCGCTGACTTCAGCAGTTCATTGGTCACAATCGAGACCTTTCATCAACTCGCCCATCCCTTGCATTAGCTGGCCTTGGTCTGAGAATTGGATGAAGGGAAGAATCAGTTTGCAGGACACCCTTGCATGTTTATTGCTCGGAAGCCGCCTCAAAAAATCATATAGGTTTCGTGGTCAATTTTTCAATTGTTCCCCAAGAAAGATCCAGCCTATTTATCAGCCCTGATTTATCAGCTGTCTGAGGCAAGTCATGCTTTCATTGAAATCAGCTCCGGCTCGGAGACGGAATGGACCTCGGCCTCCGACTGGGCCGAAACCGATGATTTCGACTGGGTTCCAGCGGAGTATCGCTGCGTGGATCGCGTGGATCGCATCGTGTCGAAGCGGCGGCGCTGCGGTAGCAGCTGGTTGTCATCAGCCACCAGCTACTTTGAGCCATGTGGCGAATGTGTTGATTCCCAAGTGTCTCCTTTAAAAAGGAACTGCCATGAAGTGGGACTTGACTTTGGACGATTTTTGTTGGGTCTTTCACCTTTTTTTATGGGTGAATGGGGAATCTGAATAGTGAAGAAGGTTTTATTCTTTTGAAGGAGAAACAAAACCACACAAAACCACTGGAAACTGGAAATGCCCACTTTTAGCGAGGTACCTTCTGGTAATGTAGCCGAACTTTCAAACCTTGGGAACATATGGGGTATGTAATCGTCGAACTCAATGGGTGAATTTCCAGCAAGCCAGGGTTTACTTGACTGGAAAAAACATGGAGAATACATGAGATTTTCTGGAACATAGTGGGAATAGACCCTCTGGGTCTTCAAACATGGCAATGGAAAAATCACCATTTAGTTCGATGATTTTCCCAGCTATAAACCTTCGTTTAGTTCGGGGATTTCCCAGGCATGTTTGATTACCACAAGGCATTCGCCAACATTCCACAATAATATATATATATAATAATATATATATATAATAATATATATATGTTTAATAATACATATATACACATATATATAGTAATAATAATAACAATAATAATAGTAATAATAATAATATATATAATATATATAATATATATAATATATATATGTACATGCCACAAGAAAATTCCATCATATTTCCATTATATCCACCATTTTTTCCAGTGAAAGCCAAATTTACATGACACAAAAAGGGGTTTGCCACGCAGAAAATCCATTGTATCACCACTACATTACACTATATGCCATCATTATTGTCCCACTACACCACATAGTCGGAATGTATACAATGGGAGTGTGAGAAAGACATATCCCCATGATATCCCCATTATATCATCATTATTGTGCCATTACACTACATATGGTGGGAATAGTATGGGTTATGGGTGGCACATCATGGTGGGAATGACACTGATGCGAATTCATGGCACCGTGAAGGTATGCTACCACTAAAAAATCACCAGAATTGTCCCATGATGGAAGTTTTCCCCAGGCAGATCACCATCCAGAAAAGAATGTTAATATATCTTAATCATCCAGAAAATGATCAGAATTGATGCCCGCAATTCTCTCATCATCATCATCATCATCATAATTATTATCATCATCATCATCATGATATCCCATTTAGATCTACATTTTTTACATCCAGATCTACCATTAGATCTACCATTTTCTGGATCCCTTGGCAAAAAGCCAAGGTTTAGGAGGTCACCCTCGCATGGCTGACCTCTATGGCTTCATGTATCGCCGGGAGACGGCCCGAATCCGCGGCCCAGCCCAAAGATGGTGATTTTCCAGAGCTAACTGTTAGTTTACCAAAGGCTATTCACCATCATGATGATAACCATGATAACATAATATAACATATCATGTTTAGATAGCCATACATGATGATTTCTTGATGATTCTTGAACCGGAAAAGATATCATTAAATGGGATGATTCACCATCATAAATCATTGGAAACCATTACGAAAGAAAAACACGAAATGCGTTCAACGATCCACAGATGGGGTAACGGTGAGATCATGAAGGTTCTTCTAGTTCTTTGATCCAGATCGGAGGGAACGGTTCCTCAGCGTTTCCCATCCACATGATAGTTAGCCACCAAGAATATCCCAAACTTGGGTTTATGATGCATGAATCAAATGAACAAAGTTAGCAAAGTTGAAATGAACATCATTTAACACGCTAGGAATTGCAAGACATCAACACAATACGCAAGATGAAACATCAAAACGATGTTCCCCACTTTCACAGAGGAAACTGGAGCGATTTAACCAAGCATTAAAGCAACCATCCAGCACTCAACCAGGAAAAGAGATGGGCTTGCCATCGGACGAATGGTACGCGGAAGGGGACCTCATGCGGTCTGTTTTCCTCACCAACGTCCGGCGGGAGGACGCTGCCCAAATGGGGCTGGAGGGGATGGGTTTTTCTCCCCCCAAAAAGTGGGGGAACCAAGCCGAATATCCCGAAATCGCAGTTTTATGAGGAAAAAGAAATGATAAACCACAGGATGTTTATGGATTTTTGGGGCTCCAAGTTTGGAGACACGTCCATGTGTGATGATTGCACGAACCTGCGTGCGTGCATGTTGCTATGTAAGATTTGCGTTTCTATTTTTTCGGGATCGCTACATGTCTACAGGCGAAGCGCTAGACACCGCGGGCTAACCACAGGTCCGTGTGGAAAAGATATCTGACATGACCTGACTTCGGGGGTGATGGTTTGAGCTTCGTGGGCGGTCAAACATGGTCAAACATTCAACACATCCCCAAGTGCCCTGGATTTGGTGAACCCACCATAGGTGGAATCCAATGGGAACATCTTGGAATTTGTATCCCAAATCAGCATATCCAAACACCATCTATTGATTGGCGAAATTCCGCTTATGATTAAAACACACCATACATAGGTGGAATCTCCATTTATTGCTTCTATAGGCCCCATCCATTTTCATGGTGAAAATCTGTCAAAATCCCATAAAATCCCTGTGCAATCGATGTGATTTCATGGACTTCACCATTGTTTCGTTCCATTTTGAGGACGATGTGACCACCCGTGCAGTTCGAGCTGCTTTACAGCCAGCCTTGGAGGCCTGGAAAGAGCTCAGCGGTCCACATTCCAAACTGCGCTTAGCGGGTCTCATGGTGTTTCACTGCGCCCTCTGGCGGGCCTTTGGCACCAAGGACCAACTGAATTGTGGTGATCTCTGGGGATTTTGGGTGACAGTTAAGGCTGTTAAGGAGCCATCTATTCAGTCTATCTACCCTCTGGTTATGACTAACAGTTCGCCATGGTATAGATGGCCCATAGAAATAGATGGTTTACCTATTAATAGCATTTTGATCTTCCATGGCTATGTTAAATAACCAGATGGTATCTGTTTTAGTGGTTTGACCATTTTGACGATATAGATGTCTGTAACACATATCTGATCAACATGTATCATCCACACTAAAGAAACAAACGCACCCCCATTTTTCCGCATCCTGAATTTGCAGGAGTTTATCCATTCCTTGGGCTTCATGGAGTTTGAAACCTGGGATGAATCTGCTTGGCGCCCGGTGGTGGATGTAGCTATGAGCTGCTGGCAGAAGGGGATCCTTTGCTTCAGCCAGGCCTACTGTCCTTCGCGTACCTGGCGCAAACGCGAAAGCTCTGCAGCGAGAAATCCCAGACCGGCCATCGGGCAGGCGCTGGTGCGCTCGCTGTTTCAGGAGGGGAAAGGAGGGATGTTTTTTTTTTTGGGGAGCGGATCTTCAACTTGAAAATAGATGATGTTGGCTATTTTTATGTTGTTTTTCCCCAGTTTTCCACCACCTTTTCCCCAGTTTGTGTTGTTCAATCCAAATTTTGGATAGTGAAACACATGAAACCATTGGTTTCCCTGTTTTTTTCTAACCGACAACTTGGGGTGAAAAAACCAATGGAAAAAACCATGGCTCTGCAGCTTCTCGAACCTTCAGGAGGTCTGTCAGGTCCACCTGGGCAGCCTTTGGGAGCGGCGTTACGACATCGTGAGGGCGGCAGAGGATGGCTATTCCTGGCAACAGGTGGGGGCTCCATGTAAAAGATTCCACGGGCTTGCCATATGTTGTGGGATTGTAATGGCTTCAAAATGCACACACACAAATATGTAATATGTGCTATATCTACACACACCCACACCCGTATATATATATATATATATCTATGTAGGTAGATAGATAGATAGATAGATTGATAGATAGATAGGGGACATGTGATTGCAGATCGATATACGCGCACGTCGTTTTGTGTCTTCCCCAGCACATTGACATCCCCAACCCTTCGGTTTATCATAACTTTCCCCATGAGCGTCAGGTGGTGCGAGCGATCATGACAGTGCCCAACTACGGTGGTACAGGCATCGACCATGGATTGCATCGATGGTTTTTGTCAATTATCTACGCAAAAATGGTGGAAAGCCGGAAAGCCATCGTTTTTGATTTATCATGTCCATTGTAAGTTGACATGATTTCAGGCGGAACATCGATGAAATCACCTACAAGTAAGTCAAATCTCATATGGCAATTGGAAAAATATGGAACGCATCACTTTGGATTCGAGACAAAGAAAGGTAAACAACATATATAAATCCTGGACTAGCCTGTTGCTGCGTTGATCACCGAAAGGTTTCAAGTTGATGGGCGAACAGGAAGATATGAGGAGCCGTTGCGAAAAATAAAAGAACCCACAACTATCCATTTGCATGGGGCAAGAACATCGGTGAATTTCTATGTAATTATATAAAAGAAATACTGTAAAAGGCCGTAGTGAACTTGACACATGACACTACCCGTTTTCGTCCAGTCCTGAAGTGAGGATCCACGGATGCCCAAAGATACGTAGCCATAGTTGCTGCTATAGGGAAGATTCCTTATCTGAACGGAGTGGGTTTCAATGATTTTTTTCCCATCATGTTTTTGTTCTCCCCATCTTGTCTACCAGCAAAACTTGGGGACCCAACCCTTCAGCAATCCCGAAGTTTTGCTGGCCTTTTTTCCCAGGCTTCTTAGCCAAAGAACTGGCGCAAGACCTTCTGAAGACACCTTTGTTTTGCACTTGGAACAGTGCAAATGGTTCTTTGCTGCAGTTTGGTGCGCGTTCCTTTTTTTGGGTGCTTCTAGTTGGGTCATTTGGGAGAAACATCCCCTCAAGCCATGGTGGATGATACCCCATTCCATCCATTGGTTAATCATTTTCCCCATGAACATGGCCAGAACAGGGAGGTAACATGGCAACATCCACCATTTTTAAGTCACCCATGCTATGAATTTTCTAAATCCCATGACATCCCCGTGATGTTTCCATATTTCCTAGTAAATTTCCCCCCCTAGATGGTTTAAATGGAGAAAAATCAGCATTTTCCCATGGTTTATCTCGAATCCCCTGATGAAATCCCCATGGAAAACCCACCATTTTTTCCAGGTTGATGGTGACCCCCATGGAATCCAATGGATCGAGGCTCTTGGGAAAATCACTGCCAAGACCTCAACGACTGGTGTCCAGTAGGTCCTGGCGCCCGGCGCGCGCTCAACCGGCTGCATGGCAGGCCTACGAAGGAGAACTGCTATAGCGCCCTTCCTGCAGCACTGGAATGTTTTGGACCATTTTTTTGGGTGGGGAAAACCTGGGGATTTAACTGATTTAACATGATTTAACATGATTTAACATGATTTAACATGATTTAACATGATTTAACATGATTTAACATGATTTAACATGATTTAACATGATTTAACATGATTTAACATGGTTTAACATGATTTAACATGATTTAACCATGCTTCACATGGTGGATTTCACTGATCTTAGCATGTAAAATGGGGGAATTAGAGGGAGATCATGTGCTGCCAGTCATGACTCATAATTGTTTTTTTCTACCAACTACATGAGGTTGTTGTCAACCCAGCTTTTTTTCTTTTATAGCTGGAACCATTCTCAGATAGCAGGCAGCAGCCGTGCGGTGCAAGAAAGCTTCGTTCAAGAGCTCTTGGACGTGTACGCGCAGCGGCAGCTCTTTTGGAACCCAAGTCACATGATCGATGACTGGTAGCTGGTTTGCAGCGAAGATCGAGATAGGGCCTGGGGTCATTTGAGTGTTTCAGCTTGGCAACTAGATATTTGTTACCCTTTAAGAATGAGATATATGAGATTCATCAAACAGTTCAGCATGGAAGATTTCACCATCAAACTCGGCAAACCATGGCATTTTTTTTGTTGCAAACCACGGTACAGTCGGATGGAAACACAGTGATCCTCTCTGCCATCCATGGGACCTGGGGCCAGGATGGCCCTGGGGCGGGCCAGGTACCCATCAGGAGAACTGACTCTGCACGACGTTCAGTTCCAGCTGTGCGAGTTCGACAAGTATGAGCGAGCAAAGCACAACGAAGGCTTTGTTCGTAGATATGTGTCTCGTGCTTGGTGGTTTGGAACCATGGAATTTTGATGGATTTCCATTCAGTTGGGAATGGAATCATCATCCCAACTGACTTTCACTCCATCATTTTTCAGAGGGGTAGGTTGAAACCACCAACCAAGTCTTGTACTGAGGCTGTAAGGCACTTTTTTGGGATCTGTTTTTGGGATCTGTGATGGTCATCCAAAAAACATTCAGAGTCAGCAGTTTGTAAGAGGGAACATCGGTTTTGCTGTTTTTCTTGGGAATGGTGGTGGTTGTTGTGGTGATGATGATGATGATGGTGATGATGGTGATGATGGTGATGATGTCTTCTTGCAAGTGGTTGGTGGTTGATCACGAACGATTTCTTGTTATTTCTTATTCAGAATTTGTATTTTCATCATGTTACAGGTGGTGCCTGTACATTCAAGTTCAGATTCCCAAAGATACTGCGACGCTGAAATCTCATGAAATCCCATGAAATCCGCATCCCTGAGCATGATGGGGTCTACCCCTCCCAAAGACAAGGCAATTTTTGATAGGGAACATGATGATTAGCCCATGGACCCAGGGGCACTGATTCCAAGGTTCCCTCGGATGGAGAACCAAGGCGAGATCAAGGAGATGAAGGGGCCGAGGCAACTGGCCACCTTAGAGTGAGATGTGCGCAGATATCGAATTCGTGTTAACTGCCGATTTTGGGGCCTTTTTTCAATGGTTACTTACTGGTATTCTTAGTGGACAGACATATTGCAGACACACACACACATATATATATATATATTTATACATACATACATTTAAATTATATAGTCTATTTTCGATATCTCTATGTGTATGATATTGCTATGACATTTTCATATCTGTAGAATGGAGATATGGATTTGTTCGTATTGGCTCAGTATATGTTTGAGGTCCCAGCTCCCCAGCACGGAGCTTGTACAGTTGGCAGTTCCAGACATTGGCGAAATCGAGGCCAAAAAGGGGACTGCTGGGGCTGTTCAGACCTGGGTTAGTTTTGGATCTAGTCATTTCGGCTGATACTTGGGGAATTGGAAGGGGTTGGATTTATGCATATATACATATACAATATAATATATATATATATAAACAGATAAATAAATAGATAAATAAATAAATAAACACACACACATATATATATATATAATATGCATATATATATATATATCATATATCTATCCGGTTTGACATTTGACCACGTTTTTTTTTTTCGTTGGCTGTTGGCTAAATCCCAGCTCTTGGACCTGTTTCAATCCACAATATCGGTTCGTCTGAAAACAAGGTACCCCTGACATACGAAGCTTTGTATGCTTTTATCATAAATCATTGCCAATTCTGGAACGTGCCAATTTTCGGATAACCCCGGTTCTCTTTGCACAGATCCCCTATCCCATTGACATCATTCTTGAGGTAAATGTCATTGGTTAAAAAAAATGCCAGTTGTTGGTAAAATCCCATGTCGTAAGTCATATCACCAAAAAACTCACCCCAAATTCCATTCTGCATGGAATTAAATCCCCCAAATTTGAGGCTTCAAATCACGATGCTTGAGGGTTTCATTCCTCATGACAGAGTCCTACTATAGTTACCTCCCCCGAAATGATCTCCGAAAATCGCCCGTTTTTGTGGTACCATGTGGTACCGAAAATCTTCCAAGGAGCCCCAGGAAATGGATATAGATGGCTGGCAGATCGGGGTGTTGTTCGGTAAATCAAGTGGTAACTTATAAGGCAAGCAAAGGGTTAGATATATGATATATGATATATGATATATGATATATGATATATATATATATATATATATATGTATGATACATCTGATGATTTATGATGATTTATGATGATTTATGATTTCCAAGTGGTAACTGAAAAAAAAACATGGTAATCTATGCTGGCTTGGCTTCCATCAACCATCCATCACCCGGCCCCTTGGCCGACCTGAGGTGCCAGCCCTGGGGGTCTACCGCGGCGGCAAGTCGTTGTTGCTGAATCGCTTGATGCAGCGACGGGCTCCCTACTCCAACAGCTTTGGGGTGGGCCATGGCCAGCAGACCTTCACTAGGCCGGTGGCTTGGGGTTGAAAGATTTAAACACCTATATAGAACACATCATTATATAGATTATACATATGTATATATATATGAATATATATATATGGATATAGATTTTGATATAGATATAGATCATATAGATGACTTAAGACTCAAGTCATATAAGATCACATCAAATCGTAGAAATTGTCTGTCAGATTTTTTCCGGTTTCTTTGGGCACAGGGGTATTGAGATCTGCGCCGAAGCACTCCCTGATCGCGCTGGAACTGTTGCATCTGGGACCTGCGGGACGGATGGATTTTAGGCGGATGCTGGGATTGGATCATTTCACTTCCAGCGTTGTTTCAGATTGAGAAGTGCAGCTTTTGGAGAAAAACCCTCTGGTAAATTAACAGTTGGACTTGTTGGACCCTGATTTTATAGCCTAGTTTTAATGGAAACTAATCTTCCAACCCCGATGGCTGCCAGGGTCTATGTTAATTTACTGGAGGGTAGATCGGATAGTGGAGTAATCCACCTGTGGGTGCATCAATTCCGAGCGGGGGCTGAAAAAAGCATTGCAAAGTGTGGCTGGTCTCTGGCAATTTGCGGAACATCTCAGAGCGAACTTCGAATTTTCAACAGGCTCATCACGGAGGAAGGGGTTGCCAGATTACATTGTTGGATGCCCTCTGACAATTTATCACAGCTATGGATAACGGTCCATTTGTAGATTTTTACAGCGTAATTTTCGATATTACACTGTTAAATTAGCAGAGGGTATGACTTTAAGTGGGTTCCCATTGGTTCCCATTCGGCCCCAAGAACTTTGGTCTTCACATTTTGACCCATCCTGAGGTGTGGATGGACACCGAAGGCTTGTTCTCCTCCGAGGTGGGTCATGGCAGAGTCTCCTTGTCGTCGCTTTTGGAAAATTGGAACCTGGGAGCTTCCCAAGATGCTGAAATTTCACATGGAGAAACTGAACAGATTTGGGTTTACAACGGGCACCTTTTTTGGCCTGTTTCACCTACCCTCTGGTAAACGTTTACATAACGAACTGGAAAATCACCATGCTATTCATGAGTAAATCAACTATTAATTTTTATGGCAATTTTCAATAGCAAACAGTTAGTTTACCAGAGGCTATTTTTTCTACGGTTGACTCTCCTTCCGGGTTCAGGCGGTAACCACCAGCACTTGCTGCGCAGGATGCACGGAGTGCCTATGGCCCCAAGATCTTCAGTTTGGCTCTGCTGTTCTCCTCAGTCGAAATCGCTCAGCTGCTGGGGGTCTGTTTAACAGGTTGAACCACCACAACATGACAATGGATTGGTTAAAGAAAAATCTTCACTGGAAGCCATGGTTATTGCCATTGAATATAGATGAATATAGGGCATCACTGTCAATTTTCCCTTGCACCAATCCAGTTGAGATTGACGCATAAATTTCATACAAGTTGATCCTCTAGAAAACACCGGAGATGATGATATGCTGTAGTCAGCCAGCTTTATGAGGTGGTCCTTCTCAACAACCTCAAGGCTGGCACGTGGTTTTCGTGGGTTTGTAGTTTCCAGAGATGCCATGATTGCGACGGCGTTGAGATCAATGAGCAGATCGAGCAGATCAGGTACTGAACCAGCAGTTCTTCCTGTTCTTTGAGGAGCAGCAGCAGGTGGCGCGCATTCTGCGCGAGGGCTTGCGTTCAGAGGGCATGCGGAGTCGGGGGCTCAGTTGGGCTCAGTTGGGCTCAGGGGACACCATTTTCTGATGGCCAGATATGGCCAGCACATCTCCCACTTTTTGAATTCCGGTAAAGTTGCGGCCCCCCAGTGATGAGCGTCATTTTAAGTGGGCTTCATGACTGCAGCCAAGTGCATTGTATCATTTAACCCCTTGGTTGTCTTGTGCCAAAGGATTAGCACATTCCATTCCAGAAAGTGCGGGTTTTTGATGATTTTTGGTGGGAAAACTTATGATTTTTCGGTGCAGATGGGTCTTCGCGTGAGAGGTGACCTGTTGCTACCAGAGAACTTGTCCATTGCAGCGCCCTCAGAGAGATGAGATGAGCGCAATGCTGAAGCTGATGCTGATGTAGCAGGACTTCAAGATATCAAATCCTTCTGCAAAACTGGAAGTTTTGAGTAATTCCATTCCCTTAATATTAAACACCCGCCAGAAACCATGGTCTATTTGGAGATCTACACATTTTGGGGGTCTTAAAAGGGGGACGGGATTATTGAATTCATTCTCAGAGTCATTCGAAGTCGAAAACCACGTCAGCGATCTGAAGTTTGCAGCTTCTTTCGCATCAAAAGTCTGTAGAAGAAATCAGAGCCATGGGGGGCCAAATGTCGGGCCATGTTTTTTGCTTTGGATGCTTTGATGGGCCGCTTGGTGGCCGAAAAAGGGGCTCTTTTGGGCTCATCTCAGCCAATGGTGAGGCTTGCAGGTCATTTAAGCACGGTAAGCACAATGTCCGGCCGCAAAGGAATGTGCCAAATGAATATGCCACACGGAGCCCCAGATGAACTTCGGAATGTGTTTGGAAAACATAACAGCCATTGAAATCAGGGGCTATCCAATCCACAGTCGACTCGCAATCGACTTCCGAAGATAACAAATCAAATAGGTCAAAGTCACCCTATCAAACCTAGAGTCAAGGGTGGAAAGAACCATGGTCTGTGTTTTGGGGTCCCAAAAAGGACATCGAGTCCCTGCCTAACAACTGCAGTCGTGTACAGGCCACCCCTTCGAAACAGAAGTCGTAAACCACACAATCATCACTGGAATGGTCAAACATTCATTGTAGCAAAGCAAAAACCACCAAAAATTCTAACTTCTAGGGCCAACATCACCAAATAGCACCGAAATCTTTCATCAATTCCATGGTTTCTCCATGGTTTCTCCCCCGTCCCAGTGGCCCAGGCTGCAGCGGAAGAAGTTGACCCATCCAGGCTTCGAAAAACTGGAGCCCAGGGAGTCTTCCAGGGAGCCAAGAGAGGTGCGAAGACCCTCGAAACCCCACGTTCCGGTGGCACCAGCAGCAGAACCTCCACGCAGGCGCTGAGCGGAAGCTCTGGAACATGCTGGAAGTGATAAAAACTATGGATGAACCACCCATATGGATCCATATGGATCCATATGGATGGTAAAATACCACCCATTCATTGATATTCATTGATATTCATTGATATTTATGGTAGCTTGGGGATGGTTTATGATTGCTTTACTAAGCAACAACTTTTCGAGGTGAAGCGTTTATTCACCAATATGGCCAAACCCAAAGAATCCACCCGACCTGTTCGGGTCCCGGAAGAGGCACCTGCCATCACAAATTGATGGCTAAACTCGCGATGATATGATGCCGAAAGTCGATTTTTCCGATTTTCCTGGCTTCACAGCAGCCAAACATCATACATCAACATCATACATCAACATCTAAAACAACACTACATAATACCACATAACTACATAAATCAAGACATAAATCCAGACATCACCACTTCCACCATCCTTTTTCCATCATTTTCCCATCGTTTTTGTTCCATCCCCAAGTTCCCAATGCCATGCACCAGGCGTTGTTGGTGCTGCCGCCGGGCCAAACGTCCATCGAAGTCCTCCTCCATGGGCGCCTACAGCTGCGAGGATGGCGTGGCGTGTCCCACCCTTGACGAGTTGGACGCCGCGCAGCGGGGCATGCTGCAGGAGATGCGGAGCAGAGTGCAGAAACTGCAGTGGCCCAAACGCCACGATTTGTGGTTCAAGAGGTGGGGATGGATGGATGGATGGATGACCATGGATGGTTGGATGGGGATGGTCAAACAGTGCTGATTTTTTTGGGGGCTAAAGATGATCAGACGTGGTTGGAACGTGTTGGAACATGTGCGAAACATCTTGAGCCCTGGCTGCCATAAAGAGTCATAAAGCTACCATGTGGGGATGGTAAACCTAGAGCCCATAACACATGGTGATCTTGAGGATGGTTTGCTATTGGGTTTACCATGGTTTACCACAGTAATCCGAAATTTTGCTTAAATGGGAAATGATAAAGCTTCACAACAATCACCGAAACTGCATATAACTATACATTTACTTCACAGACATACCCGTTTTTGGGACCAAAAACCATCAAAAGAACCTTGCTTTTGAAGTCATGAACCAGGTTTCTGGCCCACAAGAAGTGGAACCTGGAGAAAGCCATGGCTGCCTATGTTGACATGGAGGAATGGAGAAGGGAGGTTGGAGCTGATCACATTCTGCGAGAATATCCAGATGGCAAGCTGAACTCCGTGCTTCCAGTGGACATCACGGGATTTTATCCCTACAGTGTTGCGCCTTGATTGCAGTTTTTTTTGAGACATCTGTTCGCCAAACCATGTGAACATCCACATTTTCGTTGGGCCGTTTCTTTAGGCCCGCCAGGTCGAGGCTTTCCGAGATCATTTTTCATGTCTTCATTCAGCAACTTTAGTCGGTTGATGGACTATTATCATGGATTCATTGACTGTAATGGTAATCATGACAATCATAAATGTGTATATAGATGTCACACACACATGTTTAAATAAACACATATCTCATCACATCTCTATAAATATATGTATATATATATATCTCTCTCTCTCTTTCTCTATATCATATCGACACTCTCTCCGTTCTCCCTAATCTATCTATTTATTTATTTATCTATCTATCTCTCTATCTCACTATCGATCGATCAATCGATCTATCTATCCATCCATCCATCTATCTAATCTATCTAATCTATCTAATCTATCTAACCTATGTAATCTATGTAATCTATCTAATCAATCTAATCAATCTAATCAATCTAATCTATCTTATCTAATCTATCTAATCTATCTAATCTATCTAATCTATCTAATCTATCTAATCTGATCTAATCTATCTAATCTATCTTATCTAATCTATCTAATCTATCTAATCTATCTAATCTGATCTAATCTATCCAATCTATCTTATCTAATCTATCTAATCTATCTATCTATCTATCAATCAATCTATCAATCTATCTAATCAATCTTATCAATCTTATCTATCTTATCTGTCTTATCTAATCTATCTAATCTATCTAATCTATCTAATCTATCTAATCTATCTAATCTTATCTAATCTTTCTAATCTATCTAATCTATCTAATCTATCTAATCTATTTAATCTATCCTATCTAATCAATCAATCTATCCATCCATCCATCTATCTACCTATCTATCTATCTATCTAATTAATTATCCAATTATCTTTTCTATCTTATCCATCTAATCTTATCTTTCAAATCTTGTCTATCTAGTCTTGTCTATCTATCTATCTATCCATCTATCTAACTAACCTTATCTATCTAAACTTATCTAATCTGATCCAATCTGATCTAATCTGGTCTAACCTATCTATCTAATCTATCTATCTAATCTATCGATCTAATCCATCTATCTAATCTATCTATCTAATCTATCTAATCTATCTATCTAATCTATCTAATCTATCTATCTATCTATCTAATCCATCTAATCTATCTAATCTATCTAATCTATCTAAAATCTAATCTTATCTAATCTTATCTCATCTTATCTAACCTTATCTAATCTTATCTAACCTTATCTAATCTTATCTAATCTTATCTAATCTTATCTAATCTATCTAATCTATCTAATCTATCTAATCTATCTAATCTATCTAATCTATTGAATCTATCCTATCTAATCAATCAATCTATCCATCCATCCATCTATCTACCTATCTATCTATCTATCTACCTAATTAATTATCCAATTATCTTATCTATCTATCCATCTAATCTTATCTTTCAAATCTTGTCTATCTAGTCTTGTCTATCTATCTATCTATCCATCTATCTAACTAACCTTATCTATCTAAACTTATCTAATCTTATCTAATCTGATCCAATCTGATCTAATCTGGTCTAACCTATCTATCTAATCTATCTATCTAATCTATCGATCTAATCCATCTATCTAATCTATCTATCTAATCTATCTAATCTATCTATCTAATCTATCTAATCTATCTATCTATCTAATCTATCTAATCTATCTAATCTATCTAAAATCTAATCTTATCTAATCTTATCTCATCTTATCTAACCTTATCTAATCTGATCTAATCTGATCTAATCTGATCTAATCTGATCTAATCTGATCTAATCTGATCTAATCTTTTCTAATCTTTTCTAATCTGATCTAATCTTATCTAATCTTATCTAATCTGATCTAACCTGATCTAATCTGATCTAATCTGATCTAATCTGATCTAATCTGATCTAATCTGATCTAATCTGATCTAATCTGATCTAACCTGACCTAATCTGATCTATTCTGATCTAATCTGATCTAATCTGATCTAATCTGTTCTAACCTTTTCTAATCTTATCTAATCTTATCTAATCTTATCCAATCTTATCTAATCTGATCTAATCTGATCTAATCTGATCTAACCTTATCTAATCTTATCTAATCTTATCTAATCTTATCTAATCTTATCTAATCTTATCTAATCGTATCTAATCTTATCTAATCTTATCTAATCGTATCTAATCTTATCTAATTTTATCTAATCTTATCTAATCTTATCTAATCTTATCTAATCTAATCAACTCTAATCAAACCTTATCTAATCTAATCGAATCCTATCTATCTATCTATCTATCTTTCTTTCTTTCTTTTCTTCCTTTCTTTCTTGCTTTCTTTCTTTCTTTCTTATCTAATCTAATTTAATCTAATCTAAACTTATCTAATCTACACAACCTAATCTTATCTAATCTTATCTAATCTTATCTAATGTAATCTAATCTAATCTTATCACATCATATCTTATCACATCATATCTTATCATATCTTATCTTATCTTATCCTATCCTATCTCTCTATCTATCTGTCTATCTATCTATTTATCTATATCTGTTCTTGTATATACATCACATATTTGCTCCATTTCTTCATTACCGTTCCCTTTTTTGGTCGCTTCAGGATAAGACGGGCCGCTTGGTGATCTGGATGCGCACCGGCCACGTTCCGTGGTGGAGATCTTTGTTCGAACGAACGGATGAAGCTCTGCGTGCGCAGCTCTGGGCCGGCGAATGGATCTATGCGCAACAAGCGCAGTTGGCCAAGCTGACAGGTGCCCCGTGGTGCCGTTTTTGTTGGAAGTCTTGCGGGCAGAATGGGCCGAAGTCACTAGTATTTCCATGAAGAATGCTAGGGTTGAAGATGTTGAAGAATGTTGAGCCAATAATAAGATGGAACTGGGTATGAGTCAAGTTATTGGGGCAACATTGTGAGCCAGTAAAATGGGGAGGACACCAACAGATATGACTTAACTCAAATGTGAGTTCCCAAAGAGTTGAAACATCGTGTAGATCGGATTCCGAACTTTCAAGCCATTGCCAGGCATATGGCATGAGCGCGCAGTGGTGTTGGTGGACCTGAGTGACTTGGATTTCAACTACTTCCAGGGTTTATCCAGCTGCAGTCGTGCGCGGCGCCGTGGGGCACAACAAACCACCGCGCAGTATTATCCTGGAGTGGTGGATAAGGCCTACCTTTTGCACGCGCCGGGTTTTGCGAGTCGGGCTTGGAGTGTCTTGAAGTACTTCCTTTCGGAGAAATTGATGGACAAGGCCTGAAGAGGGGGTTCAAATGCAGATGCCGGAGATTATTGGGTTACAGATTTAAGGTTCTCCCCCAAACTACCAGGACTACCATTTTCATCCATTCTTGGCTGTCTAGCGGCTCTATTCACATTTTTTGTTGGTGAAAATCAGCCCTCTCTCCTTGCAGAGTCCTTGCGTTGACTTGGGAGGCCCAGATGGTTTCCAGCGAGGCCGAAATGCAGCAGATGCTGGGCGATCTCGGTGCAGCCAATGTGCCCAGGAGCTTAGGGGGCACCAGCGATGGACCCGACCTGCAGCTGCCTGTGGCGTTGATGATGCCACGGAATGGCTGGGGTGAGATGCTGGAAGCCTGGAAGCCCAGGGAGATTTCGATCCCAGCACGAAGCACACACCATGAGATTCTGGTAGCGCCAGGTGGTTCTGTCAGCTGGCAGTGGGCCTTGGTGGGGTCCTCGATCACCTTTCAGGTACAGCGGCAGACTGGAACTGGAGCCACTGAAAGTGTGCTGCAGCCTACGGAGTGTCATTTTCATGACTTGGAAGAGCCCATTTTTGGCCGGGCGATGGCTCAAACACCCACGGAATTTCATTTCAGCTGGGACAACAGCGCCTCGCATTGGTCCAAGAAGCTCCTGTTGCGTCTGGAGGTCTCTTCCTCAACCATGGGAAACTCCCCCTGAACCCCGAAGTATGGCGAGTTGTCTTGAATTCAGCAGGTGCCGGCCCAAGGCCCACACTAAACTGCTAGGAGTGTACAGCTGGTTTAAAGATCAATAGATATATCCCATATAAGGCACATAGGTGCACATAGCATCCTCAAAAGTTTGAACCCTCCAGCTTTGGAGGCTTTGGAACCTCTGGGTCTGGCTGAAGGGGGGGGGTAAACCGAGTGTAGTGAGTTAATGTTCGGACGGTTTTCCCAAGTGCGTCAAACTTTTTGTGGCCCGTTGAGAATGGCTCAACTGACCGCCCAAATGGGCCTCATAATTTGAGACCGCACCTGGACGCTAGAGTCAAACAAGCACGCGGAGCCAGGTGGATTTCGGTTGCTTCGATCCTTGTTGTTTTTTTTTTAATATAAATAAATACATATATAAATATATAAATAAATAAATATATATATATATATGGCACCTTTCATGTTTGAACATGTTTTAAGGATGAACGTTCTTGTTGCCATTCTTCAGCTGTCAAACTTACCAACTCAACAAATCATCAAACATCAAGTGATTCCAAGTCTTCCTTCCTTTTTGTATCCAGTAGATTAGCACATGGATGTGGAAAGCCCGCCATGATGGTAGATCATTCTTCCATATCCTCCATCGAACGCGGAAAAATGCCCCACTCAATTCCCTTCCAGGATTTTCCCATTCAGAGTTCATTTAGAATGGGGAAATCGATGAAAATCCAGCATTTAGAGACGATTTTCATACATATTTCCAGGATTTTCCCATGGATTTGCCGAGGGATTTCCAATGATTTCCACCCTTCCCGGCATTAGGTGTGGGTCTTGAACCAGCCCCATAGCTTGGCTACTTCCAGCGAGGAGGGGGATTGGGAAAGTGGGATGATATTGATTGATAACTTATATATCTATAGAATCTATAGCTGGTTGGTGGTTTGGAACCATGGAATGTTATGACTTTCCATAATTATATTGGGAATTTCAATGAATTTCATCATCCCAACTGACGAAGTCATATTTTTCAGAGGGGTAGGTCAACCACCAACCAGATATGTATACCATTGTACACCTATATGGAAAAAGCGCGCCCCTTGGCTTCCCTACAAATATATGGGATGATACACCCGAACATATTGGGAACCTTTTGTGCCCTATCAGTGATCAATGGCAAGGCGAGTCAAGTGCAGTTGGATTCCTTCCTCACCATCCAGGACTTGGCTTCTGCCATGCCGGGAATGGGACGAATGGGACCCGTGGTAGTTTTGGGAGTTCCATCAGGAAACCGGGAGAAAGGAGATCATGATATAGGCATTTCGGGCCCTCCATATCAGGGATAGTCCTCTCCATATCTCTCCATGCTTGTAGGGTAGGAAGAATGCAGGAGCCCAGTTTAGCACGAGAGTATGTGCTCCGTGAATGTCAAGCGATATGCTCGAGAAAAATAATTACGGGATACAACATGCTTTTATTTATTGAATCAAATCGTCTGTTAAAAGGGGATTTTGCTGTTAAGAGCCATGCGGTTCACATTGGAAACCTTCATCATAAATTAAACGCTACTTTTTTGCGCTTGATAATTATAAATAACTATAATATAATATAATTATCTACACACACACACATATATATATATATATACGGCAGGGGGAGGAGGTTCCCCGAGAGGACGTCAATCAGGATCATTGAATTGGAGAAAAAACTGTGTTTCACTGTGGTAAAATGGAGATTTTTCATGTCGTTCTTTTCATTGTTGATGTCTTTCAATTACGGATCAATTTTTTTTCGTCCGTCGAAGTTGAAGTCAATTATGGACCATCACAATATGTTTTTTTTGGTGTTCTTATTTTCTCCTTTGGAATTACGAGGTGGACATTTTGTGCTATATCAAAGATCATTGGAAAGGGTATAATATACTGTGTTTCCACAGGTATTTTGATGTGATGTTGTTTTTCATTGGTAATTCACAGTGATTTTGCATATCATAAAAAATTCCGATTGCTGTGAGTCAGCTGTTTTTTCTGTTTGTATACAAAAGCATTAGTACAAGACATATCAACCACTATAGAAGGCACAAACCCGACCAATTCAAATGTAATTCTATGCAAGAAGATACCATCGTAGAACATTAAAATAAAATATAACGATGGTGGTACATTATGTTAAGATACCGATACATATTGTTTGATTGGGATAAATCGTTATTTGGGTTCCGCCACACACGCTGCAATCGTTCGCGGCCAAGTCCCATCTGGGTCACCCAACCTCATGCACGCAGCAGGCATGTGCCACCCGCAATCCCCCCCGTGCTGCGTGGAACACAGAACCCTACGTGCATGCAACCACATGTCAACATTTCATTAGATGTACTTCTAACTCATTTTATATGAACAGATTCCTTTTCTGATTGCAAGACGATGCGGATCTGCATAGTGTCCCATTGCTTTGAGTCAGGTTTTCTTTTCTCTCTCAGGCGTCCCACGGTGCTTCTTTGAAGACTAACGCAGGCTGCCGGCAACTTTTCATTGCCAACTCCTTGAAGCGTGCGAGTGCATTCAAGACACTTTCCAAACCAGGCTTTTTGCTTACATAGTGCACTGCTAGAACGTTGCTATGTTCGATGGGGTCGTTGACAACCTTCTGCAACCCGTGGCGTCTCAGCTGTGCCTTTGTCACAGCAGCCAAGGACTCGGCTACGTTGTCTCCACCCACCAGCAGAAATGAAGTATGGGTTTCCTTGCAACATCCTTGTTTGGTCAAGTGTCTCAAAAGACTGACCTCATCTGTACGGAGTCCCTTTTTGGGAATGGTGCTCAAAGGAGTAAAAAGGTGGCGTATGTGAGAATCGCCTTTCGCTGGCTGGGTGTTCCAGCCATTTTTGCAGCAGCTTGCAGCGATCGACTTCCATCTGCGGCAGCCAAGTGTTGCCCCTTGCGCAACTTCGACATGACCGGAATCACAGTTTCCGCCAGCGATTCCGGACCAGCAGCTGGGCCTCCGAACAGAAATGACCAAGGTTATGTTAGTACTTCAGAAAGCACAAGAGGGACACTTGAAACCAACCAACTGAGAAAAGAAGATTTCCTTCAATAGTTTCTAGGTGGAAACATTTCAAAATGTTTGTCAGTCGAAAGTGCCTTTGTCTGCTACTTTTGGCGGCAGAGGTAGGACAGCATATTGCTTGGTCGCAACGGAACCGTCGACACAGCGAAGCTTGAATACGATGTGACGTCCTCGAAAAATCTTGTCAGCTTTTTTCGAACTGCTCGCGGGTCTCTTCATCACCGGCATCCTCTTGCGCTTCAAAAACTTGTTGGCTTTTCTTTCCACTTTGTAACGCTTTTGTTTGGCATCTTGGACTGCACTCTGAGATGCTTTGCGTTGGACTGTGGCAGTGCATGTGTCAAACTCAAGAATGCCTGCAGGAAACTCAAATGAAGTAGAATCCAGATACTCACAGGTCGCCAGTGCAAGACGAATGTCTTGTGCCCACGCAGTCATTCGCTTCACAGTGACTCCTTCCAGGAGATGTTCCATTGAATCCATGGGCGTTTTGATTCCTATGAGGTAGCAACAACGCAGGAAATTGGTGTAGTCGCCATCCTCATGTTGACGCACTTGCGAATGCAATGTGGTGAAAGCCTCCACCGGAAACGTCAATTTCGGATGTATATAGCAGCTTTTCGTGGTACACTTCAGTTCATCATTCACATTGCGGCCACTCCGTACCATTTCTTCTCCACATGAGAAACAAAGAGGAAGTTGATCTGAAAGGACACCGTGTTGCCAGAGAAATTTTTTACACGTCTTTGCTCCCCAGCTGCAAAGTTCTGGGTAGGAGACCTGTTTGAGATCCCTCAAGGCATGGGTGCCACTGCTGGACGATGTCGAATACTGAATTTGCAAGTCTTTGTGTTGCGCATTTTTTTGGGCAACGGCTCCTTTAGAGTAAACCTTTTCGGCTTTATCCTTTTTTAAAGTACCCAAGTGTTTCACTTTGGGCATGTCGGGAAAATTGTTTGTCGGAAAAATGGCTGCGGACAAACAGAGTTGGCACAGCCTGCCAGACGACCTTGCCACGGACCTTCACTTCCATATCATATGCAATGTCACGATGATGTTGGCACTGCCGCATATTGCCTGAGCCTTTTTCACGGAACTGCAGCTCAGTCCATGGCATTTCTTGCCAAAGCATTCGACATGTCAGTATACTCGCGCTTCTGTAGCAGCGGAAATTGCTTCACCTCTGAGCTGGTTGCCAGTCTCATTTCCCAACATTCACGCCTTCCGCCTGAGGACTTCCACCATTTGTTGCAGATCCTCGGATTGACTTTGAATCATCATCATGACCAGCACCATCATCATCATCATCATCATCATCATCATCATCATCATCATCAACCTCAGCAACAGCATCAACCAGACCAAAATCATCAAGATCAAGGAGCAAATGCTTCCAAGAAAAACGAAAGTCTCTTGGGAAAAAAGGCCAAGGCGCAAGAATGCCTTGCCACGCCTCTCCGGCGCACAAGTGCTGTGAAAGACATGTGGAGAACGCGCGCAGCCATGTACCGGGCATGCACCCCACTTATACTGCTTGCTGTTCTTGTCAGTGACGCATGGCTCATCATGCCCGGAAGACGGCAAAAGGGATGAAGAGGAAGAAGGCAGAGATGGTCTGGAAACATCACATGGAGAAGGAATGTCTGGTACGTTTTCCTCATCTGATACGAAAACTTCTCTTTGATACCACAACTTGAATTTCTTGGTCTCAGGAGAATCATCTGGCACCAATGGCTCCGAAGCTCCAGCAGGGTCATCAGAGGACAATCTAAAATACCTGGCTTCCGTCCTTGGCGAGATCACACCAGGATCAGGTCGCAAACGTTTTCGCGGAGGAGTCTGCAGCTGGACATCCGCATATGCGTCTGCAACAGAACAAGCAACCACTTCCACATCAGTGCGCTGCGCCTCCTCATCGCGAAGCGCAGCGTTGACTTCCTCTTCACTCCAGTGAAAACATGGAAAGGATACATTGAACCAGTATGGAAATTCCAAAAGGTGCCGCCATGGAGAAAAGCGACGTAACATGACTCTAACCGCAGCCTCCACACATTCCGGCAACGGTTTGGACTTCACACGATCTATCCAAGTTTTCTGCAGCAAACGATGGTGAGTCAGCAAACAATGCAATCGTTTCTCCCACCAGTCATGAATCAAAACAACATGCAGCGTCCAAGCAGCGGCACTCGTAGAAACATCTTGGCCGCTACTTTCCAGAGCTAACATAAGCAAAGAATCTAAGTACTCTCCAGAACACCTCCACAGAGGTAAAAGCTCCTTGTGAGGAGCATCACATGAAGCCAAGCGCAAAAAAATAATGAAACATATGGACAGCAACTGTTGTACGGAAAGTGACCTCATTATTGAGCCCGAGGAAGGCTAGCAGCTCGAAAATCTCTGTCGCATAATGCCGAGATGTGAGAAACAAAGCAGTTCATGTCTCGTATGATGTTACTATGATGCAGAAAAAACAATATACATACGTGTTTATTGATATGCAAGTTCAATGCCTTTTCTGATCTATTACAGTAATCCCTGGATCCCCAATATGATGTGTGCAATTTGCACTATCGATTTCTTTGGTATCCTATTTAGAATTAAGATGATCCAAAGAGTGTTATATTTAAGTGACTACAAATAATGTTATTCCAAACCAATCGCCATCCGTTGCAGCCAAGCGTAATCCATCGACACACCGACAACTCATCTGAGGTAGTGGCCTGAAGCCGGAGAAAAGCACGGACAAAAACCAAAAAGAAATCCAAACATGGTGAGTGGCCGATCAACCAGAAGCACTATGGGGTAAATATAATAACATAATGATATCTATATAAGTTTCCCACCCACCCACCCGTAGCATCTACTTCCCGTGCTTGTTCGAGAGAACTCACACTTGCGTAGCATGACGTAGACGTGACAAGTACAAGATAAATTACACTAGCATAGCATGACGTAGACGTGACAAGTACAAGATAACTTACACTAGCGTAGCATGACGTATGCGTGACAAGTACAAGATAACTTACACTAGCGTAGCATGACTGATGCATGACAAGCACAAGAGACATCACACTAGCGTAGCATGACGTAGACGTGACAAGTACAAGATAAATTACACTAGCATAGCATGACGTAGACGTGACAAGTACAAGATAACTTACACTAGCGTAGCATCACGTATGTGTGACAAGTACAAGTTGCATGAACGTTATTACACCCCACCCCACCCCACCCCACCCTAACCCTTCACGCAAGTTACATGAACGTTATTACACCCCCCCCCACCCCACCCCACCCCTTCCCCCCCTCGGGGAACCCCCGCCCCCTAGGGTATATATATATATTTGATAAACGTGTTCAATTGTATCTGGGACATCTTATGACATCTGCGTCTAGTTTACCTATTGGGGTTGCTGAGCCACATTGCATTTGTCAATTTTGTACGGCTGTGTTCCCAGAATATCATAGAATATCACATGTGGGAAAGCGTGGAAAAACGTGGGGGTTCTGCTGCACAGGAATTTCTGCGTCACCAGAAGCCTGAGTTTCTTTAAGGGATCCTTTTGCGCTGAAGCCGAAGGGGAAGGGGTGCTCCCCCAGATCTAGCCTGACGCAGAGGTCCATCGTGGCATGGTATGTTCTATATGCCTACAAAGCCGCACATAGATTTATAATAATGATGATGATAATAACGGCAATAATAGTTATAATGATAAAGATAATGATGATAAAGATAATGATGATAAAGATAGTGATGATAACAATGATAATAGTAAAAAACAATAAGAATGATAGTAATACTGATAATAATAATGATAATAATAATAACATAATAATCATAATAATATTGATCATAATAATGATAAGAATAATGATAATAACAATAAAAATAACAAAATGATAGTAATAATGATAATAACAATTGTAATAATGATAATAATGATAATAATGTTAATAATGCTGATAATAATGATAATAAACATAGCAATAATGATAATAAAGATGATGATAATGATGATAATAATGATAATAATAATGTTGATAATAATATTACCGATAATAATACCAATAATAATGCTGATAATAATAATAATGATAATAAAAATAGCAATAATGATAATAATAATGATAATAATGATAATCATAATGATAATAATAATGCTGATAATAATAATAATACCGATAATACTGCTACTACTACTACTAATAATAATCATACTGATAATAATAATGATAATAAAAAAGATAAAACCGACCTAGCATCAATTCTCATGTCCAAATTAATTTCCAAGTGAGAGCAAGTTTCATCTACAGAGCACGTGGAAGTTAAATCCAAGTACATGGAAATCCCACCCCGAAATAGCCTTTTATATGACCCCACATGTGACTTTACATGGGTACCCTGGTCTGCAGAGTAAACGCTGAAGTTCAATCCAAACACGGGGAATTTCCCGAAGTATCCGAAGTGACCCTTTGAACTGACCCAAAATGAAATTACGACGACAATCGGCATGTCACTGGTTGAATCAGCACTTCTTCTTATGCTGATGCTATTGTTGCTGCCATCCACTGGATCCCCGGCCAAAATGCCAGGTGAACAAAGTAACGCGATTGCAGCCGTGCACCCCTTTCTCAACAGCTTCAATCGGGGCCGTGCGTTTTTCGGAATTTGCATTCTCCCCAATCGGGGCTGCTGTGGGGGCATGTGCTGGTCGCGTTTTCCCCATCCCCCGACGTGTGGGACCACAAGCGCACCAGCTGTTCCAACAAACCAGAAACAATTAAGTCATTTCAGCGGATCCATGGCCTTGCAGGACAAAGCTCGCGAGCGCATCAAGGATTCCTTCACGCATTTGATCCATGAGGCCTCAGAGTTTGCATTGCGCTGCCGCGACGTTATCGTTGCTTGAGATTTTTGGAGAAAAAAACAACTACCGTCCGGTAATCCAACATTGTTTTTCTGGAAAACCCGTGGTTTAGTTTAATAGTTTAATGGTTTTCCCAGCTGTATACCCGATGCGCCAGCCACGTTTGATTACCAAAGGGTATATAGGTCCCAAAGTTGGTGCAGGTGCCATCAGCCACCCATTACCAACCTCAATGGTCCAAGTTGGACCAGCTACCCGAGGAGGACCTCTGAGGCATTTAGCGCGTTTTCGTTGTGTGTTTGGAATGATGGAAGTTCCAACGGTATCCCACAAAACTTAACCAAATAACAAAACCACCCGATTATGACAGGTTTGTTCCACAAGTCAAAAGGAAATATTTTGATTCCAATGATTTCAGCATGGCTGGCTAGATGTGGAATTCGAAATGGGACATTGGTTTTCTTGTGGCAATGTCCGCCATATTTGTTTCAGGAATTGTTGCCTGAGTATGTCTCGGCCATCCAATCTTTGCGACAGCTTCTGTTTGAACCTCAGTCCAGGTTTTCAAGCGCGTTCCATTGGTGTTTTCACTTTGTTCATGGAAACAAGGTAAGGACCTTCTGCTTTCCATCCATGTTACGAGCATTGTGTAACAATGTTATCAAATGAGGGTTTCATTTCCTGTATCCAAGAATATCCAAGAACCACATATCAAAATATATGAAAAACACGAAGTGCCGAAATTCCACCTTGCAACTTTCCGCATTTTCCCATTTTTGGTTTCCATCCCCAGTTTTGAATGGGACTGTGCCCGCATGAGGTTCACTCAACTTCAAGGTGCCAGGCCATTGCAGGCCGCCAGTGTTGCTGCCCAGCTGCGAATGTATGTGGACCTTGTGCAGAAAGATCACTTCAGCATATCTTTGGTGCGGCGCCCCAGGGATGGTATGGTGATGGAGGGGTTGGATATGGTTGGATGGTTCCCAATACATCCCGAGATTTTTTTTTCTAGGTAGGTTGAATGAAACAGAATGTATCAACTCACCGAAAATATGGCATGATTGTCATGATTTGGGAACATGTTTTTTTTGGCTGCAATTTTTTTTTGCTCATGGCCCAATGGCCAGAATCGCGAGGTTTGAAGTAACGCGGGGCAACTCTCCAAACCTTTGGATTTTGGGGTAATGACCCACTGGTGGACACTTGCTGCGCAGGCCAAAGAAGCCTTTGAGGATTCTCACGTAGCCCAGCTTTGCGAGAAATTTGGGGTTCTGGCGCAGGACGGGCTGGGAGCTCCCAAAAAATCCACTTCGGGGATTGCATTCACGGTAAATTTTCACCAAAAGATCAGGTTTTTCAGCCCATGGGAACCTAGAAATTTCGCCTGGAAGTGTCAAATCCCAATCTCCCTCAATGAAAAACTATCCAAACAACCACTAACTTCACAACACTTCGAACTCCCCCCCAAAAATAGAATAACTATAATTGAACAACTAATCCCCTGCTATTTTGGATGCAAATTGTGCTTTCGCTCAAGAGGAGTTTGCTGGTGACTTACCATCCTTGAACCTCTCCGCGGCTATGGACTTGTCTGAGCAGTCCATCCAAGAACAGCGCGACTTGATCATCAAGGACTCTACCGACCGTCGTTGTTTGGTGGTTCAATCGCAGCAGTTTTGCCATCAAATTTCTGGGGTTTTCCTGAACAAATTCTAGGATGGATGGCTTGCAGATATTTTTTTGGCTTGGGAACCCATGGAGCATAGGGAGCTTGAAGAACGTTTGACGAAGAAATATAAGTCCTCACTTGGGGGTGAAAGCTCCTGCCAGCAACCAGTTGGTGCAGTTTGTTCCTTTCAGAGCGTCAAGTGTTTAGATATTGAAGACGGAACCTCAGATCTGGTGTGGATAGATGATGTACAAGGTGGTATTTGATGATGTTTCAGAGTGCCACTAACCGTCACTAACCTGAAAATCGGAGTGACATAGCTGGCTACTCCGCACCGGGTCCAGGATTTTCATTTGGGTGATGGCTTTTTGCGCCGGCACCATCCTCAGCATGGCTGGTCAGAAAATCCCACTAAATGGAGGTTTTCGGAGCACCAACAGTGTCCAAAAAGTGTTAATGGAATGCCATGAAAACCTCTGAAGAACAATGGTCAACATTGAACTAAACGCAATTTTGATGCAGAAAGGATGGGAAAGGATGGGAAAGGATGGGAAAGGAACAAGATGTCGGAACTTTCTTTGTTCTTCATTTAACCGGCAGCTTGGACTTGATGCATCAACTGGTGAGGCTGCAGCAGTGCTTTCGCAAGAAGAGGGATGAGTTGGAAGACATCAATCAAGAGATGGACGGGGCCTTAGGGCAACCATAGATTCGGTGTTGGAGCAATTCGGGGAACCATCTCATTTTGGTGATGCGAAGCAAAATTCTTATCCCGTTTTCGTATCTCCTTTTCTTCTGGTTTTATCTTCATTTGGGGTTCAATCAATCCCTGGCCTTTCATGATGTCGCTGACATTGCCGCTTCACCAGCAGTTTTCTGGAGGTCTTGGCAGAATGGCAGAAGGAGGTGCACAGTGTGGAGACTTGGCTGCAGGATGCTGCAGGAACATGCCATCTTCGAAACCATTTTTGTGATATTGGCGGTTCCACCTTTCTCAACAAAGATATGGTTTTGGGATGGTTTTGGAGCTTCCCCAAAGGCCCCAAAGTCTTGAGAAACAGGGGATTTTCCCCATTGCCCTATGGCTGGTTGCCCAATTTTTTGGGGCATGCCTTTCCCAGTTCGTTGCGCAGCAGGCGGAGTCAGGTCGGTGCTTCATCCTTTCCAAGCTGGATACTCAATTCTGCTTGGATCATGATCCTAGTTTGATGAGGCTTGGTCACCATGACCTAGGGCCGGACCATTGGATACCATTGGCTTAGATGAGCCTGCTGATTCACGTGGGAAAGTCATGGAAAGTCTAAGGCTACTCTCAGGTTCCAGATTGCGTTGGTTTCTCATCATCCCATCAACATAAATCAAAAATTACCATCTGGTTATTTAACATAGCCATGGAAAATCCCCATTTTTAATAGGTAAACCATCTATAAATGGGCAATTTTCCATGGCTATGTTAAATAGCCAGAGGGTAGGTCACATCAAAACGAGAAAAATATGGCATCAATGCATCTTCCACGGCTCCGACTCTGAGGTTGGCCATCGAACTGCCAAAGTGCCCGGGGGAGGAAGGGGAAGCACCTGGGAAGTGAGACACCAATGAGCCGCAAGGTACAGGAAAACATATGGCGCGATCTTCAGCAAATCTGTGGAGGCCGCCGTGTCCGATATCCAGAATCATCCCATCCTAAATGATCAAAAACACCACCCATTCAATCCATTCGATGTTCTCAATGTGGAAATTCCCTTCTAAAGCATGGTCTCGTTTGGGGCTGTTTGATATACCCTCTGGTAAACTAACATAACTATGGAAAATCACCATTTCTAATGGGAAAACTCACTATAAATGGCCATTTTCAATAGCTATGTTAAATTACCAGAGGGTAAACCGGGGGATGGGACGATTTTTTTGAATGAGAAGCTGCTGTGACCAATCCCAGATTCCCAGCGATTCCCAAGGCGAAGGCGCGGGACTTTGCGTTGCAGGTGCAACGCTCACGTGTCGCCGGGCTGGGGGCCTCAGGTGTAGGAAGTGGTGGAGGGTGGCAGAAATCCACGGATGTAGAAATTTGTGCAAAGGACAAATTTCCAGTGGAGTGATAGATAGATGAAATTAGATTAGATTGGAGTGGAGTGGATTAGATATAGATATAGATATAGATATAGATAGAGATAGATAGATAGATAGGTAGGTAGGTAGATAGGTAGGTAGGTAGGTAGATAGATAGATAGATAGATAGATATATATACACGTTACTGTAGTTGTAGAAGTTATTAATACGAAGTTACTACCCATAGTGAAGTAAATTCACATAGGCATGCAGGAAATGATCTGTGCATTTTCCACATGGTAATTTATTGGATGGTTTTGAAGTTTAAACTGCAAATTATACTCCGTTGAGATCCATTTACAACATTCTACCAGAGTAATAAAAACAATACCCCAAATATGGGCTTATCAGTGATTTCCGACTTGTTTCATCCCCAATAAAATTGACGGTCTGATGCCATGTAGCACGGATAATGAGATCACCTCAACAGGTGTCACACATTTGAGGCCCAAGCCATTTGGCTTCCCGTTTTTGTTCAGCAACTCTAATGGCCGGATCCAGGTGGTCATTTGAGCAACAACCCAACAGAACCCAACAGAACCCAAGACACCAGCCATAGCAGCCCACCAGCAGCCTAGGTGTGTCCTGTTGCGACACTTTGCAGTGCCAGTGGCGCCGTGGCTGCTTGTCTGACCCATTCAGTGGTCACCAGGGAATGACTGTAGATGGGATCGCCCAATTTCCAAGGTTTGCCTGGCCAGTCATGGCCCTCTACATCAGGCGCATGAACGTATGGGGCGAATTTGAATTTATGCTGTCCCCCAAAAAACCAGTGCGCTTACATCGGAAGGCTTTCAAACCCAAGCAAACCTATCCACAGCATGCCACAGCTATAGATGGCCCATATTTACATGCGGTATATTCTCCAAAATTCTCCCAAATATTCCAATCTTCCATTTTTCAAGGGTCAGATTCGGCCAGTTTCGAATCCCATGCCATGGCCAGGCAAGGCGCTCTCTCCGGCATCTTGACGATGGCCGTGCATGGCGTGGTGCTGGCGGGGATCTATTCCATCCTACAGCACCTTGGCGCAGCGCTAAAGTGGTAGCTATTTGTAGAGCCCAGGTACTGGGGACAATGTGGATAAAACAAGGTCATAAACCACAAAAATGACCATGGTTTATGACATTGTTTTACCCACATTATTCCAAAAGTCATGGGGGTTTAGTGGTTGCGAAGTCCTTTTGTGGCTTGGGATTCGCAGCCAAAGTAGCGGCACCGGAGGTTTATGGGTCGCCTGCCTTTCTATGTCGACTTGGATTACCAAGTTCTCAAGCATCATCCAGGCCAGGCTGGAAAACATCAGCTTTTCAGATCTTTTCAGATACCCGGTCGCCTCAAGATGCCTCGTGATTCGCGGATGAGGTCTACTGGAGTTTGTCATGAAGTATCCGCCGGCGCTCCAAGTGACTTCAGAGGTGTGTTTCTGTTGAGCTTGATGTGTTCCAAGGCAGATCCCTTGGGACTTGCTCTCCCAGTTCATTGCCATTCTCGGATGGATTCGGGTGGTCTTTGGCTTAGACTTCCAATGCACCGCAGCATTGGTCGTCCTGTTGAAACATGTTGAAACAGTGGGAATTCCATGATGTTTCAATGATGTGCACTCCAAAAAGCCTATGTAAGCAGCAGCGCGCTGGCTCGTCATCGGATCTTGCCGTTGGGTTGGGCCACCTAGGCCTGGATCGTTGCTTCCCAAATCTTCAGGTCCTGCCGAATCCTGTCCACGTCGTTGGATGTCGTTGGTTCCCGGAGTTGATCCCGCTGCGGGTCCATGATCTCAGGCCCCCCGAGACGAGAACCATAGGCAGGAGTTTTCGTGGGCATTCCGCCCATCTCTGAGATTTTCTCTGGGATTTTTGGAAAGGATCTTTCATCTTGATCATCTTGACAACTCACAGATCTCACAGTGCCGGGACCCCGGGAAATGGATCACCAAATGTAACCAACCATTCTAAACATTGCCGGATTTCTTGCCCATCTTCCAGCTAAACGGCAAAGTGTTCAGCTGTGCCCGGGAAACTTTTACTGATGCCAGGACAACTCTCTAATCTGGAGATCAAGCTTAACACCATACTGGAACGCACCGAGGCTGTTTGTTTTTGTTCCTTTCCCTCAGGCTTATGGTAGAACGATTAAAGAAATGGGATGTAACATGACTCATGTTACAAAGCATGTTGTACCTGGTGAAACGACAGGTGTAACTATAGTCTTATACCAGTACGAAGTACGACCTGTGGGCTAGTTTTTTGTTCCCAAGTAGCTTGCGGAGTTACTGTCTTGATTGATTTGTTTGAAAGATAGAGGAGACAGCAGGCATTCACCAAGTTGGGGGAAATGGAGATGTGTTGGGAGGCCAGATCAACCCCAAACATTCAACACGTAATCGCCATATGGTGATGTTTCATCGGAAGGTTCTCCCCATTCCCCATAAAGTATCACACCTATATCATAATTTGAGAACATTTTTGAGAAATCCCAAACTGCAAACATATGGATCATATGGAAGATTCTGATTCTTATCACAAGGATGGGTTATGATTTCTTACCCAATCGAGAAGCTATCATAATTCATCAGCTACCTTAACCAAAAGTTCCAGGCAGCTGATAGAAACTAACCTTGGAGCCTTGGACAGGCCCAGATGAAGAAAGAGATCATCACCGCAGCCCTGGAAGCAGCACTTTGGATCGACAGCAACGACCCTTCGGCCGCGGCTCTGGTCGTGCCCACAGATCCGATGCGCCATGCTTCGATGGTCAAATGATCATCGCTGGTATCGTTTTTCTTGGATTTATGTTTGATGATGATGATGATGATGATGATGATGATATGCTACATATTATTGCCATTGCTACTATATTCTTGATCATAATTCTTAGGGTTGGAAATTAAGAAATGCTATTATCACGGTGATTGTTTTACTAGGTGTTGGGCCATGACAACGAACTTTCTCTTGATGGTGCTGGATCACATCTTGCACAGATCTGCTTGTGAACATGTGCACCGACTAATCGAAGAACGCGCCTTTGGGCCCAAAATTGGGTGCTTCAGTAGCAGTAGCCCCACCTTTGGGCATGTGAAGCAGTGGCCGAAGGCCAGGTTGCCTGATAAATTTTGCTGTGGCCGCATTGCGTGCTTTCTTGTCATGTGTTTCGAATCGTTTTTGCATGGACTGAAGGATTTCGGGGATGTTTTGGTCGATTTCTTTGATGGTTTTTCGTACTGGTGCTTCGTAGGGAATCGGGCAATGATCCATAATAACTATATATATGAATCATCCCATTCCCCCATTCCCTACTCAGCACCAGTAAGCCTTTTCGCGAGCCCATGGCTTTCAACCTTTGTTTTCGAGGCACTGTCACCGGAATGCTGCTGCCTCCTGCTGAAGCTTGGCTAGAATTGCCATGGCTCAGTTCAGGGCTAGCTGGAAAATCCTCTGGAAATTGAGTGGAAAAACCATCTATAGATGGGGGATCTCCCTTCGCCATGTTTGATTACCGGAGTGTAAACTTCAACTTGAGATAGCTTGGTGTCCTGAACCCCCTGGTGAACAGAAGATAAAGGGAGAAAACGAATGGAGAACATATGGGGAGAAAAAAAGGGAGCAAATGAAGGGAGAAAGTAAGCAGGAAAAAACATCGGGAGAAACTATAGGGAGAGAAAATGAGGATACTAAATGGAAAGAGAACAGGGAGAGAACATGGGGAGGAAAAATAGGCAACGAAAATAGGGCGAGAAAAATCGGGAGAACAACAACAGGGAGAGAAGATGGGGAGAGAAAAATCGGAGAACGCAGGAGAAAACATAGTTCAATGAAATATTTCTGGGTTAGCTGACCCGTAGAATCCCGTAGACATCATTGATGACCCCCTGCGCTGAATCTGCTGTGCTCCAAAACTGTTTTTCGTCAGTTTTTTCATAATCCCTGCGTAGACCCTACATGAACCCTAAAAAATGCTAGGAAAATCCCAAATGAACCCTAAAGAAACCAATAGAAACCCTAGAAAAACCCTAAGTGAAGCCTAAAGAAACCTTACATCAACCCAAAGATCACCCCTTTGAAAACCCTATGAAAGTGTATTTTGTGGAGTACCCGTGGGGTCTGAGGTGGCTCGCGTCTTCCAAGACGATCCCCTGCCACTGCTGTGGACGACAAAGCCCTCGCCCGGCAGTGCACCTGGCATGCGGCTGCGGCCGCTGAAGCCTCCGACGCCCGGCAGTTGGAATGATGGCGATTTGCGCATTTTTTGGTGATCCATATTATCCATATGAATGGGTATAGATGGTTAATGTTAATTATCCATATATATTCATATTATGAATATATAATGGCTAATTTCACGGTTAGAATGGTTTCTGATGGTTATGTTATGGCTATTACATAATGGTTAATGATGGTTTGTAACCCCATTCCCACATTTTTATTGAACGCCCCTCTACTAAACCTTGGTTTAGTAGGGGGACTGAAGGCCCGTTTAGTAAAGATAAAGCATTGATCAGGTTCATCATGGTGATGGAATGTGATGGAGGGGTCGATATTGGAGTCCAATCCTTCATGATCTTTCATGTATTCCGATGGGGCCCCTTTTTCGAGGCCTAAACCAGATGAGGAGGTGAGGAAGAGGGGGCACTGAGTTTCACAGATATTTTTAAAAGATCCCATCGAAATAGACACCGAGGAATTTAGGTACGACCCGGAAGTGAAAAAAAGGGCTTCGCAAGCCAAAGATCCAAAGCCAATTGCAATTTAATTGCAATCTCCCGCAGGTTTTTTGGCATCTTTGGAGTTTGGAAAAGAAAGACCTCTGCAAAATCTTTCTGGACAAGGATCCTGCCTTTTGATCGCAGGTGAACCTCGTGATCAGGAAGGCGATGCGACCCAAACCGCGACTGAAACAAGGACTCCGTTGCCGCTTGACGATTGATGTTACCATCTAAGCTGACTCCGTTTCTGGTCTCATTTCTGATAAGATTGATAAGCCTACTGGGCTAGTGGTTAGTAGGCATTTGTTTTTGCATAGGCAATGATTCTTTGCGATAAACAGGATGAGACAGACATGTACCAACCATATGATTAGCAACCACTTTCAACTTCCAGATCACCCTGGATGATAGCGCTATACCCTTCCTCCAACATGGACCCTGCCAAATAGGGGGTAGTGACTAGTAGTGACTAGTGATCCTCAGAGTGGTCCCAACCTCCCAAAAGTAAACATCCCAGTGATTTGGGAATATTTGGGATACCCCCCAAGTAAGTAACAATTTGAGTAATCACCACCAAACTGGGAGATTAGGATCGTTTCAGACACAATCCAGTGATCCTTCAAGACATCCCAGGATTTTATTTTGGGAGAATCCTCCAAAAAGTCGCGTCGCAATCCCAGTGAAGAGAATTCTCCAGAAACTAGTGATCCTCCCGAAAATCACACGAAAAACCAGGGATTTCCAGCGATCTCTGGAGGAGCTTCACAGACCCCCAGTTCCAGCCCTCACTCCACACCGGGCCTCACGCCTTCGCCCCCGAAGTCTGCTTCCCCGTGACTTGGGTCATCCTCCGGTGAATCAAACGTGGCTAGCTGGAAGATCTATGTCTATGAACATCACCCGGAAATGTTTTTTTTTAAAATGTTTTTTTTTTTAATGGGAAGAGCATCTATACATTGATGGTGGCTAGCAGCTTTTTTCATTGCCATGTTTGACTTCCAGAGGGGCAAAACCATGGAACATCCCGGAAACCCACCCAATGATTTGGAAGATTTTGGCTAGATAGCTGTCAATGCAGTTGTGTTTACATGGACCATTTGATGGGAATATTAGGGAAACAACTCCGCGGCTTTGCCAATGCAAGAATCAAATTCAATGGAACATTTTAATTTCAAAGGCTCAGCCGATGCCATTCAAATCTGAATCATGGCAAAGTGAGAACAGGTGGGCAAAGAGGTTTTCAACTTTTGCCGAACCAGAAGTGTGGTTTTGTCGAGGTTTGGCAACGATGGTGGCATGGGGATGTTCTGGCGCCGCTGGGCTTAAAATTTCACCTCAACTTGGATTGATGTCTCGCCACATGCGGGGAAACCGGGGGTTCCAGTGCAGCACTTCAGCCATAGAGTCTCTTGTAAGTTTCAACAAGGCTTACTTCAGTCATGCCGGGGGGGATTTGCTGAAGGAGGCTATCCCCAGACAAAAGAAGGAGTTGCGGTCTTGAGGTGAACCTGGACAAGCGCATGGCTTGATTTTCCTTGACAGCCCTGCTCAACAGATAGGCTCCCAGGACACTGGGGACGCACGATTTGGTGATCCCTTTTGTTGAAGGTGACCCCAGTCCATTCACCCTCTATTTGATTGGGAACGAGGCATCACCAATAACAAGTCTTCCTTGCAAGTCAATGACTGGTTGGTGTGCGACAAACTGGTGGTTTGGAACACGAATTTTTTGACTTTCCATATATTGGGAATAATCATCATCCCAACTGACGAACTCATATTTTTCAGAGGGTTGAAGCCACCAACCAGATGATTTGATGATTTCTTCAGGTTGATTTTTGAAGCTACAGTAGGTGCCCCGTGGCGGCAGGATGGCCAGAAGCGACCGAAGCCGGGAGAAGTTGGTTCCAGCGTGTATGGCGCCATGGTGTGAGCTATGCAAAGGATCATTGGGGATGCATTCAGCATCCCTTCAGTTGATGAGCAGATTTTCGTATGTCATGGAACATGCCTTCATATCCTTAGTGCATTCTCTCACACACTTTGGCATCTTTAGCAATCCAAGATTTCATCATTTTTTGTTACTGCAATTCCAAAAGATCCACGGCCTATCTGGCGTATCCCATCAGGTGCTGGTTGGCGGCAGCAGATGCCTCGCCCGGAGCCCGCCAGCACCGCGGCGCCCAGGGCCTACTCCGCCGCGCCGCAGCTGCCGCAGCCGGCGCCACCGGCGCAACCGGCGCCGCAACCGGCGGCGCGCTGGCACCGAGGCCGGCGCAGCCGGCGCCGCGGCACCGGGCGACGCCCACGGCGAGCTCGGCCACGTCGGCCACGTCCGAGGCGTTGGTGACGCCGGAGGTGCCCAGGACGGCAGAGCCCATCCCGAATCCGAAGGAACGAGGGAATTGCCTGAGACACTTGGACTTCATTTGGTTTTCATTTGGTTTCACTTATGCTTCGAGGGAAGCTTCAAGGTCCAGTTTCAATCAACTCCGAGGGGGTTGATGCGCCGAGAATGTTAGGATGATTCTGAGGTGATACTTTCCTGAACGTTTTGGATCGCGAGCTGAGAAGTGTTGGTTTACCTTCACAACTTCATCACCGCATCAGTTCTGCAGTGGGTCGGTCTCTGAACGAGTTGCTAGATGCACAGCAGAAGGATGGGATGGACTTGGGGCAACGAATGAACTGGAGAGGAACCTTGTCAATCAGGAAAAGTCTGAGGATGGAAGAATTCAATATGGAACATGAACATTGCAATATATTGGAATATATTGGAATGAAGAACTTCTGCCCCAACATCCATCAACCCCCATGGTAACATCCCTTAACCGCCTTTAACCACGCGATGTTGACCCATGTTAACCCTTTCCAGGACCTTGAAGCGCGGCTACAGGCGATGTTGAAGAAGGACCTTGCTGTCGTGGGGGTATCATACTGTTTTCAGAAATCCTGCAGCAGTTGATAGGTGGATTATCCATGGTCATCTGGTCATCCCAGTATTTCCAGGCTTTCAACATCTTTCAACCATCCAAGGTGCAGGATTCCATAGGATTCCCATTGTTTTCTATGAGAAATTTCTGAAAAGTGAGAATTTCACACCGGGAACTGGTGGCAAGATCGACCAACCAGAATCACATTCGAGACGCCAGTGCCGCCAGTGTCAGGACCAGGAATCCGAGGAAAGAGTTCCTTGGTTCGCGCAGCAGTGACAGTCGGACAGTCGGACAGCTTTGTGTCAATAGCTGTGTAAATATCAACCCCAACCCCAGATAGATCAGATAGATCAGATAGATCAGATAGGATGATTATATAAATTATATATGATTATGCCAAGAGCTATCAACAACATTTTAAACATGTTCAACATACCCTCCGGTAAACTGACATAACTATGGAACATCACCATTTTGAATGGGACAATCAACTATATCTATAAATGGCAATTTTCAATAGTCATGTTAGTTTACCAGAGAGTAGTTTATGATATTTTCTTGCCTGTTTGATGGGTCTTTTTCAGGCCGCCAGATTGCACTTTCGCACCCGTTTTTCGGCTGAACCAAGTTCTGGATGCACGCCAGCGCTGTGCGGAAGGACGACCTTTTAAACAGGGGCAGTAAGTCATGTAAGTCATGGACATGCCAAGCATACCAAGCACTCAAAATATCTCAAAATGATTCCACAATTGTCAGTTGTTGAAATCATAGATGTCATAGATGTCCTTTTCCCACTGGTTGGTTAGAGGGTTCCCCTCGTTCATCAACCAATATCTTAGATATTCTTAGACATTCTCTGGTTGGTGGTTTGGAACATTTTTTATTTTTCCATATATTGGGAATATCATCCCAATTGACTTTCATATTTTGCAAGATGGTTAAAACCACCAACCAGTTCTTAGATATTCTGTTCATATGGGTTCATCAACCAAGATCACTCAATATTCCAAGCTCCGCTTGATCCAGGAGCTTCACGACCGTGAGGTGAAACAGGTGGGACCCTCCAACTTTAAACGAAAAACGTTTGCAAAAAAATGAGAGGGGTTTATATATAGCCTCTGGCAATTTCATCAAAAATATTGGAAGATCATTTTTTTTGGGGTAAATCATGGTAAATCATGGTAACTCATCATTTTGATCATCCAATTTATGGGCCAGATTCATCCATTTTCCATGGCAAACGTGTTAAATCAGCAGAGGCCAAAGAGTCGGAAGCCAGAGCATCTCGGCCAAGATTGGAAGATATTCAGCAACTGATCCGGGGAAGGATTCCGATTGATTCCGATGTTTTGGGGTTCTGGGTATACCGTATACATGGTATACATGGTATACATGGTATATGAATTTTAGATATACTAAGATTGTTTTTGAGCTACCAACTATCAATAACTATCATTTTTGGCCGATATGATCAGGGTGAAGCGAGTTTGAGCTTGGTGAGTGCTGCCTCACGTGGATGAATCATCCGAGTTTTGGTCTCATGCCGGAGAAGTGCGAAAGGCAGGGATGGCTATGGCTGGCAGGGCTCAAGATGCTCAAGTGCACCTGCCGCACCTTCTCCAGTGCACAATTATGTAACAATTATGCACCAATTAAATAGTTGGAAGCTGGTATGATAATTATGTAACAATTATGTGCATATACAATATTTAGTGGTATAATTAATTGCAATTGTTCTACAATTATACAATTATGCTTCTACAATTATGTGCCACAATTATGTACCACAACCTGTTACTTACTGGTGCTTAGTAGGGAATGGATGGGAATGGGGGCTGCTGGGATGATTATTGATAGTTATTGTGGTTCATTCCCGAAAATTCCCTGCGTTTAGCACCAGTAAGATTATGTACCATCTGGTTATTTAACATAGCCATGGAACATCACCATGCTATTACTAGGTAAACCATCTATAAATGGACCATTTTCCATGGCTATGTTAAATAACCGGAGGGTAATTCACGAAAAAACATATATATATAGAATATGGTTTAAAATCCATATATAACCCCTACAATCCATGATAATCCCCAAAAAATGAATACTGTATCTTGCTTGGTGCTTTGAAAAATCGCTGAATGATCGTGAAAATCATCAGAAATCATCAGATCGCTCAATTTAGCATACTTGGATCCCATGACGGATCCATGGTGCTGCTATATATATATATGGTAACATGGATCCCATCAATATAGCCCCTTTATGTTAGCATATATACCAGCACCATGGATCCCATGGGGACGATCATGATGATCCCCGGCAGGCAACCTATCATCAAGCGCGGATGGAGGCCCCGATCTCCAGCAGGATTTTTCGGAGCAGGGGTGTGGATCAATGCTTCTGGTAAACGAAGCCTTTGCGAACTGGAAAATATGGTGAACATATGGTGAAAATATGGTGATTAATGGTGATTTAATGGTGATTTAATGGTGATTTAATGGTGATTAATGGTGACTCATGGTGATATACCCCCTGGTAAACCAAGAGTTTTGCGAACTGGAAAACCCACCATCTTTAAGTTCGGTAAATCAACGAACTAAATGTTTAAACGGGCCATCTATTCAATAGCAAACTGTTCGTCATTACCAGAGGCTAAAGGAAATATCTTAACCGGATAGCATTTGTTTTGCAACCATGGGGCTTTACTGTGGAGTTTCCCTTTACTTCGATCCACCCCAGCAAGCTACCTCCTGTGATCACGAAAGGTAGCTCCAGAGGGGCTACCTTGAGTTTTACTTTACGAAGTAAAGGGGAGGGCGGCCAGCCCCGTTACCTGATTCTTCAGGAGATTGCTAGTCATTTTAGTACCCCCCCCCTCCACACCTCCCACGCACCCTAAGAGCAGACTCAAAACATTGTAATTTACAGTATTTTTGTTCTTTTCGGATCAAGAAACCACATTTTGCTACATGGTGAAACCTCCGTAAATACCAGTGTTTTTGCTAGGTGCTGGCCAAAAAACACTGTAAATACCGTGCTTTTTACTACCAGAGGCAAAAAACATCGTAAATACCGTGGTTTTGGGCTTCCGACCCGCCAAAAACATCGGTATTTACGGTGTTTTTTGCTCCGAGAGTTGCAAAAACACGCGAAAACACCACCGATTTGACGATTTTCGGCCACTACGGAACCGAGCAAAAACGCTGCAGGGGTAACACCAACACCAACAACAACAACACCAACAGCAACAGCAACAGCAACAACAACAACGACGACAACAACAACAACAACAACAACAACAACAACAACACAACAACGCACAACGCACAACGCACAACGCACAACGCACAACGCACAACGCACAGCGCACAGCGCACAATGCACAACGCACAACGCACAACGCACAACGCACAACACACAACACACAAAACACACAACACACACACACACACACACACACACACACACACACACACACAACAACACACAACAACACACAACAACACACACGCAACCACACACAACAACACACACACACAACAACACACAACAACACACCACAACACACAACAACACACAACAACACACGCAACACACAACAACGCAACAACGCAACAACAACACACACACAACACACACACAACACACAACAACACACAACAACACACAACAACACACAACAACACAACAACAACAACACACACAACACACAACAACACACAACAACACACAACAACACACAAAAACACACAACAACACACAACAACACACAACAACACACAACAACACACAACAACACACAACAACACACAACAACACACAACAACACACAACAACACACAACAACACACAACAACACACAACAACACACAACAACACACACAACAACACAAACAACACACAACAACACACAACAACACACCACAACACACCACAACACACCACAACACACACAACAACACACAACAACACACAACAACACACAACAACACACAACAACACACAACAACACACAACAACACAACAACACACAACAACACACAACACCACACCACAACAACAACAACAACAACAACACCATCAACAGCAGCAGCAACAACAGCAACAGCAACAACAACAACAACACGAACACGAACAATACCAACACCAACAACACGACCAACAACACCAACACCACCAACAAACCCAACCACACCAACAACACTAACAACACTAACAACACCAGAAACACTACCACCACCAACAACACCAACAACAACAATACCAACAACACCAACAACACCAACACCACCAGCACCACCAACACCACCAACACCACAACCACCACCAACCCCAACCACATCGCCGAAGCCTTTCAGTCGCTTTTACCAGACTCCCCTTCATATTTTTGGAAAGAAAATGGCCGCGTCGCTTTTACCAGACTCCACTTTATGTATTTTTCCCTCCCCTCTCCCCTTCATTTTTTCTTCGGTTCCTTTCTTGCTTACCTACCTTTCGTGTTCCCCCTCTCAAGTTTGATTGTTTAACAGGAAAATCAGAGTTTTCAGAGGTTTTTTCATCGATCATCGGAGTAAATGGGCCGTCTATACTATAGCAACCTCTTAATTGTAATTTTTCGTGGTTCATCCATTTTAGTCTTAATGGTCTAGGGGGTTAAACCCACCAAAAAAAAAAGCCATTCAATGGATAAATCCACAGTGAATATGTGGTGGGAATCCCAGTCAATCCTATTAACCCGCATGAACTTCCGTTGAAATCCCATGAAATCAAATTCAATGGCATGAACTTCCCTGTTTTTTTTTTCTCATCAGATCCCATGAAAAATCAGATCACATTAAATCAGATCCCATGGAAATCCCATGAATTTGGGGTGAACTTCCCATTGAAACACGGTGACAAAAACCCGAAAAATCCTGCAGGCCTCGCAGGTGTTGCAACGAGCCGTGGTGGATGGCTCTTTGGCAGAAGCGATCTTCTCGCAGGTCGCCAAGCTCGGAGGGTAGCGCTTGGGTTAGGGCCCTATAACAGGCTGTGATAAAGGGCCTTTCCAATTCATTTGGGGTGGTTTTTGGGGTATTGGAAAAAGTTTAGTCTAGTTTAAGCATCAAGAATATGGGAATTTCATTGATAGATGATGGTTGGTTGATGATTAGCTTGCATTTTTTTACCCCAGATTGATGAAACAATCGGATCTGTTGGGGATTTTCTTCATCCATAAGCTGGGAATCCCGTTCTGGACCAGCCCGTATGATGGAATGACGGGTGGTTTTGGACACTGATCTTCTGGCTTGTGGTTGGGACAATTATTCATTCTGTTTTAATATGTTTTAGGTTCCATGTGCTACACCTGGGTGTCAGGTTGTTTTAATTAGGTGGGTTGTTACTTTGCATGATTGAAAATGGATGGACACGGGATGATGATCGGCGCTCTTCATCTCATTGATATTTCATCATTGGGGCTGATAGCCTCTGGCATCCTAACTTGGCAATCGGAAACTCCGGAATTTGTAGGTCCTATGTCTTCCTAATAAGCCGGTTGTTTGTGTGAAAGATGGAAAAACTCAATTTTTCTCAAGATTTTCCCAATTTTTCCCAGCGATTCCCTTCCATTTGTTGAAGTTGTACCAGGTGGCTAAGAGTTCAGGCCGGCCCGGATGGGTCGGATGGGTCATGATGTCATGGTTTTGCGGGTTCTACCATGGTATGAATGGTAAATGATTGTAAACATCAACAGTGGTAACAGTGGACATAGCTATTTTATGGGATTATTTCATGGAGATAGTGAAGAAGATTAGCCATCATCAATGGGGACTTATCAATTTACCTAGCTATCAGGGTTTCAGACAACGGGGTAACATCAAGTTTGTGTGAATTCCTGTCACATATCTTCACTGAAGTCTTCCTTTCCGGTGGGTTTGATTGAATTGGAGAAACATACACCCTTCACGGACAAAACCACCCTGCACCTATTTCTGGGGCGCGGGAAGTCCGTTTGATGACCAGACCATTACGTTGCCTCATTTGTGGGGCTTCAATGATTCAATCATCAGTTTTTGGTGATTCAATAGTTGTACCCTCTGGTTATTTAACATAGCCATGGTATAGATGGCCCATTTATAGATGGTTTACCTATTATAAATGGTGATTTTCAATGGCTATGTTAAATAACCAGATGGTCAATCCCCTCAAATGGAGGATATGGAAGAAACTTGAGGGGAACTTTGCGGAATCTATTGATGTTTGGAGGAGAGCGATGGCGCACCATCTAGGGTAGCCTGTTTGAAATACAGCAACATGATGCAGCCATTCATGTTAGAGACAGTTCACTTCTTTGTTTCGGCACTTGATTTGGCTAGTCCAATGGTTTGTTTTGCCCCCGCCTATGGTGGAATTCGTGCTGCCTATTCTTTCCAGCTTAGCTCCGCCCGTCTCCAGATGAGCCCACGGAAGCAGCTGACAGGCCCTGATGGGATGGGGCCCAGCAATACAGCTTGAATGGTTCCTCCAAGTGGTGGATGGTTTTCTTGGACTTAATTGGTTTCCATTGAAACCAATTCCGGGACAGGGTCTCTGTTACTTCCAAACTGGGCCCGAAACTGGGCTTCCGGGAGTTGTGCACAGCTTCACAGGCTACTTCTCGGAACATGATTCCAAACTGCTTCCAGACTGTTTCACCGTCAAAAATGTGGACAGAACCCGCAGAATGACACCGAATTTGCTTCTTCCAAAACAGCTTTTGGTTCAGGACTTCGACTGAGACCCGGGACGGTCCCTGGCACTTGCTTCCCTCAGTGGGCACCTGGTCCTGCACTCAGGGAGCTGCCAGGGTCTGGTTATTTGGATGGGAGGTTGACCCCACTCTTCGCCCTGGGAAAGTGGGTTGTCATGGGATTTTCTCCGATTGGAATTCAATAAATTAAGTGACCATAGAAGATTTGGGAATATGACAACCAACCCCAAGCTGAAGTAAAGGACTCAATGCTGAAGTATCTTGAAGTATCTTGAAGTGTTCAATGGCTACTGCAAGCCATTTGAAAGCTATTTGGGGCTTAGAGACTTCACTCATTAACCTTCCAGACCATGTCAGATATGTCAGAGTGTACCAATGCCAGGTTGAATCCAGCGCCAGATGCAAGTCGCAACTTGCCGGTTGGAGTCTTACAGCTGGTGACATTTCTAATGGATGGCCGAAATCCAACAGGCCATGGGATTTTCCAATGATTTTCATGAAACACTTGGCCCACCCAAATCGATGCTGGTGGATTTGCACCACTGATTCTGATAGCACCAGGCGGAAGTTCCGGAGGTTCCGGAGGTTTCGGAGGTTTTGGAGGTTCCTGCAGCCTACTGCTATGACAATGATCACTGCGACTTCGTGTTTCTTGGCGTAGAAAAAGTGGACATTTTGAGGCACCTCGAAGCAACAAATGGGATGTAATAAATTTAATAAATGTCCTACAAGGTGGTTTTCCTGCGAAGTTGGTGAACATAACTCCAATAACTATGGTTCATAGGGGATATATATATAATTATATATACGTGATATTACTTATCAACCCCATCAAATGGAGTTATCAACATGATCTCTCTCTCTCTATATATATATACATACACATATAACTATAACTATTCCTTAATGGGTCGGGTTTATAAACCAACAAACATGACTGGGGGGCACCACATCCAGTTTCAACGCGAGGTTGTGCGAGGAGCTGGTGGATGAGATGGTCGAGCAGGTCGGGTGAAGTATGTCGAAGTGCAGCTGTACAGTCAAGGGTCAAAGTCGTAGCGATTCTTTGCTTTTGAGTCCATACCATTGGGCGAAGCTTTTCGGGGGGTCGTAGCGATTGTGGCTGTGCCTATGAGATTTGCAGTGATTTGTTGAATCATTTTAGAGGCTTTTGTGGGTCAAATCCATGTATTTCCGTTGGGTTCTTGGATGACCATACAAGTGCTCGGTTTAAGTCGTATCAGTTTCTGAAAGTCGTATCGGGAGGCCGTGCGCCTGGAAAAAGTTCAAGTTTCGCATCATCACAACTTTTAGTACTTGAACGATTTCATTGTTTTAGGGCCGTGCGCCTGAAAAAAGTTCAATTTTTAGTATCGCGTTGATTTTTAAAGCTTATATTTGTTCATTCTTTCTAGGGGGCAAACGCTGGTTGCTGCTTGCTTGCTGATGCTTGCCTGCTGCTGCTTGCCTGCTGCTTGCTGTTGCTGCTGCTTGCTGCTGCTTGCTGCTGCTTGCTGCTGCTTGCTGCTTGCTTGCTGGCTGGCTGGCTTGCTGGCTGGCTGGCTTGCTTGCTGCTTGCTTGCTGCTTGCTTGCTGCTTGCTTGCTGCTTGCTTGCTTCTTGCCTGCTGCTTGTTGCTGCTTGCTGCTGCTTGCTGCTGCTTGCTGCTGCTTGCTTGCCTGGGTGGATAGGACAACAAACTTTCCGAGAGCTGCCCACGACCTTGATGCACATCGCGCCAGCCATAGATTTGGCTGCGGAAAACAAGGGGCCTCCATATCCTTATATCATGCTAGATCATAGCCCTGCCAATAGGATTTGCTACAGCTAACCCATTTGCATTGCAAGAAATTTGAGGCTGTACCAATAGGGGTTTGATGTGGTCGCGCGACGCAGGACATCAATATTATATTTTCAAATCCAATAGGAATAGCTGCCGAGAATTTGTTTATACATTATTTGCTGAGGTTGTTCCAGCATATTTAACATTTAGCTTACATGGGGGAAACGTCCCTTTGGTCATTCCTCTTACATACCTCTTTTGGATGGGAGGGACATTCGTTTTCTTTATTTGATGGTTTGGGATGAAGAAGGGGTGCGGTGGCGCAGGGAGTTCCGCACTTCATGTTGTGGTCAATGATGGCCCTGGGTCCTGCGCTTGACAACTCATGAATCAGGGGTCGTTCGGGGGGTCGTTCGGGGGTCGTTCGGGGGGTCGTTCGGTTGTATTTTCAGCACTTGTTTTCATTTGTGTTCTTTGTCTGTTCCTTTTTTTATCTTCTTCTCTTTCTTTTCTCACAGACTGTTACTTCTTCTCTTTTCATTGTTTCCTTCGTTCACTCAGTCGTACTCCTTCTCAAATCAAACCATTGTGGCAGAATGATTGTTTGTAATGCAAAGCAGTGCTGGCAGAAGAGTAGTCTGCAGTGCGAGGGGTGGGCTCTCTCGTGTTTGTTATAAGTTATAATGGTACTTTGTATCCTTCAAATGAAGGCAATTCCCTTGTGTTTTGATGGATTGCTGTGACCCTGCTGTGACCCGGTCGTGGCGACTTTTCCGCAAGCGGTTTGTCCACATTCAAGAAAATTGCTCTGACTTCAGCCCTCGACTGTAGCTTGTGTATCATGTAGGGCCGATTTTGCAGGCATCGGGACCCACAACTGCCACAACTGTTGTTTTTTCTTTGGTTTCTTTGGTTTCCAACTTCTGGATCAATTTGAGCAGTGCATCGACATTCGCCGGAACTTTGGATGCTCAGTGATTCGGCAGGTCGTTGTTTCCAGTTTGAGCTGGGTCGAGGTGCGCTGCCTGGGATGGGGTTCCTGCGCACATCCGGCCCATCCGCGCAGGCCATGCTGGAGGCAGAAAGTGAGGTCCATGGGTTGCAGCAACCGAACGCTATCCCGAACAGACTTGTCTTGGACAAGGCGAAGGGAACTTAACAAAGGATTTCTGATATATGCCGGTATAACATATACATGAAATACATGAAATAATATGAATAAATAAATGTATAAACCAATAAACAAAACAATCAAATAAACAAACAAACAAATAAATAAATAAATACATTGAACAAACATATGCAAGTATAAACAATATTAGAAACCATTAAAACACATATTTAACTTCTACAAGTCAATCCTCTTGGACCGAAATCAGACCGTCCAAACTCTTCAGGCGCACCCTGAAGACGAACAGCCCAGCGAAAGGATGCCAAGGCCGTGGCAAATGCCGTGGCAAATGTGTCGCGAACGAAAGAGAAAGGCAAAAGGTCATCATTCCCATGATCATTCGACACCTCCCATGTTTTTTAAAACATCATTTATCAAGATTTAACCCACTATTCTAGTGGTATTTTAACAGTTTTCTTTTCCATTTGATTGGGGGTTGCTATAAGAACAAGACCCGTTTCGGCCCGTTCTGCCGATCGAGTCCGAGCCCTTCTTTTTGCCACAATGGCGCTGTTGATGTGGCCATGGGTTTGTTTGAAATGAGGTCGGCCAACTTTTAAATAGCAACAGCAATGATACTGACGATGAGAACGGTATATGATATAGTGTTATCAGATATTTATAGTACCTTAGTTTTACATGAGTACTATCACCACTATATGATATCAAGCAAACAATTAATTTACCATTGCCCGGAGAGCATTCTCTCCTTAGCATCATGCCTTACACAGTGACGGCTTAGCTAACTAAACACTTTATGTTTCATTATCATGAACTTAACCATAATAGTAGCGAAATGACACGTACAGTATAATTCCAGTGCATTATGTTTCATTAAGATAGTGACAATGTCTAGAATGCGCTATTATTGCACACCTTTATATTATAGGTTTATAATGCAATCGCACATGGATAATCATATGCACATTACGTTTTGTTTAATGGTAGTGACAAATGATAATGATCTAGTGTTCCTACGATAATGATAGCCTACTATTGCACATGGATCATGGCATGCGCATTGCGATATTGACAATGAAAATAGAATAATACATTATCCATGTTATTGTGATGGCGTTGTTGAAATGCAGCACAATAACAACACTATCATAATGCGCAACGATCACAACAAATGACATACTAGCAGAATAACACTAACCCATCATTTCGAGAATGTATGATGTAAACAATGGCACTATGATATATTATCATGATTTTATTGTACCATCATTAGTTACAGATGAGAAGAAGATAGTGTCATGATAGTGATAGTCCGTTATTTACACACGGAGAATGGTATGCACATGCTGATGTCGATGCCCTCCAATAAACTAAAATGGCTATGGAAAATCACCATGTTTCATAGGTATAAGTGTAATATAGGTATATATAAGTATAATTATAAACATATATTAACTACAGATGGCCATTTCCAAAATGTTTTTTTTTGGATATTTAACATTGATTAACCATATCTGATCCTCAAAAGCCATAGCATAATCATATAGTCAACATAGCATTTGTTATTTAACAGTTCGCCATGGTATAGATGGCCCATAGAAATAGATGGTTTACCTATTAATAGCATGGTGATTTTCCATGGCTATGTTAGTCATAACCAATTGGTATCTACCAATGAACATAGCATCATGATTTTTGTCGTTCCAGGCTTGACCCCAGCCAGGCCGGGATACCCTGTGGATTTTTCAAAAATAAACATCACGTGGGGATGTTGAGGTCTCCTGGTGTGATGGACATTCCGAAAACAGTCATGAACATGGGAACATGGTTGAACATCCCATAATCTATCTACTTCAGGATGATATCATATGAGACATAAGTGTTTTCCGTTTTTTCTTCAGTTGTTTGGTTTGAGTTAATGAACATCTCGATCTTGCAGAGCCAAGTCAACCACTGGATTTAGGGTAGCAGCCCTTTGAATATGATTCCCAGATATTGCTAGAGAAACCCAGAAACCATGAAACAGATCTTTGAATCTTTTGAATCTTTTGGAAACTTTTTTTGCTGAAAAATACCATCCATATGGGCTCCCAAAGAACAGATTTTAATGCACTACACCAGGGAGAACATGGGTATTAGCCGCGAGGCCCGCGAGGGCCGCGAGGCAGAGGTTCCTGAAGAGGCGGTGAATCAGGTGGGTCCAAATGTCCAAATCCAGAAACGCTGGATGGTTGGATTTGGGTGGATTTTTTGGATGGTACCCGGCCTGGTAAACATACAATTACTTTACTTCGAGTTATCCCCACCATGACATCCATACGTTTTGTTACTGGCAAATCTTCTGGCATTCTATCTGACATATCTTCTGGCATTTTATCTGGCAAATCTTCTGGCATATGTTCTGGCAAACATTCTGGCATATCTTCTGGCATATCTTCTGGCATTCTTTCTGACATTCTATCTGGCATTCTATCTGGCCGTTGAGGTCCAGCGGTGCTCACTGAGCTCGGACGGTCCCAGGTTGAGGTCCAGCCCTTGCAGTTGAGGTCCAGCAGTGCCCACTGCGTGCGGAAGTTGGCGAAGAGCTTGGCGAAGAGTTGGCAAGGCGGAAGTGGACATGGAAGTCGAGGCAGAGGTGGTGGAGGAGAAGGAGGAGGAGAAGAAGAAGAAGAAGGAGGAGGAGGAGAAGAACAACTCTGATAAAATCTAATAACCCTCACCTGGCAGGTGGGGAAAAAACGATGGAAAAATCACCATGTTTAAAGGGTAAATCAACTATTTCGACTGGGCCATTCTCTATGTCGCAAACTGTTAGTTTACAAGAAGGTAGATGTTGGTGGCTACCAAGTGGATTTATGTGTTGACTTAGAGATCCATTGAGGTTCAATGGAGGCCAAGAAAGGTCAATTGGATGTGGAGTTTGCGCATGTGAACAAGTCAGTCTTCTAAAAGATGCCTCGTGGAACCGGATACTGTAATAAAACATCATAAAACATTATAAAACATGATAAAACATCATAAAACATCATAAAACATCATAAAAACATATACAGTAAAAACATCAGAAAATTATGGTCCAACTTCGTTTTGGAGGTGGCTGCGAGTTTGCTTTCAGCAGCTCGAAGTGGCAACACCCGGGAGGTGGCTGGGCTGGACAGTGGGTGAAATTCATCGACAGCGGCGTTGAACATTTGCGCAACATGATGCTCAATGGGTTAATCGACTATAGCCCAGGCAAATGCAAATTTGTTTGCATTTTTGTGAAAAATTCCGCGCACGGTTTTGCCAAAAAATGGGTTGTACCATCAAACTATCTTGTCAACAGGGAATATGCACACTAAGCAGCTGAATTTAGGGGCATTTTTTTTCCCCCCACCCTCTACCAAACCCAATGTGCCGACATTTACAGAAGATGTAACATCAATGGTCAAATTGTAGCTCTGCATCATCGTCCTTTGAGCAGGACATGCTTTCCGATTTGGGTTGTTAAGTCTCGCCACTGGCCAACTTTTTGAGGCTGAGGGATCTGAAAGTCATGTTGATCCACCAAGGCACAATTAGGCACCCCAATTAGGCACCCAAAACTGGATGAAGAGCCAACATGTTCCAAGATTATTAGGCTTGAGAGGTCAATGACTGTGCTTGACCGCGGGCACTTGGAGAGCCGTCCCCGATTCAGCAAGCTTCCAGTTCCTGCAAAAATGCACACTGTTGGCGCATCACATGGGACATGACCAAAAACAGGATGTTGAGGATGGCACGGCAGTCCGGCGGCCCGGCGTTTCCAAACTTAGACTGGTCAGCCCATACAGACGCAACCTGGCACCTGGTGCGGAATTGGGCGTGAAGACGCGGCCTTCTGATAGATTTTTTTTTTGCTTTGGAAGCGAAGCGGGCGCAATTCGTTCCAATCTTCTTCTGGTGCGATTTTAGGCCGCAACAATTGCTTCCTTTGTTGCTTTACGCCCCTGCATGCTTGTTTGTGCTGACGTCGTCCAATACGGCCCCCGGGAATTCATGCATTTTTGTACGATGTACGTGATCATGGGGTTGGGTCTGGGGTGGGGCTGCAATGACGTTGTGATGTGATGTAAGACATGTTGTGATGTTACGCCAGAGATGGGGTTGGGTCTGGGGTGGGGCTGCAATGACGTTGTGATGTGATGTAAACATTTGGGTGTTACGCAGAGATGGGGTTGGGTTGTTGTGATGTGATGTAAGACGTTGTGATGTTACCCAGAGATGGGGTTGGGTCTGGGGTGGGGCTGCAATGACGTTGTGATGTGATGTAAGACATGTTGTGATGTTACGCCAGAGATGGGGTTGGGTCTGGGGTGGGGCTGCAATGACGTTGTGATGTGATGTAAGACATGTTGTGATGTTACGCCAGAGATGGGGTTGGGTCTGGGGTGGGGCTGCAATGATGTTGTGATGTGATGTAAGACAAGTTGTGATGTTACGCCAGAGATGGGGTTGGGTCTTGGGTGGGGCCGCAATGACGCTATGATGTGATGTAAGACCAGTTGTGATGTTACGCCAGAGATGGGGTTGGGTCTGGGGCGGGGCTGCAATGACGTTGTGATGTGATGTAAGACATGTTGTGATGTTACGCCAGAGATGGGGTTGGTTCTGGGGTGGGGCCCTGCAATTGAACGTTTATGTGATGGGATGTAAGACATGTTGTGATGTTACGCCCAGAGATGGGGTTGGGTTCGGGGGGGCTGCAATGACGTGTGATGTGTGTAGACATGTTGTGATGTTAGCCAGGATGGGGTTGTGGTTGGGTGGGGCTGGTGTTTGCAATTGCAATGAGTTGTATGTGATTGTAAGACATGTTGTGATGTTACGCCAAGAGATGGGGTTGGGGTTCTGGGTGGGGCTGCAATGACGTTGTGATGTGATGTAAGACATGTTGTGATGTTACGCCAGAGATGGGGTTGGGTCTGGGGTGGGGCTGCAATGACGATGTGATGTGATGTAAGACATGTTGTGATGTTACGCCAGAGATGGGGTTGGGTCTGGGGTGGGGCGGCAATGACGTTGTGATGTGATGTAAGACATGTTGTGATGTTACGCCAGAGATGGGGTTGGGCCTGGGGTGGGGCTGCAATGACGTTGTGATTTGATGTAAGACATGTTGTGATGTTGCGCCAGAGATGGGGTTGGGTCTGGGGTGGGGCTGCAATTATCTTGTAGTGTGATGTAAGACATGTTGTGATCTTGCGCCACAGATGGGGTTGGGTCTGGGGTGGGGCTGCAATGGCGTTGTGATGTGATGTAAGACATGTTGTGATGTTACGCCAGGGATGGGGTTGGGTCTGGGGTGGGGCTGCAATGACGTTGTGATGTGATGTAAGACATGTTGTGATGTTACGCCAGGGATGGGGTTGGGTCTGGGGTGGGGCTGCAATGACGTTGTGATGTGATGTAAGACATGTTGTGATGTTACGCCAGAGATGGGGTTGGGTCTGGGGGGGGGCTGCAATGACGTTGTGATGTGATGTAAGCCATGTTGTGATGTTACGCCAGAGATGGGGTTGGGTCTGGGGTGGGGCTGCAATGACGTTGTGATGTGATGTAAGACATGTTGTGATGTTACGCCAGAGATGGGGTTGGGTCTGGGGTGGGGTTGCAATGACGTTGTGATGTGATGTAAGACATGTTGTGATGTTACGCCAGAGATGGGGTTGGGTCTGGGGTGGGGCTGCAATGACGTTGTGATGTGATGTAAGACATGTTGTGATGTTACGCCAGAGATGGGGTTGGGTCTGGGGTGGGGCTGCAATGACGTTGTGATGTGATGTAAGACATGTTGTGATGTTACGCCAGAGATGGGGTTGGGTCTGGGGTGGGGCTGCAATGACGTTGTGATGTGATGTAAGACATGTTGTGATGTTACGCCAGAGATGGGGTTGGGTCTGGGGTGGGGCTGCAATGACGTTGTGATGTGATGTAAGACATGTTGTGATGTTACGCCAGAGATGGGGTTGGGTCTGGGGTGGGGCTGCAATGACGTCGTGATGTGATGTAAGACATGTTGTGATGTTACGCCACAGGTGGGGTTGGGTCTGGGGTGGGGCTGCAATGACGTTGTGATGTGATGTAAGACATGTTGTGATGTTACGCCAGAGATGGGGTTGGGTCTGGGGTGGGGCTGCAATGACGTTGTGATGTGATGTAAGACATGTTGTGATGTTACGCCAGGGATGGGGTTGGGTCTGGGGTGGGGCTGCAATGACGTTGTGATGTGATGTAAGACATTTTGTGATGTTACGCCAGAGATGGGGTTGGGTCCGGGGTGGGGCTGCAATGACGTTGTGATGTGATGTAAGACATGTTGTGATGTTACGCCAGAGATGGGGTTGGGTCTGGGGTGGGGCTGCAATGACGTTGTGATTTGATGTAAGACATGTTGTGATGTTGCGCCAGAGATGGGGTTGGGTCTGGGGTGGGGCTGCAATTATCTTGTAGTGTGATGTAAGACATGTTGTGATCTTACGCCACAGATGGGGTTGGGTCTGGGGTGGGGCTGCAATGACGTTGTGATGTGATGTAAGACATGTTGTGATGTTACGCTAGGGATGGGGTTGGGTCTGGGGTGGTGCAGTGTCAGAGATGTGCTTTCCTGTAGGTCTAGATATTTCCGATTGTTTGGAATTTATGAATATGTAATATGTAGATATATATATATGTGCATGTGTGTGTGTCAAGTCACATTTATATATGGATATAAATATATATATATATACATGTATATATGTATATAAGAATCAGTGTACATGTCCAAGTATGCAAGGTATGTGTCTATGTCTGGTCTATCATGTATGCAACACGATCCTAACATAGTCTTGGCTTCCATGCGTTTTTTTTTCGCTGTTTTGCACATGGACGTGTAAAACCCATTGTGAATAGCACAAAATGGACACAAAGTGCTGTAAAACGCAAGGCATTTGAACATGGCGTAAAATCCATGGTGAGAGAAAGTGCCATAGGGGTTGTCGAAATAGCAAGATGCTTGTTGTCAAAACAAACAAAATCAACGGGACCGCAACGGACGACGTTACCTGGTTTGTGCCCCCATGATCATTGGTTTAAGCCACCAGCGTGGCAAGCGTACATCTTTGTCTTGGGGGGGCACCCCGCGGATATCTGCATTGGGTGGTGCTGTGCTGCCGCATTGCTGGGTAAGTGACAGCAACATATGCCTCAGCGTGAAGTGATGACAATAGTCGGTGAAACCACGTCACAACAGGTTGATTTCCGATGTGGGAATCGTGCTTTGTGGAAAAAGGACGTTTTATTTCTAAAATGTTTGGGGCGTTTATTGTATTGTTTTTTTTGGTTATGAAATTGAATTGGTTTTGGTTGGCAACCCCTTCCGAAAAATGTGGGTTTAGCCGATAAAGCCGCACAGCCAGAATTGCCACGGCCAGGGGGAAACAGCCCAAGCGGCAGAGGTGATGAAGCAGGCTGGAATTGAACCAATGAATCATGAACGCGGGTTTGGTATGACTTATGGACTTGGATGATCCCGTGAGCATGGTTTGTGGTTGAAAAATGATTGGCGAATATCTACCATATTTGGCTGTTCGGACATGGTGGATATCGCAAAGTTGCACAAACAACTGTGGGATGGTGATCTTTGATGGCCCGGGTCGAAGCTGTCAACTAGCAAAATGATAACATATCATCATAGCAATTGATGTGGATGAATGGGGGCTAGGTCACTACCAGGTTTTCCAGCTATCGGTGGATGACTACACACCACCCCGGTTGTTGATCCGCACCGTGACTTGATTCAGATGCAACTCATGTTGGGAGATTGGGCACCCAGCACTAGGTGGCAGCAAATTTGCTGCAAGCAGCCAGAGATGGCACGTTGTTACGGTGGCAGGCGCCGTTTCAGATTTTGGAACCATTGGAAGAACGCTCCAACGGGGGATTTCCAAATTGATCCATTGACTGAGTTCAAATCAAGGGCCCAAAGCTCCCAATATGTAGAAGGCTCATTGATGGCTTTGGTGTGGCAAAGAAATCTGCACCAGAATATGCCAGAGTTTATCGAATCTTCATTCTGGTTGGTCATTAAATTCTTGCAACGCATGAATTTGATGGTTGGCCCCTCGTTGAAACCGCTGACAGGCATGGTTTTCCCCATTGTTAGTTTTGAGGTGCTAGGGAAATTTACAAAGGGAAAAATCGAAAACTCATTGACCAACCTTGGTTTGCTGCCTCGGCTATCTATTGATTTTCCGGTGGATTTTTCAGGTCTCAATGCCAAATCCCATGAATTCCAGGCGGAACATCTGGCACAACGACTCCAACGGGGGTCACAGGTGCGACAGCGGGAAATCAAGAAAGGTGAGTCTGGTAAGGTCGATGTTTGATGTTCTTTGTCAAGGTGATTGGTGAAGTAACGCGTTGTCAGCGTCCAAAAAAAGATGTTGTTAAAATGCTACCCATGGAATTAAACAATACCAGTTTTTGTGAAAACCGGAGTTGATATGAGTTGATATGATCCTAAAATCTGCGGCTTCTGGGTGGTTTCGGATCATTTTAGTCTTGTAGATGGTCCTTTTTGGAAATTCGTTGAATTAAATAGTTTCAGAATGTTTCAGAAGATTATTGGTGTCGGCTGGAACATTCTGCAACTCAAACATGGGGCACATAGCATGAACTCGTTCAGCTCCCAGGTTTCGCTGAAACCTGTGACATCGCAGATTTTGCGGTTTGATTTTGCGGGGACATGTATCCAATGTATCCTGCGCACACCCAGTTGAGATGATGATCCCAATTGACTGGTGACTCTCATGTCATGATTGTCATGTTGATTTAGGATTAAGAAAACGCCAGTTTAGGAAAAAACAATCTATTTATAAAGCAGTATAGCAATTTTCCAGCTACACTCCCCAAAATTAGTCAGGGCCCATGGAGCAATTTTCGAGCAGCCCAGGCGCCTGGAATCGGCTGCTTGGATGCCAAAACGCTGGTAGCAACGGTGGAACATTGGCCAATCATTGGAGTGGTTTAATAGGGAAAATTGAAAGGATGCCATCTATGTTTTATGGTTAAAACATGTTAAAACACATTAAACACCCATGGTTTTCCCTGTAGAATTTCCCCTTGAATCTGTTTGAACATTGGTCATAGACATGGCGCCGAGAACTTCAACTTTGCCGCAGCCGAATCTTCTTTGGGATTAATTATAATGATTATATAATATATATATATATATATCAATCATCCCAGCCAAAAGGGCATACCCAATTTCATAAACCCCAATGGGTGGCAGTTTATGCAATTATCATCAGTTACCCTTTGATAATCAACCGTGACAATTGAAAATCCACCATTCTATTAACGCATCCATTGAGTTCCGCATTTTTCAGCTAGCCATGTTTGATCACAATCATCAATGGATTTAAGCCCCTGCAACCTCCAAAAGATAGAACCGTAATTCATGACTATTTACCCTCTGGTTATGACTAACATAGCGAACTGGAAAATCCCTGAAATAAATGAAGTTTTGAATGCTGGGAAAATCATCTATTTCGATTAGGGCCATCATTTTCCATGGCGAACTGTTAGTCATAACCAGAGGGTAAAGATTTTAAAGGGGATTGAAACATTTTTTTTGGCGGGTACTATACCCCATGAGGATCCCAAAGTTCACCGAGGTGATTTGGAGTCACCTGATGGGTCAGAGAGGTGCTGTCCATTCGGTTCCTAGTTATGTGAACTTTTGGAGATCAAGTTCCATAAAGTCATAGAAAATCTATATAATTAATCATAATTATCAAAGACATTATCAAACACCAGTGTCTTTTTCCCCTGCATCGGGCAGGCCCATGATTTCGAGGAGTTCATGTTCCGAGGTGGGAGGGGGCCACAACAAATAGCGTGGCAGCAGTGCTAATGGAATGGGAACATTCATTTTCGCTGGATTTCAGGGCATGGTTTTTTTCCCAAGTTTTCAAGAGGTGCGATTTTCTAGTTTGAACCGCTCATGAGAAATTGGTTCTTTTGGGAAACCAAAGGGAAAGCTCGAGAAAAAGCAACAAGGTCCATGGTAAGTCGTGTGAGTTTGGCACTAAGCATCCATGGCCCAGGTAGCGTCGATTGCAGTTCATGACGTTGGGAGCCTTAAACATGTTGAACCATGAGCCAAATCATGGAATCATGGAAACTTCACCTGGGTAGTTTGAGCATCTTCCAATCTTGAAGTTGGACACAAATAGATGTTCCCTAAAGGGAAGCCACAATTTTTATTGAGCATCATCATTCCAATGTCCCAATTGATGGATTATTTCCAGCTACTTACCAACCAACTTCAAAAAAACCGGAAGTGATGAAGTGAGGTTCATCATATACCCTCTGGTAAACTAACATAGCTATTGAAAATCACAATTTTTAATGGACTATAACTGACCATTTTCAATAGCTATGTTAAATTACCAGAGGGTATCACCATATATCACCATATATCACCTGCGAGGAATCCCAACTATCACCAAGATCTCAAACCCATCACCAGATATTTCACCAACATTTCACCATGCATGCACCACAATTCACCATATATAGATTCACTATAATTAACGTTAATTAACCATAATTAACCATAATTAGCAATAATTAACCAACATTTCGCCAACAATTCATCAAAATTCACCATAATTAACCATATATTAACCAGATATTCACCAATATCAATCATACTGTGGATGGAAAAACGAAATCCTGCACCACCAACTTGGGATGGTTGAAAGCCAAACAAAATAAATCATGTTATTTTTTGCCCATCTATCAACTGGTGCAGGATTTTGCAACCATCCACAAGGTGCCTAGATCGGGTTAAGTTGATGTTCATAGACTCACAGTTGGTGAAAACAATGGCGACAAATTTCAGCTTTCCCAACCAAAAACCAAGACCTAGGCCAGAAATCCAGATGTTCACTCTATAATTCACCATAATTCACCATATATAGATTCACTATATGTACCCTCTGCTTATTTAACATAGCCATGGAAAATCACCATGCTATTAATAGGTACACCATCTATTTCTATGGGCCATGTATACCATGGCGAACTGTTAGTCACAATCAGAGGGTATCATTCACTATATAGATTCACCATAATTCACCACAATTCACTATATATAGATTCACTATATATATATATATCATTCACTATAATTCCATCCACATCTTCATTCCAAGGCCCTGGAGTTTGCGGCCAAACACTTGGCGACCTTGGAAGACCTACGAGATGACCTGTCGATGTCCGTGGCCTTGCTGCTGGGGCGACATTGATACATGAACGTAAAGCCGTGGGAAATGGAGGAAGTGGTGGTATGGTTTCATAGGATTTCATGGGATTTAATGGTTTTTAATGGGTTTTCATCAGATTTATTTGGATTTAGTTGATCTACATAGTAGGATTATTATGATTTCATGGGGATTTGCCATGTTTTAAGAGAACTCGCTACACTTGGAGATTTTTCATTAATTTTATCATGAAAAATGGACAAACGATGATAGAAAACAGCAACCTCGGTGAACCATATCCACGAAAATTGATGGAGCATCAATTCTTGCATAGCTTATTATCGATTTTATAGATGAGAACCGGCTGCATTTACAGCTACATACAGCTACTGTTGTCAGCGGTTCTGATGGTCTTATCATCTAGGTGATGAGGATGGATGGGTTACATGGTGGAACCAGTTACATCCCATGGTAGCTGGGTTCAACAGAAAAGTGTCCCAAAAAGACATTCTCTTACGGTGGCCCGTGTCAACATATTAGTTATATTGATATTATGAGATTTTTCTGACATATTGTAACGTTCACAAAAAACAGATCCGATGAATACGCCAAGATTAAGCTTCAATCCCGTTAGATTCTTAGACCTGAACAGACTCAGAGATATAGAAACTTCATGAAGACTTTCTACCGTTATCTACCCATATATCTACCGGGTCTCAACATTTCCAAGTCAACCCTTGGAGACTTGGCGCAGCCGCTTTTCGCAAGGTCACAGGTGTCACAGGGCTCGGAGCGCGAGTGGTTCCTGAGTGAAGTGGCGGGCGAAGTGACCCACCAGGTGCCCCATGGGCGACATGGGATGGCCATGGGATGAAGTCGAGAAAGTTTTAGAGATCCGTGGTGACAGGGGCGTTTTTGTAGCAACTTGATGCCACCTCGAAATTTTTGGGGGATGGGAGGGGGATGAAGTGGAAAAACTGATCTGATAGGTTTTTTTTTGGGCTGCATCGATCCTGCTTGGGGTACGCACATTCGATTCCATAAATTTGAAGGTCTTTGAAACATGTGATGATATGTGATGCTGGGCCATGGCTGAAGCTAAAAGATCTGACGGCATGTTCAAGAAGAAAACATGAATTTATGTATTGTTTATATTTGTTGATACCTTTCAATCTTTTTGTTGCTAAACTTCTAGGGTGCCAATCGGCATTGATCCATTCATCACCCCCTTGCAGGTGATGAACGCGTTGGAAAGTTGAGATCTTCGACGGCAGCTGCTGAATCAGATTTTGGCCCTGGAATCTGATGGAGCTCCACTTTTTGGGGCATCCTTCAGGTTTTTTTCTTCCAGGCTTTTGTGACGTTTCTGGAATATCTGGAATGGTGCAAGTGATGGTCTCCAGTTTTGCCCAATAGGCTGCAGGTTGAAATCAGGCTTGCGGCCTATGCTTGCACAGCATGTCATGAGGACTCCGCGAAGCGGAGGTCCTCGCAGATGGCTTGCTTAGATTCAACGAAAACAACAGCTGTGGGCCGTGGGCCGTGCTGTGGTTGAATCAACCATTAATCAACGGATTAATCAACCATCAATAACCATCAATAACAATCAACCATGAACCAACCATCAATAACCATTAATAACCATGAATATATATATATATATACATATAATCATCAATAACAACCAATAACCATTAATCAACTATCATTTTTCTTTAAGTAAACAAACCCTTCGCTGGCGCTTTTTATGTGATCATCCGCCAATTCCAAGGCCTTGGTCAAAGGACTTGTGGTGGTGAGCCAGGTGGGATTCGAGAAATCATACGTTTGGGGTGAGTTTCTCAAGTTTTTTCGTATCGTTTGTAAAATCATAGATTAAAATCATGGATTTAACCATAACAAATGGTGATTTTCCTTGGTTTTGTTAGTTTACCGGAGGGTATCGTTTTTCTTGGAGTTATGTTTGATGATGATGATGATGATGATGATGATGACTGGTTGGTGGTTTGGAATATGAATTTCTATGACTTTCCATATGCCAGATACAGTCGTTAAAACACATTTGACACCAGTTAAAAACATGTTAAAAACAGGCTAAAACCAGTTAAACAACAGTTAAAAACAGGCTAAAAACACTTAAACAACAGGTAAACAACAGGTAAACAACCAGGTAAACAACATTTGACACCAGTCAACCAGTCAAAAACCCGCCGGGTCCGAAGCCTTTCAGGTGGGTGCTTCAGATGTGCACTTCGCATATCTCTTCGAGGCATGGCCAATGGCTTGTTGGAAGGTTTTCAAACTCATTCATGGGTGAAATTGGGTACGATTTACTGGGATTTACTGCGATTTACTATGGTTTTCTATGATCTGCTATGGTTTTTCGCGTGGTTTACCATGATGGTTTACTACAGTTAATGATGGTTTATGATGGTTTACTCTACTATCGATATTGCATGATGCTGCCATCATTCTTCTTATTTTCCGGGCCACATTACCCAAGATATGATCCCATTTCTACCTTGACAATCAGCCGTTGACCTTGGAAAATTGGAGCGAGTTGCCGGATGATTTTGTTTCAAAGGTGGTAATTCAGAAGTGGCCCCGTGATGGGCTGTGGATATTTCCACGACCGGCTAGGTGGAACATCGGAACATGGCGAAGACAGCGGTGAAGTCTGCTCCTCAATCTGCTTCGTCTTTTTTTGTCCAAAAGTTGGTTTGGGTTTTTGTTTCAAATGGTGGACCCAATCAGCAGCTCAATACCCTCTGGTAAACTAACATAGCTATTGAGGATGGCCATGTTTAATGGGAAAATTCACTATAAATGGCCATTTTCAAGAGCTATTTTGACAGAGGGTACATGACCATGCCCCATTCAGATGGAGTTTCTGAGCCAGGAACTTCCAGTTCCCTGACAAGGAAGACTCAGAGAGGCGGACCCCCACACGTTTTGGCGTTGGTAATGTTGATGCAGCTATAAGCTCCTTGAGGGAGTCAAAAACACATGGATTTCCCAACAAATTTCCAACATCAACACGTGCTGGTTTCATAGCTTCATCCATTTTTTTTCGCAGCTTGTGTAGGTGTGCAGCCTCTCTCAAGAAAGAGTCCGGGAAATTGCGGCGTTGTGCCGTTGCTCATTTGCACCAACTTTGGGACCTAAAAATCGCAGAGCGACTGGACTTCGGATTTCCAGCCATTCTGAGACCAGCCACGACTGGGACGAGCTGATTCCGGGCATGGTGGCTGGGCTGGTGAGGATTGCTGGTGGTTTTCGGCGGATGAACATCTTTGCTAAGGATTTGAGCAGCAAAACACTTTATGATATCATAGTCATAGTATATCATAGTAGAATTGAAGAATATCATCATCATATTCATCATCTTATTGGTTATTTGATATCTGATGATTCTGATGCTGGGGAGCCACGGCTCAGGGCTGATCTGGCTGCGTGTCCGTGTCCTGTGTTCAGGTGGAGGCCTTGCAGAAACTCTCTGGCGCCAAGGCGATTCCGGATCGCGGTTTGGGGGGTTGGGCACCATGGTGCACCATGATGACCATTGGTGCACCAGTGAACCTGGAGGTGAACCAACCATTCAATGGATTGGTTTGTTGGGGAAAATCTTAACCGGAAACCATCGATTTTCCCATTTTTTATATGGGGCTTTCCTGTAAATTTTCCCCTAAACCAATCCATAGGTTGCCATAGGTTGCCGGGCTGGTTGCCATAGGTTGCCAGGCTGGTTGCACCTCCCTGATTTTCAGGATCGCAAAGAAGGGACGAAAGCAGATGGCCGAGCGGCCAGGTCGGGTTTGGCCTGGAAGGTGATGAAGCTGGTATTTGATGTATTTGCCCTGACTCTTATCCATGTTATAAGTGATGATGGGTCCAAGAAGGTTGGCAAGCCATGGTAAGCCATTGTGTTGGCAGATTTACGTTGGGAACTTATCTCATTCCCGATGATTAGCATGGTTTGGCTACTCGGGTTTGTGTTTCCAATACCATCATTACAATAGGATATGATGCATATGATCCTTCAAGGAAACCATGGTTGTTCCTAGGACATTTGCGGGTCTCCTGTGGTTTTTGACCTCCAATCCAGTGAATCCTAGATGTCGCCATTGGACCCTGCCAGGAAGCTCTTCCAAGATGCAGATGACGAGAGTGACCTGGAGGACCACAGTGAATACTTCTGGCAAGATATGGCAAGATTATATCTGATTGGTGGTTTGGAACATGTTTTATTTTTCCGAATAATCATCCCAACTGACTAATCTTCAGAGGGGTAGGTCAACCACCAACCAGATATAATGGAGAGAGAAGCCCACCAAAGTGGCCTGAAAAGACATGGTTTCAGAAACGCTGCTTTTTGTGCCTTGTTTATCGGTTCCTTGGAGTTTTGGCTGCGGAAGTGGCTTCAACTGAGCCTTGGAACAATGGATACCCTCTGGTAAATTGGCAATAGACCCTGGCAGATGGGGGTTGGAAGACTCGTTTCCATTAAAAATAGGTGATTTTCAGGGTCTATGTTTATTTACCAGAGGGTAACAATTTCTACACCACAAGGTAAAATGTTCCGCTGAATTCATGATTTTCATGATTTTCATGCTTGATGACTGCGAACTGTTACAACCTGCATTAGCTTGCAACCTCCCAGCCAAGATTTGTGGGCAGACCTGTAGGTTTTGGACCTAAAACATCCGAAAACTACAAACTACTACGAAAAAGCATGCTGCGAGATAAGTGACTTGGTATGTCATTAGAATCAACCAACGGTACCAACGTCAATTGCTTCGAAAACCCGAAAGCCTGACAGGAGGTGCCGGGTTCAAGCTGTTGCGGATGCTGCTTCAGGCACCAAAAAAAAGGTCGTTGAAGGATTTTTCCCCCAAACAGTGTACTGTTGGGGGTTCTTAATGCTATCTTAAGGTGTCCGCCTTGGTGTTGGATGGTGTGTCCGCCTTCCGGTGGGTCTTGTCTCCCTTTGTGCTTGTCGCCCAGCTTGTCTCTCTTTTTGTTTCCCTTTGTGGCGAGTGGCATCATTTTGCATTTTAGTTGATGATATTGAATGTGCACTTCTAGCGTGAAGTTGCTTGCCCGCTTGGAAGCTGTGGGCTCGGGGATTGAGAATGATGTCACCTTTCACTTTTATCCTCCGATGTTTTCATTACATCCAATTTGACACTCCTATGCTGCTTGATTCGAGTGTTTGGATCCAAATACTCCCCCATAGGATGTTTCCTCCATCGTCTTTCGGCATCTAGTGCGACAAAGCAAGCGAAGCCGAACAATTCTAAATGTGAAGTGGTCTCCGGAACTGGATGTAGACATTTTGATGATTCCTGTCGCTGCTATTTCATGTGTTAAATTTGACCCTGTTCCTCAAAACACTTCTTGAAGCCACCCATTGTTTGGGGCCTACGGTGGTGTAATTTCGCCATGACATAGAGCCCAAGGACTGCTGCCACATGATTTCAATGTTTTTCTTGAGGTGTATCTAAGAATCTAAGGTTATGTTAGCCAAATGATTCATTCTTGGCTTGACCTTAACACACACACAGCTTTACATATATATATATATGCATATACACCGTATGTTTTTACTTCTGGGTCAACTCCAATAAATGTCCATCCTTGGTTATCTTGGGCTCAGGGGATGCATCATTCTCATGATGGTGCTGGGTGGCATCGTGGGTGCTGCTTGGGTGTTGGAGTTTTCAAGCTCGGGCACCCCGGATTAGCTTGCCAAATTGTGGCGAAATCTGGTGAAGATCTTGCGATCTTGTTTTTTTTGATGGTATTTTCTTGATAGATTTTAAGATTTCAGCAGTTGTCACTTTTTGACCAAACAGCAAACAGTGTGTCCACACTGAGGGGTTCTTACGGTAGGTGTAAAGGCCGGTGCTTAATCAGGGTGCTCCAGCTGGTCGGCGGCGCTTTACCTGTAAATTTCCGCACAAAATGGCTCTTGTGCAATGTCCAAGTGCATTTCCACTGCGCAGGCTCGCACAAAGTGTGGGTCCCGGTCTTGGGATCGGTCCTCCTCCTGAACATCATCATCATAATCATCCATTGTCCTCCCACTCCCCCACACTGTTTGGGGTCTCTTGCCGGGATAATTCGCTCAAACAGATTCAAACATAATATACAATCTTTTCATGGCAGGTTGGACTTCAATTTATGGACTTCAGTGGCTTCTGAGGTCGCGCTGGATTACTTCCAACTGAGTCGAAATGATGGCTGGGACGTGGTCCCTGACCATCTGGGGTGCGGGAAATGTAGCGCTGGGGCATTGAATCAGCTTGGAATCAGATGGCCCAAGCTGTGAAGTGGAACAACAAAAAAAACAGAATTGCACAAAAAATCCTGGGTTTGGAGACCTTAAGCAAGTCCAAGATATATATATATATCTATATATATAGATATATATATATATAAATATATATTATGTATGTGTGTATATATATATATTTATGAACCCAGTACAGTATATTAACTTCTGAACTTTCTTGGCAAATGTTAAATATTTCTCGGGCTTCGCGGGGCTGAGTTCATGGTGTGCCACCAGTTCCGACAGTCTGAGATGCGGGGGAAAAAAAGGGCTGCCGGGCTGCCCTGGCTGCAGCGAACTCGACGCTTTCCAAGTGCTGTGGGTTTCCACATGTTACCAGGATATGCTGCGAGAGAACCCGGAGGACTGACTGTGGCTGTGCAGCTTCAAAAGTTTAACAAAAAAGCGTTTCAACATCTCCAGGAACTAGATATTTCACTAGATGTTTCACTAGATGTGAATAGTTCATTCCTGGAGCAGTCTTCCAAGAAACTGATGAACAATCCACCAGGCAGAGTTTAACTCTCCCTCCAGGTCATTGGTGAGTATGGAGCCTTGCTGGAGGCCCGGGTTTGGGGCTACTCATTCTCTGTGTTTGTCACATGTTGGTTGCAATTCTATTGGTAAAACATCTTGAAACATCTGAAGTTAACATAACTTAACACATTTTTTCAAAAAAATACAAAGCAGATATCATCTATCATGTAGGTGTTGTACCAGTGGTATAGGGATGTATAGGCTATATCACTATGTCTATATACATCTATATACATTAATATATTCCCATGATAATCTGACATCTTCCATTCTAAAAACAGACATTTCGGTGGATTTCACGGACCGCCTTCATCACTGGACCTTCATGAACCGGCCAGACCTGGTGTCGCGAGATTGAAACATACCTGGAAAAAGGCGGGGCAGGCGTTGAATATTGATATTATGGATTCGGATGTATATTAGATAATAATGCATGTTTTTGCATGTATATGTATAATTATGTGTATACATACATACATACATACATGCATGCATGCATGCATACATACATACATACATATCTATACATACATACATCTATACATACATACATACATACATACATACATATCTATACATACATACATACATACATAGATACATACATACATACATACATACATACATATCTATACATACATATCTATACATACATATCTATACATACATATCTATACATACATATCTATACATACATATCTATACATACATATCTATACATACATACATACATACATACATACATACATACATAACATACATAACATACATAACATACATAACATACATAACATACATAACATACATAACATACATACCATACATAACATACATAACATACATAACATACATAACATACATAACATACATAACATACATAACATACATAACATACATAACATACATAACATACATAACATACATAACATACATAACATACATAACATACATAACATACATAACATACATACATACATAAATACATAAATACATACATACATACATTACATACATTACATACATTACATACATTACATACATTACATACATTACATACATTACATACACACATACATACATACATACATACATACATACCTATACATACATACATATCTATACATACATACATATCTATACATACATACATATCTATACATACATACATATCTATACATACATACATATCTATACATATCTATACATACATACATATATACATATACACACATACATACATACATTACATACATACATACATACATACAGATCTATACATACATATCTATACATACATACATACATACATACATATATACATATCCATATACATACATACATATATCTTTATACATACATACATACATACATACATACATACATACATATCTATACATACATACATACATACAAGCATATACATACATACAGATCTATACATACATACATACATACATACATATCTATACATACATACATATCTATACATACATACATATCTATACATACATACATATCTATACATACATACATATCTATACATACATACATATCTATACATCTATACATACATTACATACATTACATGCATTACATACATTACATGCATACATACATACATAGATACATACATACATACATACCTATACATACATACATATCTATACATACATATCTATACATACATACATATCTATACATATCTATACATACATACATATATACATATACATACATACATACATACATACATACATACATTACATACATACATACATATCTATACATACATACATATCTATACATACATACATATCTATACATACATACATATCTATACATACATACATATCTATACATACATACATATCTATACATCTATACATACATTACATACATTACATGCATACATACATACATAGATACATACATACATACATACATACATACATACCTATACATACATACATATCTATACATACATACATATCTATACATACATACATACATATCTATACATACATACATACATACATACATACATACATACACACACATACATACATACATACATACATACATATCCTACATATCTATACATACATGCAAAATAATACATGCACATATGTATATATATAATTGGAGAGTTGCATACATATATGCCTATACATACATACATACATACATACATACGTACATACATACATACATACATATATATATATAAATATATATATATGTGTGTGTGTGTGTTTGAATATTCAAAACGGTACTTACGCAAAATATGGCCAAAACCAACATCAAGGGCAACGTTGCGGAACGGAACTTTTTTTTTTTTTGGATCCCTCACCCGCAAATGATAAAAGTTCGTAAGGGTCATTTGAATGATTTGCCACAGCCGATCCTCAGAGAATAGCTTATTTAGTTCCTGTTTGCATACTTTCACAGAGGAAAGCAGCAGTGGTTGGTATACCTTTCCCGTTTTGGAGTATTTCCAGATGGGTGCGCGCGGTAAACTGCGACCCGAAACCACCCCCGTTCCAGTAGAAATTGAGGTATAGATGAGAAGACTCACATCCAAGAGTCGTCCGTGCCATGTGTTTGGAGGGCTAGGGAGAGGCCTGGGGCCAGGTGAACCTCCAACTTTTGCGATGGCCGTATTTTTGATCTCTTTCACTATTCACTTATAAGTGAAACCAGCAATTTCACGTGTATCAACCACTTAGTTCTCTGGAAACCAGCAATTTCACTTATAAGCCATGGTGGACCAACTTAGTTGGTTGAAATGCAAAACAGCAATTTCCATGACTTTTTCCCATGGCTTTTTGGCTTTTCCGCCAGGCCCGGTCCACGAGGTGAGTTGGATTTCTGGCGCAGTCGGATGCAGAAGATCACATCTATCACTGAGACTCGTTTCTGATATGTTCTGATCATTTTTTTTGGGGGGGATTTACCCTCTGGTGATTTTATAGTGATATAACTGGTAAATGATTGGTTAATGGGATTTTTTGTTGTGATTCAATGGGATATGAATGAATGATACCCTCTGGTTATTTAACAGTTCGCCATGGGAAATGGCCCATAGAAATAGATGGTTTACCTATTAATAGCATGGTGATTTTCCATGGCTATGTTAAATAACCAGATGGTATATGATTATATATGTCTAGAACATGGATGTGAAACATGTGTAAATATATATGCATGTTAAGATTGTTGATCGGAATTTTGATCGTTTAGATTTATATGTTTACATATCGGAATTTCGTTTTGAAATCTAGAAACGGATTTCTGATGCGGTTTTCTGGTGTGTTTGGTGGTTTTTCTTCGATTCCAAGGATCTGTTTTTGACTCACTTTGAAGGAACCATGCACTTTAGGGTTCTATGGGCTTGATTCACCCTTGGGGTGGACTGTTTGAAGACAGCTTCACATCCCTATATATATACACATTCACATATATATATACACACATATATATATACACATATTATATACATATATATATATATACATATTTATATACATATAAATGTATATAAATATATGTATATATATATATGTGTGTGTGCGTATGTATATACATATATATACATATATATATGTATAATATTACCGCTTTCCTAGACTCTTTGTGAGAGTGAGTTTGGCTCTACATGCAAAGCAATGGTTCAACGTCATCCAAGATCCAGCCCTGGTGTTCTGACAAAATTGGCCGCAACGACTGCTGGGCCAAGGAGCAGTTGAAGGGTTCCGCACTCAGAACCACCTGGGCTTTCAGCGCCATCAATGAAACTGCGGCTGATGAATTGTGGGGGTTACGTCCAAATGGCATCCCTCTCAGTTAACTCAGCTACTCAACCCGTTTTTTGGTGGATCACCCATTGACAGTAGTTGTCTTGGCATGTCTTGGTCGTGATGGCCCAAGGAAGGGAGTGCAAAGCGGTCTTCAATGTGCTTCATGTTTGCAGCTCAGCCAGAGACGCACCCAGAAAAATAGACCCCGCGGCTTCGTGTGGTTTGCCGTTTTCGTGCCTCTTTGGGGTGAAATCCACATACCATAAAATACCACAAAAAGATCTAGTGAATCATCACTTTTTGAGTAGGATTTTCAATGTTTGCTTTTCTATCTTCTTGGGGTTTCGAATCAGAAAAATATCAGAAACCATCAGCAGATCCATCAGGCAGTGACCCGACAGCAGGGTGGTGGCGATGTTGCACCAAAGAGTGGGGGTTCCCAGCGCGAAAGGCAGCAGATTTCATGTTTTTTTTTTCTCAGAATGCTTTCAAGATTTCTAGATCCCAAAAATCTTGGGAGTGATTTGCCAAGAACATAGCACGCTGAGCTGTGGCAAATCTGGAGGCCGCCAAACGGTCTTCAACACACTCAGACGCTGGAAGCAAATCGTTCGTCCACTCAGCTGGGTCATAGCTCCGTCAAAACAAATCACCCTACACCTCCATTTTGGGGCCAAAACACCAATTTTTTTTTTTTTTTAAATACCATGAAATCATATGAAATACATGTATGAAATCCACCCTGAAAATGGGAGTTTAAAACGACACTATATGATATGATATGATATGATATGAGTATGTGTTTATCAATGTGAAGCCAGTGACATGCCAGTGCCCAGGATATCTCCATCACGGAGGCCTTCAATGAAGCAAAGGACCACCAACTTCAACCAGCTATCGATCACCAATTTTGATCCCAGAAAATCCCCAAGGCCCCAAGGCTCCCTGAAGTTTCAGCCAAACAAAATCGCAGGACAATGTGAAGTATTTGACCACCCTGGAGAAGTTCATAGAGCCCCTATACTCGGGAACCCCGTGCCCTGGCGATGCTATGGAGCATTTCTGGGATGATTCCCCAGCACTTTTGAGCGATGTCCCAGAATTTCTTTGCTCATTTCTAGATGGAGACCCTCCAGTAACCAAACGTGGCAATGGAAAATCATCCAGTTACAGATGATTTTTCAATTCAAACCTCAATTTGTAGTTCCGGCATTTTCCAGCCAGCCACGTTTGACTATACCCTCTGGTAAACGTTTACGTAACTATGGAAAGATCCACCATTTTTAAAAAGGGTCAATCCACTATTTCGACTGGGTCATTTTCAATAGCAAACCTATTTTGACATAACCAGAGGCTACCGGAGGGTATTAACTAAACTCATCTAGTCAGTTTCCCATAGGTTTCCCCTCCATTGTTGTTGGCCCATGGTTGTCCAGGGCCCAGATCATTGAGACCTTGCCGGCGCTGTTGAACTCGGCTTGGGGGCCTTGATGCCTTGATCGGCTTCTGGTGAGAGAGGAGGCTCAAGAAACAAACTTAACGAGTGTATATATATATATGTATATATTATGACATCTATATCCATTTATCTATCTGACTGTCTGTCTATCTAATTATTTATCTATCTATCTACATGTATATACAGTATATATATACAGTATATATCTATACTATACAATAATCCTGAAGTAGATAAAATCGGGGATTTTCAAAGATATTCCCATTTTAGTGAGGTGATGATTTTGACATTTACAGATTCTATCTACTCCAGGATGATAGAATTGCTAATTATGGCTATTCATTTCATGTAGACTCTTCGTGGTTAAAATTCAATGATTCAGGGCCATTCTAAGGTGATAATTGGCAAAAGCTATTGACTTTCTTGGATGAACAAGTATAGATTTGACACCATAGAATGGAGGTGTTTTAACATGAACGGGGGATGTTTTATACAATGGAGAATCAAACCAACCAGAATGGGGTTATGATGGGGTACCTTCTTGAAGCTTTCACCAGTCATCCTTGGACCCAAGTGGATCCTACAGGTGATAAAACTTTGGTTTCAATGGCGAACAATGTACTAATTTTTATTGACATTCTTGTTCAAAAATGATGCTTACCAACTTCCAAAATCAACTTAAATCAACAATCATCAGCCAAAGTTGATGGAAAAAACCAGCAGGAAAGAAAGGCGAACGGCTTCAACGAGTTGCAGATCGATGGCCATGAATTTCTAAGGTCACGATGATCCACACCATCGCCAGATACTACAACACGTTGGGGGCTCAGGGGTCAGATGTGGTCAGGGTTCTCAACCAAGAGGGCAGAGGACCAGAGAATCACTACAGCATTTCTCAAGATGTTTATAAAGAACGCCTTTTTGAGATATCCTCTGTGAATCAAACATGGCTAGCTGGAAAAACCCTAAACATGATTTTTTAAAAATGGAGGTTTTCAATTCATGGGAACATTGTCTATAGACACTTCCATTCCGCATCATTTTGCCAGTTTCAGAATTGGATCATTTTGATCCGGAGACTTTCCATTCGAGTTCTATGTCTGATGTCTCAGCAAAATCTTGGATGTTCACAGGTCAGAGCGGATTACCAATCTCTTCTCCAAGATCACCAATCAGATGATCCACAATTGCAGGGTAGCCTTTCTGAAAGCCTGGGATGGGATGGGAGACTGATGAGGCTGAAAAAATCCGCTGTTCATGTTCAACACCCCTCTTCTATGGCCCCATATGGTCCCAAATATATGTAAGTCCCTACTTCACTATGGTTTCGGGGGAGGTCCTGAGGGCTGAAAAGGGGGAAGGGAGTCTGAACCAGCCAGTACACAGCCATAAACAGCCATTATTACCCATTAATCACTATTAATATACCATAATATACAATTATATATATATGATATCTGTAAATAAATAAATACATACATACATATATATGTATATGTTTCCCCGTGTAATTTCTCGTGGGTCGATGGTGGGGTGATGGCGAACAAAAACCTCTTGACTGGGCCAAGTCCCCTGTGATATTTATTCGTTCTGTCGCAATTTTTGTAGACGTGACTTGGCTAGGACCATCATGGCCAGTGTTGGATGATGAGTGATGATGATGGGAAAATTTGCAGGAAACTCTTCTATTTCAAGGTAAGCGCCATGGTTTTCCCGTAGATTTCCCTTAAGACAACCCATGATGGATCCCCAAGAAGATCAGCCCTGAACGGCACATGACCTGTGCAGACCTGCATCATCGGGGATTGTGAAGACGCATCGCAGTTGGAAACTGAGTGAAAACTCTGTGTAGAAAGCTGCGGATCTGAGAGGTACCCGAGAGGGTAAACATGCAAAAAGCTATTGAACATGGCCATAGAAATAGTGAGTTTTCCCATTAAGTCATTAAAGATTGTGATTTTCCATAGTTTTTTTGTATGTTTACCAGAGGGTAAAGTAAAGCATGGAACATGGCAGAACTATAAAATTCAACCACAGAATCGGCCGTGAATTCGGGCTTTCACCCGATTTTACTGATTCGACGGTCGCTGCTTTTAGGATTTGCTGCAGGTTGTGGGAGATCTCACCACCAGAGTTGATCAAAAACTTGGAGGTTTGTTTGAAGCTCAACGTAGCGCCGGATGCTCAGAATCCTGGAGCCTTACAGCTTTCGTGATCAATCTATGGCTACAGCTACAGTGCATCAGCCTCGACTAAAACCTGTGGAAAACCAGGGTTTTCCGGTTTTCCATGGTTTTTTCTGGTACATTTTGTGCTTTCAACCAGGGCAGGAATGTTGACATGTCGGACTCCACCAGCCTTGAGGTATCAAGAACAATACAACCTCACGAAGAACAAGCTGATGACACTGCCCAAAGGGAAGCAGTAGAGACCTCAGAGCTTCAGATAGCAGCACCAGAAAATTCATGTGGCTGTCACTTCCAGATATTTTTTGGCCAACATTGCAATTAATATGTGGCAAAACATATTTATGACCAACTATGGCATATTTATGTCATTTTTTTGGGCTCATATTGATTGCGCTCCATTGTCCCATTAAAAAACCAGTGCAATCAATATGCACTAGGCCACAGAGGCAATCGGTCGCGAAAAGCATCCGGATAGTTTCTTCAGAAAAAACATTCCACATATTCCAGAGTTTTCCGGAGATCTCTGACCCAATCTCTGATTGAAAACTGGGTTTAGGGTTGTGAAGTTCCCCAGTTTTATCCGGATTTCCGTTCGCGTGGATCAAACCCCTGAGGTTTGACTTCAACGAGAGTTTGATCTTTGGGCGCTTTGATCTCTTCTGCAGAAGGGTTGTCAAGTTGATGCACATGTCCCTCGGAGAGCTCGGAGTCGATGTTTTCGCCCCTTGAAGATAGGTCGAGCCCGGCCCATGGTCCAATGGTGATGGAAAGAGAAAGCCTGGGGTGACATGAGATTTCTTGGTGCATCTCTTTTCCAGGTCTTCATTCAGAATCAGATGCTTGTGGCAGCACAAACCTGGACATGAATTCACCATCATGGCCCATGCATGGATGATTTATGATGATTTACCTATCAAAAATGGTGATTTTCCATAGCTGCCATAGCTATGTATGCTATGTTAAACGACCAGAGGGTGATTCAACTCTGTTTCCAAAGCGTCCAAACCTGCAGCTGCTGCAGGTTTGGGACAGTCCATCAGTTCAACCAGCTCAAAATCCACCTCAAATCCATGGATGGGTTTGGAGCTCAGCTGGCTTAGCTGCTTAGCTGCTTAGCTGCTTGAATATCTTGAATGCTGCCGTGATCTCTTGGACAAGCTGGGTTGACGAGTCGCCAAAGGAGCTCAAACAAGTGACTTGACTTTCAAATTAGGCACCTGAAGTACCTAAAATCACAATTTTCAAAAGCAATTGGAACAAATGGTGATTTTTCCCAAAATTTGTACCTGAAGTACCGAAAATCGCCGCACTTCCATGGAATTCCAACAGCACACAGGATCCGGCAGCTGGTGGGAAACTTTCAGTACATCGTGGATGATTTCAAAGTGAAGCGCCACGTGGGCCGCTCAGAAGAGCCAGAGATAGTACCTTTTGATGGCGATGGATGGCTACCTCCTTAGTGCCATGGAAAACCGGCACTTGGAGAAGTTTTGGACAGGTTATTCAGAAATGGAAGAACTGTTTCTATGAAGGTTTTTCCCTTGCGAGGTTGGATGGTTCATATTTTCCCTGTGAGGCACCCTCTAAGTATAGCTGATGATCACAGCGCCAGCGAAAGAACACATCAAGCATCGGGTCAAACGCCTTTCCTGACCATAGATTTTTCAGATATCCATTCAACAACTTGACAGGCGGTGTAATTTCTTTCATCAACTTGGAATGTCTGAATATGAGGATGCTACCAAAATGGCATTTTGAAAGGGAACATGAAGCTCAACCATGAAATCATATGAAATCATCAACGCAACACCGGGGCTTGAGGCATCCATAGGCATCCCAGCTTGGCAAAAATCAGGATCTACTGGAGTTCCTGAACAATCGCTTCGACCGAGACTATGTGGAGCAAAACCGCCATATCTTGCGGATGGTGAAGATTGGCAGTTGGTCTGTGTTTCTATGGGAAAAAACAACCATAGGAAACCATAGGAAACCAGGATTTGTTTAAAACCCCAACGTGAGGGATTGATGTAAAACTGCAAAGATCAAGGAGGCATGCTGGTAGCCCAAGGAAAAGAATGGTAGATGACGGTAGATGATACTAAAGTTACTAAAGGCTCACCAGGCCAGCAAATGACACAACTTGACAGTAGGGAAATTGACTTGCAAAGTCAAAACTGTTCAAATTATTCTTTTGACCTTTCTATATCTTTTTCCTTTGGTCATTTTAAGCACTTTTTGGCTTTTCAAGACTCTTTGATTTTTCGATTTTTCGATTTCTTCCTTTAACTTTTGACCTTTTCAGCTTCTTACTATGCCGTTCTAGCACTTTTCGACTTCTCGGGGCTTTTCGACTTTTTGGCTTTTGACCAGCTTCCTTGAATCCTTAAACCCTGTGTTACGATGATCTGATTCTGTGGCCAGGTTGCTCGCTTATGCCTGCGTTGGCTGTTTTTTTAAGCCATCGATTGAAGAAGCAGCTAACGTGGCATCCTTAGGTAATAGGCATGGGCATCCAGCAATGTAGGATGCTGGCGGCCAGTTTCCCCACCCTAAGTCCCCTGTCTCAATAAACAATCCATTGGGGTTGTTGAACAAGAGGGAGAGCTTCAACATCGTAGGTTTTCCAAAAATCATAGCACTTTTTTGGGGGCAAGACTTGGGGTGATTTTGGAGGCAATTCGCTCCAATTTGCATGACTTTCTTAAGGCGCCAAGTCCTGACCTTGAGGGCTTATTCTTTGATTTAGGGTATATTTGGGGTTGGTTTAGGGTTGGTGCAAGGTTCATTGAGGGCTGATTTGACACAAAGTGGCGCCTAAGTCAACTCTATCGAAACACTGTTTCTTGTAAGAGAACCGTGCCCTAATCCTATGACTTTATTCTTTGACCGGAACCCCAAGAAACATAACCGAACCCCCTTTTTATCTAACCGAAGCTGCTTTGTACCCAACCGGAAGGCCTTTTGTCTAAGAAAATGCGCGCTTTGGTAATTTTTTGGCTTATAGACTTATAGAGTGATGTTGTTTTTTCTGGGTAGGTGCCACCTGAAGGCACGGACTCTTCGACTTTTTGTTTCCGAAAACTCTGCTTTTCAAGTTAAGACCCAACTCAGCAAGAGCCCACAGCAGTTCATGGCACCCAATTGCAATGGGAAGTCATGGGGCCCTTTTTAGGTGTATGTCGGCGTTCATTTTGGGGACTCAAAAGCTCTTGGGACTTGGAATTTTTCTTGGGGCAGATTCAGTGGCCACCATTTGAGCCAGGTTCAATGTCCGCGTGAGCGAGTTGGAGGGTGCCTTGCAGGCCAGGAATTGACCAATGCCCTGTTTATTGGTATATTCCCACTAGACTGGCTTATTTACAGGTTCCCACTATGGGTTACAATATGTTACAACCACCCCTATAGAAGGTGGTCGTATAACTCTTGCAACAAAACACCAATTGGCCTTTTGGCAGTGGCTCATTTGATATGATATGACTTGATTTGACTGATGCATGTTGGACAAAAATGGATGGTTGAATGAAGTTGAATGTCAAAGAAGACCAAGATCAACGTTTTTGGTGCTTCAAAATTGAACCTCTAGGCAATTTAGTGCCCATACTATACAGTATACGCAGTAGTCGTCCGCTTGCAGCATGCTTGCTGTAGCCTTGACCTGAATCCCAGGAATTCATCAATCAGTCCTTTCAGAATATCGCGTTGGCGCCTGAGGACGTAGCTACAAACTCGCGTATCAAATACGCGGCTGGATCCGCGGCTCCAGGAGTCATGATAGACTTAGTTTGAAAGGAACATTGCCAAGAACTTCGAAATTTCAAGTTGTAAAATTGCATGGTTTTCTGTAACTGATCTACCACAATCAAGTTGTGAAGCCTCAGGTCCATCGATACTTCCTTGAAGTTGCTCAGCAAGTTCCAAAGTGTCCTGGCAGGGAGGTTCCTCCTAACACGTGCCACAGATTGTTGGACTTTGACGCAGTTTTGCGAGATGAATGGAGCAACGCCAGCGCATTTATCTTAATTACTTTACTTCGTGTGATCCCCACCATGACATTTATACATGTTCTTACTGGCACATCTTCTGGCATTCTATCTGACATATCTTCTGACATTCTATTTGGCATTCTATCTGGCATATCTTCTGGCATTCTATCTGGGCATTCTATCTGGCATTCTATCTGGCATATCTTCTGGCATTCTATCTGGCATATCTTCTTCTGGCATTCTATCTGGCATATCTTCTGGCATCTCTGGCATATCTTCTGGCATTCTATCTGGCAAATCTTCTGGCATTCTATCTGACATATCTTCTGGCATTCTATCTGGCATTCTATCTGGCATATATTCTGACATATCTTCTGGCATATCTATCTGGCATATCTTCTGGCATATTTTCTGGCATTCTACCTGGCAAATCTTCTGGCACTCTATCTGACATTTTATCTTCCTATATGAGGTCCGGCAGGGAACACTTGGCGTGGATACTCGCGGTTGAGGTCCGGCAGGGAACACTGGGCGTGGATGGTCGTGGTTGAGGTCCGGCAGGGAACACTGGGCGGGATGGTCGTGGTTGAGGTCCGGCAGGGAACACTGGGCGTGGATGGTCGTGGTTGAGGTCCGGCAGGGAACACTGGGCGTGGATGGTCGTGGTTGAGGTCCGGCAGAGAACACTGTGGATCGCGGGTCGCAGTTGAGCAAGGACGACGAGGACGACGAGGAGGACGAGGAGGAGGAGGAGAAGAGGCGGAGGAGGAGGAGAAGGAGGAGGAGAAGGAGGACGAGGAGGCAACTGACATAAAATCTAACAACCCTCACCTGGCAGGTGGGGAAAAAACAGAGCTTGATTTGTATGCGTTATATTACCTGCAATGGAGGGGGTGAAAAGTCATCCCACGCTTCCTTTAATGAGAGAGCTGGCACTAAAATCATTAAAACTGACCCTCACAACACCAATCGGATGATGCAATGATCATCAATGATCCATAGAGATCCATAGAGATCCATATAGAGTCCATAGAGCCATTGAAGTCATGGGCGATGTTGTGTGTTGCTTGGTGAGCTCCCGTGGTATGACTAAGGTATCCTTCAGAATGGCAGCCTGGAGCCTCATGGGGACTCTTAAGGAATGGCTTGGTGGCCTTGGCTTAGTGAGGAGAATGGGAGAAGAGAAGGGATTTTTCTATGTGGCCTTGCCAGAGGTTTTTGAGCATGTATTTTATTGTATTTTTGCTGTTCCTAGTTTTTTTTAAAATCATTTACTGGTTGGTGGTTTGGAACATGAGTTTTATTTTTCCATATATTGGGGATCATCATCCCAACTTAGCCATTTAGTGGATCATTGCCTGTAGGTTACATAAAAATGGTAGAACCATGTAAACCCAGACAAGCCACTTACGAACCATCATGGGAAACCACACGCAATCCAGCAGCATCCTGCTCAAAAGGCTGGCAGCTTGGAAGTACCAGGGGATGGATTGAAATTGGAAGGACACCTTGATGAACATCAAACAGGTGTGCCATTCGATGGATTTCACACACACACACATCATCTTGAGACAGTTGTGGAAATAGCCCTTGAGCCTGCTGATGTTTCAATGGGACAACCTGCCATTATCCATGGCTGGCTGGTGGTTTGGAACATGAATGTATTCTGACTTTCCATCTAATTGGGAATGGAATAATCATCCCAACTGACGAGTTGTCCATCATTTTTCAGAGGAGTAGGTCAACCACCAACCAGTCATAATTAACCATCATTAACCACTATTAATCACTATTAACCACTATTAACCACTATTAACCATATGGATAGGTCAACCACCAACCAGATGGGGAATAGTATGGAATAGTGTAAGTTTCAACCTTGCCTTGCTCCCAGCAATGAGGCCGCTGTTGCTCTTGGCCTTATTTTCATGTGCCATGGCCATGGAACCGGATGAATCTTGGCCTCCGCCAGAGGCTGAACGCGCCAGGGAAATCTACGACGACTTGGGAAATCTCACTTTTCCCATCAGCAACGGATCGCTGGCGCAACAGTTCCCTGGAAATCATGTTTCGGAAAGGGGAGTGATCCCCACGAAATCCCTGCCATCGTTTTTTCCCCGGCTGATTTGAACATTGATCCCTTGAACTGAAGACTATCCATGGATACCAGTGATTTTTTGCACCAGAGCAATCATTTTTATTCATTTTCAAGTTCGCGAATTATGGTGGATTATAGATTATGTGTTGTTTTTTTTGTTTTTTTGGCCAGCCTGGCCGCACCAAAATATGATTCGGTACGATCCCTCTACATGAAAGATGGCAGCCTGGACATCTTTTTTTTAGCCAATTCATCCCATCATCCCATCAATCCATCCATTTATTTCATGTTATTTCCTTAACCCAAAGTATCCCAAAGTTGGCCATTTGAGATTCTTAGCTTCTGTGATCTTTGGTGATCACACAGATATTTCCCATGATTTCCCTTTCCCCTGGGTTCACCGATCCATTTTCAGCAGAAGTGGTCTTCCTCATGACCATCTGATGCAGCCGTTTATCCCATCCCAATTTGAAGGTTTCCTAGAATGGGGCACCCCTACCATAGCTTTCAAGGCTAACATGGCCTCATTTCGGATGGGTTTTTGGGGGTATCCCCATGTTAGGACCCCCCCCCAACTGGTCATCAAAACGCCAGGTATTTCGATCAAGGCTTCCGGTTGCTGAGTGCCTTCGACTTCCGCCGTGCTGTGCTCGCCTTCCGCGCAGCCTCTGCCGCCGAGGCGGAGGGCTGCGTGCTGTGCCAGTGGGGCGAAGCTATGGCGCTAGGGCCCAACCTCAACAGCTTTGATGAACCCAGGTGGGATATGGATGGATATGGTGGGTGAGACCAGATGGGATGGGTTTTTATGGATAGAACTGGAGGTTCTGGAGCTTCAGATATGTTAAGAAAAAAACGAATCATGTGATTATCATATATGGGTGAAATATAGTGGTCAAGTTTCTGTAGCAGAATCGGATGGCCAGATGATAGCCTCGGGTAAAGTTGATGGGATTGTGTCCAGGTAGAAGGTACAAATGCAACACCGAAATTTTCCAGATGCCAAATTTCAGTGGAATTTCGGTTGGTGATAAAGTCATGCCCCAACTTGGGGTTCAGCACGGGGTTTTCTATCTGGTTCAGCGAATTTGGGGATGACATAGTGACTTAGTTGACCTAGTGACCCCAGGTTGAGTGAGACTTGACTGTGAGCGATCTTGGTTGCAAGGGTCAAACAAGTTGAAGCCCGTTCCTTGAACAAAACATACAAAACAGGGAGTTGTGAAAGGGGTATGAGAACATCATGAGAACATTCCAAGACAACAATTTCAGATTCGAAGCTTTACTTCGTCATCCCGTTGGCCTATTGGGCCCACGTCCCATGAGTCCCATGTACCTCAGGTTGCTGGCCAGCATTCCTTCAGCATTTCAGAAGGCGCAAGCTGCCCTTCACCTTCTGGAGCGTTTGGAGGCGACTCCGATGCGTCCGAGTTCGATCGAGCGTGGCTTAGTCTATGCCCTGAAGCATCGCTATGTGCCCACAGCTGCTGAGTATGTGATGAATGAATCCCAGCTCACTCACAGCTATGCCATGGAGATGGATCGGCTACTGGCAGATGTGAAGACCACGGATGCAACCTACTCGGTTAAACAATGCGGTTTTGTGTGGTTCATATGTACGATTTCCATGTATAAATTGGGATGGCACGCACGCACACCAAGCTACATAATGAACATGACAATAATAATGGCAATAATAATGACAATCATAGTGGCAATAATAACGATAATAATGATAATGATAATGATAAAACATGCTCATCATGATGATCATGATAAATTTATTACAGTATCCCAAGGATGATGATTCCACGATTTTCCCAGGATTTTCCCCCATTTTTTCATGGCATCGCATCCTAAGGCCAACTATGCGAATGTGGCAGCCCTTACAGCAGATGCTTTGATGAACACCTGCCCTTGGGACTACTGGGTGCCAGGGGTGCCTGATCCAGGAGCTAACGGAAGCACCCAGTTGCAGCTGCGTCCCGCGGCAAAGAAGGCGACATGTTTCAGTTCTGGGTTGTTTACACTCTGGTAAACCAACGGTTGGCTACAGAAAATCACCATGCTATTAATGGGTAAATCAACTATACATGGCCATTTTCAATCGTTATGTTAGTTTACCAGAGGGTAAATATGGTAAATCATATATGTGGCTTCTATATCCCCATTACAACTGGTTGGTGGTTTGGAACATGAATTTTAATTTTCCATATGTTGGGAATTTCATCATCCCAACTGACTTTCATATATTCTTCAGAGGGGTAGGTCAACCACCAACCAGGAAACAACGATTTGCTCTACCTTCTTCCTTTTTGTGCGGTTTGTGAGCCTTAAAATTTGGTTTCTGAAAATGGGGTTCAACATCGTGTTATTTTGTTTTAAGACTTTGAGGGTATTAATCAACATTTCAAACTTCAAACTATCAATAGTCATTTGGTTGGTGGTTTCAACGATTCCACTTTCCCAGTTTGAGGTGTTGTGCAACTTCCATTTCTTTCCACCTTGCCCTGTTTTGTCCTCCAGCTCCACTCCGCCATTCCACAGAAATTCGCAAAGTCACAGGCCATGAAGATCTTGAAGTCGGCCCTGACCTTGAGCCCCAGCCACCCTTTCTGCATCCATCTCTTGGTTCACATCACCGAAGCCTCTCAGGATCCTCACCTCTTGCGGCAGGTGAGGCCCATGGCGAAAAGCCTGCCGCAGCTGATGCCGGGGGCACCGCATTTGATCCACATGAGCTTTCACACCTTGATGCACACGGGGGATTTCCATGTAGCGGATCAGGACAACACCTGGGCAACTCTGATGCCGAGGTGAGAGTTTGTTACTGGGAAACATAGCAGGAGAAGTTGTGTTTTTCTCGATTTTGTGCATCTGTCTCTCATAGTCTTTCTTTTTTTTCCCTCTCTCTCTCTTTCTCTTTCCTTTTTTCTACTTTTCTTTGTGTCGCCTGTTTTGTTTTCATCCGTTTTCCCTCTGGTAAACCAACGGTCGGCTATGGAAAATCATCATCTTTAATGGGTAAATCAACTAGACATGGCTCACTTTCAATAGCTATGTGAGTTTACTGGAGGGTACCAACCCAAACATAGGCCATCATGTGCCCGATATGCGCGACTTCAATAGCCGATTTGATCCCTGGCAACATCTTACCGCATCCTTGAAACTGCGATATTTCAACATATGACTCACGTATCAACCATAGATCTGGATGATTTGTAAAGATCTCACTGCGACCTCACTGGAATGATGGTTACTAGGGGTAACAATCCGAAAACAACATGATTTCAGATGACTGAATTATCATAATTCGTCATAATTCACATATTATAATCTATCCAGATAGATGCCATCTAGATCCCATTTCGGATATCTTGGGATATCGGATTTTTCGGAGTTCCAGTGAGTTCCAGCCCTTGGAGGCAGATTTATCCCATGCACAACTTGGACACCCTCTCCTGGGTCTGTCGCATCCAGGGTCGTTCTTTGTGCTCCCTGGATGCTGCCAAATCGCTGGAACATCGGGCCTTGAGCCTGGATCCTGGGCTACCAATAATGAGTGAGTCATATATTATATAATATGATTTCCCAAGTCACAGCCAGTCATTCCAATAAGCTACATTGAAAATCATAGCTTTCCGAGGTATCACCCACATGTTTGAGACAGTTTCATCAAGCTGTTTGACTTTGAATAGAGATATAAACATGAAGTATACCGTCCCTCCAAAAACCTCTATGAACATCCATGATTTCCAACCTCGGTTCCAACAGAAGGTCGGAAGTGGAACTTTCGAAACGGGTTTCCCACCCGCGCGCTTCGCCGCGGTCTGGCCTTTGACACTCTTAGCCTTCGGCCGGTACCAGCAGATCTTGGACGCGGAGCCACCCAAGCAGTGCCAAGTGGAGCCGTTTCTGGCAGGTTGGGGGAAAGCTGCAGAAATACATGGAGATATGATGAGATATGATGGGACAATTAATAGACGAAAGAGTAATAAAAATATTTAATAATATTTAATAATAGTAATATTTAACAATAATAATAGTAATAATAATATAAAATATATAGTATATAATATATACTATGTATAGTATACACATATATTTTCACATATCAATCGCCGGATCAGAAATGGAAGTCGTGGGAGATCAAGCAAAGAAATGTGTTTAAAACCCGGCAACAACTGGGAAGATAATGGGATATGAGTCGCTGACCAACACACCAGCAAGAAGTGGTAGTTTGATGGATTTTGGAGATTTACTCAGCTAGAAAATAGGGATTTTGATGGATTTGGGTGGGAGTCTGGAAGCACTAACAAAGCAAACCGAGGCATATGATGGGTGCATCCACTGGCTTGATAGATTAACAAAAATCCCGCAAAAATGGGAATGGTTTCCCCTGCCATTGCGCACATCTGCAATTTTCCGACCCATTCCCAAATGGGTATGGGTCAAAATTGGGCACCCCAATAATTGGATGGTTAATACTAAACTATACTAAACTAGACATTTCCATCTGTGGTCCCATTAATGGTCTTCCATTTTGACCCACATCCAAATGAAGAAAGTCAATGGATTGGTTTGTTGGGGAAAATCTTAACCGGAAACCATAGGTATTTTCCCATTTTTTATATGGGGTTTTCCATGGTTTTCCTGTAAATTTTCCCCAACAAACCAATCCAAATGAAGAAAGGGATGTTGTTCAGATCCTTGGCCATCCCCTAGGCATTTGGCACTTTGCCGCCGGCGCAGCGGCGGCCCATCTGGGCCAACAAAGGGCCAATGAGGAACTTCATCGCCTTCGAAGAAAGAGGTGGGGGCAGATATTTTTCGGATTTTTGGTGAGTTTATGCATATCCAGCAGGAATTGAATGAGCAATGAGCTTGTGAACCATCGATTCTTGAGATTTGGAGGTGTCATGACTTCATGATATGGATCTGCCTGGAAATAGGGTATACCGCCAGGAATTGCGAAAGAAATTAATGATGAACCAGAGGATTTAGGGGTACCGTCTTTTTCAGACAAAGCCATATGACCATACCTACTATCTTTGAATGCCCATGATGGGATGATAACGCTTATAACATTGATAACGGAGCCCATGTGGTAGACATTTTTTTTGAGGTTGGATTCATAGACTAATAGATGTCCCAAATTCCCACTGGTTGGTTTTTGATGGTTTATGAAAATTGAGAGTTGTCCCATGAAAACCAATCGGTAGATGATACTGGCCCATCTGTTTGTCCCAAAAGGACAATATTGTGTTGGACGATGTTGGCAAGTTTAACCTAAGCATACCCAAGAAATTCCAATCTGATACCGCCCATCAAGACACCCAAGCTGATATGGTTCGTTTGTTTTGGTGAAATTGCACAGCTACCACTGCAATGAGCAAAATCTCATGGTTGGTGAAATCGATTTGGATCATAATCAACCCCCTGAGTGAATGAGTTGACCGGACTCCAGTAGTTGTATCATGCAAGTCCTCGGGAGCCTCCGCCCCAACGAAGCTCATGGCTGAAACCATCTGACCGTTCAATTCATGCTTCGACCCAAGTCCACGCCCTTTTTAAGGACATGTGGACTGCATCAACGTTCCATTGTTCAATTAGTTGGTTGAAGGGGACATCTGCAGGATATAGCTGCTATATAGCTATATTTAAGGATAAAACCTATGGTTTCCCCTCAAATTTTCCTCAAACTAACCTCATGATGTTGTGCCTTTCAACAACTCGGTGGAGTTTCTCAACGACTGCGGACGCCAGGGAAGAAGTGGTGGAAGAAATGCAGCAGCCAGCTGGATTGGCATGGAAAAACTTCCACGGCTCAAAGGCGATTCCCAGGATGTTTGAGATCCGTTTGAAAAGGGTCCTGAAAACCATTGTGTTTTTTTTGGGATTCCCCAGGATGGGGTTATGATAATTAGTCAATATTAGTTAGCTAAGTTGGTGCAAATAACTAATAATAACAATAGTGTATGATACCTCTGGTAAATTAACATAGACCCTGAAAATAAAAAAAAATAATGGAAACTAATCTTCCAACCCCTATCTACCAGGGTCTATGTTAATTTACTGGTGGGTACTTATAATTGTATTTAGATGCAATTACATATCAACAAACATAACTGGGGGGACCATCCTGCCCAAAACAAAAACCGTTTTTCGTTTTTTTTTTTGTGTGTGTGGATAAATCACGGCCTGTCTTAGACATAGTAATCACTTGAGCACTTGAAACTTTAAGAAAACCTAAATATTTTTTTAAATAAGATCTATGTATCTTGTAAAATATAACCATCAACATCCACACTATATTTCCATGAGCATCCCAGCATGAGCCATTCTTAAGTCATTAGTAGCCATGAAAAAACAATGAAACCATGACTATTACAGTATATATAAGCGTGAATATCCCACTTGAAATTCAACCATTGTTAAACCATGGTTATATTCCAGCACATTAAATGATTAAACCATGAACATTTCAGGAAAAAATATGACTACCCTCTTGGTAATTTGACAGTTTGCTATTGGACATGGCCACTGAGTTCGTTGATTTACCCATCAAAAATGGTGATTATGTGATTGTCCATAGTTTTTTCCCATAATTTCCACTAAAAAAATGGTGGTTTAGCCATAAAAAATGGTATGTTCACCAGAGGATCAATGGCCATTTCAGGAACCTAAATTGGAGGTACCTACCATATATAAGGCCTATGTAAGGGCTATGCAAGGGAATATCCCCACAATTCATATGGCCTTATATGGTACAGTACCTCCATTTTAGGATCCAGGAATTCCTATTGAGAGGATATCCCATTTTTTAATCTTCTGATTCCATCATCGAGGCCTGGGCCGTGTACCCTGCCGCGCAGCTTCTGTCACTGGCGGAGCAGGAACTTCTGGGGCAGCTGGGGGACCTCAACGCCTGGCGTAGGGCGGCAACGATGGAGGCTGGGGCCCTGGGCTGAGCCGCCTGAGCCTAGGGAGCTTCAGTCCGTGGTGGAGACCATGGGGGATCTATGATGGATATGGAAATGGTTGATATGTTATCCATATATAAACCATTTAGATGTTATAGATAAATGTTATAGATTTATATATCCATGATTTATAGATGAAATATCCATATTGAAATGGTCTATATATGAATACCATATGTTATAGTGGATAGATACTATGACTGATGGTGGATATTTCATCTATAAATCATGGATTTTCCATTGCCATGTTTACCGGAAGGTAGATGAACTTCATGATGAAATGGCAGGTTTCAGTACACCAACTAGTGTTTTTAAGTAGAAAACCAGCATAAACTCGATTAACAATTTTCACATTGTCATTTTTGATCCTTTATGATGGGTGTTGCACTATTGTACTCCAACTATTTTGAGAGTCACACCATTTTATAACCATTGTTCAGTACTAAACATTGCTAAACCTCCACCATTTTGAGCCACCAAAAGGCACCAGCTTCTGTTTGCCCATCCAGGCCGCATTACCATACGATGAGCCTCCATCATGGTACTTGCCAGTGGCAAATCGTCTTGGTGAAGCATTGGCTCAAGCCGGTGACTTTTCGATCATTCAGACACTGAAATTAAGAAAAGCAGAAGTTTTCTCAAGAACACTGGGGTGATGTACTGACTGTTTTTGTGGTTTCAGTTTTCGCCCGAAGTTTTTGCATTCAGTTTCAGATGTGGCGGCAGACAAAGTCTGAGAAACATGTGTTTCTCTCAAATAACCAATGCAATCCAGAGATAGCAGATGTAAGGCCTCTTAGGGCAGCCACAGCCAAGTCTGGAGCTACTAGAAAATTGCTCAGCACAGGTATATAAGGTGGTCACCCACCAGTTTTAAGTTGATTTATAAAGCCATCTAGTCCACTCTAGTTTGATCGATTTACCATAGGCCCCAGGTCCCAGAATTCCATCAGAACCATAATTTTAGATGAAGTTTGGGATTTCCAAAAACCCTCTAGTACAACAAGAATTCGGCTATTGTCAGCACCTGTAAATTTTCTGTAGGTTGAGGCTGAAGCTGGATAGTTATGGTATATTCCTGGTATATCTTATGTATATCTTATGTTATCTATGTTATCTACTTACAAATAGAAACTTCACCATCCAATCATCCAAGATCATCCAAGGACTTGAAAGTAGACGTGACCAGTCCCATGGTTATTGGATCTGAGGTGAGCTGGAGGCGGCTGCAGAAGTTTATCGCGACTCCTTGAGTTCCTCGGGATCGAATTTTCGAGCAGCGATTTCGAGACACCTTAAGGGTTTACAGATTCCCCATGATTCCCCAATAGGGATAGCGTATGATAGCTTGGGGTTGTTAGCATTAATTATGAAACTTATCAATAAATTATCATAATCATCACTGTTCTTAATTATTATCATTGTTGTTGTCAGTTTTTTTTACATAACATTTACCAAGTCATTCCAGGCAGCCCCCAACAAAGGTCGCTTGCCAAAGAATGGCTGGGCCATGCTGGGTCTATGGCAGCTTTGCCTTCGGAGATGGGGACATGAGAATTCCACGTGCCACGAGCTGCAGCGAAACTTTTCAAAGGCATGGAGCCATGCTGATGTCACTGGATTGCAGCTATATGTGGCTATACTTGGGCAGTTGAGGTGAAGAGATATGGGGTTATAGCATGTTATAACCGTGGTTATAAGCCACCAGAAGTTTGGACATGACTGAACCCCTATAACTATGGTTATATGTTATCCACTTATAACTGGACCTGCACCGAACCAAGTCGTGGCTATGGCTCAAACATAGGCTATGGGTATATGCGATGGTATACCCGTACCACGGCGACCATAAGCTTTGATCATGTTTTGGCATGAAACCCTCCATGGTAGTGGTGACCCATACCAAATTTAGTGAATGATGGCCCATGGCAGGTATTTATGCTTCAAAGGTGCAACTGGAAACGTCACAAAGTTTGTTTTCCCAGCCTTTGGCCACCCCTTCCTCATTTCTACCATTTCCACCTTTTCTTTGGCCCAAAAAGCCGGATGATACTGAGGTTGCCTTGAAGAATTCTGCGGAAGTTCAGGGTCCACCGCATCCAACTTCATCTTCCCCATCTTTTCTCTGGTTTTCCCGGAACCCATCGACCCAAGCCATGCTCCCCTGGCTTTTCGTTGCTTCCTCTCTGGCGTTTCTGGTGCCGATGCTTCCAATCCTCCGGCGGTCGAGATCCTGTGGTTGTTACCATCGCTTGGAGGGATGAGGTGGGACAGGTTATGGCTGGTTGGTGGTGACTGGAACCATGGAATTTTATGACTTTCCATTCAGTTGGGAATTTCATCATCCCAACTGACTTTCACTCATATATTTTTCAGAGGGGTGAGTCCACCACCAACCAGATGGGATCCCAGCTGTTTGGGGCGGTATGGTTGGAACTCATCCCATGGCCATGGCTCCCATTGCCATGGTCACATCGACGGAGCGCGAAGTTGGAGATGGCCGAGTTGTTGGAGAGACACCGTGTTGGGAAGTTGATCATGAAACTTCGGACCGGAGTTACTCCGGAGTTGGCTTTGAGAAGCGCGTTGAAGAAAAAAGGACCGGCTGGGTGTGGTGCCATGGAAGCCATGTTCCATGGCACCAATGCTCTGATGATTGGACCGTCTGAGGTTTGAAAACGGACCTGGAGTCCAAATTTTCGGTTGGCGTCCCAGCGTTTTCGGCATTTGGTTGGGGCTATGAACCAGAGGCATAAGGATCATAAGGTGGGAGGTTCAGATGGTTCAGGGCATACGACTCCTTGCCTCCTTGGATCATCATAGATCAAATGGGATCAAATGGATCAAGCTATGAACATATCAACATGAATCGCAACTAAAACTCCTTTGCAAATAGGATGATCCCACTTGATCCCACTTGAATGGCTGCCTTAGGCAATCGGTTTCATATGATTTGCACTTTCAATTCGTTTTGATGGTTATGGATGATCTTCCAGACCGCTAGCTTGTGATATCAATGTGTCGCGACCGTTGCTCTTGGTGACTCTGAAACACTGACAACAACACTGTGGAGCCCGAAAGTTTTTTTCGCTTTGGAAAGGGGTTCGGAAGATGAAGATTCTCCTTTTTGGACAGCCATTTCCCATTTCTCCATATTTTTGTTGTTTCACAGTTTCATCTTAGTTCAGTTCTGGAAGTCCAGCCAGGTGATTTTCCACAACTACGGGCAAGAGTTGGAAGTGCTCAAGGTCGACGGAAGGGATGGAAGTTCGATGGAAGTGCTTGAAGTTTCGGGAGCCTCCCATTTTAAGTTGAGGACAGTTGTGGATCATTGGATTTCTATCATTTCTTACTGTGGTAACATCAGCAGATGGTTGTTACTGGTTGGGAATACTTGGCATATCTTGGCATACTACCTCAATGTGTCCAAAAAAAATGCACTGCTTTCATTGCCTTTCGTAAGTGTTTTCAATGTTTTTTTTTCATTCGGTTCGCTCCTTCATTGGCAGTACCTAAGCCCAGCATGGGAGCGGTGTGTTCAAAACCCCATGCTATAAGCACCAATTTCTAGGGAGTCATCATCAGCTGGGGATCTCTATAGTAATCAACCACTCATTATTTTAGGGGGATCGCACCCAGTAAACCCCATGAAATCCCAATTAAAATCCAATGAAATCCCATAAATTTCCTAAGAAACGGCTTTTCAGATAGGTTTTTTTCAACCCCCCTGGTTTCCAAGTTGCAAGGAGCTCTATGAGAAGAATCGTGGCTCACCACAGTTTGTCCGGAACATGCCCCCCGTGGCGGGTACGGGGGCCCGGTTCAGAAGAGATCCCCTCCAAAAACCGGTTGGTTTAATCCGGAGATTAAATGTGATAAGAATTGGGGGAATAATTGGATTTATTGATCATAAAAAGCCATGATTAATTACCATTTTTTTCATAGCCATTGTTAAGCATAAATCTGTTCAACCATCCAAATATCACCAGGATTCTCAATGCTCAGATCATGGGGAAAAAACATCCTGTGTCATCAAACATGCTAGGCTAGCTGGGAAATCCGTTAAATATGGAAGTTGTGGTTCAAATTACTGTAAAATAACCGAACTAAATCGGGAGTTGTCCACGGCCAGGTTTGAATGTTTTGAAAAAGTGGATGAACAAATTGTGCAACTAATATGTGCTAATCCAAATGAGAAAAACATTTTGCACATGAAATTTACAGTTGGCATTTTTGATTTGAGTTGTGGTTTCTTCAAGGAACGTGGCTGCTCAAGTAAAGACAGGAACGCAAACTGCAAAACCTGACGTTGATACTGCACGGGTCCAAAGGGCAAACCTACACTAGTTGGAAGTTTACCATTATTTACGCAATTTTACACATACATAAAACACACACAGATATAATATATATGTATATGTACAATTATGTACATTATGTACGCATATGCACATGTCACACCCACACACCCCCACACACACACACATATGTATACTGTATACGTGTATAATGTATTATTGTACACACACATATATATAGAGTATATGCATAGTATATACTTTGATTCACATTCGTTCAACGTTTCCATCTCATTTTAGATGTTGAAACCAACCCCGGATCTCAGATTTTATTCCCAGAGGGGCTCGATCCACTTCCCAGGCAACATCATGTGGTCGCCGGGGTCTCAGTGGTGCCTTTTCAAGCGGCCATCCATGACGGTACTTATCTCAGATTTGGTTTAAGATGTTTAAGATTTAAGATCTTTATGATTGTTATTGATTGTTTATTGGGTTTTTTCATTGAAATCACAGGTGAATAATTTCCTCAATTTGTTTTTAGCACCATATTTGGTAAGAGTTTCGAGTTTCCAGTAGATTTTCCCTTCGGATTTGGTTCTCTTAACTGCTGAAGACTCCTGCTGAATCAGTCCCCGGACCCTCCAGTCATACGCGTGTGGCCATCCATGATCGAAATCGTAAATGCCACCAGAAAATTTTGAAGGTGGCTTCTCTACAGGCCCGAACGTCGCCCAACCCATACCCTCGGGTAATCAAACGTGGCAATGGAAAATCAGAAGCGTCAAGTTCGATGATTTTCTCAGCTATAAACTTCCATTTAGTCCTAGAATTTCCCAGCCAGCCACGTTTGAGATCGTTTCATGACGCAGCTATATTCCCAAAACATATATCCACAAAATATGTCCATTATATCTCAATTTTTGGTGATTTTGCATCCATGTTGGCAACGTATTTCCTCATGATCTCCCGATGACGGATGCTTACATCCAAAAATAACCCCATTGTATCTAATGTGGTAAACCATGGTAAACCATGGTAAACCCAATGCCATGTTTACCATCCCCAAGTCATCACCAGAGCTATGCTATGTTTACAATCCCCAGTCATGGTTGGGAATTTATCCCCATTTTAGGTGATGAATTCCCCACTATGCTCGGACAATCAAATCTCATTATATCTCCATGATATCCCCATGGGAATTATATATTATATGTGTATTATGTCCCCATTTCAGGTCATTAAAATCCCCATGATGTTCCATCAATCTGACTATTGGAACCTTGCCATTCGAGGCGACAATTGCTCCACCGCATCATGGAGCCCATGCGGCGCTTCCACCGGGAACCCTTGGTCATTGCTGGTGGTACGGGCCCTCGGACGATTTTTGAGCCATCAATGGTGCACATCAACGGGAAAATCGGAAGCTTGATGATTTCGTGTGATTTTCTTAAACTGGAACTGGCCCCCAAAACATGCAATTTGCTGGGTTTGGGTCTAATTAGCCCAATTTCCTTATATCTCAGTCGTTGATCCACCAGACTTGGAGGGTTTTTGGACCTAAAGACAGAATAAGATTCCTCCTATAAATTAACCCCCACCATTTGATACCATTTGCGGATCCTTGTCCTAGGAAAACCATATGGGTTTTCCACATCTATGTTAGTTTGCTCCAGGGTAATCGATTATTTTTCGATCAGAGAATTGTTTGCGTTTACTCGAGGGTTCGCTGGGGGTTGGCTACGAAAAAAAATGGGAGATGTATGCCCAAATAGAATTTGATGTTATTTTGAGCGAGTTTCTAAATGACAATAAACACATATTCAGCTTCAACCTTGGGAATGATCCTGGACCTATAGTAATTTTTGGTATTTGACCCATACCTTTTAGATATTTAAGCATTTTTCAACTGTCAAACAGATATGAAGCAAAGATCAAGTAGCAGAAATGAGGCATACAAAGCCCAATGCCCAATGATGGTGGTAATTTGGAAGGCATACTAGCAGTGACGGGGTTTTCTCATCACCTGGATTATCAACAGTTTTGTTTTCAGAGGGACAATTCAGATATACTGATGTATCCTCATTTTCATGGATTTTATCCAACGTATTCTCCTCATTTTCTTCATACTTTAAATATCCCAATCATCATTTGTTGAACCAACTCATTTCCATGACACAGTCTTGATCTCTGGGAAATGGTTTGAGGTAAAGAAGTGAAACGCATCACCAAGATGTACAACAAGATGGCCCCTAGACCCAGCCTGCAGAGACGAGACTGGAAGATGACCCTCAGATATGTGACATTGCGTGAGAGGTTTCCGGAGATTGATTTTCAAAGAGTGTTTTTCTGAAACATTTTGCTTTGCATCATTTTCATCATATTTCATCATATTTCATCATCTTCATTTTGCCGATATTTTCCATGTTTTTTCTTGGGGATGATGCTTCCACTTGATTAGCAGATGTATTTTTTTTCCACATGGCAGTGTGGCTCAGCATCACCATACGTGGCACCATACGTCGCGAGGCGAAGACGTTGGTGGAATTTGAGATTGTGTGGCATCAGGCGACGAGTTGCACCAGACATGGGATAAAATATGAAGCAACAAGTGTGGGAAACTAGCCTGTTTCCACCAACAAGTATCAATAGAAAAGTAAATAATTAAAAAATAAGCCGATAAGGTAACTATGTGTGTATCGAGATAGGTAATGTATGTGCATCTGCGTGGGCACATCCACACACACGCACAAGACGCGTATTGTTTCATCACTGTAGGTGCCAGGTTAGCAGCAAAATCCATGGCCGACCATGGCCGATTTTGATAGGCCTGGATGAGCTCCGTTGAGAACACCAAGGCGCAAACTTTTGTACACTGGTACACCAAGACGTTCGGGATATCAGGTGGTTCATCAGATGTCGGACGATTGGAGGAACGGTTCTGAAGCGATTTGAATTACAAAAAAAAAAGTCCCCAAACTTTCCAAGTAGATTCAAACTTTCCTAGTACTATGTGAGTCTCAAAATAGATTAGTTATTAGTTTACCTTTTTTTTTGGTGGGGGTAAAGTCCAAACACCGAACAATCTGCCGGATCTGTCAGCGAATTCTGAGGCCAGTTTGAATGCGACGCTGATCATCAAGCACCCGGAGGCCAAGGGGCGAAGCTCGGGGCGAAGGCAGCAGTTGTGGCTGTGCCTGTTGGGTGATTTTTTCTGTTTCTTGAGGCTACCCGGATGACCATATTATTTATTAGCTGGTGCGGTTCTTTAGCATATTCAACTTGCAGGAAGGGAAACGTCCCAGTTGGGAAACATAGCAAAAAATGGTGAAGTAATAACGGCATATGGAAATAATATGGAAATAATAGGGAGATAACAACAGGCACATAATTGGGAAGGAACAATCATCGGGAAACAATAGGGAAATTGAGGGGAAATAATCGAAATAAGGGAAATAAATAGGGAAATAGATAGGGAAATAGATAGGGAAATAAATAGGGAAATAAATAGGGAAATAAATAGGGAAATAAATAGGGAAATAAATAGGGAAATAAATAGGGAAATAAATAGGGAAATAAATAGGGACATAAATAGGGAATAAATAGGGAAATAAATAAGGAAATAAATAGGGAAATAAATAGGGAAATAAATAGGGAAATAAATAGGGAAATACATAGGGAAATAAATAGGGAAATAAATAGGGAAATAAATAGGGAAATAAATAGGGAAATAAATAGGGAATAAATAGGGAAATAAACAGGGAAATAAACAGGGAAATAAATAGGAAATAAATAGGGAAATAAATAGGGAAATGAATAGGGGCATAAATAGGGAAATAAATAGGGAAATAAATAGGGAAATAAATAGGGAAATAAATAGGGACATAAATAGGGAAATAAATAGGGACATAAATAGGGACATAAATAGGGAAATACATAGGGGAATACATAGGGAAATAAATAGGGAAATAAAATAGGGACATAAATAGGGACATAAATAGGGAAATCAAGAGGGGAAACAATAGGGAAATAAATAGGGAAATAAATAGGGAAATAAATAGGGAAATAAATAGGGAAATAAATAGGGAAATAAATAGGGAAATACATAGGGAAATAAATAGGGAAATAAATAGGGAAATAAATAGGGAAATAAATAGGGAAATAAATAGGGAAATAAATAGGGAAATAAATAGGGAAATAAATAGGGAAATAAATAGGGAAATAAATAGGGAAATAAATAGGGAAATAAATAGGGAAATAAAATAGGGAAATAAAATAGGGAAATAAATAGGGAAATAAATAGGGAACTGAATAGGGGCATAAATAGGGAAATAAATAGGGAACTAAATAGGGAAATAAATAGGGACATAAATAGGGGAATAAATAGGGAAATAAATAGGGAAATAAATAGGGAAACAAATAGAGAAATAAATAGGGAAATAAATAGGCAACATAGGGAAATAAATAAATAGGGAAATAAATAGGGAAATAAATAGGGAAATAAATAGGGAAATAAATAGGGAAATAAATAGGGAAATAAATAGGGACATAAATAGGGAAATAAATAAGGAAATAAATAGGGAAATAAATAGGGAAATAAATAGGGGAAGGAAAATTAAATAGGGAAATCATAGGGAAATGCATAGGGCAAATAAATAGGGAAATAAAATAGGCGAACATAAATAGGGAGGGAAATAAATAGGGACATAAAAGGAAAATACATAGGGAAATACATAGGAAATAAATAGGGAAATAAAATAGGAAAAAAATATAGGGAAAACATAGGAATTACATAGGGAAAAATAAATAGGGAAATAAATAGCGGAAATTAAATAGGGACCTAAAACTCAGGACATAAATGGGGCCATAAATAGGGAAAAAGAATAGGGAAATAAATAGGAAATAAATAGGGAAATAAATAGGGGGAAATAAATAGGGGAATAAATAGGGAAATAAATAGGGGAATAAATAGGGAAATAAATAGGGAAATAAATAGGGAAATAAATAGGGAAATAAATAGGGAAATAAATAGGGGAATAAATAGGGAAATAAATAGGGAAATAAATAGCGGAATAAATAGGGAAATAAATAGGGAAATAAATAGGGAAAGACATAGGGAAATACATAGGGAAATAAATAGGGAAATAAATAGGGAAATAAATAGGGAAATAAATAGGGAAATAAATAGGGAAATAAATAGGGAAATAAAATAGGGAAATAAACAAGGAAATAAATAGGGAAATAAATAGGGAAATGAATAGGGGCATAAATAGGGAAATAAATAGGGAACTAAATAGGGAAATAAATAGGGAAATAAATAGGGAAATAAATAGGGAAATAAATAGGGAAATAAATAGGGAAATAAATAGGGAAATAAATAGGGAAATAAATAAGCAACATAGGGAAATAAATAAATAGGGAAATAAATAGGGACATAAATAGGGAAATACATAGGGAAATACATAGGGAAATAAATAGGGAAATAAAATAGGGAAAAAAATAGGGAAATACATAGGGGAATACATAGGGAAATAAATAGGGAAATAAATAGGGACATAAATAGGGACATAAATAGGGACATAAATGGGGACATAAATAGGGAAAAAAATAGGGAAATAAATAGGGACATAAATAGGGAAATCAAGAGGGGAAACAATAGGGAAATAAATAGGGAAATAAATAGGGAAATAAATAGGGGAATGCATAGGGGAATAAATAGGGAAATAAATAGGGAAATAAATAGGGAAATAGATAGGGAAATAGATAGGGAAATAAATAGGGAAATAAATAGGGAAATAAATAGGGAAATAAATAGGGACATAAATAAGGAAATAAATAAGGAAATAAATAGGGAATTAAATAGGGAAATAAATAGGGAAATAAATAGGGAAATAAAATAGGGAAATAAAATAGGGAAATAAACAGGGAAATAAATAGGGAAATAAATAGGGAAATAAATAGGGAAATAAATAGGGAAATAAATAGGGACATAAATAGGGAAATAAATAGGGAAATAAATAGGGAAATAAATAGGGGAATAAATAGGGGAATAAATAGGGAAATAAATAGGGAAATAAATAGGGAAACAAATAGGGAAATAAATAGGGAAAAAAAATAGGGAAATACATAGGGACATAAATGGGGACATAAATAGGGAAAAAAATAGGGAAATAAATAGGGACATAAATAGGGAAATCAAGAGGGGAAACAATAGGGAAATAAATAGGGAAATAAATAGGGAAATAAATAGGGGAATGCATAGGGGAATAAATAGGGAAATAAATAGGGAAATAAATAGGGAAATAGATAGGGAAATAGATATGGAAATAAATAGGGAAATAAATAGGGAAATAAATAGGGGAATAAGTAGGGAAATAAATAGGGAAATAAAATAGGGAAATAAAATAGGGAAATAAATAGGGAAATAAATAGGGAAGAAAAATAGGGAAGAAAAATAGGGAAATAACTAGGGAAATAAATAGGGAAATAAAAGAGGGAAAAAACTACGGAAATAAATAGGGAAATAAATAGGGAGATAAATAGGGAAATAAAATAGAAAAAAAATGGGGAAATAAATAGGGACATATATAGGGAAATAAATAGGGAAAACAATAGGGAAACAAATAGGGAAATAAATAGGGAAATAAATAGGGAAATAAATAGGGAAATAAATAGGGAAATAAAATAGGGAAATAAAATAGGGAAATAAATAGGGAAATAAATAGGGACACAAAGAGGGACATAAATAGGGAAATAAATAGGGACATAAATAGGGAAATAAATAGGGAAATAAATAGGGAAATAAACAGGGAAATAAATAAGGAAATAAATAGGGGAAAAATAATTAGGGAAATAAATAGGGAAATAAATAGGGAAATAAATAGGGAAATAAATAGGGATATAAATGGGGAAATAAATAGGGAATAAAATAGGAAATAAATAGGGAAATAACTAGGGAAATAAATAGGAAATAAATAGGGAAATAATAGGGAAAATAAATAGGGAAATAAATAGGGAATACATAGGGAAATAAATAGGGAAATAAATAGGGAAATAAATAGGGAAATAAATAGGGAAATAAATAGGGAAATAAATAGGGAAATAAATAGGGACATAAATAGGGAAATAAATAGGGAAATAAATATAGGGAAATAAATAGGGAAATAAATAGGGAAATAAATAGGGAAACAAATAGATAAATAAATAGGGAAATAAATAGGGAAATACATAGGGAAATAAATAGGGAAATAAATAGGGAAATAAATAGGGAAATAAATAGGGAAATAAATAGGGAAATAAATAGGGAAATAAATAGGGAATAAATAGGGAAATAAATAGGGAAATAAATAGGGAAATAAATAGGGAAATAAATAGGGAAATAAATAGGGAAATAAATAGGGAAATAAATAGGGAAATCAATAGGGAAATAAATAGGGAAATAAATAGGGGAATAAATAGGGAAATAAATAGGGAAATAAATAGGGAAATAAATAGGGAAATAAATAGGGAAATAAATAGGGAAATAAATAGGGAAATAAATAGGGAAATAAATAGGGAAATAAATAGAGAATTAAAAAGGGAAATAAATAGGGAAATAATTAGGGAAATACATAGGGAAATAAATAGGGAAATAAATAGGGAAATAAATAGGGAAATAAATAGGGAAATAAATAGGGAAATAAATAGGGAAATAAATAGGGAAATAAATAGGGAATAAATAGAGAATTAAATAGGGAAATAAAATAGGGAAATAAATAGGGAAATAAATAGGGAAATAAATAGGGAAATAAATAGGGAAATAAATAGGGAAATAAATAGGGAAATATATAGGGAAATTAAATAGGGAAATTAATAGGGGAAATAAATAGGGGAATAAATAGGGGAATAAATAGGGAAATAAATAGGGAAATAAATAGGGAAATAAATAGGGAAATAAATAGGGAAATAAATAGGGAAATAAACTAGGGGAATAAATAGGGAAAGAAATAGGGAAACAAATAGGGAAAGAAATAGGGAAACAAATAGGGAAATAAATAGGGAAATAAATAGGGAAATAAATAGGGAAATAAATAGGGAAATAAATAGGGAAATAAATAGGGAAATAAATAGGGAAATAAATAGGAAAATAAATAGGGAAATAAATAGGGAAATAAATAGGGAAATAAATAGGGAAATAAATAGGGAAATAAATAGGGAAATAAATAGGGAAATAAATAGGGAAATAAATAGGGAAATAAATAGGGAAATAAATACGGGAAATAAATAGGGAAATAAATAGGGAAATAAATAAAATAAATAGGGAAATAAATAGTGAAATAAATAGGGAAATAAAATGAAATAAATAGGGAAATAAATAGGGAAATAAATAGGGAAATAAATAGGGAAATAAATAGGGAAATAAATAGGGAAATAAATAGGGAAATAAATAGGAAAAAAAATAGGGAAATAAATAGGGAAATAAATAGGGAAATAAATAGGGAAATAAATATAGGGAAAAAATAGGAAAAAAAAATCGGGAAATAAATAGGGAAATACATAGGAAAATAAATAGGGAAATAAATATAGGGAAAAAATTGGAAAAAAAAATCGGGAAAAAATAGGAAAAAAATTCGGGAAATAAATAGGGAAATAAATAGGAAAATAAATGGGGAAATAAATATAGGGAAATAAATAGGGAAATAAATAGGGAATAAATAGGGAAATAAATAGGGAAATAAATAGGGAAATAAATAGGGAAATAAATAGGGAAATAAATAGGGAAATAAATAGGGAAATAAATAGGGAAATAAATAGGGAAATAAATAGGGAAATAAATAGGGAAATAAATAGGGAAATAAATAGGGAAATAAATAGGGAAATAAATAGGGAAATAAATAGGGAAATAGGGAAATAAATAGGGAAATTAAATAGGGAAATAAATAGGGAAATAAATAGGGAAATAAATAGGGAAATAAATAGGGAAATAAATAGGGAAATAAATAGGGAAATAAATAGGGAAATAAATAGGGAAATAAATAGGGAAATAAATAGGGGAAATAAAATAAATAGGGAAATAAATAGGGAAATAAATAGGGAAAGAAATAAATAAATAGGGAAATAAATATGGGAAATAAATAGGGAAATAAATAGGGAAGTAAATAGGAAAACATAGGGAAATAAATAAATAGGGAAATACATAGGGGAATAATAGGGAAATAAATAGGGAAATAAATAGGGAAATAAACTAGGGAAATAAATAGGGAAATAAATAGGGAAATAAATAAGGGAAATAAATAGGGAAATAAATAGGGAAATAAATAGGGAAATAAATATGGGAAATAAATAGGAAATAAATAGGGAAATAAATAGGGAAATAAATAGGGAAATAAATATGGAAAAAATAGGGAAATAAATAGGGAAATAAAAAGGGAAATAAATAGGGAAATAAATAGGGAAATAAATAGGGAATTAAATAGGGAAATAAATAGGGAAATAAATAGGGAAATAAATAGGGAATTAAATAGGGAAATAAATAGGGAAATAAATAGGGAAATAAATAGGGAAATAAATAGGGAACTAAATCGGGAAATAAAGGGAAATAAATAGGAAATAGGGAAAAAATAGGGAAATAAATAGGGGAAATAGGGAAATAAAAAGGGAAATAAATAGGAAATAGATAGGGAAATAAATAGGGAAATAAATAGGGAATAGGGAAATAAATAGGGAAATAAATAGGGAAATAAATAGGGAAATAAATAGGGAAATAAATAGGGAAATAAATAGGGAAATAAATAGGGAAATAAATAGGGAAATAAATAGGGAAATAAATAGGGAAATAAATAGGGAAATAGGAATAGGGAAATAAATAGGGAAATAAATAGGGAAATAAATAGGGAAATAAATAGGGAAATAAATAGGGAAATAAATAGGGAAATACATAGGGAATAAATAGGGAAATAAATAGGGAAATGAATAGGGAAATAAGGAAATAAATAGGGAAATAAATAGGGAAATAAATAGGGAAATAAATAGGGACCATAAATAGGGAAATAAATAGGGAAATAAATAGGGAAATAAAAAGGGAAATTGGGAAATAAATAGGGAAATAAATAGGGAACTAAATAGGGAAATAAATAGGGAAATAAATAGGGAAATAAATGGGGAAATAAATAGGGAATAAAATAGGGAAATAAATAGGGAAATAAATAAGAAACATAGGGAAATAAATAAATAGGAAAATAAATACGGAAATAAATAGGGAAATAAATAGGGAAATAAATAGGGACATAAATAGGGAAATAAATAGGGACATAAATAGGGGAATAAATAGGGAAATAAATAGCGGAATAAATAGGGAAATAAATAGGGAAATAAATAGGGAAAGAAATAGGGAAAGAAATAGGGAAATAAATAGGGAAATAGATAGGGAAATAGATAGGGAAATAGATAGGGAAATAAATAGGGAAATAAATAGGGACATAAATAGGGGAATAAATAGGGAAATAAATAGCGGAATAAATAGGGAAATAAATAGGGGCATAAATAGGGAAATAAATAGGGAAATAAATAGGGAAATAAATAGGGAAATAAATAGGGGAATAGATAGGGAAATAAATAGGGAAATCAATAGGGAAATAAATAGGGAAATAAATAGGGAAATAAATAGGGAAATAAATAGGGAAATAAATAGGTGAATAAATAGGGAAATAAATAGGGGAATAAATAGGGAAAATAATAGGGAAATTAATAGGGAAATAAATAGGGAAATAAATAGGGGAATAAATAGGGAAATAAATAGGGAATAAATAGGTAAATAAATAAGGAAATAAATAGGGAAATAAATAGGGAAATAAATAGGGAAATAAATAGGTAAATAAATAGGGAAATAAATAGGGAAATAAATAGGGAATAAATAGGAAAATAAATAGGGAAATAAATATGGAAATAAACAGGTGAATAAATAGGGAAATAAATAGGGGAATACATAGGGGAATAAATAGGGAAATAAATAGGGAAATAAATAGGGAACTAAATAGGGAAATAAATAGGGAAATAAATAGGGAAGTAAATAGGGAAATAAATAGGGAAATAAATAGGAAATAAATATGGAAATAAATAGGGAAATAAATAGGGAAATAAATAAGGAAATAAATAGGTAAATAAATAAGGAAATAAATAGGTAAATAAAAGGGAAATAAATAGGGAAATAAATAGGGAATAAATAGGTAAATAAATAGGGAAATAAATAAGGAAATAAATAGGGAAATAAATAGGGAAATAAATAGGGAAATAAATAGGGAAATAAATAGGGAAATAAATAGGGAAATAAATAGGGAAATAAATAGGGAAATAAATAGGGAAATAAATAGGGAAATAAATAGGGAAATAAATAGGGAAATATATAGGGAAATAAACAGGGAAATAAATAGGGAAATAAATAGGGAAATAAATAGTAAAATAAATAGGGAAATAAATAGGGAAATAAATAGGGAAATAAATAGGGAAATAAATAGGGAAATAAATAGGGAAATAAATAGGGAAAAAAATAGGGAAATAATTAAAGAAGTATGATTTGACAATTAAAATGGACCCCTTCGATCCGGCAAGGATCAGAAATACCATGTGAATTTCGACAGCGAGATCTTGCAGCTCATCCGAGAGTGGCACAGCTGCAAGATTTGTGGTAAAACACAAGCGGAAGACATGGGAAAAAGTTTAGAAATGGATGGATCATGGATGGCGCAATGGGAAATTCATCTGTAAATGGGCAATTTTCCACAAGTATCTACTGAATTACTAGAGTGTTTTTTTTTTTAATAGGGAAAACGGCGGTTTGCTTGAAATGTTCTTTTAAACCAAACTGTTTTGCATAGTGTAGCCCACAGGAATCTTCCAGAAACTGACGGCTGGTTTTTCATGGTCTCATTTGCGTAAAGTTCGATCCGAGCCAATAAAGGGCTATGAGCAAACCACGTTGTTTTTCCTTGTTCTATAGCTGACACAAAGATTCTGATCCTTTCAACAATTTATGATAGATCGAAACCGAAGGGTGTCCAACGTTGCAATTGCCCCTCCAATTCACATAGATATGGAACACCCATGGTTTGTAGATCATTTTTACCAGGAAACTATCGTTCTTTCCATCCAAATCCATATTTCACTGGGTTGGTTCAAACAGGTTTCCTGTAACATTTCCCTTCAACCAACCAATCCATATCATCACCCAACGATTTTCCATCGTTCCCGCAATTCTGCTCCATCTTCTGCTGCAGGACCAAGACCATCGACCGCATGGGATATGTCGGAACCTGACGGGATGCATTGGCCGTCGGTCTGTCGGTCTCTCCTGGGAAAACCATCGAATCGTCTCCCGCGTCGCCGGTGCAGGTTGACATCCCGGAGAGTGCGCGCATGATCCTTTTGCAAGAGAAGAAGTCCGGAACCCGGAGAGGAAAGAAATAACGTCAGAGGCATAGGGGGTGCATCCTCCCAAAAAAGAGCAGGGAAAGTAAATCCAACACATGATTTTTCCGTAGAAAGTCATGTTCGATCCCTGTTTGACTGGGTCTTGTCAGTTTTGAATAGGTATTGATGGACAAAACATGGGAGTGTACACCAAGAAGAGCCGGAACATGAACCAAGAAGGGTGGTGACAGTAACCCTTAGCACTTGGACCTTCCTTTTGTTTCTGGAAACATAGCGCATCCGTGTCAGAACTGGTTCATTGTTTTGGTCACCACTTTACTGACTTTGTTCCTTGAATTTTCCATCCCGCAAATGATAGATTCTGATAGATCTATTATGTATGGGATGAGCGGTGTTCCTCAAAATTCATCAATTTCCTCTGTTCTTCTTCCAGCCAGAAATGTTTCACCACAACCCCCGCAGCACTGTTTTCTTCAGACAGCAATCAACGGTGGCAGCTTCAGCTGCAACCGGCAGAGCCTTTTTTTGTGCATCCAGATGTGGGTCAAGGTCTGGTCGACCCTTTAAGACCCTGTAAAATACCGTATGACATGTTGCCCACCCATATTTTTGCACCAGAATTGTGTGGACCACACCTGTGTTAGCACACTTTGCAAGTCCAAAAAGTCGAGCCTTTCGAAAATTGATGCACTCTGAGCATAGTTTCTGCAGCAATCACTTGAACCGAAGCCTCAGCACATACCAGTCTTGATAAGGATCATCAAGATTCATCAAGTAGCATCCAACACATCATCAGATTATCAGATTTTCATCTATACTATAAGTAGCATCCCCCAAAAAATCATCAATTTTTCATCACTTTTCGTCATTCTCGACGGGGGAAACGATGGAAAAACGACGGATGCCGCAACGAACTTGACATTTTCACCGCGCCGGCCAGCCCGGGTGTCCGGATCCCGTGGAACCTCCAATGGGCGACGACGGGATCATCGACATCGATTCCGAAGATGAAGAGCACCGCTGTGAAGCGGAGGCCTGGTGATAAGGCAACAGTTGGGGGTTTCCTGAAATGGTGGTACCATAGCTGGATGGTTTTTTGGAGGGAAAAGCCTAAGATGGATGATTTGGGAGTACCACTATTTATTCGGAAACCCCAAAATAATGGTAAAATGATAGTATAATTGCACCTACAAATAGAAAAAGTGATGATTTTTTGTGGATTTTTTAGTGATCTATCACAATTTTTTGGGTGGAATTTTACCAAGTATTTTTTGAAGGATACTATAATGATGAATGCCCTTAATTATTTCCCCTATTTTAGCAGAAATGGGTGGCTTTTGAACCATGCGGACGAAAGTTGGGCTTGATGGTGATTTCTGGGTCCTCTGGCGTTTGACCTTTGTTTTTCCAGTTCGAAAAAGCTGGATCCATTATAACGACCTCACTGTGACCTCACTGAATGATGGTTAGTAGGTGTAACTATCCGAAATGAGCCGATTTTTTCCAGAGCAAATTATCATAATTCCAGATTTCCCCCCTGGCCATGGAAAATCCACCATTTACAATTTACAGATGATCTTCCCATTAAAAGCAGCCAAACAATGACACCAAGCCATCCATAGCCATGCACCAGCTTCAGGCTGCTGCCGCAGCAGCTGCTTTGGCGGTTCGGGGCTCAGTTTGGTTGATTTCTCAAATTCGACAGGCTTGGAGGTGCTTGGGGGTCCTGGAGCCGAGTTGGGTTGATGGATCTATGGATTCAATTTTCACGAGTTTCATCGAAAGCGCACTAGGACCAGGGTGAGTTGGGTGAGTTGGGTGCGAGAGCTGACCTGCTGGGCTCACGCCAAGGTGGAAGTGCCGCAAACCAGCGTCATGTGCCAGCGGATGCCTCAATGTGACCCAGGAGTTTGACCAGAATTTCTGGCATCAGCTGTGATTCTTCATGATTCTTCCGTTTTTTTCTCCCAAAAACATCTCAACATGTCAGAAACATCAGCCAGAAGCCAAGAAGCCGCCAGATTCAGATGGATTTCTATGTGTTTTTAGCGGAAATTCATCCCGGTCCTATCCGAGGCTCACTTTGCCCCCCAGCCGTGGCATTGCACTGCCACAGGTGGTAGGGCAGGTGCAGGTGTGGCGCCAGGACTCGAGGGGTTTCCCATGGCTGCCTCAAACGTGACTAGCTGGAAAATCCCACCAAAAATGGAGATTTAGCATCATCCATGGAGTTTTGAATGGGCGAATTACCTGGGATCGTCCAAAAGAAAGATGTTGAATTTCTAGCCATGCGGCTGATTGCCAGATCCTAGCATATTCTACCATATCTTGGCGCGGACATCAAGCTATACCCGCATTTTTGTTGGTGAACTACAGGTTACCAAGATTTTCGGCCATATTTGATCCTTCACCTTTTCGAGATCTTAGGTAGCTACATTTGGAAATACAGTATAGGCAGTCTCACCAGCTGAAGATTTTCTTCGACTTGGCACAGTTTTCACATGATATCACCAACATTTAAAGAGTTGGTGATCTTTCTCTTTGGACATGTCTCCGGCACAGGAGGATTCACTTCATTGTTTGGTCCTAGTGGATGAGCAGGTGCGGCACCCGATGGCAAAATTGGTAACTTAGCCAACCGGGGTTTATAGGGGATATAACAAGATATACAGTATATAATATATACATTACATAACTTGATGGGACTATATGTCGTGCGAAGTAAAAACCAACTTATTGTTGTCTATATAATTATCTATTTGTTTTTGGGGGGCTGTACCGGCTGTAGAACCCACCGGTGATTCTCTTCATCTTTGGCCATGATGTGAGGAGTACACCGAGGACGAGCATGAGGATCTCATTATACCCATTGGTGGCATCAGCGCGGTAGACGTGAAAGTGGAGGGCCCAAGTGCCACTTGGACCCTGCCATGCAGCGGGCTGCAGCAAGGTGCACTATTAGTAAGGGCCCCGAAGGGTCGAAAAATGGGATGCCCAACAGTCATCATGTTGGAAATCCGAGGGAATCCTTCAGGATATTTGAAGTACCCTCTGGTAATTTGTTACAGTTTGCTATTGAAAATGGCCCAGTCGAAATAGTGGATTTACTCATTGAACATTGTGATTTCCCATAGTTTTTCGTATGTTTATTTGTATGCTTGCCAGAGGGTACTTCAAACTTTCAACGGAGGCATGTTGGAAAACGACCTAGCTCCAGTTTTTTTTTCCGATGATCCAAGCTAAGGTGATTCTGACCTTGTCGCCCCCCCTTGCACCCACGGGCTTCGCTGTTGGAAGCCAAGTTTGGATGGGAATCCATAGGGAACCCATGGGGAATCCATGGCAACTAGATATGAGCAGTGGATAGCAGTGGTAAACCTACCGTTGGTTTATGATATGTTGATGATTTTGCAGACTTTTGCTTCCAATATATATATATATTATATTAATTATATATATATAGAAAAATTATCGGAGATCCCTTACTCACTAGCCAACACAAGAGGGTCTTTGAGCACAGCCTGTGAAGCCTTTTGGCATTTCATGGATCTTTACGGCCTTCAACACCCAACTGACTCAGCCACCTTCAGATTTTGGGCTTCAAAGTTGCTCCAACTTTCAACAATTTGGGTCTTTCCGAAAATGTGTTTCCTTCTATGGTAATTCCATGGTATATCGGTATATTCCATAGAAATTGTCATTTTCAAAGAACATGGTCTTGAGAACCATATTTTCAAAAGAGAACATGGTCAGCAAAATCATAGAATTGGATGATGGGAACATTTTAACCGGACAGCCCTAAATTTCTTTGATGGTAAAAACCCTGGTTTCGGGTTTTCAGATTTTCCCCAAGAAACCAATCCATTGACAAAACCATGAAATTTTCAGCATCCAAAAACTTTCGGCCAATTTTCGGCCGTTTTTTTTCTCCCAGCAGGTGTTTTTTTTTTCATCGGCTGAGGTGGATTTCATGGCCGAAGGTCATCGGATTTCAATGGTTTCGCTGTCACCTTCACCTCAGGACAGATTTTGGTACCTGGAACCTGGAAGAAAATCGATCGAAAATCAAAAATCAATGGGCATTTCTAGAGTGAAAACGAAGATCTACAGGAAACCATGGGACCCCAAATATATATAAAGATGAACGTAATGTGGATTAACTACAAAACATTTTACCTCCCATGTTTGAAAGCCTGGATGTCGGCATCGCTTTGTTGGCCGGATTTCTGTCAGGAGTTGCGGTCCCTATTGGCCACCCTTATGTCGTGGCTGGGGCATTTGACAGTGTAACTGGGCATGGCTTAACCGATGGAGCCAGCCTCGCAGCGAACGTTCTGAGCGAACTTTCGCTGTTTTTTTTTCGAATGGGGAGCCCTGTGGAAGTTTTTAATTGGAGTTCCCCAACCACATGATCGTTTTTAACATTGAATGAATAAATCGATAAATAAATAAATGAATAAACACATAATTATATAATATATATATATATATGCAATATGTATATATGTACAAATGCCACAAACTTTGTCTCATCCTCGCAGAAGGAAAATCGGAACACAATTTTGATCCTATGCCCCGTTCATATGAAACAACCCCCAGAAGCCATGGTGGATGTAGGGGATGAAACCACACATACAATGGGGGTGTTTAAACATGTTTAAACACATGGGGGATGGAATTAAGAAGTGGGTTGCAACTCTTTAGTTATATATATATAATTATATTATATAGCTATTAGATATACTATATCATCTGGTAGTCAAACATGGCAATGAATCAACAATTCAAAATTATAGATGATTTTCCCATTCAACCCTCCATTTAGTTCGTTTTTTTTTTCCCAGCTAGACACGTTTGATTACCGAAGGCTCAATGGTATATAGTATAACTGATTTGATATGGATAGAGGTGATAATTATAAACCATCAATAAGTAAAATCATGAATACAAAACCATCGCCATTAATGTGGGTAAAACAATAGCAAACTCTCTCCCAAATCACAATTTTTATAGGTGGTATTTGTTCCATTCCCAGTCATGGATGGTTTATGGCATTGTTTCAAATGATATTCCATGGAATTTAACCTTGATTCACCTCTGAGAAGACCAGAAAACTTGCTCCCCACGTTTGGTCCGCGTGGTCCGCGTGAAAAACGAGGCATGGTCCGCGCTCTTTAGGCTTGGTGCCACGTCCAGTGAAGGAGATTCTTGGCCCAATCGTGGGGATTGATGGGCAG